CGTTCGCTGGGATGGTAGGCACGGAGGGAGGCGTCTGAGCAAGAGGATTATTACTCCCCTCTGTGTGCTCGCTATCGCTTCCCTTAGCAGGCTGCTCAGGGTCCTCTCCATCGTCATCGTCATGGAGGTAACCCTCTACGTCTGTATCAGACGTTCGCCTCTGCTGTCTGGTCTGTCTACCAGTGCCTCCCGTTCCCCTATTGGAGCTACTCGCTGCTGCTCCTCTCGCGGTGCCGCGAGACGGTTTCGGACCCATGATATGAATAAAAGAATAAAACTATGCGCACCTGTTAGAGGATTGCGGACGTTCAAAAAGTATAAGAGGTCGTCGTCTTGATCTTGAGGTTATCGCACCGGTAAGAACGGTACCCGCCTAGCCCTTGTTGGGTGCGGATAGATTCCAGAGTAGTACGAAGGTTACAAGATTAGATACCCTACATGTACTACTCGCGAGCGCATATATACGAAGTAGTTGTTTGTGCGGAACAAACAACGTAAAGAATAACAAATACGAATGTGAAAGAACGAACGATGCAAGTCGGCGAGTGTGGCGTAAGTAGGTTCGTGTGGCGTACGAACTTACTTCGCATAACTCCGCCGCCTTACAGGCGTGTGCTTCTCCTGCACGGATTGCGCCCCATGCAAGAGACGGTGTACTGATAGGACCAATGGCCCATGTAGGACCTTCGGGTGCTGCTGGTTGTGCCATGGAGTTCTACGATACTGGCCTAGACAGGTACCAGTCAGTGTCGGTTCAGTTCCCAAGAACAATTCATTGATTACCTGCCTGCGTAGAAGCTGTAGACGTCCAGGATCGTGAGGAGGATGTTGTAGGCAATTGGTATGAGATTCGTGACTTGGTGTGCATGAGGGCTCCGAGAGACAAAACACGCGGACACCATTCAGCGTACTAACTGCCGTCGGCAGCGTTTTCGAGGGTCAACTAATCACCGTAGAGGGCCGACATGACACATATTCGCCGTCGGTGTTATTGCTTATCGCAGGCATCGGTCTACTCACCGTGTACACTGGCCAAAAGGTCTAAGGTCGAAAGATATGATATTGCAGTACTCGGAACAGTTGAGAAGACAGAAAGATTAAACAGCTAAGTAATGCTAGGTAGTAATCGAGGATATAGGAGACTCTGGAGATGAGCTCGAGATGGGAAGAGCAATCATTACAGACACTGGGATGGAGGATATATTTAGTCAAAGAAAATGGTCTGACAATCAACAGGAACATTACTTACTAAGGAGCACTGTGGTGTGCTCGCCCAAAAGCATGGTAAGTGGCGGACCACGCGAGGACGAATGAGAAAGCTATTGGGCAAGAATGGTCAGAGGCAGCGATGAGCAGGAGGGACCAGACGATATCACTTACTTGGCCCACGTGCGGCATTCATTCACTACGTCGGGAGTCATCGACATATTGTCAAACCAAGGCCAGGCACAGACGGGTCCTTCAAATTCGGGACTCTCCCACAGGTCTGGATGCTCTACCGCAAAGGAGTGGGAGACCGACGAGTACATATCGTCCAGCGAATCGTCGTACAAAAGAATCCCATAGACACCGTGATCCAGAATGACATACGCTATCCCCACAACATTGGGTGAATACGTCTGACTCGCTCCTAATGCAAGAATGAAGTATGCGAGGGTGATAGCGGAAAGGGGCGGCCTCACGCTCAGAAAGAAAGAGATGGAGAAGCGCGCACCGCAGCCCTGAAAGCTGCGTGGATCCTCTCTCGAAAAGAGTAAAACACCGCGAACACTTGCGGCCGAGTGTGTCCAGTCGCAAAGGAGCATGCTTGAGGATTCAAGTTCTGACTGTGAATCAGTGAGCGTCAGTCGCTGGCAGGTCTGTTACCGATAATGTATGTGACGTACCGGTATGAGGGCATGAGCTAGTAAAGGAGCACCAACGCTCGGCGGTGTCAAAGACCCAATGCGTATAGCATGCAGGACTTGCTCACGGGACGTGATGCAGAGCAGCGGAGGATGGTGGAGTGGGCCAAGGTCAATATCTGCAACAGCGACACCATGTTCAAGTCAGCATCGCGCAAAGTTCAATCTAGGACGCGGAAAAGCGACTCACGACCAAAAGATGTGGCATTCTCTCGAGGTGCAAGGAGAAAGCGGCAGATAGGGGTGAAATGCGCCATTGGAGAGTGTAGAATTCAGACGGGACAGCACACGAGTGTTTTATAGTGATTATGCCCTAGGGTATCACGGTGTCATGGACCATTATCAAGACGAGACGTTAGGGACTGTTCGTAAACATCATAACAAAAAGTGTGAACTAAGACAGAAAAGTCGAAGTATAGTAGGTCATCTGCAACGGACATGAAGTACCTGATATCGAGATGAGATTAAAGTAGGAAGGTAAGAGGGAGGAAAAGATGAGAATGTGTCTTCAGGTAGCGAGCCTATCGCAAACGGGACCTCCGAACTATTTCGCCTTCTGCTTGCCACGCGCCTTCTCAGACATAGCAGGCGCAGACGTCGCCGAAGTCTGCGAGGCAGGCGTGCTCGCGAATGAACCTGGAGCCGTCCCACCGGACGCGGAGTGGTTGATGTTGCTCCCCAAGGGCATTGAGAACGGAGCCGCATTGAGCAGGTCCGCCATGCTGTGAGGCGCTCATCAGTGACATGACAGGAGACGAGCAAGTGTGATATGACTTACGATCCGTACTGTCCGCTGCCACCATTAGCGGGGAAGGCCCCGTTTGCGCTGCGAATATACAAAATCGAATTAAGCAAGGTTGGACATGGAAGCCGATGTAAGGACTTACGCGTTAAACATGTCGGCAGGCATGATAGCCTGGTTCATGTACTGTTGACCCGGTCTGCAAAGCGTTAATCAGTGTAACCGCCAGATAAGAATCGCACGAGATGAACGTACACATTGAAGGCTGCAGATAGCATCTGCTGACCATGACCAGCGGTGTCCGATGCACCAGACGCACCTGGTTGGTTGCTGTCGTACATCGGGAGCGTAACATCCATCATACCCTGACTAGATCATGATCAGTACCGAGACAGTTAACAAAGAAAGCGACAGACGTACGGCCTCATCAATTGACCACCCGAAGGAGGCATCGCTGGTGACATCTGCATCATGTCGGGGTAAACGAAGGTCCCGAAGTTGGAAGGATTGGGTGCGGAAGGAATGGGCACCGATGGCCTATCCAGATGATGGAGATCAGATCGGCGTAGGATGATGAATGTACTGAGGAACGTACTGAGGTTGAATCTGCATATTGCCATTCCCGCTCCCACCTTGATTGCTAGGGACGGGGACCACAGCTCCCGCAGTAGCCTGTCGTGAAGCTGGAACAGAAGAGTTCACGCTAATCAAAGTGTGAGCCTGCAGATCTAACGTGAAAAAGAAAGGTGGAAACTCACCCAGATTGAGACAGAACCGCCTGGGAGGATGTAGCGCCAGACGTGGGTCCTTCCGAGTCATTCCCAACAAATGCGCGGAACTTGCGCTTCTTAACTCCGGCACCACCAGGACCGGGACCTCCAGCAGGCGGCGAAGGACCAGTGATGGCAGTGGGGTTGAAGGTAAGGTCGGCGATCGTGAAAGAAAGAAGGCCGTCGGGCGCAGTTCCCTCCGCGTTCCCGACCACGAGAACGACTGAGTTGGGAGACGGGCAGGCGGTGTGTGCCCAGCGAGGGGTCGCCTCAAACCGACAACTAAATTGGAATTAGTTGAATGGAAGCTTATGGAGGATGGAAATGAGGCGCACCGAATCAAAGACGGTTGGTTCGCTCCAAACACGTACGCCATCGTGGCCAGCGTGAAGGTACGTGATCCATCCGATAGGATCTCCTGCCCAGAACGAACAGTGCCGATGACGAAACAAAGGGTCCCTGGTATGTCGGGGATGCTGTCTTGATATTGATCGGAAGAGGGATCACCGTTAACGGGGTAGGCAGACATGGCGTCGAGAGAGATGAGGTCGGGAGCGTTGGGGGCATGAACCTTGACGAGACCAAGAACGATGGTTCCATCGGGGAAAAGAGGTGCGGAAGCTGGAGACCAGAGGCGGAGTCTCGAGTTCCTAGCCCCGAGGTTCGTGTATCGAACGGTAGTACGGTAGACGTGATGCCAGGAGACCGAGTTTCCGCCACTCGGTAAAGTTCTGTTGGTCGCAACACGTTCACCAGAGGTGAGAAGGAAGAAGTCGTGAAACATGAAGTTGGTCATTGTGAAGAAGTGGTAGGCGTGCAGAAGCTCGAGAGGGTGTCCTGAGTGATCAAACTTCGTCAAAAAAAAGGAACTTTTATAGGGCGAGGAACGGAGAGCGAAATTCACCTCGAAATCACTGGCGCAAGTCAGCACTAAAAGAATGCACCCTAAAAACATGGATTTTCACGATCTAAAGGGTCATGAAGGGTTAGCAGCAAGAATACACGGCAAACTGAGGATGAAACATACCTTCATGGCCGTCTCACGAAGGGGAAACATAGTACCAAGACCCTCACTAATTCAGTGAGGTGCTAAAACCGGCATGAGTTGACCAGAAATGAACCGCATAAAACGAAGGGCGTGATTGACCTTTGGAAGTTGAAACTTCGGAGTCCATGGCGGTGTCTGTGAGCCCATCGTTATAGCTAGCAAGAACGGTGGACTGGGAAGTGGGTTGACCAGAAATGAACTCAGAAATGAGCCGCATAAAACAAAAAACTCGACTAACCTTTGGAAGTCGAAACGTCGGAGTCCGCGACCGTGCCCGTGAGCCCATTATTGCAAGCAGCGATAGCAAGAACGGTGTCGGAAGAGAGATGCTGAGAGCGCGAGTGATCGAGCCACGCAATTTTTTGATAGCGTAGATTGAATATTCCTATGGCGGAGCTCGAAATTCGGATACATCATACTGCGCGCCACCTCGTGGGTTATGGGGCTCAACAACCGTGTGCGACACTCTGCGACAATCCGAATCTTGCAGTCCAACGAGCGAACCACAGAGAATGTCAAAATAAGAAGAAGCCTACCCCGGAATATCAAGCCAGCACAATAGGAGAAGACTGAGTGCTACAACAGCCAGGAGCAACATCACCTTCGAGTTCTCAACCGTGTCGATAGTGCCTCGAGGCTCGCATTACTCACCTCTTGAGAATTGAAGTGCACAGGTCTTCCATGATTGCGAAGCTCATCCGTTGAGTACACAGGTAGGGACACGTATCGGAATAGAGACGAGCATCGCATGACACGAGAGACCCATGGCGATACAACACTGTGGCGATAAACATGAAGACGTCCATGTGTCTCACACCGTAGCCTTCTCACTGAAAATATTCCAAAAGATATTTATATTCCACTTTTACAGGTCAATCGTACAGGATAAGCAGTCGAAAACGAGTGAGCAGTGCCAGTCGGGGAGTGAGCAACCATCTATCATGTTGTCCACAAACTTCGAGCATGGTATATATAGGGGAGAAAACTCGGACCCGCTTTGGAAAATCGTGATTCTTGAGGCAGGATTGCGCTCCCGACAGGCTTGAGTAGGGCTTGAGCGGTGTAATATAATTTAGCGTATGGGAAGACTTAGATCAAGCGACACGCTACGGGAAATGGATTATCAGACTTGCGGAGTTTGATAGACCGCTTCGACAACTTGATCCATTAGCCTTGTTCAGAGTGCTCATATCGAGCCCTCATAAACGCAGTATATGAGCTCGTATATGAGCTCGATATGAGTTTGATATGAGCTCCAGCACAGCCAAGAGGCTTTGCCGAACAGTTTCTGCCTAATGGGGCAGCTCAGCTCATATCGAGCTCATATCGAGCTCATTTACGAGCCTCATATGCGAGGCCTCAATATGCGAACTTTGAGCAAGGCTATTTTAGCACGACAATAGCTATATGAGCTCAATATGAGCTTCAGCACAGCCAAAGAGGCTTGCCGATATGAGGTGTGCTAAGCGAAGAGCAGTTTCTCCCAGATGAGGCAGCTCAGCTTCTATCGAGCTCATATACGAGCCTCATATGCGAAGCCTCAATATGCGTACTCTGAGCAAGGCCAATGAGCAAGAGGGCTTTACCGAAATAGGCTGCTCGACAGTGAAATGAATGAGGAGCAAACACGAACAAACGAAATGGAGACATCTGCGTTAGAAGAAGGTTGATGGTTCCGGAAGCCATAAAGGAAGGCTAGAACGATAGTGAAGAAGCTCTTTGGCGAAGATGTTGGGTACAGTAAGTCCATGTCAAAGTATGTGATGGGTATGCTTGCGGTCACTTGGCCCGGCGAGGCAGGGCGAGGCTACTTATCGAGCGAGTTTACCGTGACAGCGATGCATCATGGGAGTGTCCAGCCTGATGATGAGAAACTTCAAGTTCAAGGATCACGAGCCTGAACTTAGCAGGATATAGAGTAGAAACAGTAATGTCTATCGAGCAGCCTAGTGTCGTCTGTGCGAAGTCAGACTACCCCAGTGAGTCCGAGCAGCGAAAAAACCCCAGATAAGTATGTGGCTCGTCAACATATCGGTGTTCGATGCTGGATGTGGCGTTAAGAAAGTGGACTTTTCGGTACGGCCCGGTGCCGGTCTGTTGCGCCGCAATAGGCGCTTGTCTATTTTTGGCTCAGGCGTCTGTCGTTCGATGAGCGCGGCGAAGCCTCAGAGGCTCAAATATCTCAACTCGTCTCTCTGTTGAGCCCCAAGTACTTTTCTCACTGTGCCAGTGATCACGCAGGTTCTCATCGTCCATACCATACGGCACTGGCATTCTCATACACGAACACACCACCTACGTGATCTACTTATGTATACCTGCTCTGAACTCTTCGATCTTATTTGGACCTCCTTGCACTCATCATGGTAGTCGATTTAAAAGTATATATGAATTGTAAGGAGTGGTGTAAATGTGTAAACGTGGTAACAAATACGGTGAAAATGGTGTAATGTAAAGAAAGGACTCATCGACCAGCGACCGAACCCTACCTCCTCAACGCCGACGCTACAGCTTTTGGAGGTTTAGTAATCGGTTTCGCCTTCCCCTTCCTCCTTCCATCGATCTCCCCGTCCACCATGACCGCCGCATCACTTGAACCTCCAACCACCACCTCCGTAGAGTTTGCATTGCCCCCCTCTTGCGCCACCGACAAACCCGGCACAGGACTCGTGGCCACACCAGCCGCAGTGCCACGCAATGCCGAGGCTGGACTCGGTGATGTCGATGAATGCAGACCATCGCCGATGTCCTGAAAGACTGTTGAGGCTTTACGCATTAATTGACGTGTATTCCTCACGTAGTTCCGTGCCTCGGGGGACGCGGGCGTAGGAAAGTAATAGGGGGCTTCGTAAGGGCGTGTACGCGCAATGGGTGGAGACGGGAGAGCGGCTGATACGGGCGCCGTTTCGAGCGTACAGGCACTATTTGACGACGAAGCGCTCGGTTTTCTGCAGTGCTTGGGAGGACGTGAAAGTGGAACGACTGTCTTCTTTGGAGCTAGGGAATGAAATGGGATGAAAGGAGTTAGTGTGATTGAGCGTCAATGGCCGGATAGGGCAGTATAGAGGGGCGGATGACGAAGATGACAGGTGTGCTTACAGGCATCAGTGAGTGAGGCGTTGGACTGACTACACAAACTGCGACTCCGTCTCGGTGCACGAGGACATGGATACTTGCGTTTAGGTGCAGCTGATGCTGGCGTTGGTAGAGCTGGTGCTGCTTTGGAAATGTTCGGATACTTGTCTACTGGAACTGGAGCTGTCTGTGACCTTTCGGGAACAGTGCGTTCTTTGTGCCAGCTCGCCTTGGAGGGAAGCGAAACCGAACGACAGAGCTTTCTGTGGCCCTTCGGACGGACGCCATCAGCGGAGCTGGAGACTGGAGGCTGTGTCGACCGTTTGCCGAAGTGGGGGAGGTAGGAGGACGATGATCCTTTGCGAAGGGTCGGAGGCCTCGGTTGCGCGACTTTTGTCTCATCGATGGGCGTGAGTCTCACCGATTTCACCTGCTCAGCGCACTTGACAGCCAATGGTGGTCGGGAGCGGTGTTCCGAAGAGGATGGTGGCGATGAGGGGCGTTGGGAGGACGGAGGTGGGAGGACGAAATTAAGGGCACGATCAGGGAGAGAGGGTAGTGATGGACGTGAACGCGCAAAACGCGTGGGAAGGGTTGGTGGTTGGTCCGGAGAGTCGTGGGGAGTACGTATGGGATCGGATGCCGAGGGGCCCGACCGTGGCGTCGAGGAAGATGAAGAGGAGGATGTCGACGGGACAGTCGAAGTAGTCACCGTTGAGATGCTACTCCCTGCGCTCCTGGATGTGTGAAAGTAGAAAGGCCGTATTTGAGTGTCTGAGGCCTTACGTAGAGGCGGAAGCGCGAAGCTCAACACAGTCGCCAGGACGCTCTGTAGGGTAGATCAGTTTCTCATTGAGACACACAACTGAAGCCACGTACAAGAATGAAGCCGCCGAGAGCCTGCGTTGCGCACGAGAAGTAAATCGCCAGATTCCACAGAGCATCAGGCATGGGAAGCGTATTCAAGGTGGACTGAAGTAAAGCGCGTTGAGCTAGGCGGATGCTGCCTTCAGTGGGTCGATGGCATCAGTGGGTAGATACAAGGCGAGACGGACCAGAGGGGCAGCGCTGAGATGGGAGCGGGCGGCTTATTATAAGCGAAGGCTTGTGGGGAAGCAGTGATGAACTGAGACTGAATTGGCAAGATCAAGATGGAGGACAGCCTGATGGAGATGTTGACTAGATGTATTTCATCCTCACTGGCTACAAGTCATCCAGTCTAAGACCCGGTTTGACATAAATGTTACTGTGGTGAACGGATTGCGGGTGGTCCGGGGTGGATAGGAGGACGATCGAACGCCCTCTGGCGTAGGGCGTAAGCATCAGAGCGCAAACAGATGCCTGTGTCCGCGAGATGTAGTGCAACCCTTAGTAAGAGGACATGTAGCTTTAAATCCAGACCCAGTAATAAGAATAAAACACATAGAGGGACGTCGTGGGTGGAAGAAACGGGTGGGAGCGGACGAGCGGGACGGGTAACGGGCTGCGCGCCTGTACAGCCTGAGAAATATTGCCTTGGCTTCTCATCCGAGTCGATCTCGTTTGCATATCCACAGGCCACAGGCATCCTCAACTCCCCCCAAAGTCTTTCCTTCACGATATATCTGTACCAGCCATGCCTCCGCGAGGAAATGAAGGCCTTGACTTCACCCCAATACTGACCCACTACCTCTTTCTCTTCACCTCCATCCTTGCCGTCGTACGTTTCCCAGCTCTTACGTTCAAACTCACGCCTCTGACTCTTCACCCAGGTTGGCTGGTTTGTAGCCTTCATATCCCAGGCTGTTGTCACCGCAGAACGTATGTCTCTCTGCTCTTTGTTTTTTTCTTTAGTTTATGGTAGTAACCGTCTACACCAGGCGGCCACGGTGATGTCGGCGTCCTGTGGTTCGCCATTTTTCTTCAACTCTTCCTCATCCTCGGCGTCTTCTACACCCTCGCAAGCGATTCGATAGCAATGCATCGCTTTCAGATATCCGTCTTTGGCTCAATCGCAATCACCTTCGCAGTCATCGGCGTCAACCAAGGCATTTTCACCGGCATCGCTTCCCTTGGTGCCATGGCCGCAGGCTGGCTCATCCTCTCCGTCGTCGACATCCTTTGGGTCCTCTACTTCACCTCCGAGGAAGACTCCCTTACTCTTCACATCTTCAACTCTCTCGGTACAGGCGGCCTCACTCCGCCCTCGCGCAGGCGCAGGGGAAATCGCGCACAGTCCGTTCACAACATGGGCGTCGGAAATGGTTACGGAGTTGGCGGAGGAGGATACTCGTCACCATCGGCTGTCGGTGCTACTCCATACGACGCCAAAGCCCCCAACAGCTTCGGTCCTACTGCGGGCGTTAGAAGTCAGGGCAGCTTGCACACTGCGAGTCTCCACGATGGTGTTGTCCCGAAGAGCTCAACTGGCGTCAATGGTAGCTTGAACGGCGGTACCCCCGCGATGCCCATGGCCAACCTACCGGCTGATAGTGCGGGTATGGGCTCGCCGCTGATGGGCCCCGGGGCAGCTGGCGTTGGAGCGGGAGGTGGTCCTCTTCCTGAGGATACGAGTGCGACTCCTTCGGATGGCAACTACATGTATAAGGCGAAGGCTCTGTACGCTTGTAAGTGGCCTATGTTCTCTGTTGCGAAGAGGCTGTGTTCTGATACGTACGTCATGCAACCAGACTCGGCATCTGCGGACGATCCAAACGAAATTTCCTTCGCAAAAGGAGAGATACTCGATATCATCGACAAGAACGGGAAATGGTGGCAAGCAAAGAAAGCGGATGGTACCATTGGCAGTACGTATTTTTTTCTTGCATGTTTTAACCAGGATACTCAGATCATTCTATATAGTTGCGCCATCAAACTACCTGCAGATTGTCTAACGAACCTCCCGTTCGCGCTCGCTCCCTGCTTCATCAACATCAGATCTATCTAATCACTCCTTGAATCACGACGATGACGGAATGCTCTACGAAACCCTCCCTATCCTCTACTCCCGACAACCCGCAAACATGCACATACCCCTTGAATAATATAAGCGAGCCTCCCTATCCCTTGGACTTCTCCTTTCATGACACAGCCGCTTGACATCCTTCATTTCTCCGGAGCTCGCTCGTTCTCCGTTTATTGTATATTTTCGGGACTTTCATTCACTTCTACACCGTTCTTGCCCTACCCAGCAAGCCCCCGATATTTCCGTTCGTCTCGTGTTGTTCCGTGTCTGCGACTCTGATTCTCTTCTTGTCAAATTATTGGATAGGATCTCTCCCATCCCATCTCTTCATCTCTTTTCCCCGCTCTCCTCCCGAGTCTATATCCTTTGTTTCATTCTCATTCTCATTATTTCTTTGTCTTCCCCCCCCCCTTTTCTTTTTCTCTTCCCCTTTCTGTCTTCTATCTCTCCTGGGTACGCAAGCTTCCCGTCCACACGTCCTGCAGGACGGTCTAACGATTTTTTCTCTTCTTCTCTCCGTTGTCTAATACAGTAGTAGTAGTAGTCTCCTCGTCTTTCCTCTCACCAAACCCTGTACGGACCGACCGGGTCAGATACGTTCTGTACGTCCAGCTGAACACTACTATTATGTGCTTTGTTTTCTTTTTCTTTTTCTATCTCTATCTCTCTCGCTATCCCAGATTTGCACGAGCCGTTGAGATGGATGTGAAAGGTACGGTAACAGTAGGTTGATGAACGAATTAGACGTTTTCCTTCAGGTGGCAACTGGTGGGATGCAAAAAATCTTGTGGCGTAGATCGTCCCCCCAACTCTTTGTGTGGCCCACGAGTCGGAAACCACTTTGATTGCCATAGCAATGTGTTAAAACGAGCTGTTGCTACATCAACAAGTCGTGTATGTATGTATGAGTGTTTCCCATCTTCATTTGCGACTCGACAACGACAATAAACAACGGGAATACCAGTAAAGCGACAGCCTGAAATAGTTCAAGGTAACTGCGCACGACGAAAGATGAGACTCACCAGTCCTCAGTATTCGGTTTAGAGCCATACAGAGAGAATGGTCGATCCTCAAAAGTCTTCGTCATACTTCCAATGCCATTACTATTTATCGTACACCGCTCTCGAATATAGACACCGTACCGACGAGAAGACGGATCTTACCGTCGCCTGCCAGGCCCACTGCCCAGTACTACCAGCTTATTACTCTTCTTCTTCCTCCCGCCTACAGCTCCTCCAGCACCAGCTCCTCCACTCGCCCTCTGCTCCATCTCATGCCATGCAAAGTCCAAATCCCATTCATCCTGCTCGTCCCTCAAAGTCCTAGGCGCTCTCTGCCCACCAGCGCCAGCCGGCCTTGTCTCTCCTCCTCCAGATCCCGAATGTGCAGCCGAAGCAAAACTTCTTGATCCCCAAGCTCCACTGACATTCTGCGGCGGCGGCGCCACCGTCTCCTCCTCTGCCTCCACCTCCACATCCTCAACCATCATCTCCCGCGGAACCTCAAACCCAAACGCCTGAACCTCCGCCTCCGCACCCGTCCTCCAAGTCCTTCCCGCTCCAAAATCATGATTCAACCTCTCCTTCTCCCTCTCCTCCGCCTTAGCCTTCGCCCGATCATCCTTCTTCCCCTTCTCCTTCCTCCTCGCCCTCCTCGTCTTCAACGCGCCCTCGAAATTCCGTAGGCCGTCCGCACCGACGACACCGCTGAGATCGGCTTCGACGAAGACGACGTCAGCGCCTTCGGGCATGTGGCTCAGGTACTTGCATCGTTTGCGGAGATCGTCGTTGACTGAGCCTTCGGCGAAGGACTCGACGCGGACGGTTATCGAGTCGGGGAAGGAGGCGTAGCCGTTGAAGTGCGCGTTGAGGATCTTGATGTCGAGCGGGTGGAGGAAGATCGGCATGCCGGACGCGGCTTGGTAGTAGTAATACGTCGAGGTCGAGGGAGGAGGTGGATTCAAATTCCTACGTTGACGTGGATTACGCTGGGATTGGGATTGGGGTTGCGATTGAGGGGACTGAGGAAACTGAGTCGGAGCAGAGATATCGACAGCAGGGACTGTGTTGAAGGGTGATGCGCGTGTGGCCAGATACGCCTGCGGGACTTCTGACGCGTCGGGATTAGTGACCACGGCGGCAGCCTCTTGCTCGAGTTTCCTCCGCATATTATGGTGAGAAACCCGAGCTTCAATATCATGCTGCACCTGGACAGCTCTGTCGATCGAGTTCCTCAACACGTCCGTATCGAGGGCGGTAGCCTTTGCGACCTGTACCTGTACCTTCGATTCCGCCGCCTCAATGAACATCAGACTCAGATTATCTCCCAAGGATGCTAGCATTCTGCGCTCGACTGCCAAGTCATCTAGATCGCGAGTCAGATTCTCAACGAGATAGGTAGGCGAGGCGAGCATGAACTTGGAGTAGGTGTAGACATCCGGAAGGAAGTGGAATGGAGCCTGATGAGGTGGTAATAAATCCGAAGGCCAGGTGGGCGAGCGTGGGAGGGCCAATGTCGTTATCTGAGGCCTCTGCATGAGGCGCATGCGAAGAGTAGAACCGTTCAGACCACGGCCATTATCGGGAGAGGACGATGAGGAAGAAGCCTCGGGATGGGGCTCGTCAGCTTCGTCTTCGTATTGTGAGGGTCCATCGAACCAGTGTACGCTCTTGAGTTGCTTCTCGTTGACGGTATCAAAACAGATGGGGCATCGGATCCACTTTGGGTTGGCCGACGTGCTGAAATAATGTAGAATACAGGGGAAGCAGAACACCTGATAGATGGGGAGATTATGATGAGGATAGGGTAAAGGGGTTGGATATAAACAGAACAAGACTGACATGACCGCATTTCGTCATTCTGGGTGCGGTGGGCGGTGAGAGGCAGATGGGACAAGTGGTGTGTCCCTCGGCCTGTTGAGAGAGTGAATGCTCGCCGCCTGCAGCAGATGCAAATGCCGATTTGCGAGGAATGATGATTTGTAAGATATCGTGCCATTGAAAGTAGCTGAAGGTGGAGGACCGGCGTCATGAATATCGCAAACTTCAAGAGCAGGTACAGAAGACTCACATGTCCGGATCAGCAAAGTGTACAGTGTAGTCCCCGTTGGGATTCATAACAAATCTATATTGTGCGTTAACGAACCCTGAGATGTGTGAGACATGGTATCAGTATATCGGGTATGGGGTGACATTCATGTATGATATTGAGAGCATCGACTCACGCTCCTTATTCCAGACAGCCTGGTTGGTGCCATGTCTTCTGCTCCTCCTGGGTAGACTCTGCAGCTGGTGAGTCTGCCTGGGAGGAAGAGAGAAGTTAAGGAGATGATTGAGCGACTGCGACGAAGCCGTCTTGGATGGACGTTTCGGAGTCGATGGTGCAGTTTGCTGACCAACACCGCGTGTGGTCATTGAGACCAGAAAATAAGCAGATAATAAGTGAAGGGCTGTTGTGAGCTTTGGTGGGCTTCCCGAGTAGAGGGAAGTCGACCACCAAGAGATGCAGAGAGTGCGAGCCGACCCGCAAGCCATGACTCAATGGCTACCGCGCACGTGCTCCGATCCCGAAACACAGCACTTTATTCAACACGTTCGCTTTTCAACGATACGTCCTATACTCGTACTACTAAACTACGATGGCGAAGGGCAAAAGCGCCAATCCAGCCGATGCCTTCCGTGCGTTATTTTTCCCCCTGTTTATGTGCGGAAACTGACTTGTCTTCAGGCAAAGCACAACGGAAGAAGGAGCTGAAGAAGGTGCGTGCACGCCCAAGCTGTTGTAGGCCCGACATCATGTAAATAATCTCATTTTCTATCCAGTAGAACAAGGCAGGACGTGCCAAAGCTCGCGATTTTTCCCTTGTCAAAAAGGACACCAGAGGTGCGTCAGCCGTACACCTCGGAATCACGTCACTGACTCGTTCATATCCCCGCCTCCTCTTCCGCTAGATATCGAGAATGAAATACAAACATTATCCTCGAACCCTGCGCTTTCTGCAGCCGAGAAGCAGAGGCTGAAGGATCTTCAGGCCGAACTGGAGAAGGTCAACCAGAAGAAAGAAGAGTATGTCGCTGAACATCCAGAGCATCGCAAGCTCGTGTTTCGCGCCCGCAAGCCCAAGACGGATCAAGAAGGTGATGGCGATGGCGAGAAGGAGCTTCCAGTGGACAGGACGAGGAAGCTGTTCGACAAGAATGGCCTACCTATCCATCCCGAGCGTAGTATTTACTATGACCCTGTCATGAATCCATTCGGTGTTCCTCCTCCCGGAATGCCATATATCGAACGACGTACGTCTCGTACCGCCCCCTTTACTCCTAGTATGTATTCTGACCTTTATTTTCTGTGTTCTTTCAGCGTTGAGGCCGGACGAGATGGAGCAACCTCAGGAAGAGGAGGGTACGAGTAATTTCGCAACGTTTTTTTTTTACTTTACAGCACTGATGCTCATGCCCATACAGAAGGTTCCGACGACGATATTGCAATGCCAGATGGTCCGCCTCCAGGAGAAAATCTCAAGCAAGAAGAGGAAGAAGATAGTGACGACGACATTCCGATGCCAGAAGGCCCACCTCCGCCGAAACCTGGTGATCGTAAGTCCACCGCACAATATTGGTCTACGTTAATTGACAATATTCATTATACTGTATCAGTTATTCCACCACCACCCTTACATCTCCCTCAACCACCGTTTCCTCCACCGCCTGGTCTATCATCGCCGTCAGGGCACCCTTTCCTACCACCTTTCCCTCCAACGATGCCTCCATCCCCTTTCCCTCCAAACTCGATGCCACCATCTTCCGGCCTGCCTCCTTTACCAGCAGGGTTCCCTGTTCCGCCACCGCCACCAGGTTTTGCGCCATCAAGCTCCGCAATTTCACCTCCACCGCCCGGACTTCCTCCCCTTCCTGCTGGTTTCCCTCCACCTCCAACCCATGGATTTCCTCCTCCCCCTCCTCCTCCCCCAGTTAATATGCTTCCTCCAGGTTCTCTCCCTCCCCCTCCTTTTGGCCACCCGCCGTTCCCTCCAGGTCCTCCGGCGGGATTTTCTCCGTCCTTCCCCGCGCCTCCCCCAGGATTCTTCCCTCGGCGCCACCAATCGAACACAGGAGCCATGCAGGATCCTCTCTCCTCGGTCCCGCATCAGACTTTCCAAGCTCACAGAGCTGCTCGCAATGCGCCTCCACTCCCACTGCCTGCACACATGCAGCCGGACCGCCCAAGCCACTCACAATCTGGTGGTGCAACGATCTCCGCGGAACCTCAGCTCCGCGATCTGAAGAAGGAAAGCACTGCGTTCGTTCCTACCTCCGTCAAACGTAAAAAAGGTCAAGCCGCCGGTGCTGCTGCTGCTGGTACTGGTAGTGCTACCTCCGCCGTAGGGAAGATTAATGCTGCGCCGAGCACTGGTGACGATGACGACGGGAATGCACCCACGGGGGCGAAGAGACCGGATCTCATGAGTACATTGAGAGAACAGCTGAAACTGTCACCTGTGGTTGGAGGGGAGAGCACGAAGCCTGCCGATGCGAAACCGAAGGGTGACTATGAGAAATTTGTGGAGGAGATGGGCGATATTTTGGGTTAAGGTACAGAGTGAACCAGTCGATGGGCCGTCTACGTTATCAGGCGTACGCAATTTTCTGACGTTGGTGGTCGTCGTCGTTCCGCTACATTCAGTACTGCATTGTCGCATGTAACCTCACTGCTATACGTGTGGTAGCGCCGTATTTACTCCTTTCTCTTTATGGACTACGATGAACGAAAGTCAACGGTATGAACACCGTTGGGTTCCAAGGCCCTGGCAATTATGCTCGTAGGATCTTCTGTCGCGAAGATATTTGGTTTCCGCTTCACTACTGGTGGAGGAGGGAAGATATCTGAAAATAACTCTCGGTCATGCACAAGAAGTTCTCCTCAGACCGAGGCCATGAACGTCTCGCCCATCCGTCTTCCGTATAGTCCAACCACACTGCACACGAACACGTATTGGCTTTACGCTCAAGTGCCCTGGGACTGGTAAGCCAGGAGTCCTCTGGGAATATACTTGCGACGTTGCACGCCACAACTCTAATGAGGAAACCCTCCCTCTCATCATAGTGCGCGGATTTCAAATGGACACAACGGATCTGACGATTTTAGGTTGTGCTAACCAGGACGGGTATGTGTGAGAAGGACATACGTAAGAAGAAGACGCCAATGTTGTACTCCTAGGTCTCGTTCCAGTCCTGATAATATGCACCTTTCTGTCTCGGACATGCCCAATTCCTCTCTTCGTTTGTGACCGACTCGTCCTCAAAACCTCGCCTGCTGGAGTAGTTGCTTCACCTCTTGCTTTTCCTTCGTCCCTGCCCTCCTCGACGTTCTTGCCAGGTGAGAACACGGGGATCATACAACAGCGGACGTATGAAGGCGACTTGAAAAAGGCTCAGTATGGCGGTATCTATGCATAGTGCAAAACTTGTTGGCCTGATACTGGAGGGTATGGTGTATGGTGTGCTCGACTTTCCGTCCTTGCTGAAGCTTGTGACCTGATCACCGTTTGAATCTGTGCGCAGGATGCCTTTTTACCCTGTTTGTTATTGTCTTGATAGTCCAAGCACGGTCTGGACGTCGATTCGAGCTCGCACAGTATAATTGCATACTCATGTTCGCTCTTGCCACAGTCGTCAGTCATTTCACCCTGCTTAATCTTGAGAGTCAGCGTCACTGATTGCGTTTCTGCTCCTGTCCAGCATCTAGTCCTGGACTCTATCCGGGCGTACAATACCTTCATTCGTAAAGACCAATCTATACACAACGTCGACAACTTCCAAGACCCGTTCTCATATGTACGGATTGGGATCTTTTGGTGGATGGTGCGTGTCCAATTTTTTTTGCTGAGTTTACAGCAGGATGACCGGAATGTGTATTGTCATAACGAACAGACTTTGACGTGTGATGCCGTCTTGGTGAGTTCCTTAGGCGCTAATTAAACTAGGCGTATCCTAACGTGCCATACGCCGTCTACGATGAACGGCAGATCGTAAGGTGCTGGGTACTGTATAGAGGACGCAGGAAGATAGTCATTCCAGCGGTACTCGGTTTTATAGGCGACCTCGGTTTGTCGTTCATCTTTGCAACACATAAGTTTGAAATCTTGAGGTCGCTCATTTATAGCCTCCAGTATCTTTGGTAGGCATTGCCAGAGTTTGGAGCCAAGTCGACGTCGAATACTGGACCGAATCATTACAGAAATGGTCCATATGTTACTTCATCCTGACATTATGCACAAACTTTTACTCGACAGGTAATTGGCATCCCTCCTGTTCCACCCTGAATATTCGTTATCATCGACTAAATCGGACTTAATTATTGCCTCACCCCACAGTGGCAATCTCCTGGTGGTGTTTCTCTAGTGGACGACGGATAACACCTCGCATGAGGATCCAGGTCGTGCTACCTGTGTTGTTCGTTGTTGTGGAGAGCGGCGCTATATACACCATGGGCATGCTTTCTACCATCATAGCCCATGCAGCCGACTCGAACTCTATGTTCGCCGTCCTAGACTTTATGCCATCGCTCATAGTGCGTTCTCGACATTCTTACCATGGGAAATGATTGATTGAATAGAAACACTTTTGCATTGTGTAGGCTTTAAGCTATACACTGATTGTGCTCCAGCTCAAACTACGAGCGCAACCCGACCTTCTCGTTCCGGACACACGACATTCCTCGGAGCACGAGGCGAGTAGACATCTATATTCTTGAGAGGAGCACATGTATCCTGAATGTATGATCAATAAAGAACTGACCAACACCACATCTAACCAGGTCGGCGATATCTCTACCAGAGTGACGGAGACAGATACCACACATACGCACCAGCATTCACAACAACATCGAGAAGCGATCTCTTTCATTCTCCCTGCCAAGCATGATGGTGCCGTGTAGCCTTCTCTCACCACCTATGGTGCAAACGGCTTAGACGCCGCCACTTCTGTACACAACGTTGAGGACGGTGCCGCGGGCCGAGATTTGAGAATTTTCACTATCCCTCTTCCAGAAACACTCCTTTTGATGTAAGGAAGAGTTCCTCTAGAGGGATTATCCAAATTCTCAAAACTGGCAAAGATGAACTTTTGGATTTGGCCACCCCGCCAAATAATAATATTTAATTCATTTGTTTATTATTTTCCGAAAACCAAGGGGGGTGCCAGGAATTTTCTTTCAATAAATGGGGATTTCGACTTTCGCCGACGAAATTGGCCGCTGTACAAAAGTGGTGATGACTAAGCCGTTTGCACCATATGTAGCTGGTTCGGGACGTAAACATCCGCGTTCTTATATCGTCTTTCCTTGGCAGTGTTGCTGCTCGAACTCGTGTGAAGTGATCGATCCGCGGAGTGAACATAAAATTGGCTGGTCCTAAGAAGATTCAACAACCCGAACGAGTTTATGGTAGCGTCCATGAGAGTGTTGGAAACGAGGGAGCGGGACATTTCCAAACTACGTCTCGTAAAAATATAACCGGACGTCACGACATGAGTGGCCCTTCGAAGCTCAGGACCCATCAATGCCATTTTCACGTCCGTTAGTCAACGCGTATATCTCCCAGTGGGCCCTTCGATGAAACCAGCTTCCGTCTGAGACGATAATAGGCGTTGTCAGGGGGTCAATGGATGATACAATCGCAAGGAGTCCTGCTGAGGATAGGACTTCTTGTCGGACATTGCCAGGCGCCACCCCTAAATGTTATGCTTTTTAAAACCAAATATCATATAATACTGCAATTTTCGTATACTGCAATCAACTACATAAGAAACGTGTGGATTGCTGTGAGTCCGAACAAACAAGAACATCAGGTGTAACGATAATCGTATCGAAAAACACAAGGTGGCACACTGCAGCCAACGTGAGTAAGTTTGAATTTTGCCACCCCGGAATTACCCGTGCTGAAGTTGCTTGTAATGGAACAGACGCTCGACACAAGGTTCTTCAAGAACGGTCCTCCAGAATGAGCCCGCTCCTGTTTTCGACCATCGAAGTCACTCGACAGGTCTTTCACCGTACGGCCTTGTCCTTTGCCATTGTGAACCTAAAACCCATAGTCCCTGGCCGTCAGTAACATTCTATATTGAGGAAGTTCGACCTCGTTTGCTGACATGTGGAGGTGTGTCTTTCATAAGATGTTCTTGTCTGTCCAATACGCCCGGTGCCTCGACTATCCGACCTTAATCCGACCGAACTTACATCGTTGATGATCTCCGTTCAACGCGTCGGTCGCGTAATCGAGCGTGAATACCACGCTGATGGACTTACTGTAGCATGTCAGGTTAGTCGTTCAGTCCTCGTCAACGATCTTATCAAACTCAACCCGATGCCCATCGAACCACAGGATGGCAGAGCAGCAGGTCAAACGATACCGCATGTACATTTTCACCTGCTGCCTCGCAAGTATGAAGGTGATGCTTTCGAGGGACGGAGCGATGATGTGTATCCTGCCCTCGAACGAGCCGAGGGTAGTCTTCCTAAAGACTTGACATCGGCATCGTCGGAGCAAAAGCCTGCACGATTCAAGGTTGATGCAGACGAAGATAGGAAACCAAGGACTATGGACGAGATGGAGAAAGAGGCTAAATGGTTGAGCTCGTTCTTCAACCCAGACGGGACTGCGAAGGAGTAGACCACCGGTTACCCCAGATTAATTTAGATGTCAATGTACGTTTGCATCATGGAATCCAGATAGTTACAATGTATTCATACGTATAAATCGTGCTAGAACCGCTATGATACAAAAATCGTTCAAATGACATGTGTTCGTGACGAGTGCTCGTGACGAGATCTGGAGTATTTGAGGAACGACAAAAAGTTGTGCGAGCGAGGCCCAATGCTAAACGCTGTGAGCCTGCACAAGGATCACTGCGTGATGAACTGAGATCCTGAGTGAGTGGTGATTCTTCAGGTCATCGTACCAAAGAAGAACTTACAGTCTCTGCTGCAGCGTCTGACACGTCAGATTTACCGCCCTGCCGCTTCGCCTCCGAGTTCCCAATCAAGCTCATTTTTGGACCATGCGAGCTCAGTTCTTCCCAAAAGCGCGGGTTACCTGGATCAGCCAGGCATGTTTCCTTGAGTTCTTGCAAGTAGCTAGGGAAGAGTCATCGTCCATCAGCTCCTCAAGTTGTGTGCAGGTATCAAAGTAACTCACCTATTCCAGACCTCGATCTCGTCCTCCTGCAGGCAGACTTCCCTCAACTCCGTCAAGCACTCCATCATCTCGCTATACCTTCGCTTCGCAAAAGGCTTCATCACGATCTCACGCACAGCCCAGCCGAGATCCTCAACGGCCTTGCTCACCATGTCTCCACGGGAGATATTCTTTCTGAAGTCTTTTAGAGGTGCTGTGGTACCGACGATACGACCCGGCTCGAGTCTATCGTCAGCCTCTGGAGAAGGTGTGGGCAGCTTCCTTCTAGGACTTCTGGCAGACTCAGGCTTCCCATTCTTGACGTTCAATGGTGCTACTGGAGCTGCAGACTTGCGATTGAGCAATAGCTCTGCATCCTCATCGGATTCTGGTTCTGTGATGCTACCGTCATTGTCGTGGTCGTTTTTGCCAAGCTGTAGACGCTGAATGCCGCCGTTACTCTGCGACTGTGACTGTAACCTCGATGACCCGGCCTGCGATCTTGACTGGTCTTGTGTGGCCCTAAATTGAGATTGTGTTTGCGATTTAGAGGATGGACGCGGGGGTTGATCGAGAAGTAGGGGTTCGTCGTCGTCGTCGTGAGCGTGAACGTGTTCGTCCTTGCGCGCCCTTGGGGCCCTTTTTGGAACTGTAGCTCCAATTAGCCAAGGCTCCTGGAGAAACCGAGCGGAAAGCGTGGGATGAAACGAACCTTCTTTCACATTGAACGCGGTCTTGCATTCCTCGATGGCTGACCCAGCCTTCTTAAGAACACGTTGGGGTGTCTCGAAGTATTTGAGGAGTTCGGGGTGAGGTGGGGGTAAAGGGTGTGTCATAAGGTCTGGAACGACTGCGCTATGGAATAACGCTTGCTTCGTGCGATGTATAGCAGGGTTATACGATAGCCTCGGGTCAAACCACGGTTCCCTTTCGCTAGATGGCCCAAGCTTATGTCAAGAATATGGTTAGACTCGAGTAAGAATACATACCCTGCCTCATTCTTCTCTCCTGCATTCATCAAGTCGAGTGCATCTACGAAGTTATCCATCGCGTCCAATTGATCTTCAGTGGGGATGTACGGGTGCTTTGTAACCCGATCGCCACGCTTGTTCGTGAGGTATTCGAGGGGTGCGAAGTTGTATTTTCGTACATCATCTGCAAAAGGCATCTACGAAAACCATACATACATATGAGGAGACTATATAGAGACGAAGCTCTCTGGACGTACCTGCACCCACAAGAAATAGTCGACCTTCTCAGATCGACACGGTTGCAAGACACCCATCTTAGGGTCTGACCCGTCCTTGTTACACCAACGGGCGATAGCAAAGTAAGGATAATGCGATTTATCTTTCTTCTTTGGGTCATGCTTGTCGGCGCTCAGCATGGCTTGGATGATGGATGACATCGCAACCTGTTGATTAGGAGAAGATGGATCTGCCCAGATATATTGAACTTCGCCCATAGCGAGTTCTGGACGAAACTATAACAAAAGGAAGAGGGGATGGGAAAGTCAGCGGGAAGTCAAGAACGACGAAAAGATCGATTATACCGCGACAGACTTGAAGAAAGCACATATCTCAATTCCCCTCTTCGTCTCTAGGCGTTCAAATTGGCCGTCGGGACATGGCACATAACTACTCCCGTACTTGAACCCTCTCACTAATTCCTCCTTCTCTATTCGCTGGGAGAGGTCCACTGGGGGTTGTGTAGTCTTCTGCTCGTCATCGTCCTTGTCGACATCCATTGCGTCTTTGTCCTCTTCTTCTTCGTCTTCTGGGTCCTTTGGGAGAACATACTCAGTTCGCATCTGGAGTTCAACCCAGACTTTGTCCTCATCGTCATCAGGCTGTGGTGGTGGTGGGGGCGTCCCGTCGTCCTCTTCCTCTTCCTCCTTTCTTAGGCCGAAGCGTTTCCATGACTTTGGTCGGGCTAGTGCGGTGCATTTACTGGCCTTGACAGAGATTTCGAGGGAGTCGAGAGGGTAATTCTCTACATCCCCTAGACGAAGAATAGTGCCCAGGAGAGCAGATTTGACCTGCTTCACTTCTGGTCGAGTGATTTCTTGCAGAGCATATTCAAGGTTGCCCATGTAGCAGTTATCTGGAAGCTTGGACATAAACTTCCGATAGAACTTCTCATTCTCGCTCTATGGAAAGCAAAAGACCTCGTGAGCCCGAAGAATGTGAGATGTAAAATAGCCACAAACCTTCATCTCCGACTTGTCCTCTTGCTCGTATTCGAATTCTTCGTCATCAAATTCCACTCCGCTGGATAATATTGAGCATAGGGCGTATGCGTTGGGAAGACCACCTACATGATATTGAAATGAATGCCTAAGTCGTCCACTTTGCTGGCAATGTCTTCCCAATCTTGTATTTCAATCGGACCTTCCCCGTTAGTTAAAAGGACCATCTTGCGTGTCCATGTTTTCTTGCTAGCAAGGTAAACGCTTTGAGCTTCGATGGCCACAATAAGGCCGTCGATAGCTGTTGAAAATGTATGTCGTTAGATTGGATCAGTCGAGGAACAAAAGGTGATTACTACATACGATCCCCTGTGGTCTCAGAAGGCTGCAGAGCAGCGAGCTTTGCCATGGTGACTCCGTTCGGTTGGCCAACAGGAATATACTCAGTAACGTTTTCGTAGTCACCCCGTTTATCGTTCAGGGCATTTCGCGTTCCTTGGGCAAATGTTCGGTCAATGAATTCCTGCAGAAAGATACGTCGACATACCATCCGTGCCGAAGAGAATTACGCCACATTGATCCGTTTTCCTGCCATTGAATATCTGCATAAAGAGTGTAAGAGTCGTGCCAGAGCCTGCCAAAAAAACATCGTACCATCTCCTCCACCTTCATCATCACGAACTGAAGGGCCCATTCCAGGTGAGTGATCTCGAGGGTGACACCGTCCGGCAGTTCGATGCTGCGAGTGGCACCCATGTGTGGAGACACATCCACGACAAACATAGTGACCGTGTACTATAGTCAAACTGTAAGTTGAGATTCCAAAGAGTGAATGAGTTACTGACCCCTGCACGTTCTGCTGGCATGACTGCTAAAGGAGAGCCTCGAGACGATAGGATGGAGGTCAAGACAGAGTCGACGCGCTCTGTTGGCAAATGACGCGCCGACGCGACTTGAGTCACGTTGATGCCTGCGCACGTGGGCACGAGGACCCCGACAACCCACAATACTTATCTTCGAATTTCTTGATCCGACTTTCTTTGTCTTCGGAATGTAGAGAACTTGTGCCCCAGTGTTGTCCGTCCATCCCATTCACAACATGTATCAGATATGATCGTGAGTCGACAAAGAATATGCCACTATGCTCTTTATGACGGACATATACTTAGGTCGATCAAAGCAACGACCGTATTATCCAGGGCAATTTATGGCCAGTGTACCAAGTAGAAGCTTCGGTGGGATGGTCGAAATACTGCGCCCGGCTTACTGTGTTATAAGTTATAAGTATTACTCGGTAAGTATGCGATAACCGCCCGAGGACAATTATGACTGGACACAAGATTATACGGTGTATTCGTGTCGTGTCTCAACATCTACGCAGTTCGCCACATATCGTAGGCGAGGATCCCGAATGCCACGACGATGCCCCCAGCCCCCAACAAACTCCAGGTCGTAATGAGATCCGCCGCACCGCCAATGAGGATGTCCCACGCGTAGACGAGTACGATCGTGAGCAGATTCCCGACGGATGTGATGATGGGCCCCCATACTCCTAGCAGGATCTATCGATACATCATGGGTCAGCATCAAGACCCAGTAGCTGTGGCTCCGGAGTGAGCGGAACTGGCAGAGGGAAACGTACCATAAATCCAGAATTAAAAGCGACGCCTGTGATGCCTATGCCCAAGACTGACAACGCGATATGTAACGTATTCGGAAACCTGAATGGTTCCGCTCCCATAAAATGAAGTATGGGTATGAATATCCACAAGACCGAGAATGTCACGATCCCAATCGCCGACGTCAAGAAGTTCGCATGGAACCCAAATGGCGGTGGGTAAACAGCATCGTGGTGAACCTCCGGGCTATCTAAGTCGTCATCCCCCTCCCCTTCCTCTTCTACTCCATCAACCGTGAACAACGTGTCCCGAGATGTGGCGCTGGCCCTGGAAGGATGTGCATAGACTCCCCTACCACCACCACCAACGCTTGGTTCGGGCTCAAACTCTGGGTCAGACGGGAGTGCGGCGTGACGCTTGTAGAGGACTTGATAGAGACCGTAGCCGACTGAAGCGACCAAGGTCAGCAGATCGCCCATGAGTGGCCATGTATAGGCACTAGTCGTGCTTGGTGAGCTGGGGTTTCCTGCTTCAGGTGCCATTTCGGTAGAATCCTGTATGCCACCGTAAACGACGGCGAGGACACCAATTGTAGCAAGCAGGACTGCGGCGAGTTTGCGGAACTCCCAGGGGAGTTTGAAGAGGTGGACAGTGATGAGGTAGGCGAAGAATGCGTTTGTATTCCAGATGGCAGTCACATCGGCCACCCTGATAAATGGAGCGAAGTCAGACATGGGCCACAATATCAAGTACACGAAGAGCAGAGGACTAACGGTGCCATCGATACTGCCGCAAACCACATGAGAGCAGGAATGGTGACTCCCAAGGTCATAAGGAAGACCAGTCGGACGAATTTGAAGGTAGGAAAAGGAGTTCGTGATAGAGGTGTACCACTTCTTCGGCTGGGAGGCTCCAAGTGCTTCGTGATTGCGATCCTCAGTCCGTTCAAGAGCCGTCTATGAGAGTGGCCCGTCCATACAACAAGATAGAGTAGATGCAGAGGGAATATTATGCTGAATGATGAATGGGCGACGAAGCTGCGTTGAGGGTATTCTTAGCTGAGTAGCCTTTGTGATACAACACGCGACAGGGAAGCTCACAACAACAGAAAAGGTTGCTGAGTTTGATTAGACACAGGAAACAGACTTCGAGAACTTGGAAAAACTCACACGAAATCCGAGGCTGCTTTGAACGTACTGTCAAGAGAGCGGAGATGAGTGGCATGCCTAAAGCACGAGGTGTCGGGGTACGTACTCCCGTCAGCTCGCTCTCGGCCACGAAAGCCACAAGGGTGAACGCAAAGACCAGGATGGCGGTTACACCACCTAGATGAGGGGTAGCTCTCGAGTCTTCATGGGCTCTTGTCATGTCGATACTAGCTTGGAAGAGGGGGATGCAGTCTGAACTGAGGTCCTCCAAGAGTACTTTCGAGACGACTAGAACGAACCCCTGAAGATCTGATAGATAATAAGGAAGGGCAAGGCAGATAAGACGAAGATGTACTAGGTGAGCATTGCCGAGGCAAATGAATAGATAGGGAAGCGGATGGCCTTGAGCGTCGTCGAGTGTAATGCGGGGGACGACCTGCAGCGAATGATTACGGTCATCTCGGCATAACCCGACGACGTCCGTTCAAGTTTCGTTCTCCCCAACTCCTCACAAGCAGTCGCAGGCACTCACCTTCAAACGGTCAAAAGTCCAAAATGCTTCGCGCAATGCTGACCTCGAGCAGGCCCTTGCTCACCCGTCTACGAGCACCACAAACGGCCCTCCAATTGAACGCCTGCTCCCACCCACACCACCACCCTTCAACCCCCTCATCATCACTCGTTTTCGCCCGAGGCATGAAAGTCCGGTCATCCGTCAAGAAACTTTGCGATAGTTGTCATATTGTCCTCAGGAAGGGGAGGGTGTACGTTATTTGCTCAGTGAATCCAAGACATAAGCAGGTGCGTTGGACTAGCTCTCAGAGCTGAAATAGCATACTCATGTTTGACACAGCGCCAGGGATAGATGTTGCCAGAGCTTGTTGCTTGTTCTCAGGAATTAAAATTCACCAGTTTCTGTCATAAATCGTGACCGATTGAGCAACTACACCTTTCGAGACGACCACCGCGTTTTGGCCATCATCTCTTCATAAGATGATTGTTCTCGTCCAAGACGTTGTTCTGTTTCACCTAGAGCGGCGGACCTGCTCAACCTGCTGTCGTGACAACTTTCCCGGCTGAGATCAGGGACTCAATCGCTGCATGGTACTGCTCTCCGCTTTCAGCCATCAATGTGCCACGGTTCTCATTCCATACAAGGTAAGGAACCAGCTTTGTGTCAAGCCTTTGAGCCACTTCTCGTTGTTTCCTTTCGCCAACAGGGCACGCGCAGCACTCAGCACCGATCCTCAAGGCCTGGGAGCATTGCCTGGTAGGGCATCTCAGTCCAACCCTGCTGCTATAATTAGTTCTCCCACTGCTTTGTGTCCTCGATTCTGGTTTGCCTTCCTCGATCTACATTCATGGCACGCTATCGCGAGTGGCAACGCTTTGGGTGCCAATGATGTGTCAATGTCCTTTCATTGGATACAAAGGGCACTCTAAAGCTTATAAGAGCTCGCTCGACAGCTCACTGTCTGCAACCAGCTTCTCTCCGACGGACTTCAAACAACCTCTCGAGCAAGCATCGTCGACCACTCTAAGCCACACCGCAATGCCAAACTTCCTCCGCTCTAAAGATTCCTCTTCCTCTCTTGGGTCTGCCGTCTCGTCCAAAACCCTCGCGTCCACCACAAACTCGTCCATCAAATCTCCCTCCTCCTACATCTCTCACTCCACCGTTTTCTCTCTTGCGCCCTCCACCACCGTCGTCCCTTCCTCCAGGTCTTCGAACTCCTCTCTCAAATCCTACTCATCCAGCTCGACCGTCCGCGTCAAATCACCTCCTCCCTCCAACTCGGCAACCTCCAAGCCCGCATTCTCATCCTCTTCCTTCTCCCCTTACCTCTCCCACTCGAACGCACACTCGACCGCCCAATTCGCCGCCTCCACCGCTTCGTTCAACCTCAGTCCCCCTGTTCTCCCGACCTACCACCCCACGAGTCTCAACGAAAAGTGGCACTATACGTTCAAGAAGGGCGACCAGGTGTGGGTCAACAGAAATTACAGCTGGAGATTGGGCACGGTCTGTGAGGATGGGAGCGAGGAGATCGTTGAAGTAAGTCAACTCACTTCCACACTTCATTGACCATCCTGTCTTCGAATTGGGGAAACTGACGATCGTGTATGTTTGCAGGGCCGTAGGATGATGACCTACACTGTGACGTGGCAGAGAGGTGGGTTCACGATGCGAGGGGCGTTTGCGCCCGCGGAGGGTAACATGAAGCCCAACACCGAGTGGATCAGGCGGTTACTCATAGACGAGAGGGCGAAGATCATGGTTGTGGATGAGATGCCGAGGAACGCTGAGTTCGAGACCCGCTCGATTCTGGATTGAACGGGACGTGGCATGGGTTAGGGAGTGGAGCGTCTCGGTTCGTTGGTCACCGGTATCGTTAGTGAAAGGGGGTGTCACTCAGCAATCAGAGTAAGTATCGCGTCTTTCTTCCTCTCATTCACACTCTCGTTAGAACCAAGTACTATCCGCATCATAAAACCAAGTCGTACAGATATACATGTGAACATATGTTTTTAGGATTTTGTCGATAAGTAATAGAGTCATGTCTAACGCACAAAGGCGATCGACGGTCGTAACCGTCCGTAAAAAAGTATCAAACCAACAAACAACAGTAAGGAGCATCCATCCTACAACAAAACTAACAAAACAACAAACAAACACTGGCGCAATCAGAGAAAACGCAGAAGTATCGTGAAACTGGAGAGAAGAGGAAGACGTCAGGGAGATGCAGACAGCCCTTGTGGCCCAACGGGTAAGGTGAGACCAGCACCATTACACCTCGTATCCAAGAAGCCCACCGACCTGAAACCCTCATTCCACTACCTCCCTTACGAAGACCTCCAGTGTACCATCACTGCTCACACCACCAGGAACCACTAACAACAATGCCCCCTCCGAATCCTCCAGCTGCTCGGCCACCAGATCCAATCTCTCACGAGCTTCCCCAGCGAACAACTCAACCTCATACGTCTTCGCGCCACCGCTCGACTCCTTTCCAGATAGGTGATCACCAGCAGTGTTAGCTCGAGACAAGAATATGAGAGAAATCGCGCCTTGAGATACAAGGAAAGAGAGAGATGCGTGGGCCACCGGTGGCACCGCCGCGTCTGCTAGGACCGTCTGTTCCTCTTCACCGATGACCACGGGAAGCCCATACTTCGTCTCGGGCTCCAACTCTGGACCGCGAGAAATATCGGGAGCTGGAGTAGATGATTCGACAACGAGCTTCGTCTCGTCCGAGGTCTGGATGCCATCCTGGGGATGTTCTACCTCCTCCGCACTGATCGCAGGGCTCTCCTCCAGCTTCTCCCCAACCGAACCATATCCAATGGGATCAGTCGACTTCGACTCAGTCAAGAGCGAAGTCTCCTCGTTCACGACATTTGCATCTGGCTCATGGACGATACCCGATTGCGCCTGCGGGGGAGGAACCGACACGACATGCAGAATCCGCCCCAGAACAAGAATTCTGCAAAATACAAGCATACGCATGAACAGAAGGGCGATATGTTGCAGAGGCGGAGGAGTCGGCCCCTTCAAGGTCTCTTCGCTGTGATGGGTGTGGGGTTCACCATGCTCGGACGCGGGGGCAGAGTTGGATGTCTGCGAATGATAGTCCAGAGGAGGATGCTCTGATTCGGAGTCGAAGGGTTCGCTGTCGGATTTGTCGCTCTCTGGGTCGTGAACAGGTTCATCCTTTGCCTTAGACACGAGAACTGACTCTGTCTCCGGTTCCCATTCCTCTCGCTCCACCTCCTGCTTGTCCTCTTCGGCTATCTCGGGCTGGGAGTCCAAAGTTGGCTGCGCCGGCTTGGGAGCTGGCAGAGCGATATGACGTGCAAGCAGGGATATACCCCAAGACGCAGATGATTCCGAATCGCAGACATGTACGGGGCTGAGGAGGCACTCTCCGCCCGACGGTCCAACATTGACCCTGACGGTCTGGCTTGCGGTGGCTGCGAAGTGCAAGAATTTCTTGGATGAAGAGGTGTAAAGGACGTGTCCTCCCGCAGACTCGTTGTCAATAAGGCCATCCAATGAGAAGTCGACCATGCGCGTTTCCGTGTGCAAAGACACAAAGAAGACGCGGGAGGGTGCTTGATTGGAGGTCGAAACGAGAGCAAATACTCGCTCGTCAGGGACTTCGAGCGAGCGAAGGTGGAGGGTCGAGAGAGACGAGGAAAGACAGCGAGCGAAAACATCGCTGCTGGCGGTCGAGATGTAGAACGGTATTGCGTGTGTGCAGGAGAGGCGACCAGTCGGCGAAAGAGTAAACGAGGATTCGGGAGAGGATGTCCAGAGCGCAATGGGTTCATGAAGAGCGAAGGTCGTGTGACTGAGGCGAGGAACGAGTATCAAGATGTTTGCTCCAGAGACCTGTCCTTGACAATGATACTTGACACTAAGGTCATCCAAACCGGTTAACATATGGAGTCGGATAACATTCAGTCTGCATGAAACGCACCTTTCGTCGCTGATAGCCCAGCATCCCCAGCCTCCTTCATGAGTGATTTGTCCGACATAGACATCCTCGACTCCCTCAGAAGAGCTGGAACTGCGATGCTCCAGTACTTGCACATCCTCCTCCACTGAGTCCTCTTCTTCCCACGCCGGGAAGATCTCCACCCATGGATTCTCCCTCCTCAACACACACACGACGTCGTGCCCCGGCGCTCCAAGCCACGTACAGTCCCCACCCGGATGCTCAAGCCTGTAGGTAATCGAAAAGCGAATATCGCGCTGACCATCCTCCATCGGGCGTAACTTGAGCTTCAGCTGCAAACCGACCATATCCGAAGGAACACGGGGATCGGTCTCCACATCTCGGATGTCCACCAAAGACAATTCTGCGACGCGGTCATCGCCAGATGCCACATTCGAAGACACGGTCTCCTGTTGAGAACCGCGCTGCTCGAAGGTATAGGCTGCCCACTCCCCAGACGCCCGCCCTTCGATGGGCGCATCGGTCCACGCCTGAATCCTCACCCCATCCCGCTGCAGCTGCTCGGCCTCTTCGGTTTTCAAGCGCGCATTGAGAAGCAGCTCGACGCTGCTCTGCTTGTGTGATGCGTTTGGTGAGATGGCGACATCGCAATGGGAACCAAGAGCGGGCGAGAAGGAAAGGCTCGGTGCTTGTCCCATGGTTAGATAGACGAAAGATCCCAAGAGCTTAGCTGCAGACGAGACGAGGTGAAGGGGGAAGGGGGAATTGATAGAGTGAGGGTGGAGTCTGAGGCGGGACGAGAGTGTCTGAAGACGAGGACGAGTACTCAGAGGGCTGGCAAACGCCTTGATCACAGGCGCAAGACAACCTGCAGGAGTACGTGCTCTTCCGGACGATAACCAGTTCTAGATTGTTCCACTCCGTGAAGCCGTATTCAGGATCAGGGAAAGGCGCTCAATGGAGTACGTAGTGAGAACGCTCCCGCTCTGGACAACTCGCGTCATCAGACGCACGCAGCTTGCGCCCGCTCTGAATGCGCTTTGCGTGAGGTCTGGCGGGACCAAGAGTGCCGTTACACTTTCATAGATCGCACTGATCAAGAGATATGAGCCTAGGAATCCGTGTTGCAAGAGGGTTGAGAACAAGGACGAATGCAATTCAAATCACGAAAGTCCGTGATCTTTCGCTCTCCGGAAGTGTGGCGTGTGTGGCCCACATAAGTCAGCATCTTCACCGAGTCTTCACCGTCGATATCCTCGTCCGCCACCTCTTCCACCCCGAGCTCTTTGTCCGTTGCCTCCACGACTTCCGCCACTACTATTATGCCTGCGTCCCCTACTCCGACCATGACCTCCCCCTCGCCCGCGACCGACCCGATACCGTGATCCCACATTCACGACTCCACCTTGAGAGTCATCTTCCGTGTCGCCCCCGCCATGGTCATGATCTTCGTCACTGCCTTCGTAATCCTCATCATGTTCTTCATAATCATCGGGAACGATGAATGAGTCGTCAGCCTCCAAATGCCGCGCCTGAGGGCCAGGAGCAACAGCGGGAGCGGGTGTGTTCGTCCTTGATCCCGACCGACTAGCAGAGTTCGAGGCAGGTTTCCTAGCCTTATGCCGAGATGGGGCTTTCTCCAATGCTGCCTTTTCCGTCTTCCAGTTCCTAAGTATGCCCATATTTGGATATGGGACATATCAGCTGCGGGTAACTGCAATTGATTTGTAGTGGTAGGCGGGGGAACTAGCTCACTCTCGACGCTCATTCCACTCTACCATCTTCTCTCCTCCTTCTAGCCAGTCTCGATCTCCACTCGCGGCGAGCGCGTTGATGTGTCTCTCGATAGTGTTGTCGAGCGAGATGTTCGGGATCATGGGGACCTGCTTGTTCAGTTTCGCCCTGCACATCGGGCATGTACGCTTTGTAGAAAGAAACACGGTATCAGCGACCGAGGTGCAGAGATGATGATCGAATACCTACGTTTTCCTTGATCCAGCCCATCCCACAGAGCCCACAGAATGAGTGGCCACAAGGATTACCTAGATGTGGCACGGAGCTGTGGCGAATCCCAACATTGTCAGTATGGAGCTCCACTAGCGTCGGCAAGCACGAGATACGCAAGCACGCACAAGAGATCAAAACAACTGTCCGAGACATCGACGGGCCATCAGCCCCGAACCCACGAATACGAAGAGGTATATCCGCAAAAAAAGGACTGACATCGGACAAGTCATATTATCCTCGAACCCTTGCAATAACGACCGTATCCTGCCTTGTGACCCTTGTGACAGCGGCATCTCTTTCTCTTTACCCTTACTGCGTTTCATAGGTAACGAAGACTGTGGACTGGAAGAATGTGCATCTGATGTCCGGGCACGTTTACGATATCGGCGCTCTGGCTGGTGTTCATGGGTGCTTGCGACGGTCTGGGTGGCTTCTTCTCGCCCCAGGTCGTTTGGGCGGTCCAGTGGTACGGATGAGTCTTTCTTAGGCGAAGAGGCCGATGCTGAGATGTCATAAGATTGCTATGTTAGACTTCAGGCATTGAAACAATGTGTAGGTGAGAGAAGATTGGGTGGACACGTACTTCGTGTCTTCGCGCCAGGAAGACGAGGACCGGGACTCGGAGGGCTAGCTTAGGATCATGAATCAAAACAAGACGAGTGAATTCCAGTGCGACCTACGTATTGAAGTAATAAGCATACCGTGGAAGAATCGAGAAGAGACAAGTCTCTGGTCTCCTGAGCAAACGACATTTCTTGAGTACTTTGTTGCTTCAGGAAGAAACAAAGGTTTAACGCACCCTGTGGTGGTGTTCTCGGCGCGAAGCGATCCACAAAGCTTGACGGTCTCGATGAACTCAAGCTTGACCCAGCCGCTGGTGGAGCAGAACCATCAACTGCGTCAATTCTTGTACTTGATGCTCCTGCTGTAATTACAGTAGCAGCAAGGTTCAGCTCTACGCGTTGATCATAAAGCCATTCTCTCGTCTCCTGCTAAATGCACGTACCTTCATGCTCTACCACTCGTTCAGCTCTGAATCCAGCTTCAAAAGCGTCCACCTCCTTCAAGAAGTCATCGTCGATGGAGTCAAACGAATAAGAGTATGAGCTCGAAGGCGTAGCAGCCCTCCCACCCTCTCCCACCCCCTCCTCGTCTCCTCCAGGTGTCTCAAGGACAGAGCCAGCATCAGGATCCCCACAGTTCATATCAACGTCAGAAATGTGGTGCGAATCCGTGTTATGGTCGGCGTCTGATATAATGGTAGTAGAGCTGAATGTTCTCGTGGGCTGGACAGTAGGTTGGGATGAGGATGGCATCGGAGGGCTGGACTGGGGAGGAACGGGAGGTACGGATTCGAGTCCTGCTATGTTCGCACTGTCCCAGTCAATATTGCCGAAAAGGTCGGGAAGAGCATCGAATTCGTCTTCGCTACAGGTGGATGGCATGTTTGATGAATGGTCTGAGTCTCGATACGAATCCTCTTAGTGATACTGCAATGCGACGAATTTGGGTGATAAAGCTGTTTTGAAAGTGTCAATACGGTGTTGTTGAAAAGTATATGGAAACGCACTTCTCGGCCTATCCGTAGTATCTTCAATGGCGTAGACCGTACTGAAAAAGTATCCTTCGCTGGGAAGGTTCACAATGCAATGTTCGACGCGACAAAGCGCGACATCCCCCTAAACGTATCGTGGGAATCTGATGTGCACAAATCACGGGATCGCGAGGACATCAAAATGTGATAGATTTAGAAATTAGCGCCACAGTGGCACTACCAAGTTCATCCAGGGCCACATCTGACATCACCTGTGCGTCTCGAACGATGTCGATGAGCACCGTCAAGATGCCGCAGCGCAAGAACAGGCAGCGATGGCGACTGTCATCACCAACCTGGTCCATATCTCTCGACAATCATTTACCGAGACATATCCCTGCCGAGGTCGGTCCAACTCAACGCCTTGATATCAAGATCACTACCGCTTGTATAGTCCATATCGCGCCAAGGCGGGGCTAACGCACCTCTGAAGCCTGCATCGCTCCAACTTCACCACCGACGGTGCCTGCCACGCCCTCAATTGTTTCGTTTGTACGTCGACGATAACAATCTGAACACCGTATGAATCTTCCCGAAGCCCGAAGACTCGCACGACGAGCCGGCCCCCTCAGTGATCATGAGCTCAAGTTGTGGAAGGATCTCTTGGCCTTGAGGCCGTCTGACTCTTGAGGTATTGAGGGATCTTCTGGATAGATTTTCTATTCCGCATAGTCGAATATGTAAGACTGACTTCATGCGATAGGTCGTGATTATCGTGACGCATGATGGCTTTGCACATAAATCCGCAGGCAGGCGCATAACTTGCATCTGAATCTCAGCGGCGTGCACGGTCGGTTGATCAGAGGCACCAAATTAAAAAAAAAATCCCATCCGAGTCCCGACCAAATGCACCTCGGCACTGAAAACACTCTGCGCTGGTGCACACCTGCACACGTCCACACACCTGCCAGTGGCCACCCCACATTCTTTTCGATCCGTGACGGGTGGCTTTATTCATGGAGGACGAATTAGGACATCTGTAAAATATCAATCACTGGCAGTGCCATGCTATCGTTATAGCGGTTCAAATCGAACGAGCGTCAAGGACCAGCGCCGTCTTATGCAGAACTGAGCAAGTAAGCGCGGGTCATTCAACATACTTACGGTACCTGATGGTAAGATGAGCATCGCTGAAACGCTGGAGGGCTGAGCTCGGGCGTCTGACATATTATGGTGCGGCACGCGGTCAAGAATGCATCACATTCATTATCGGTCAGTGCGAGTCGGGTTTGTGGCCGCAGGCGTTAAATACGAGTCTTACAAGGAGGCAAGCGCCAGACGAATAAAGAGAACTAAAATTGCGACTGAGAAGACGTGGGAACGTGAATGCGGATTGCGATGACGGAGTACAACATATTGCAGGCGGGTCATAAGGTAAGTAGTAACACAACATGAAACAGAAGGAACGCCCAAGCAAGAACAACCATGAAGTTTTATCCGGAAACAGCTGCGACAGAACTAGAAGAAGGCTGACTCGGGCCTCCGCGGATGGCTGAAGTGTACTCGGGGACGCCGTTCATGTGTGGGGCGGAGCGCTTGGACGAAGTCGACGAACTGGAGAGCTCCTCGCGGGAGGAGTGTGCAGAGAGGAGCGAGTCGATTGCCATTGCGCCCTGTGAGCGAGGCGAGTGGTCGGCGGAATCACTGCGGGTGGAGGAGTAAGAAGGGGAATGGAGCGATCGCGGAGAGGGGGCAGGGGAAGGGTTGCTTGCAGTTGATCGGTGCCCAGACGGAGGCGAGTGAGAGGTGCGAGATCGCTTGCTTGGGCGAGCGGCGGAGGTAGACGACTCTGGCGCTTCTCTCCGCATCCGAGGCGAGGAGTGAGCGGATGACGGCGGTGGGAAGGGCTGAAGGGGCGGGAGCGTGTTGGGGTGCGGATGAGAGTCCTCGAGGTAGGGAGCATTCCTGCTCTGTTGTCTCGGAGAGTCGGGCACGACTTGGTAATAGTCGAGCATGGTACGATGGAGGGCAGCGATTGAGGAGATTCTCTGTGGTGGAGAAGAGACGGCGGTTGTGTTAACTGAAAGGGAACGCCGTAGAAGAAGCATGACGAAGCCCACCTGGTCCTCGGCGCTCTTTGCGTTAAGCATGGCCATCAGCATCTCTCTGTCTCCGTCTCCGCGCGTGCGGTATGCGCTCAGGATCTCACGCAGAGTGGGTGGTGGTGGCTGGAACGGCTATCAGATACTCTAGTAGTGGTAAGGAAGGGCTTGGTACGAACCTGCTCAAGGACCTGCCAGGTGGCAGAGAGAAGGCCCTTGGGAGGGGCGGGTGGCGTAGAATGGGACGAGCGAGAACGGTAGTCCGGCTGGGGCGAGTAGTCGACGGAGGTCATTGTGGTGAAGGATGATGGGCAAAAGGGAAGAGGAGGAAAAGCAAGACATGACAGCACAGATTTATATTGATAGCTATGCGCTTGGGTCTTGGCGCTGAGGTATGCACAACTGTCGCGCCAATGGGGAAGAAGAGGTGATGTGCAGATGAGGACTGGCCAAGGAGGGCAGCACTCAGGTTTGGTATTTTTGGCCAGATGCCAAGCCCATCCCAACTATTTTTGGAGGCGCAGTCGTCTCCTCGGACCCTCAGCCAGACACAGCTTTCCCAGACACCAGTGCGGGCAACACGGCAGCCATTGTCATAGCACAGAGACCGCGAGAGGACACGAGAGCGGCACAGAGAGCGAAGAAAGCAGAGGCCACGCAAGAGCAAGCGAGGGTGGCGGAGGCAAACGCAGGCGCTGCGGAGCCGGTGCTCGGATTGGAACATGAATTGCTTGGCTTGGCATCGCTATTCTTAGCGGGCGCCGACCGCCGCGTATTATTGGTTGCGGTAGCCAGGCCCGTCTCTCCAGGCTGGCCAGCACTCGCTCTCGTCTCGCCGTCGTCCTCGACGGTCTCGAAAATAGGTTTATATCCATATATTTCCGTGCATCGTCCACGACGGCGCCACTCGTAAGTGCTATGGCTGATCCGATCTATTTCAGGACCTGCGCCCTCCTTGGGAATCAAGGAGCTCGCTTGGATAGCCTGCTTCCATCACATCATCTCTTTCCGTTCTAATCCTGTCTGCAGCACTACTCTCGAGCTTTTTCCGTAATGCTCAATACATCGCGGATCCCACTCGGTCCTTGGCTTGCTATATTTTTGGAGGACTGTACGCGAATCCATCTTTAGTGGCCCAAACGCGGCTTTCAGACGAGGCCTCGTCGCATCTCGTCGCCGCTACTTACAGCTTACGGTCCTATCCCAATCATATCCATCTATCTCGGGAGATGGTTGTGGTTATAGTTCCAGTGCTCGACTAGGATGTCGTTGTGTCTCAGCTTCTGCCCCAATTTGTACTCCATCGTGACATCAACACTACATCAGCTATGAATTCATAGCCCACTGCGAAGGCCAATATAGCCCCTGTTCCCAACTCGCACGGGCTCTCACGATACACAATATGTTCTCTAAATTACCCTCCCTCTCGCGCACATCGATACGCCCCCTGTCTTCTGCAGCCCGACCACTCTCGACTTCAGCTCGAAGGCTGGAGGCTTCTCCGTACGGCTCTCCAACCGCATTTCCGTTCCTTCCTGCAAACACCCTTGCCCAAAAGCCCAACCGGACGAAGGGCTTGACTGAGATCAGGGGGCCGTACTACTACCCTGTAACGAAGACCTACCTCGACGAACTCCTTTCCGATTATGGTGAATATGTCGATGGCGTCAAGTGGGCGGGCGGTAGCTTTTCGCTGTTGCCAGAGGACAGACTCCGAGCGTTGATTGACACAGCTCACAAGCACGGTGGGTAGTCTATTTCCTATTTTTGCTCGTTTCATATTTACATTCTGACCCGATATATTTGCACCGCTCTATTCCGGCTCGTTTCACTTGCATCTCCCGAACCTCGTCGTTCCACGTCACAGATTGCTATTGTAGCACCGGCGGCTATATCGAGCGCGTCTTGGCGAGTTCAGGAGGGAACAAGGACCTCGTCTCGAAATATCTTAGGAAATGCAAGGACGTAGGGTTCGACGTACTCGAAATCTCCTCTGGTTTCCTCTCCATCCCAACAGAAGACTGGGCCGAACTCGTCCAGATGGTCGCAGCTCATGGTCTCAAGCCTAAGCCTGAAGTCGGTATCCAGTGAGTATCGGTATCCGTTTCGCCACTCCCGCAGTTGCCAAGTAACTCTCATGAATGCCCATAACTGACGTTTTATTTATATCACTTTGTCTATACCACGGAAAGATGGGGTGCGGGTGGCGACGCATCCGTAGAGGAACTGGAGGCAGCGGGAACCAGAGACCCAAAGTGGCTCATCGACCGCGCCAACACTTTCCTACAAGCAGGTGCCTATGTACGTTCTTTACATTTTTAACCTTAGCTTGAGAAGACTCCGAGTTCTCGTGCGAAGTGAACGCTGACTTTTGCTCCACCTGCCTTGCGTCTTAATCGTCTAGATGATCATGATTGAGAGCGAAGGCATCACAGAGAACGTCAAATCCTGGCGTACCGACGTTATCTCTGCTATAACATCTTCTCTTCCCAGGGACAAGATAATGTGCGTAAATCATGTTCACATTTTCGCCAACTCTTCTTTTAGCTCCTCCTTTGTAATATTCTTACTCGCGGCTGATTACCTCTTACCTATCTTTCCCGCCATGAACACCCGAACTTCCGTATTCCCGTGTTCTCTATTCATAGGTTTGAGGCGGCGGATCCTGAAGGTACGTTCTTTCTATACATTCATTCTCACCATGAACGAATCTTCTAACCTTGGCATCTCTATATTCTCACCTTTCATGGGTTCGGGTTCGCAACGGGCTTCCTGATGTTGTCTCTTTGCAGTATTCGCGTATCACATTCAAAACCAAGGCGCACACGCGAACCTCTTCGTCGACCACAGTCAAATCGTCCAGCTCGCTTGTCTCAGACGTGGCATCTGGGGTACTGGAAGTACTTTCGGAAGGATCGTGACGTTCGGAGACCAGCAGTAATAGGAAGGAGTATCAATGTACTTACGCGTTCGCTCGGCCCGCGAATGCTGAGGGCTGAGGCGCTGGACACTGAAAGTTTGAGGACAGAAGAACGTGTATGTATGTATGAATAGCGTTCGTTCGTTTTTTTCTTCTTCCTTCTTCTTTGTAATATGATGCATGCATGTTTCCCCATGCGACTAGTGGAAAACAATTTTACTGCATGCTGCTATGAACGGAAACCCTTGCGTACTCCAGCCCACTTCAAACTTCAGGCTTCAGGCTTCGGAGTGACAGCTTCCGGTGTCCTATGAATAAGAAATTCCAGGATTGGCCAAAGACGGACTAGACGGCTATGATTCTAGTCAGGCGATCGTCACATTGTAGGGTATAAATACCAGAAATACAGCTGACCCTGGACCGACTGCTGTTTTCGAGTTCTCGGTCGGTCATGACCCCCATCTTCTTACTTCGCTTCATCTTGGATTGTGCGCCCCGATAGTATCGCTCTAGGCACGAAAAAGAGTCCTGTTGTACTTTTGGAGAACGCGTTTAAATAAAGTTACTGACAACAACACGATGACATTCAAAACGCTTGGACAGAGGAACGATCACGAGCTGTAGTTCTTCAAAGCTTTATATGTAACCTGATGGACCACGCCATCTGTCATGCTCCAGACAGATCTTACCTGAGCCGACTCAACCACTGGATTGCCCGATTTGTGGTCTGTAAATATCAAGCAGGTGCAGGAAAAAAGGCTGTACGTGCGCCACCTAGTTTCCATTTGATTTGACAGAAGGTTTATTCTTGGTAGGCTGCGATTAATGCGGAGGTGTTTCAGCCGTCAGCCATATTGAGGCGGGGGACGTTCATCTAACTCAAGCTTCTGAATCCTCAGACTGGCGCTCTGCCAACGTAGTAGACGAACCGGAAAATACTACCATTTCTGGGCCTCCAGAGGTGATCAAGAGGTCTTCGCGATGAGCAGGATGATCATACACCGTAAATTCAAGTTTCACAGTGCGTTACATGTGATCCGTTGACTCTGGAGTTTTGACCGAACCACCAGATTTAGTTTCGCCCTCTGACGTGACGTCAATAGGATCACTGCACAGATAAGTATAATCGTTCCAAGCGAAACGTACAATTCGTCACTAGATTCGTCACCTACAGACCCGCTTCTATCCCAAACCACGACACCACCCTACCACCCCACACCCTAGTCCAAAAAGATGCGAACGTATCATGATGCAGCGATAGCGAGAAAGACCAATAAGATAGATAATTTATAAATGCATGAAGTTCCCCGGTCACTGAACCCGGAGGATCAGAGACGGAAGAAGCGCGAGTTCAAGTTCCTAGCCTTGGGCGTGCTCTCAGCCTTCGCCGAGACAGCTGAGGAGGCGCTGGCCTTCGATGCGCTGAAAGTCGACGCACTAGCCTTCACGCTTGCGGTCGAAGACGCAGCGCTCGACGCCGACGCGACGGGTGTGCCAGAGACGGCAGACTTGAGAGTACCCGCCGTTGTGCATGCCCCACCGTCGACCCAGACGCCAGCTGAGCCTCCCGGCGTGTCAGCTTCTGTCCAATAGGAAGCGGTCCAAACGTCGCCACTAAAGTGTAGAAAGTCAATGCGGCACAGGACAAGAAAGGTCAGTAGGTGCCGAGAGATAGTAATGGAAGGGACGGAAAGAAACGTACTTGTAAGTTACTTGCGATCCACCGACATAGGCGACACTGCTGCTCCATGCGGAGATTCCGGCGCAGGTGCCAGAGGAGGCAGAGGTTGTTGTGGCAGCGGCTGACGTCGTCGTCGTCGTCGTACCCGTTGGGGCCGTGGTCGTAGTGGTAAGGGTAGCCTTCGAAGTCGTGGTGGCCGAGACACTACCGCCACCACATGCAGAGACTAGCGCACAATAGACGGATGAGAACATTTTTTTTTGATTCCAAAAGAGCCTTGACTTACTTGCACTCCAGTCGCTGTTGGGGTCGTTGGCGGGAGTAGCGGTGGCATACCATTTCGCCTCCCAGATGTATCTTCATAACAGTCTCATGGTGAGCTTGTGGTAACATTTGTCGATCAGATTGACAACTTACCCGCCGTACGAGACTTGAGAGCCACCAGAGTATGATGTTCCCGAAGAGAACGCAGCAGCAGAGCAAGCGGGGTATGTGAACCCAGTCCCACCAGCAGCCACAAGCGCGTTCTTGATTGCGAGGTCGTAGCGGTCGTTAGCTAGATGGCATCATAACATGAGATGATTTATTCCCTTCAATTGGACTTTCGAGAAATTGCACATACGATAAGCCTGCGAAGCATCCCACAACATCACGCCACCGAAAGAGGGGTAGCTATTCCTCATCTGAACGGCAATGCTACTAAGGGTGCTGATGTCCTGGTATCCGCCACCCGCCGCCGTGCTCGAAGCGGGGGCACCAATGTAGATCTTAACGTCTGTATGTTGTAGTGAGTACTATGGCTAGTGAGCGTATTATAATCGACAAAGGCATACCTGGGTTCGGGCTGACGGTCCTGGCCCAGTTATCCCAAAGGCCGAAGTCCCAATCGGAAGCAGTGCCAAAGTTCTATTTATGTGGCGGTGGCATCAGTACGAACGATTTTGACTGAAGAGCCGTGTAAAGGCTAACCTGAAGTCCGCACTGGTTATTCTAAAGGCGACAAAGACGGATTAGACTGAGGAACGTTGTATTCAAGATTTTTCATACGCACGTCTGGGCAAGGAGAGGGTCAGTTCCCGCTGAGACAACTATGAAACTTCATAGACTCACAGAATTGAACATAGACAGCATCGAAGCCAACAGCATTCAGTACACCGCCCAAGGCGCTGTCGGGGTAAACCTATTGGTATATATCTGTCACCGTCTGTCCGATACATATGAGAGGTTTGGTACTCACGCATTGGGGGGCTGCAGTGATATAGTAACTAAACCAGTATATCAGCATGAAATCAAGTACAGTAATAGTCGTATGAATCCTCACGTCTTGCTTGCGCTGTCAGTATACGACCGAATACGCGTGACGAAAGCAGCATAGCCTGAAGAGAGAATCATAGTCGGTCACAGGGCCCTAACTTTCTGAGGATATGGCTGTCAGCTCACCAGTGCTTCCACCGCTCTCAACGTCCAAGTCCACTCTAGACAAACCGCCTGCATGTCAGTACATAGCCCTCCAACTCATCCACTGATTACTCACCCATCAAGGACAGCAGAGCCAAAAGGCCTCGTGTCCGACGAACCACCCAAGAAAAGGTTCCAGATAGTGTCCGCAAATGTCTCCGCCTCGGAATCATCGGTGAACCCTACACTCCCGCCCGCCCCACCGAGGCTGATCGTGAGGATTTTGCCCTTGGCTTGACAAGTCTCGATGTCGGAAGCTAGGGCAGAGCAATCCGCTAAATTGGTGCCGCTGAAAGTGGAGTTGTCTGTAGGGTTGCATGTCTATGAAAAGCGGAAACGGATCAACCGAGCTCGAAGGTGTAACTCATGGGACAAAGGGCTCACATTGGCCAAGTTGATAGCAGGAAGGCCACCGGTGGAGAAAAACGTATAGACGAACGCGATGGGGATTACATCGATTGCATCGTCCTGAGAAGACGACCGTCATCGTCAGATTAAGCTTATGTTGGAAGACGACTAGAAGCTTACCTCGCAGTAGTAGGACAGAGTCTTCTGATAGTCTGAACAGGTCGCGTGAACTTGAACTTGAGTGCTGAGAGACAAGGTCTCAATATAGCTCACCAGCAGTGTCCGCGGCATCCGCCGCACCTGTCCACACGATAAGTCGATTGATCTTTTAGAGCATTTATCTAGACACTCACCGTGAGAATTCTGACCCCAGTAACTTCAACGAAAAGAATAAGCATTTTGTGGTAGCAAGTAGAAAATGACGCTCACACAGCAACCTTTATAATGCGATCTCAACTCGAACTCTTTGATTGAATAGAGAGGAAGAGGACGTACATTATCATACCGCGAGCCGTCGAAGGCCTGGGTAAGGATAGCGCCAGTCAGGAGAGACGCGCCAAGAACGAACTGAGCACTGAACATTGTGGCAGTCGTGAAGCAGCGAGGAGGCTAAGAAAGGCGGAGAGCTCTCTGGGCATCATCTCAGAGACGAGCAGCATACATATACTTTCCTGAACTACACATGCACATGAGCACGGACAACCTCCGTGGACGTCTACATGCGGTCGAGGACAGAGAAACCTACTGAAGCAACCCAAATTCGATGTTATCTTGCTGTTTCCCCGGAAGAACCATGCGTCGCGAAGCTCAGCTCATGTTCGCTGTACCACCAAAGGAGCAGCGTTGATGGAAGTGCAAGCATACTCAAGGGTGCATGTCCAGGCCCGTCCTGAGATAGAGCACTTGAAGGGGTATAAGAGATGGTATCACGCTGCAGGTAGCTCATCGAGCATGTGCTCCAACGAGGGCCGTATGGGATGGCGTTGCTCGAGACGATGACGCCCAAAGGTGAAGGAGGCATAAATAGTAGAATTTGAAGATATTTTTCAGCCCTGATAACGAAGCGTGGCCGCACCCCGACAGTATCCTTGGGCTCACTGGTACAAAGTGCAAGCATCGGGCAGGCTGATGCTTGAGGAAATAAATCATGGTGATGCAGATGCCCATGCTCACGTGCTTCTTGACCGCGTGCTCTGCAATTTCGGACGCTCAAGTGCTCACGCAAACCATGCAGAGTCATTTCAAGATGACCGTGGTATCCTTTGGTGACCATGAAAAAATAAATCGTATGGACTTACGGGGCGAGCGAAACCTCAGGCCTTCGAGCTGCTCGGAGCTCATAACAAAGTGGGAGCACCATCTGGATCTCGCGAATAATAGTCAAGGAATGGCGTGTAGACGGGGGCTTTAACTCACCTAGACATGCACGAAACACGTTTTCAGTAGCGAACGGGTGCACAAGTAGATACTCTCACAGGTTATTGCGATTAAAAAAAACTGCCGACGGACAACTGTATTCCAACAAACAAAACGACGAAAGTACATATTACACACAAACAGGCCTGGTCCGTTATGCGACAGAACCCTCGCTCTCGCCATCCGCCATCGCCGAGTTGCGTACAGGATCTGGGGAAGATCTGAGCATTCACATATTCATGAGAAACCCCGGTAGAGAAAAGAGACTAACCAAAGTATGCGTGTCCTTGAGCTTCCCGTGCTGTCAGTCTCTGTTGGTGGTCGTATCGCAGGAGCTTGTCAAGGAAATCGATAGCTTCGTTCGAGATGTATCTCTGATTCTCAGAGGTAATGAACCGTGTCCAGGGTTTCCGAGGATACCTGCTGCGCTGTGAGTAACTGTCGAGTGCCAACGGGCCAATCGGATGCACGAACCTGCCAAGGATCTCATCATACTGGGCGTCGAGCTCAATGTCGTACTTCTCTAAGTACTCATAAAGCTCATCAGTCCCCAGGACCTTGGTTATTTTGACGAGTTGATCATAGTTGTCGTGACCATGGAAGAACGGCTCTTTCCGGAAGATCTAACATACGGCCATGAGACTGAGCTGCTAGGCTCCAAAGACACAAATAAAGACGAACCATCGACGCGAACATACACCCGTAGCTCCACATGTCCAAGCTGTAGTCGTATTGCTGGAAATCAACTAGCAATTCGGGCCCTTTGAAGTACCGCGAAGCCACGCGGACATTGTATTGTGTCTTGGGATGGTAGAACTCGGCCAAACCCCAGTCGATCAACCGCAACTACAAAGCGATACACCTCAGGAAAGAGTTTCCGATATAAATGGAATAAAATGGCTAACCTTGCGGTGGTCGTGATCAATCATGACATTGTGAGGCTTGACATCGCGATGCATGATTCCTTTGGAATGGCAATAGTCCAACGCCTTCCCAGCCAACGTGAGATGACATCGCCACAAGACGACGACTTATCGGAGTGGCTCACCTTCAACAACTCTAGCATGTAAAACCTCACATCGAGATCATTGAATCTAGGATAAAGGACCTTGAAGTCGACGTTGTGGACGTATTCGGTGATGAGACTGGGTATCTTGGACGAAGGGTCGCGGACTACGTCAAGTAGGGCAACGATATTGGGGCCACCGGCGAGATTTTGCAAGATTTTGATCTCCCTCTTGATCTTCTTCTTCTTGACAGGCTTCAAGACCTTGATGATGCACTTTTCGTCGCTGACGATGTTCACGCCTTCGAACACCTGGTCCATGCGCGCTGGTGAATATATGGAAAGAAGACCGCGGACCTCTGGCGACGCACTTCAGAGTATTTTCCCCTCCCAACTTTCCGTACAATCTCATAATGATCTTGCGACCCCCACTGGACCTGCAGGTTGTCTAATAAAGCAAGAGGAAAAAAGCAAGATAAGCAGTGGCGCACAAAAAGTGAGTGAATGATCACGGACCATATTCGTGCCACGAGGGGCCTAACCGTCCATTGACATCAGCATATATCCGCGACGTCGATACTGTTTGGACACGACCCATCCGGCGGTGACAATCAGAGGGTAGGAGAAGGTGAGAGACGAGAGTGAAGGCGCCGAAGCTATCCGGTGTCGCGGTCCACCCTGATGGCGCGCGAGCTCACAGTCAAACAACCCAAACGGGAAGTGACAGTGACTCATCGCACTTTTCGCTGGACACGCTCTCCATGTAACCTCCCTGCTAATATCCGTTCTTCCTGTTACACTCTAAGATTTTATTTGCATACTCGATGGCATCGAAGTCCAAGACGCCCAAAAACTGGCCTTCCAACATTCAATATCTGACCGCACAGCGATGGCATCCTTCAGTGTCTGCCGAAGCCCTCACGTTCTTGCGCTGTGGCCTTCCCGCTCCTGGCTCAGCTAGTTCAAACAGTGCCCCCTCATATGTTTTCATTCGACGTATCACAGAGTCATCTCACCCAGCTTGCGGCCAATGTGGCTTGTTCGCTTCGAAAAGGATCCCCACAAAAACATGCATCATAGACTACATTGGAGAAGTGCATTGCGATGACAGACCAGGCTCCGACTATGACCTTTCTCTCCATCGATTTCAAGATGGTACTAGCGTCGGTGTTGATGCGGATAAGATGGGAAACGAGTCCAGGTTTATCAATGACTATAGAGGAGTTAGTTCGAAACCGAACGCAGAGTTCAAGGATCGGAGGGTGGCGCAAGGAGAGTTACGAATGAGTGTTTGGAGTCTGGTGGAGATTAAGAAGGGTGAAGAGATCACTGTGTCGTACGGCAAAGCTTGGTGGAAAGCGAGAACAGAAGAAGCTCAGGCAAGTTGGATTTCATACATTTGCCGCGAATACTTCTATTACAGTGCGATAGTACGGTCTAACACCAGGCTTCTTCAGGCCACAGAGGCTCGAGACTGTCGGTGACGGGAATGGATGTGAGTGCATATTTACTCATCTATACTGAAGAACTGCACCTTACCTTCTATGTTCAAATGACCCGCTACTTTTAGATGCAGGGCTGAGGGGACTCGATAGGTCAACGCCACAGACTCTATGGGAGAAATAATTCCAAACCTCTCTTCGCGTGTTCAATGGGGCCGGTGCGGCACAATCGAACAATGCAGTCGTCCATGCTTTATTCTAGCGCTCACCAACATCATACCGCTTCCGTAACATATGACATGGTCGAATACGAGGTCCCGCGATTAAGTCTCGAAAGAACTTGAGTAGAAACGAAGCCCGCAGTTGGTCCACGAACTTGTTGTGCCGTGCGACAGCCAAGATAGAATTTGTCCCGAGGAGTGTTCGGTCACAACATGTGGTTGAAGTCTAGACAGTCCGAAGGGTATTGTGAGGAACAATGGACAGACTTCGAGGAAGAAGCCATCCTAGGAATATCTTGGGAATGATTATTGCCTCCACATCAAAAATCGACACCATAGTAGAGTTCTGGTAGAGATGAAGTCTTTGAGCAGAACGAGACAAGATCGCGTCGACGTCGTTCTCGAAAGCCTTCGAATGCTCTCGAAACGGCAACCCTCGGCAACCAGAAAGGAAGCGTGACGCGTGACTGGGTGACCGGACTTCAAAATTCCACGGCTGAGATGACCACGACTTGGCCAGCTTTCACCCAGTTCAGCACAGTTTGTCTTCCGTTGCTCTAGATGTCGCCACGGCTCTCATCTAAAGGGATATCCTCGTTCATCTCGTTCTATTCTTGTGCGCGCTCATTTCCGTCCACCTTACCACCAACCAGAGGGATTTGTCTTAGCGCTTCCCGTCCATCCGTTAGGAAGCCCTCCACAACTCTCTCGCACAAGGTATCTGCACACTGCCAGAGTCTTCTTACCGGGTGGTTCTGACACTGGAACTTTCTAGCGTCGTTTTCATGCCTCTTCACCATCATATGCCTCGAAGGACCCGTACGAGGTCCTTGGTGTGAAAAAGGATGCGCCTGCTGCTGACATCAAGAAGACATACTTCTCGGTGCGTAGCAGTCTAACTTCTTGACATCTGAACTGATGACGAGTCTCCGTAGCTAGCACGCAAGTATCACCCTGACACCAACCCGGACAAGGATGCAAAAGCAAAGTTCGTTGAAATCCAAGAGGCTTATGACGTATGTGTTCTGCATGTCTTCCTCCTGCCATTCCTAACCCTCGGTTGCTGTACTTCCAGACATTGAAGGACGAAAAGAAACGGGCTGCCTATGACCAGTACGGTGCTGCCTCCCAGCAACCCGGGTTCGATCCCAACGCGTTCGCCAGGAATCCTTTCGCAGGTGGTGCAGGCGGGTTCAGCGGGTTCCACGACTTTGGTAGTGCATTCAGCGGGGGAGGTCAAGCCAATTCGGACCTATTCGATCAGCTCTTTGGCGCGTTTGGAGGTCGCCCTCGAGGAGGCCGTTCTCCTTTTGCCGAAAACTCGCGTGGGGACAATATCGAGACGGTCGTGGGCGTCTCCTTCCTGGAGGCAGCAAAAGGCGCAACAAGGAACGTTACCATCACACCGGTGATTAACTGTTCAACTTGCTCCGGCAACGGCATGAAGGCGGGGGCGAAACGAACTACATGTCCATCCTGCCATGGTTCTGGTACTCGGACATTCGTCATTGACAGTGGCTTCCAAATGGCTAGTACATGTACGACGTGTCAGGGTGTTGGCTCCACTATCCCTCGTGGCAGTCAGTGTGGAACATGCGACGGTGTGGGGAAGGTTCAGACACGGAAAACCGTAAAGGTGGACATACCTCCCGGTGAGTACCTTTGATCCGTTTGATGTGCTTCTCTTTTTATACCCTTTCACAGGCGTGGAGGATGGTATGACTCTTCGGATACCGAACGCAGGTGATGCGCCACTGTCAGGAAAGGGCAGTCCCGGCGATCTACTCGTTCGGGTCAACGTCGCTTCTTCAAAGGTTTTCCGCCGTCAGGGTTCGAATCTCTATCACGAGGCTCGGATACCTTTGCATACCGCTCTGTTGGGCGGGAGAGTACGTGTTCCCACTCTTGAAGGTGACGTCGATGTTCGGGTGCCAGGCGGAACTCAGCATGGAGAGGAGATGGTGCTGAAGGATCGGGGGATGTCGTCGCTCATGGGTCGCTCGACGGGTGATCTGTTTGTCACGTTTGCGGTTCAGCTGCCTAGGTGAGCTTGCCAGCATTTGATATAGCTAGCTTCGGCTCAATTTTGACATATGGTTCAACTCCACAAAGGTCGCTCACTCCACGCCAGCGAGAGATATTGCAACAGTACGCTGATGATGTCGAGGGTCGACAACCAACCGACACGTCACGACCTACGCAAAACACAAGTGGTTCTTCGAACGGTCCATCGTCTACCGATAGCGGACGTTCTAGTACGGCGGCCAATGATAACGGTAGGAGATCTTTTACACCCCCGCCCTCGAGTAAAGGCTGGTGGTCTCGTGCAAGGGAAAGAATCCGAGAGCTTACTGGATTTTGATTGTCGCATAATTTTTCTGCGGTTCCCATCCGTCGTCTTGACGTACTTCACCGACGTTCCGCGCATTAGACGAAGTTCTTCCAGAGCCTGGTTCTGAGGCGTCGGAGTCTGATCGAGGAGAGCAAGAGGAGAAGAAGAAAAAAAGGGCGACGGCGTAGACCTTGGGGGTAGTTTCCCTAGATTAGTTTAGTGCTTGATGCTATAATGTCCATCCTCGTTCTGACGATACTCTAGCCGGCAGAAAAAAGGCATGGATTAACTGAGTCACATACTCCTTGCCTCGTTCCAAACGGACCCAGGATGCCACAGCGCTGAATGTCACGGCGAGGCTCCTCGCGGATGCGGCTTTCGCATGAAGTGAAGCTAGCCTGTGTGAGGCCCTTATGGCATGTGGGAAGCATCGTGATGCCACACTTTCGGCCACATCAGGCTACTCACCAGGACCTGCTTGCGATACCCCTGTTCACCACTTGTTACGTACGGGAGCGCACGAATATCCTCAGATAGTACAGTATGCGACAGCCTAAGATAGTATTGACTCAGCCGGTCATTTCCTCCGACGGAGTGTTTTCCACCTCGCTGGCAATCACCTACATCCTTAAAGCAGTCGTCGATGTTCGTTTACCTTTCGATCTTGTCCTTCACACCTGGAGCATGGACTCATGACCTTCTTTTTCCGACGCAGATTAGGTACACCTTTGGCTCGTCATGAAAACTCCAGTCGAACTTCTGTACGTTGTGGTTCGAAAACTGTTTTCACAGAGTGTCACGAAGACTCCTGTGATTTGTCCTGATTGGCATTCTAGAGCCTAAAACCAAGTTCCAAGATCCCTCAACAGATCTTTCGCAGAGAGAAGATGTCCAACAAACTCGAACATGTTCTCCGTATTAGTTCTATGGTGCACCGCAGTGACATAACGAATTTTTTCGAGGACGCCGCTATAAATCACTCGGATTAATACCCATGGTACCCCCATCCCTCGCATCCTCGCCCCATAGTATCGCAGTCTTGTGAACACTATCACATCTCGACTGTTATGTTCTCTGCTATCGCCCATTGGACTTCTCTTTTTTCCCTCCGACACGACGCTGCTATCCCATGCCCATCCCCTGATGCTGCATCACCAAAGAGCTCGCTAAATGGCTCGTTACCCAAACAGTTCTACGACTCTAAATCTACTTCTGCGTCTACTCTGCCTTCGACTTCAGACGCCGAATCGGTGCTGCCTTGTCCCAATGTGGAGAAGGAGGATCTAGTCGAGGCTCTGCCGGCAGGCTTTAATGCGGATGGACGACGTCAGTTATCCACAACCCGGATACTGTTTGCGCACATTGGGTATTCGTCGGCTTGTGTTCGATTGCGAAGGTTTTACTCATAGAAATAACAGGGCCGCTCTAACGTTGTTCCTCGCGACGACAGACTCGGTGTGTGCTCCCCTCACTTCACGTTTTAACCGTGCTAATCCGCCTTTAAAGACCATTGTTTCGACGAGTCTACCTACCATTGCTGCCAGATTCAATGCTTCGCAGACAGAATACACATGGGTCGGCGTATCTTATATGCTCACTCAAACCGTATGCCAACCGTTTTACGGTAGACTGTCAGACCTTGTAGGGAGAAAGGTTAGTCTCTTTTACCTCGTTCTTGATTGCAAGTTTGACATGATCTCGCAGAACCTTCTCTTCAGTAGCATTCTGGTCTTCGCGTTGGGATCTTTACTTTGCGGGTCCGCACAGGTTCGCTGAGATTCAATAAATTTTGCTTTGTTCCTTCAATGACGCGCGTTCTAGTCCATAACCTGGTTGATCGCAGCGCGTGGGTTGGCAGGAATCGGCGGTGGTGGCATCGTAAGCTCGGTCTGGGTCATCACCGCGGAGATCGTAGAAGTACGGAAAAGGGCAACTTGGTCCCAAGCGCTCAGCATCACATGGAGTTGCTCTGCTATAGCAGGACCCCTACTTGGAGGCGCTTTTAGCAGTGAGTACTATCCACGCCCGTTCGATTAGCGCCTCTTATCAAATATGTGCACAGGCGGCAGTAACTCAACGGTCGACTGGAGATGGGCCTGTACGTGAAAAGTCATATTCCCTTCCTCATATTTTTCTAACTTCAGAGACACAGTTTACCTCAACCTACCGATATGCTTCATCGCATCTATAACTCTGGGAGTAGCTCTCAATGGAGCCGGTCCGGAACGCCCCAAGGATGCTTCATGGAGGATATTCTTGCAGCGTTTTGACTTCATCGGACTGTAAGCACGCACCTCAGCATTTGATGCGCTTGTCCTAACCCGATTACTCCCTGCCGATCGTAGTTTGGCTTTTATGTGCGCGTCATGTTGTATCATTGTTGGATTCAGCTTTGCCAGTTCTAATGGTTGTACGTCGAGTCACCAGTATCCCATTCGACGTAGCTAAAAGCCGTTTGTCATAGGGGGGTCTCCGCTCACTCTGACCCTCATTGTCGTTGGACTTGTGCTGCTCGTATGCGCCGGATACTACGAGACGCGTACAACTCGGGATGCGCTCTTTCCACCAGCAGTGTTCAACGATCTTACAACTAGTAAGCTGTTCTGAGAGGGTTCCATATCGAAGGCTAACAAAACCATACAGCGATTGTTCTCATCATCAATTTTCTGCACAACAGTGCTTTCACTGCTGGAACGTACTACCTTGCCTTGTACTACCAGGTAAAAGCGTCCCTCGCTCTCGCTATTCTAGTATGGTCCATACTAATCAAGATATTTCTGACAGACAGTGAACGATTCCAGTCCGTTGCAAGCTGGCGTGCTTTTGCTGCCATACTCTCTTGGTTCCTCATTGGCTTCGATGCCTGTAGCCTGGTACCTCGGATACCGACAAAAGCGGAACAATGACACGAAAGGACAGCGGTATGTCATCAGTGTAGGGCTGGTGTTGTGCACCATCGGATTCGGTACGCTATGGCTTATTGCTCCCCTGGGTCATCACTCACGAATTGGTTGTCCCAGGCGTATTACAACTACTTGATGACAATTCCTCCCTCATTATGGAATCCCTTCTACCCTTGATTGCTGGAGTGGGCGTCGGGATGTTATTCCATGCACCGTACCAGCTGTTCACAGCTTCTCTGCAGCCGCACGAGCTGTCGACCGCTACATCAGCATTTTTCCTCGTCCGCTTCACTGGTGCCACTGTCGGATTGGTGCGTAACTGGACACCCATCGCATCTTGTTTATGCGTGGACTCACCAGAACATCTAGGCCATCGCGGGAGCGATATTTCAAAGTACCTTGGATAACACACTCTCCGCCTCGTCCTACAGCCAAGGCTTCCAATCCTCAGGCTTTAGCGTTGAAGAACTGAGTGATATTCAATCTCCCGACGAAATGAACGAAGTCATCCACGCCGCGGCGTTATCAATCAAGGTTCGTCCTCTAATCTGCCTGTAGATCTGCCTCTGCTTCGCCCACTTAAACCTTACTCTGCCTCAGAGGATATGGACTTTCTACACACCCGCCCTGGGCCTTGCTCTCCTGGTCAGTCCCATCCCTATGTATTATCATTCTACCGACCGGATTTCTTACCTGGTCATTACATCGTGTTATGTGAAGCTGTCTCTCGTTCTCGTGGTACGACACTCCCGCGTTCCGCAGGCTTCACCTGAAGACAGCGAAAAGGTCGCGTCCACAAGCACTCCTCAATCAGGAATAGAGGCCGCCGGGTAGTTTGCACCAGGACTCGGGATACTTTAGGCGAAACGCCGGAATCAAAAACAAAAGCATCCGTTTGGAGTGCGCAATGTCGGACGCTAGCCATATAACTTATTCATCTACCTCTCTCTCTCGATACAAAGGAAGACTTGTACTTTAACCTCTCGGTTTCATGACCGTTTGCTGTTCTCGTTTTTCATTAGACACCTCTAAAGGAAATGATAACCTTCATAGACTATGTGCTTCTGTCGACGTTACCCGGGAAAGACATCGACCAATACAATAGTAGGTCCTCTATATTGTAATGTCCGAGCCACGAGTTGGCCACGAGTTTGTAACTTCCGAAGACACAATGGTCGGCTGTTTTTGTTGAGATCGAAGGAAGATCAGGTAGACCCATTTGGCGAAGAAGATCTGAAGATGGGCCAGTTACAAAATTAAGAGTCGCTGGATGAGATGATGCCGTAGGACAGTCGCAGAACCCGGCTACATTGTATAACAGTACTCTCATGTCCATCTCACTGCCACCCTCTCACTATGAATCGGGCCGTCGTACACGCACCTTCCTATCGGAAGCGAAAGCAGCTCCTTTCATCTCGTAGCTTTGAGCTCGAGACCTCAAAGCCTCGTGTGGGATAACGAAAGATGGATACGTGAGTGGCATGCCTTCAAGTTGATAATGCTATGCTTCAAGTTGCTTTGTGGCAGAAACGGTGATCAACGGCGACTCTGTTCAGCCCCTTTGTACGGACTCGGACAAGACTGCACCATCGGGTCTTGAGAGGGCCGCTACCGTCACCAGATCACCCTAGAGTTAACGCCGCGAAGCGCAGATCAACATTACTGGATGTGAGCGGGTTCAATGAAGCAGTATAAGGGACCTGACCGATTTAGGCCGAGGTCTTCCTCGAGCAGGCGTCGAACTACCTTTGATTGAAGGTTCCAACGAGAAGAAGACTTTCATGGCTGGCTCGAACAGGCTGGACTCTGCTGTCGTTCGAAGAGACTCGGCGCGGTCTCGAGATACAGTTGTGGATTATTGCATCATGGAAGAGATATGCAGCGTTGGGTGGAGAGGAGCCCCGCCGCAACGTTTGGACAGCCTCATCGTCTGCTGGCCACCAGTCAAGCCGTCTTTGGCCCCGCTGAGCATAATGCAACATGATTACACGAAACGACGCAAAGCACCAACCCATTCACGTATCCGAATATTGTGGTTCAAGACGCCGTGACCCACCCTCGAAAAGCGGCGGGAACCTCGACAGGCATACACGTATTCCGCCGGAGGACAAATGTCCTCTACACCCTCGAAGAGGCGTCACAATAACTTGAGCTCGGTGACTCAATTTGATTGGTTTGCTAGGCACTCTCTCCCGACTTCCGATAGGGGCTCACACATCCATCCGTTTAATAGAGCAACACGTTATCCGGCCTCAACGATGCGCGAGGCCCGCCTTTCCAGTACGTAGCAATAATCGAGGCAGGGCGTGGGATGCTTTGAAACGATTTTCCTAGCCTGCAGGCTTCTGGTAGTATTCTCGAGCACGCGGAAGTTTGAACTAATTACCGACAATCGAGGATATCAACGCTGAGAATGTGGATATCGACAAACCTCTACAATAGAAGGACCCAGTGGGTTTCGGCCGAAGTCTTTCGGTTGGCGTTGTCGTTCACATGAACATGTATTGCAGACGATTTGCCTTCGAGCAAGGTTGAGAAGCGATGCTGTGTCTCAAAAGGGCTGCCAAGGTTAACGTTAAATCTCGACTTCTAGGAAGAAGGAAAAGGCGAGTTGGTCCATCACAACTCAACAAAGTAGTCGTACATGCCAGAGTCAATCTGAAACGGCTAGACCTGGGAGCGGTCAACACTTTTTAGAAATATGACGGAAGGGATTGCCTAAAGAGGATTCGGCTCGAGAGAGGGTTCGGGCTGAAGGGCAGGAGGAGGGCCTGATGGTCGAGGCGTGTAGAATCTGGTAGATAGTGTTTCCAGTTCAGAGAAGCGGGTCAGGATATGGACAGGACACGCAAAGCAAGCGTGTCGTTTGACGCTCGAAGATTGAAGGTCCAGACGCCCGTGAGACGGATCGTGCATGCTCGAAAGTGGAAAGCGTCGCTGTCGACTGTGTACTTGTTGTGACCAGGTGCTCGTCGCGGCTTTCTGGGGAACATGAGAATCCTTATGTCAGCGCAGGCCGGTGATATAGAGGTTTGTTAACCGTACGTAGTCAAGCCGCGAGGGTTCGAGAAAGAAAAATCGGGAATCGAAAAAGGGTTAGACGAGTATCAGGAGGAGATTCGGAGGCATCATTGGAGGACTGAGAGAAAACATACGGCCCGGGTTAGGACAAACTGCCTGAACGCTGCAGGAGATCTTCCAAGCATATGAAAGATCGAGGGCTGAAAAACTCAGAGGTTGGCTGGAAGGGCCCACGGCCATTCGCACGCGCTACAGACAACGGACTATGATCATGTATGTAAAGGCCGTCACTTCAGGCACTCAGACCAAAAAATTAAAAGAAAAACATAATTACAAGGTGAATATTAGATGTTGACTCGTGACTGGCTAAAGTTCATGCTGCGTATCATCCGAGAGACATGCAGTGTGCTCAGAACTCTCACCCCACGATTCCGTGAAGTCTGGACAAAAGGAGACAGGAAGAGAGCAGCTATGTAAATCCTCTCCTTCGCGCAACACATCTGGCGGGTGTGTATCCAAGCCCAGGAACAGCGGCATTTAGCATTCTCCATATGTCACTGACAAATGCACTGACCTTCGTCGCCTGGCGTGGAGTGCAAAGAAGACAATACGAAGAAGACAGCCGTAAGCCTTTGTGCAAGTAACGCGGAAGTTTCTGAAGGTGTAGGTCCAAGTATAGCAGGTATGCGAGCGATTCAGGCCCTGTGAGCGACTCAAGCGCCTCTGTTGTTCCGTATCGCAAAGGAAAAGGAGGAAACCAATGAAAAGTTCAAGAGCATTGCTGAGACTATCGGACCGGCAGACACAGACAATCAAGTCGCCGTGTACTTGGTGGCAGTGCATGACAATCTACCTATATTACAGCCACCCGTTGCATAGGATAGGATCTGCAGGAAGATATCCGTTAATTAAAAAGAGACGGTAGCGAGTCAGCGCCACAGCCTCTGCATCCGGTAACTCCAGGTAACCCCGCGATGATTATATCTGGTGTACTGCTAGACTTACACACATACTTGAATTGTAAGAAGCAGAAGACACATATGTCGAGACTCCTTCTCGTAATGCATCGCGCTTGAAAACCTAAACAGTCAACTTCCTGCTCGAGGCAGCAGATGCAGGGGTCTCAGATAATGTGGCGCGCGCACTTTGTGTATAAATCGCCGGTCGCTGTGCCGGGAAGCAGGATCCCGTAAGCCCCGTGATGAAGATTGGCGAAGCTAAATGTTGAGGACGCTAAACCTCAAATGCTTGTGAGATGCCCCTTCTTAAACACCGTCCGTACCGCTCACAGAGTGAGAATGACCAGGCTTCTCGTCTGATTCACCTTTGACTTAGAATTAAACGTAGGCGTTATTGACAAGCCCTCAAAGAGGTAGCGTGGTACCCAAATACGTCTACGTAGAAGCAGAAAGAAAGTAAGATATGTGCTAACCTGCCAGACGATGGTGGTATATGGCGGCTATGACGTGCATAGCTGAGACTAAATCCGAGGTCGGCAACCTTAGACGAAAGAACCAGCACTTGAACGAGGCCGCCAACTTTCCGATGGAACGGGCGCGGATAACTGGCCTCGGTGTTGAGGCCTTGAGGTTAGATAGCAATTCTATCAAATCGAACGCCGCCTTTACGTGGCGGAAGGAGCTGAAGGGGAAGAGGATTCCATCCTCTGTTGTGTTTATCGTGGTCGAAGTCGTTGAGGCGGCCCCATTAGGGAGTAACTGGCGGCAACACGACTTGAGAGCTGCCGTTACCGACGTCTCCCGTGTCCTTTAATGCGCCGCGACAAACCTCGGCATAGCCTACAGGCGTTGCTACCCCTCACGAAGACGAGGTAAGAAGTCAAGCAGACCACGAGTTTCCTGGCACTCCGTGCGCTTTCGCAGGCGGAAGATGTCGTGGAGGTAAATACCTCCGTGGACCTCGATGGCCTTGTCATAGGACAACGCACAGTATATCATACCTAACAATAGACAAAAAAACGAGGACATGAGGTGCATATGGGCCACGTAACGTAGCTCTGCAGTCACGAAGGTGTAAGGCTCGGGGCAAGTGTGGAAGAACTGGCAGCGCCACCCAGCGTTGTTCACCATGCTTGAGGCTATCGACAGTGATTCTCTCGGGGAGAACAATTTTGACTGCGCACCTATGATTCTGACGGCTGAGGCTAGTCCATAAACTAGAGCACTCTTGAAGTTTAATAGGGTTTGGGAATTTGTAGTGCGCCCCGAAAATAAAACTCTAAGTATTTACTCGAGGTGCTGAGAGCAATTTCCTGGAATGGGATTCGAGTTGGCAATTATGAGCGTCTAAAGCAGGCTGATGTCACTGTTTACCCACGAATAATGGAGAGAGATGGGGGTGGACGACGGTGTGGGCGGCGAGGACGAAGGGTGCTGGGTCGAGGGCGACGACGGTGGCGGTAAGCCGGCATCGTCCGTGGTGGAGTCGGCTGCGATGACGCTCAGCAGAAAATTGATCACACGACGACAAAGGCTGCTCTCATCACCGTTCATCCGCCCTTATCCATCTTCCTCTCCGACCACCATGCCCTCCAACATCGCAGGCCCCGACGTCTCCCCAGCCATCCCTCTCGCTGGCCCTCGCGCTCTCCACCGCTCCTCGACAGGTTCCGTGCACGCACCGTCCACTACTAGTCTGCCGACAGCATCCCGCTCATCGTCCTCGACGCTACTCGAAGACCCTCGCAAGGGCTCTGCCATCGTTCAAGGCCTCCCCCATGCTTTCTTCCACTTAGACGCTAGGTCAGCTGAATTCTATTCCTATAATCTGGTAGTGACGCTTCTGCTAGCAAGTGTGGCCTAAGTTCAATCCGCCATATGGGAGCAGTCTGTCCTCGTTTCGACTCTTTTCCCATCTCCTCGTACTCACATTCGTTTGCAACACAGACACTACAAAACCACCGAGTTTGCCCTGACACTGCTCGACATATTTGACGTGCTTCGCGTTCCTTCATGGTCCAAAGCTACAATCGTCCCGAACGCAATCAAGATCCATAAAGTATCCGGTTCTCTCACCAATGCCGTATTTTTCGTCTCTCTCCCTCACAACTCGACGAGGACACTTCTTCTTCGGATATACGGCGGCTCCTCTGGAGCCCTTATCTCTCGCCCTCGCGAATTACACACCCTTCACGTCCTGTCGTCTACTTACCACATGGGACCTCGCGTCTACGGCACCTTCGAAAACGGCCGTCTCGAGGAGTACTTTGACTCTGAAACCCTTACGGCGGCTGACATCCGTGTGCCGAAAATCAGTCGTCATATCGGCGCCCGTATGGCCGAGCTTCACGGTGTCGACATTGCCGCCATCGAGGACCCGTCAGTATTCGCGCAAGGTGCTACCAGGTCTTGGCAAATTGGCGCTCAGAAGAATGTGAAGTCGTGGTTACCTCCAGCTCGAAAGGTCATTGCCTTGCCTGTCATTTCAGACGAAATCAAGCGCGAGCTCGACCTCGACGTTTTTGAGGAGAGGTGGGAGAAATATATGAAATGGATGAAGGTGCTTGAGAAAGCCGAAGGGGCGAGCAAACGTGTCTTCTGCCACAACGATGCGCAGTACGGTAACCTGCTGAAGCTAAGGAAAATGCAGGAGGGTACACCAGAGCATCGCCAGGTTCGTCTTAGATTTGCTTCCGCTTCGCACGTGATAATCCAAAACCTGACAAATTACGTCATGATTTTCCAGATCATTGTTGTCGACTTCGAGTACGCTTCGCCTAACCCACTGGCTTTCGACATCGCGAACCACTTTCATGAATGGACCGCGAATTATCATGGGCCAACGCCTCACCTCCTCGATCCCTCCAATTACCCATCTCCAGACCAACGTCGCAATTTCTACAAGGCTTACCTCACCCACGCCCAGCGCCCACTTCCTTCCTCATGCACCACGCCTTTCCTGTCGCTTTCTGAAGGTGACCAGCAAAGGGAGTTGTCGAAACTCGAGATGCACGTCAGGGCTTGGAGCCCAGCTTCTCATGCTATGTGGACGATCTGGGGATTGGTCCAGGCGAGGGAGGACTTGGAGGGTGGAGTCGAAGAGCCCGAGTTCGATTATATCTCGTACTCGAGGTGCAGAATGGCGGCGTTTTACCGCGAGGTAGGCGAGCTTGGGATATGAAGTGAGTATGGATTCAACATCCGTGCTCTCCGTCTCGTCATGATCTCCTCCAAACAGTTGCACGAATCTTTCAATGATTTCCGTTAATCTTTCTCTCCTTTTTTATTTGGGCTTAATCTATGGGAGCTTATGCTCCATTCCATCTTTTTCCGTGTTTTTATTTTTCCTCACTTCGTCTTCTGGCTTTCCTTCCGCACCTGGTACGGTGTCGGACAAATGTTGTGTTATGTGCAATCCTCGAGACTTCCTTGCTCAGTCCGCATACATCTCGTCTCGTCCCGTCACTGTACCGTACAAGGTCTCATCCTACTCCTTCCTTCTATCCTGTTATCCTCGCTCGGATTTGCCCACGAGATACCCTGCCGACCACGCATGTGCTCTCTGTCCTCTGCCCCATCGCGCTCATCAATAGTACTTACAGATGTATTACGGCGTGACCCCTGCTACGTAGCATAAACTAGTTGTATCTTACGAGAACGAGAACGGCCACTTACACACCTTACACGTCCGGCGTCGCCTCCTGTCTAACTTATCTGGATCAGTACTGAATAGACGTTTGATTTTCGGACCGTTTTCGTGGACCGTCGAGGATGGGCAGGAAGCTTGGAGACTAGGTGCTGCCAATGTATGAAGTCGCCAGGCGAACGCGACGTCAAACGTCTCGTTTCGTTTGCCAGAGTCATTCGCTTCACGCAAACCCTCCCCCAGGGACCAGTCATCGAACGAGACAGCAAAATTGGGATTTCATTCATATATAATAAAGAACATTGGGGGGCGAACGCCTGCGATGTGATAAATGCACAGAACCAAGACCAGAACCAGAACCAAAAAACCGAGGCGAGCTCGAAGTGACTTGGTCCTAGGGGAGGACGGAAAGAGAAAGACGTGAAGGGCGGAGAGGTGGGAGCGGGGAAGGAGTGTACTTTGTACTACTCATGCTTTATATATGCCTGACAGCGCTAGCAACACCGACACAGAGAAGAAGGAGATAGTAGTGAGTCGAATCGTTCAGATGGGAGATATGGGATGCGATAAGTATATAACAGGACAAACTAGGAATAAAGAGATGTCAACAAAGAAAAGCTCAGTACAGCGGAGACCCGACGAGGGGCCGATGAAGGTTTGACTAATAGACGAGACAAGACGGGGCAAGGCAAGAAGAATGTGACAAGAGAATAAATCAGGGCTGATTTCGGTTGACGGAATGATCCAAGAATCGCGGATAGGCCATTCGAAGGACCAGATCAGTAACGAAACGAACGAACAATCCGAACGCGATGAAGAATAAGGAATCTCTTGATATGTTGAAGATGTTTGGAGTTGCAAGGGGTGAAAGAGGATGACGGCGTTTGTAGTTGATGGGTTTGGAAAAGGAAGCGAAAAGGCATGATTGAAATTGGAGAAGACGTGAAAAGAAGAACGTGAGAGGAGCAGTGGCCCACTATTGGGCATACAGAACGTAAAACGTACAGCATCATCACGACCGACGAACAAGCGATAGGGATAAAGAAAAAGGAACACGAAAAGAGCTCTGTGCGAGTAGATGAGAGGAGGAAAGGTTCCGTATCACAAGTCCGATCAGATATGGGGCATGATCATTATTCGTTAAGAGAATGAGACAGAAACAAGAAACGAGACGACGAGCCAACAACCAACAATGAATTCATCTAACCACGACGTGTCGATACACCACACTCAGAATACTTACGCCCAGCCCTTCTCAGCATATCGCGACGGCCCAACTTCAGGCGACAACCACGGCGTGTTGTACCTCGCCTGAACCTCAGCACCCGGGTTGGCAGACTGAGGCCCACCGAAGGGTGAGGGAGCGGCGAGATGACCGCTACGCGAGACGCCACCCCAGTTCCCGACGCTGGAGCCCCGAGAGTGGCCACCGACGCGCCCCGTGCTATTGTTCGCGTTCTCGCCGGGGAAGGGAGAAGTGTGGCCTGACGCAGCAGGAGTGTTCATTTCGTTTGACCCGGTGTACGAGTGGCGAATATTAGAGTTGGAGGAACTGGTGCTGTTGTTCAAGCGCGACTGCGTCTATGGAAAGAAAAAGCGACGTCAGCGGTTGGTACGGAGCACGATAGCGATGATGTGCGTACCTGCGTGTACGAAGCAAAGTCAGGCCTCGAGCGGGGACCCAGATCAGGACCAGCCGTGACGGGACCGGGCGACCTATTGCCCGACGTCTCATTGGCGAACAAGACCCCGTTCGCGGCGAACGAAGGATACGCAGACTTGTTCTGGTGCTTGAGGTTGGGCTGGTCAAGCGACGAGGTATCGACCCGAAGAGCTCCGGTGGGCGGACGCGAACCAGACTGGTACCCATTGGGAGACGAGTCGTTCGAGTGGGTGTTCGTCGGTGTGGCGTTCGCGGCGGCGTTGGTGTTGTCCTGGTTGCGCTTGGCCGAGATGCGGGCGAGGAGCGAGACCGGAGGCTCGTTGGAGTCGCTGTCTGAGCGACTGCGAGTGGCCTCGGTCACCTTCGGAGGAGGGGCACCATCCGCGCCAGGCGGAGCACCAGAAGCAGGGAGCTCAGTGTGGATGAAGCAGCAACGTTTGCCATAGGGACACGAGCCAGACACCCAGAAGGTCTGCGGATAGGAAGTTGGAGGTTAGTAAACTACGTCGATGAACTCGAAATATAGATGCTCACCCTACAGATCTCGGTCTTGTACTAAGGTCGAAATAAACAAGGCGTAAGTAACACGGTTGGAGTGCTGATGAGATAGGAATAACGTACCTTAGGGTGGCGAGACACCTTGCGAATCTCCTCCTCACCATGCGCGAACTGACACTTCGGTCCATAACGACAAGTACCCTTCTCCTCCCAGCTCCTGCACAGCTCAGTCTTGTACAGCCCCAACTTGCGGTTGTTAGCGCTCGGGCCGTTGCCGCTGGGGTCGACGGAAAGCGATCCATTCAAGCTACCACTGGGGCTGGTCAGGCCCGACTGAAGCTCCTGCGCGGGCATGCCGACACCGTACCCAGGGTACTGAGATTGGAGACGAGCAGCGGCCATGACCTGAGCGGCGACGCCGGGATTTTGGTAACCGTCTTGCGGAGGGTAGAACTGGTTAGGATACATCCCCATCGCCTGCGGGGGCATAGCAGCAGGATACATCCCAGGCGCGGCGAACGGAGCCATACCGCCATTCATCATCGCGGCGGCAGCCTCACGGAGGTGCAGGGGATCGGACGTCGAGTGCTGGTGAGCGGGACGGAACACGTTGTGCTGCTGTTGGACACGAGCGAGAGCGGGGTTGTCGTGGAGCGGGACCATCATGTCATACAGCTGCTGGGTACTGCCGAGCGAGAGATGAGACGTATGGGAAGGAGCCGGAGCACCGTAGCCAACGTTCGCGGCATTCGGAACCATACCCTGCATCTGAGGGTTGAAGCCACGAGGCTGCTGGGGCTGAGGTTGAGGGCGGTAAGAGGGCATAGCGTTGACGTTTCGCGAACCGGGGAAAGTGGGGTTCTGGCCGTGGGTATCGTCGGACTGGTACTGGCGCTGTGGAATAGCGTAGTCGACTTGGAACTCGTCCTGACGCGAGGGTCCGTGCCTCGATCCTTGAGGAGCTCCATAGCCAGTCAGCGACGGGTATGTCGTCTGCTCAGGTCTGTCGACAGCGGACATGATGCCAGAGCCCCACTGGTCCTGGTTACCGTCCGAAGGATTGTCGCCAGCGGTCTGCAGGCGGCGAAGGTCCGCGCTCGAAAGGCCGCCACTGAAGGAGTGCGGACGATCCCGATGTTCGCTCGTGTTGACCTTGAGACTCTGCGACTGCAACGTGTTGTTATTCCCGGAAAGTCGGCTCGACGAGGCTGTGTCGGTCGACGACTCGCGAGAGTGCGACGCGATGTTGAGATGCTGGTCCGAGGGATTGGGCGACGAGCCGGAGTCGATGCTGGCGTCAGAGGAAGTCTCCAGAGGACTGGTCTCGTGTACTTGGACGATCGCGGCAGCACCCTTGTTCTTGGGCGGCGTGCGAATCGCGCTGTGCAAGTCGTCACCACTATCAATACCGTTGCTGATCTTCAAGCGAACGATTTCATCGGCAAGCTCCCAAGAAGCAGCTTCGGCGTCTTTATCGACAAGCTGGCCACTGTTGTTGAAGCGCCAGCGGCCGCCTGTAGGGACAGCAGTGTCGGGCGAAGGTGACGCATCCGTTGTCTGGAATGCGTTCTGCGACGAGCGAGACGGGAGATAGGACGCGGACGGGTATTTGGGAGGTATAGCTTGATTGAAGATGGCGGTGTTGATGTGGGGACGGCGCTAAACGACAGAGAGATATGAACGCAGTCAGCGGCTGCGCGGACGCCATCAAACAGGATAAATAATGCCGCGGATTACGCTTCCTTAACGGGAATGGAAGGTGAAGGGGAGGTAGTGGTCGACTCACATCCTTGGCTGAGTCCTCCATGTTAGTAGAATCTCTGGGCGTTGTCCAATCACGAGGGTTAGTTTTTGCAGGCTTTGACGAGTACGGCGGAGAACGACGGTTTTCGGGCGATGACGAGAATAGGTTGTTTGATATTGGGGCAGAAGTCGTGACAGCGTCGTGCATTTAAACTGGACGAGAATTTAGATGTGAGCAAGGGCAGAGAGAGGGCAGCGGGTAAGAGAGAAAAAAAGACGGACCAATTAAGGATAAATTTGACGATTCCGAGAGGATGCTTGCGAGATAAAAAGGTGCTTGAGGGAGTATGACGAATAATCGAGTTGCGAGAGGAGAGCGAGATGATGAATGCGAAGTGCTGATGCGAGGAGAAATGCGGGGGGCGAGTGCAGCAAGTGAAGCAATAGATAGCCGATACCGACGCCTAACAAGGGCCTGGTCGGCTCTTGAAGAAGCTAAGGGTCTAGTGGGATGCGACGAACTAGGCGCCTGAAGACCTGCTGGGACGACGACGATGAGCGACGATGAAAAAAGACCCAGATGAGAGCGGATGGGGAGGGATGGTGGTGGTTCGGGACGAAGAAGGGTGAAGAAAAGAAAAGACGGATTGGGAGAAATCGAAGGGTTTGGGGTGGAGCAAAGGAGGAGGAGTAACGTACTGAGTGATCACAACGTGCCCTGTGCGTGGACCGGGATTGCCAATAAATACGTCGACGGCTCGTTCTCTGGAATTCTTGCGTGCTGGACCCACGCAAAAGAGTCGTGTCCGCCTTTCTGAGTCGCGACGAAGGCTCTATCGATGGACGGCTGGTTGTAGACGGCGAGCAGGAGCAGAGACGGAGACGAACGTCGTGCGAGCGCCGTCATATATTCAGCTTATGTAACATACCCTCCCACGCCTCAAATCACAGCGATGGCCGCGATATTAATTTACACGTTCTCCGCCCCTACGCCTCCAGGCAAACACGCCCGATATTACTGCATTCCTTTTCGCACTCTCTCATGTCATTCTTCGCTGCAGAAATCGATATGAGAATCGTATTTCCCCATACCCATAATTCCCTGTTCTTCTCGACGCTGTGCCGTCCTTGTGAAGTATTTCGCACGTGTCATACAAACATTCCTGTGCTTCTTTCTCGCATCCCTGAATCGCGGATACGCCGCTTACACCTCGCTTGCACTAAAACAAGCTGGTAGCGCCTCTTGCTCTCTTTCATGAAAACTCATGGATCAGACAATCCGCCCTGTGTACCCAAAGCTGCATTCTGATCAGACTTCTTCGCACATCACAATCGCCCACACGCAATCGGCGCCACACACTGTACGTCTTGATGTTCAATGTATCGCCACCAGGCCGTTGCGGCCCTCCACAATGCGTCAACGATCTCACACCGTTACTCTCCTTCGTTGACGACGATGTACTCGCTCGAGCGGTTAACTTCAAGGCTATTTACACGCTGACCGAGCTCAACGCTTCACCCACGCACCTCCGCTTCTCCGAGCCTCTCAGTGGTACAACGCCGTCGCATCTACCCTATCTCCTTGTATCCGTATATGTGATCATCCTCCGGGAGCCTTTCCATTCTCACAACATTCTCTCGCAGCGCGTTCACCTCGTGTGGCCCCAAAACGGGTCAGAACATCGACCAGCTGGTCCTGCCTCGCCGTTCGCTCGCCTACACACGCACGGAGCGCCACCCAGTTGTTCACGTTTACGCGGTTTGCACCTTCTGGAACCTTCTCGCTCGAGAAGGAAGGGATTCTTACCGCTACCCCTCCCTTTATGAAAGTCTGGCTCTGAGTTATCGATGGCCGTTGTCCACCGGGTTATTGCCCAAGGCCAGTGAGATCCCCAACGCTTTCGTGCTTGGTCGGAGGGTGGGCGCAAATGATATCTTCTGCACAGCTTTCAATTGTCGTGATCGGACCATAATTATGCTGCTTGTAAGAGGTCACTCGTCCATGAACGGCCATGAGCTACTCTATTCTCTTCGACCCCGCAATATATCTTTCATTTCCCCCAAGTGATACGTACTGTTATTCTCGCTGTCACTGTATTCTAGTGTATTCCTCTTTCACCAAGCAACTCTAACCACCCGGCGTAAGTATACACGTCACTCATCCTGGAACCCCCTATTGCGATATTGTGGCGGTGGCGTCGAACGACGTCTAAACTGAAATGTTCAACATGTCTCGGAACGGAAGACGAACGGAAGCAAAACGAAAAAAGCCTCCGCTGTCAGTACCCCACGCCACGATCAACTTGAACCTGCATATGGCAGAATGGTTCCAGGGCAGCGAAAGTAAAGCATCGGACCCAAAAATGTAATCGGTCGCCTAGTACACGATATCGATACAGTACTGCCCTCTGCGCCATGCTATACTCTACTGTACTGCGCCACCGCTGGGTATAAATACTGTACACTTAAGTTAGGGGCGTTTGCGCCCACGAACATAGAGGGTGTGATCTTGGGGAGGCCAGTTACTTCCCCAAGATTGTTGTGGTCTCGAATGTCAGTAGGCCCCCTAGTAGTCGTGTACGCTTTTTAATTTTAGTTTCAGTACTGTAATGCTTCGAGTTCGAGGCCGCCTGCTGGGCGTCAGGAATGACGGATGCTGCGGTTCATACCAGTCGACATATTAAATAAGATGTCGGGCTGCTCAATATTTTGCGAAGGCGACGGTGGCACTGGCAAAGTTGTCGTCGAACATGAAAATATCGTGCCAGTGACGGAATATATTCGGTTGAGCCAATAGCCCACTCAGACGATAGTTTTGGAGACTCGGACCTCTTCAACTTACACGCTGTGTCGGTGCGTCCAGTCCAGCCCTCAGATCTGCTTCGGAGAATACGAAGCTCATTTCGGACTTTGAGCTCATCCATCCATCCATCTATCCGTCATCGACGTCTCTATCGGGCGAGCGACGACAACTTATTGCGCACGACCAAGACGATGCTAGAGTACTTATGCCGGGGCCTAATCTGCAGGTCAGCGACACGCAAGGACAGTAATCAGATATCATCCTCATGTGGCGATGAGCAGAAGAAGAGGAAGTAACATTCATGCTCTGAATCGATATACGACGCAAACCAGTACTCTGAGTCCGAGTCCGCGTTCGACAGATTGCTGTCATTAACGGCTATTACTCTTCACCAAACCTCCATCGCGATAGCCGTCGACGACACGAGTCCAATCCGTTAAATAGAGCCAAACTTGGGCGCAAAGATTGCCTAAGAGATACACACAACATACATACTGATGGATTGATTCATGTAACGATTGCTTCACATCCCCCGCCTCTGACGATCACGCGTCTAGGAAAATGAGGTGGAAGAACCATCAGTATCAAGGGTAAGACGTACAAAGATGATGGGTGGGAGGGAAGGGAAGGGGGAGGAACCCGAAAGACAAAAAGACAAAAGGACAAGACACGTACAATATGACGTCCCAACGAGCATCGTTGACAAGTTCTGCAGTTGGTCCTCGTCGAAGCTCAGCTGATCTTTGTGCCAAGTATCCTGTGTCATGTTAAACGTAGGTGGTAAGCAAGCTTATTTCGAGCTGAAAGAGGAAGTGGACGGGAATCAGGCGGTCTTACCTGATGGGTCTGGTAGAAAGCCGGGTTAGTCAAGGTTATGAAGAGGAAGGAGACCAGACGAACCTTCTTGAACTCAGACGAACACTTTCTGATTGTGCTTGAGATAGGCGGAGGATCAGTCGCATGCAAAGCGAGAACTAGAGTAAGGTTATCGGTCCAAGTTGTGAGAATCGACCACGTGAGCACGGTAGTAGACGATGCTCACTGTCGGTCAGCGGGGGCATCCAGGGCTCGACAGAGTAAGGGAAACTCTCAATGAGCGCACACAAGCCCAAGATGGCAGAGTGCAGCGTGCGCAGAGATTCGGCGTAAGCAGGATCTTTTCGCTGCGGTATCCTCGTCTTACGCGCCAGCGAGACGAAGCGATCCTACAATCTAGAATATCAGCCAAGGTCGGGCAAGAAGCATGCTTGAAAGGTACTCGACCTTAAGTGGAATGATGCTCTGTCGTTGAGAGACGCGGACGATGCCTGAGAGCGCCTTTGATGCCATCTCTCGCACCTCCACATTATCGTCCGAGAGGCAATTGAGCAGAACAGTCATAACAGTGGATATACTCTCGTTCGGAATGCTCAAGAGGTTGCGATAGAAGAAGACGACCAAAGCTGGTAAGGCATGCATCCGGATTCTCCATTGCTGCAGGAGAGTTGACGCATCAGGGGAAGAAGAAAATAAATCAGGGAGGCACATACCGTTGAAGACTTGATGGCGTCCACGAAACTGGAGGTGATGACCTCTGTCGTTTCCCGTGCTCGAGGAGGTGCGACGGCTGAGAGAATATATAGCACTGCTCGACTATGGGTCTGTAACTCTGTGTCGTCGCTGAGCTCCGACATGCGGAAGAACTCGGGACTGTGGAAACGCCGTTAGTGATTGGGTGGGAATTGCTGAACGATGGAGAATACGCACAGCATGTGTAGCATGTATGGGAACATCAAAGACGCGTGAGAACTGTAGAATGAGACCCACATCCATCGCAACACTAAAGTCCTTCGTTAGCCTCATGATAAACCGTCCGAAGCTGAGACTTACGGGTCAGACCAACTTTGTCGTACTACTCATACCATGATCAGCCGCGGTATCTCATAAGGAACGACGCTATAACATACCTGAGATTGATTGACTCGCGGTGGAGGAAGTCGTTCTTCTTTCCACTTCGGGAGCTGTTGCACGACTTCTACAAACCGCGAGAGATACGGCGCTTGTCTCCGGTAGAGTTCAGTACAAGTAATTCAAGGAAGCTGCAGCATAACCTACCGGATCTGCAGAGGGTCATCCGAGGTCTGACAAGCTTGTAGGAACGCCTCGACGGAAGGGTACGCCGGCCGCCATTGGTTGGTGACGATTATGTAGAGATCTTGCGCGATGAGTACTCTCATCTATCGTACAGTGAGTTCGACCCCACGCAGAGATATATTTTACGATAAATACCTCCGCATAGCCTATGTTGCAGTTGTCCAAGAACAGATTGAAGTACTTATCCATCACCTGCTTATCTCGTCGCCCGACAAGGTCCAGATAACAGCTGATCATGGCGAGCGACTTTGTGACTGCCAGTGCAAAGTTATGAGCATCAGGTGAGACATCAAATGAGAAAGGACTTTAACTTACTAGCGAACGCAGAGTCACTCTGGAGATCAAGAGGCAGAGAAAGAACCCAAGACACAAGGGCGGGTGTCCGACGCGGGTCACGTTCCTCGAGGGCAAGGTTAACAATACCCTCCCACAAGTTTAATGTATCTGGCTTGATCTGTGCAAAGATTCGATCAAGACGATCGGTAATCCAGGACCATAGTTGATCGGAAAGCTGCTTCGGCCAGTGTTTTGATCCTGAGTGACGAACATAAGCATTATAGTCAAGATGACAGAGAAAATGTAGACGTACCACGAGCGAGACCGCCTATAATCTCAGCAGCAGCGCGCTGCTTGAACCTGTCCGCGTCCCATAAGAGCGGTTCAGTGACCTGAAGGAGTTTCTCAAGCCCTGCGCCTTGGAATGTCTTGGCTACACAGAGCGGTCAGCGCACGCCACAAACAAGTACAGCCTGAGGAGCGTAACGAACCCAGTGTCTTGATAAACAAGATATTATCTGGCCGAAGCTCGGGATTCCCCGTTGTCCTTCCCGACTCCTGTCCCCAAAGCACCGCCAATTTGTCGAAGTACTCGTCCTGGTCGATGAGCGCTGTGATCGTCTCGAGAGCTGGTTGGGACTCGGTCTCCCAAGACAATGGCGGGGGTCCTGCGGGCACAGCCTTATACGCCTTCGTATGGGGAGTCCATGCGAGGAATCCAGAGCTAAGCTGGTCGATGTACAGATCCCTATGCGAGGTGACAGCGTTCATCATATCTGAAAGTCTCACAGTAGGTGGTGACTTACTGGGCTCCTCCCGATTGAATGGGCTGTTGAGCAAGCTTCAAGAATTCCTCTTCACTCTTGATCGAAAGCTGAGTGGACAAAGGACTGGTCCACGCATCCAACCATAGTTCCTCCGACGTCTTCGAGTATGTGCGGATTTTGATGAATGCCGCAATCTTTATGATCCCACTGACAACGACACGCTTCAATAACGACAGGAAGACGTAGGGCTGCTATGGACGGCTTACCGTTGAGCGATCCTGCGTAGCGTCGGGTGAGGACTTGTTGTTTGTTCGATGAAGAGCTTGGTCAAAGCAGCCGATGGAGGGGCATCTCGCCGGAGCAGTGCATAGAGAAAGGTCAGAGCGATTTGAACATAACGCCACTGACACAGGTGGTACGTCAATCAAACGATACGGCGCAGAGAGGTGAAAGGCCTTACATGGGTGGAAGGTCGCAATGCGATCTCTACAATCGTCGCTACCTACGAAACGAAGTCGATACACAGAAGTATGTTGAGCGAATCGAAGCGCGGATACAACGACAAAACACACCGTCTCGTCATACTTTTGCAGCCTGACCGCAGTCCTTGAAGAGCGTTTCTGCACAGCTTCTGTGAGGATCGCCTGATCGACGACCTTTGGAGAGAACTCAGACGCTAGGGCATTGATCGCATTAACTACACCAGGTGTTTCGTCGGTGTAGGCATCTGTTCGCGTAGTCTCTTCCTGGAGATGGCTAAGGCTATCTTGCGCGAGCGACGCTATGAGCTTCTGGATGGAGGGCTAGGTGATCGACAAATGTTCAGGGTCAGTAGCGGCAACGCAAAGAGCACATTGAAAGACATTGACCTTCTCTTGGTGTTGAGATTCGAGCAGCGCGATCAGGTATTTTCCATACATCGCGGGATCTTTCGGGTCTAAGACAGAAAGTCATGAGCCAGAATTCTCATCCATCAAAGACCATTTCTTGCCTGCGATAGCGTAGCTGGCAATTCCTTTGTTCCACAGAATGTAGAGTGCTCCCTTCATGCGGTCTGCGTCGATACCTTTGGCTAGGGCGTCGAATAGCATCGGAAGGATCAACCTGGTGGACCGCACATAGAGCTACAAAGGACGTCAGCAACAGACGCAATCAAAGCAGAGGGTACAAGGATCATACCCCGCAGATGTTGTTAAGGACAGCCTGTGCATGTCTACATATAAATGAGCCACCGATCCTTAAAAGAGCTATCTAGGTAACTCACCTTCTTACGCGGACGTAGCTAGATATCGACAACTCGAGCGTGTCAGTCAGTAGTTGGTCGTCGAGTTCCGACCGGCGACGGTATACATCATGCAAGTAGACACGCCCACTTTCCACGTCACAATCAGCAACAGCATGATTTTATCTTATATATTGACTGACCTGTGGTACACCTGGGCACGCTTCATCCAAACAAGCCTGGCATTCTGTTTCTGCTTCGGTCCCAGACGGTTGATGCTACAGCACAGTTGTGAAATCAGCATGGTTTCTCGTTCTCCGTGAAAGAATCAATGGACGAAGAGACTCGGCACTTACTTCCGCTGCGTCGAATAGTTCTTTTGCAACACATCGAATTCGGTTCTCCCCAACGCGTAATCTGACATGTAAACATCGATCGCCTTCGCCACTGAGAGCACGGCATCGATATGATCCTCTCCCTCATGTCCTTGTCCCAACGCAGTTGCGGCTTTATGTACGGCGTGACCAAACCTCTGACGATGAGCGGCAGCTCTCTGGTACCGTGGGTCGGCAGGGTCAGCCAAGGCGAAACCGGCTTCGACGTCGATCGATTTGACGACGAGGGACTCGACCTCGAGATGTGGATTCAGACAGCTCTGGACGACTTCTTTGGGGCCTTCCTTGATGAACGTGCTGAGACCACTCCAGGTGGACCGGCATACGTGGAGGTAGCTATGGGACAAGAGCGTGAATTGGAGCGTGACATTGATGATAGGCTCGCCTACTCACCGACAGAAGTCATTTCGGGCCACATTATCCCATGAATCAGCCGTATTGAGTAGTGTTTCAACTTTGTCCAAGGCGGGAGCGACAATCTTGTCCAGAATTTCCAAGGCGAATGAAATCTCCTCTGCGGATGGAACTGCACACAAAAAAATGTCAGTCGCTGAATATTGTGTCAAACAGGCCGGACGGACCGTGCCACTCGGTTTTCACATCCTTGGCCTCGTACATCTTGCCCCAATGAAGATTGTGATCTTTATCAAATTCTACTCAAGGATCGCGATGAGTGACAAAATACATTCATAATTGTCACAATGGTACACGCACCGGGATCGTTCCACTCGTCGGTGTTGACGAATCTACTGTCCAGAGGATATACACCTGTAAGTGTGGCCATGATACGAGCGATGAGCCTCGCGCTTCCTCCGTATCCTCTTTCGCTCAAGGTCTTCTCAACGAGCAAAGAGAGCACTTCGATGATTTGGTCTTTGTGTTTAAGAAGCTGTAACCGGAATGTCAGATATTGTCCTCGGGTATGGCATGCAATCGACAACATACCGCTTTGCCTTCGTAGCCAAAGCACCCGCGAAGTATAGCGATGTCTATAGCATAGCAATGAGTGACTAGAGTCTTTGAATTCGTGCATAATAGCTTACTCCAGTGTAGAGTCGTATCCGAAGGAACCGGGACATGGGTCGTTGTAGTCCGTATACTAGACGCCCCATGCTTCAACTCCTCCTCGATCTGCGCCTTACACCATGGGAAGAACTTGTCGATCGTCTTCTGAGGTTGTGCCCTCGCAAGACTGGAAACCATCTGCCCAAAGGCCTTGACAGCGTTAGACTTGGCTGTCGACGTAGCGTATTCGAAGACGAGCTTGAGGACGAGATCGAAGAGTGGGTCGGAGAGGTGGAGGCAAACAACATCAAGAGTGTTCTTGAGCGAGCGGAGGACACTCTCTTCTTGTTTTCCTCCCGTCGTGTTCTTCTTACCTCCCTCTTCGGGTAAATTCTCATACAAAGCGAGGATCCGTCGGAAGAGCGATGTGACCCAGTCTGAAAAGCGAGTTTGATGGGGAGGTTAAGAAAGATAAATTATGTATGCAACGTACCTGCGAACGAAGCAGTGCTCTCTCTGGCCAAGGTCCTCTCTTCAGCTTTGCTGAGGACGGGCATTCCGATCCCCTCGGTGCCATCAGGCAGGCGAGTGTCCTCGTCCACATCCATGGAGTCCTCAGGTGGCGCGTCACCCGAGAGCGACAGACCCGATTGTGTCATGGACAAATCCCCGATCTTGATATGTTGGCATACAGCCACGATGAAAGCTGAAGCGCAAACTGTCTTCGTCGGATCGTTCTTGAAGACCGTAGAGTGTTAATTCGAGGTTAGTGGCACCATTAAAGCCAAGGACAGCGTACCAGATCAATACCCGGGATACATAATTCCAACAAGGGGGCAATGTGCTTCTGTCCGCCCAGCCAAACTTGCTCAGAAGCCAGCGGCAAGGCCACACCCGCAAGCATAGCCAAAACAGCGATGGTCCTGTGCGTTTCGAGCACAACTTCCAAGCCGCTATATGCACGCTCGAGCAGCTCGGGCATTATCAGACTAGGTTCGAGAAGGGCCATGTAGCGTAGTGCATTCTGAGCGAAACCTGCAGAGAGGGGATCTTTGGAGAACATGGCGAGGAGTGCTGGCGTGCGGAGGGTCAGGACGAGAGCCCGGCGAATAGCGGGTGTGAGGCGTTGACCCTATGAACGAAAGTCAGACAGGGTATGTGCTTGTAGATATATCAACATACGACAGGGGTCTTGCAGCTAGATTGCTCTTCTTCCTTCCAGCGCTTGCCAAACTCGTACGTTACTCGGGACAAGAAGCTCGTCAACTAGAACAGAAAGTAATTAGAGAGTAGACACGATCTGATGGAAAAGTAGCAGAACATACACTCATTGTCCACAGGCCAGAGTTGGATGGATGAAAGAATGATTCAGTGCTAGTAATCAGCCTATCTAGAGAGTCCATCGCTTTCGATCCAGCCAAAAACCCTTCTTGTCGCGCTGAATAATCCGCGCCACGCGAAGGAAGTGTATCGACTCGAACGGGGCCATCGACAGCCATAGAGTACACGATCATCCTCGCCAGACAATCTTTAAGGGGAATCATAGATTATTCGATTGCCCTCGCTTAACGTTTCCTATGAGTGAGATACTCACTGGAACGACTTATTGGCTTCTTGATTCGTAGAGAAGGGTGGTCGCCCTTGGTATCGGCATATCCACCGGTTGTGCTTGCGCCCTGGAGGGTCAGCGAAGTATAAGTACTTATCTCAGACCTTGAGCAGGGGAAGAGAACGTACTCTAGTAGCTCCTACTGGGACATCTGGAGGTAACGCTGGAGTCAGAGGCGGTATATTTTATCAGTGAGCAAGGGACACATACTCATGGATCCCAACGCCTTGCCGATCAGGACAGTCCACTCTTCCTGAGTCCAAATCCCGACGTCTTTCCACGGAGCGCCACCTTCAGCACCAGCATCGCCGGCAGTCCCTGCGACATGTTCTTCGGATAATTCACCGACGAGGTTGATCATTCTGTCGTCCACGATAGCAGAGTTGAACGCCTCCCAAATCTTGAAGAGAGCCGGAATGTAAAGATGAGTGTGCGTAGGTGGAAGAAATGAGGTTATGGCAGGAATCATTGTGAGGTATGTCTGAACGGAGCAATATAGACTATTAGCGCCACACAGACACTCAAAAAGTGAAGTCGGACAGTACATCCTGGGTCAGAAGAGGTATGAAAGTCGACAACATCTCCGGTATCTCAGATGAGGGGTAATATCGCTTGCATTGCTCAGCAACGAATAGGAGGATGTTGACTACATTGCGGCTTTATACGACAGCGAAGGATCTTTCAGCACATAATGATGGTATCAGATAAAGTGTGACTGACGAAGGCTCGTAAAGGTTACTCTTGATCCAGAGTTCCTTCTGGAGCACTTTCCACAACGGCTTCCAAGGAAGTTGCAGGTCTTGAGGTTCGAGCTTGCGGCGGGAGTCAGACTTGGAAGCCAAAAGCCTAGAGAGCATGTCCGCCCACGAGCGCGTAATGCGGGGCTCGATGCCCGGGAGGAGACAGAGTTCATAGTAGAGACGAATAAGTTTTGCACGGAGAGACTTAGAAACGGGATACCGCATGAGGAGCCAGCTGAAGGAATGTGTGGCGTGGATATGAAATTCAGCAGTTCTAAGAACGAAGTAAACGAGAACACGGCGTACCACTGGAGTGCGCCATCCCAAGTGGAGAAAAGAAGCCAGTTCTTGGTCTCTACACAAATAGAGAGCTTTCCGACAGTATCCTCGAGTTTCTCGAGCATAACCTCCTCTGGCTCGCATTCATACGGAACGGAGTCGACATAGGTCTTGAGAGTGGCGCGCTGTTTCTCAAGAGCTAGTTGATCGGGAGATAACGAGTCGGACTCGAGGACAGGGGAGCCTGGCGTAGAGACGTCTTCGTCGCCATCCATGATATATCCTACGTGAGCTCCTACGGCTTGGAGAACACTGCTTAGATCAGTCAAGGACAAGTTTGGGTCTACGAGCGAAGCATCCATGATGGACAAAGCAGGTTGTAGTGCTAAGTATTGGGTGGAACAGAGACAGAAAAGTAAAACAAAGGCGAACCGCTATCAGAAAGTTTATATGCAACGCAAAGCGATTGCGCGGCCTGCGTTACGAATAGAGAGATGACGCGTCGAACAAGTCAGTGGCGAGAGAATGGACACGAATATCATTGCTGAGAGTTAGACGCGGACGCGTAATTGCGAGACACGTGGTTATCTCCGCGCCGATTCAGACGCGTCTTCCTCTCGCCGAGCTCTCGGGCATCTGTTTCACTCAAAACACTCCGATCCACCATGCTCGCCCGAGCCTCAGGCAGGCTACTTCGTACTCAGTCTCCGCGTATCGCTGTCTCATCGCTTTCTCGCATATCCCTGCTCAACGCGCGGCGGAGTTTCCACCACAATAAAGATCCTTATTCCCCAAAATATACTGCTCTGTTATGGGCTTCTCTCTTCGGTCTCTCAGGCGCCGCGGTCCTCTTGCAGAACACTGTTTACCTCGATGCTGACCCTTCATCCACCAATGCAGATGTCGTAGGTTCGTAATGTGAATCGCTGTTATTTCTGCTTGACTAAGTGACTATCATGACAGTGGACCCTGCTACATCCATTGAGTTTCCGAAGACACTTCGTATCCCGTCCAAGACCATCTTGCCACCTTTTTCACTCATAGGTGTCGGAGTTCGCACTGTCTCCTTCCTCAAGATCAAGGTGTACTCGGTTGCTTTCTACGCGGACCTCACCAACCCGAACTTGAAGGTACTTATGCCGAGTTTAGTCGCTGGAGACCCATCCTGTAACCACGCTCTATAGATCCCGTTGTCTGCCACACCGGAAGAGAAGATCGACTATCTCGTCCATAATACTGCTTGCGTGATCCGCATTGGTACGATTTTTGTCTTTCTTCTTCTTTTGTAGTAGCTGGCTCACCATCTCGTGAAGTTCCCACCCGTACCACATCCTACACACATCTTCGCGACGCCTTCATACGATCCCTCCAAGCCCGACAACAGTTGCTCCGTTCCCGCGGTACCCTCTCCGACGATACAATCATGTCCATCCAATCACCCATCAACAAGTTGAAGACTCTCTTCCCCAACACTCCCCTGAACAAACACACCCCTCTTGACATCCTGCTGACACCACCCTTCCCGGATAAACCTCGTACACTCATCCTTCGTGATCTGGGTGTCATACAGGATGATTGGGTAGCACAGGAGTTCGTTTTGGCTTATTTTGAGGGTGATGGCAATAGCCCAGCTGTGAGTCAATTTCCCTTCGTCCCGTGAAAGACAAAATGCTTACCAATGAAACCATGTGGTCCAGCTCAAAAAATCAGTTGTCGAGAAACTGACGGGTTACAGTACCGACTAAGCCACATTTTACTGCTATTTATGTATCTATTTTTCCAGCAATGCCAAATCACCTCTCACTCATTTGACCAGTACTGGCAACATCCACCTCGGATCTTACGCCCTCACATAGCTCGAGTGTGCGCATCCTTGTCTCCTTGCATTCTCGGTCGGATCGCTTCTTTCCCAAGTATCCTAATAGATATTGACCGTGTTGTGGGCCTCGAAACCATTCACAATACATGTGCTCCTGACTATTCGAGAGGACAGTAATGAAACAGTAACATCAACACCAAACACAAGCCAGTAAGTAAGTAGTAAGTATAGCGTGAATATATCGTGAACGGAAATAAAAACTACATCGTAAGTAATTGCACGTAGTCCCAAAAGGTCCTTACACCGCTCAAAACAACACCCTCAACCCCTGCATAGATCACCAAGCCCCGTGAAATGAAAGACTCTCATACATCAAGTGCCTTGACCTTCTCCGTCTCTTGCATATTCAAAGTCTCCGCCGAGGTCGACTTGTCGCCCGGCTTCACATCGTCTTCCACGCCACACCACTTCTTCACATTGACGCTCAAGATCGACACCCCGACGAGCCACTCGACGGTGATCTGCAAGATGTAGAACTCGGCCTTGCGACCACCGGAACTCGCGTCTGTTGGTGGGTTGAAGAGGGTGCTCAGACGGTAACATGGGACGACAATCTGGAAGTGAACAAGGGAGTGTCAGCGTCAGAGTAACGACCGAACTTATAAGAGTGGTTCGGTATAGAAAAGTAAGAGCGTACGAGAAGAAGTGTGGTAAGACAGAGCCAATACGTAGTCCTCTTGGGTAGGTGAGGGATACGGGAGAGGTGGACGTTATACCCAAAGATGGCGACGAGAGCGAGGAGCGTAAGGATCGTAGAAACCTTTCTAAAAAGCAGGTCACAGCCTGTATAAGTATGGTGCATGTTAACCGTGGCGATTGACAATACGAACCTATACGTCGGGTTGGAGTAATCGTAGGCAGTGGCAGAAAGCAAGATGCTGGGATAGATGGCTGAATAAGCGTGCGAGACGATAGGTCACTGCAAAGAATACTCACCCAGCGACAAACAAAATAAGGTCTGTGAAACGCGTAAAACGTCTCTGTTTCTTGGCGGTCTTCCAATTTTGACCACGGAGTTCATGGAAGACGGTGAACTCGTTTAAAGTGGATGCCAGCCATAGGTAGCCGATACTAATCAACACCTAAAATAGAGAAGGAAAGACAGGGTTTAGCTTCAGAAGTAAACATAATGATAGCACGAATTCGACTGACCTGCTCTCCGATGAATAGGCCCTGGTTGAAAGTTCCTTTCCCCTCAATCGTGTCCTGTATGTTTTTCCCGTCCACGGCCCTCAAGATCATGGTCGTCACCCTCACGAGCTCAAACAGATTGAGACGGATGAAAGATCCAACCATGCGCCTCGAACGGCGGTACCGCACCGTACGCCATATACAGACGACCGTCGTGATTAAGTAGAGGACGGCGAAGACGATGCATGGTGCAAGATCCTGAGAAATCGTTGGGAAACCACCGGTATAGGTATCGGAGATGGAGCCGTCACTGGCGAGAGCAGACATTGTCAAGTGGTCACAAAAAGTTTGTAAGAGAAGTAGAGGACGTTGGTAGTTGTGAGGGGGCCACCATCATTCTCAGGATGTTCATATATATACACAGGCAGACTCAACGACGCCGGTGAGTACTGTTATGTTCCTGACCTTGTTGTCGGTGGCATAAGAACATTTAAGCATAGAGCACTCATCGGTGTACATCAGAGAGGCTGCTCGCGAGTCAGAGCTAGGAATCGTCTTGTAGTGCGGCTGTGCAACCGCTGTAGGTGCACGCCGTGTGAGTCCATATTGAGATCAAAGGCGTAGTGAGATCAATGATAGTATTTGCGCAGTGATAGGTGAGTCTGAGAGGTACCAGGCTAGAGACATATCAGAGCCTATCGTGGAGCAGACATGCACCAGTGAACCATTTCAGATATTGAGCACTGCTTCATACAATGTGGCAGAGCAGAGGAAGAGGTGAACAAACGCAAGTGACACCCGTCCGAATCGGACCGGCCATCGAGGTCAACATTCCGAGAGCACGTGAGCGTGATCGCGACGCGTTTGTCGGACTTCGAATTGAAAGTCGCGAAAGTCGGACTGTCCTTTGGCGCTCAGCCTTCCCCTTCATCGACAACTAGCCCAGGAACATACCTTTCGATCCTCATTGATTGACCTCATGATATGTGGTTTACCTGCCCCACTTGCGGGAAGGGTCCACTAACCCTCGAGGAATTCCGTATCATCGACAAATGTGGTACGTTGTCTCCTGAAGCTTATAAGGCTATACTTAGCCAGACCACCAATGCCTGTTGACACCATATCTCCTTCCATAGGTCATGGTGCATGCATCGAATGTCTGGAGCGGTGGCTTGAAGACAATCCAAAGAAGACTTGTGCAGTCTGTCGGGAACCCCACACTCACAAAAACCTTCGCCGAATCTTCATTGATTGGGAACTAGCAGAGAACCCATTGATCGTACGGACGAATGAGGTTGCCCAGAGAATAGGCGAGATGGGTCCCGACAGTCCTTTGAAGAGTGTAAAAAGGACCCCTCATGAAATCGCGAAGCTCGCCAAGATAGCAGCTCGACAACGGGATGTATCGAAAGCGGAGGTGAGTGGCCCATATAGTTTCTCTTCGAGGGATCTGACTTTTCTGACCTCCCTTTCTTCGAAGAGCACACTATGGGACGCGAAAGAAGACTTCGAGACACGACTGGCACCGATGTTTGAGGAACTTGAGGAGCTTCGAAAAAAGAACGAGTCTCTCAAACAAGCGAACGCTGATCTACGAGTCCAGTCAACTCTCGCGCAGAATAAGGCGGCCAAGTATGCTCAGAGGCTCGAAGGGGCGAATCGTGCGGCAGCCGAAGCGGCGGCGTCTTCGACGAAGCTTAACGAGCGGAATGCAACTATCCAGCGTCTCACGGAGGAAAACAGTGTGCTGGAGGCGAATAACAGGCAATACCGTGACCAGCTGGAGAAGCTCAAGAAATCGGTATGTTGTATGGACTTTATGAGAAGAATTGATGTACAAAGATCAGCTGCTGACGTCTATGGTAGGAACAAAGATCACATACAAAGCTTCGTGCCATGGAAAAGCAACGTCAGGCCGATGAGAAGAGGCGGCGCCGACAGGAAGACCGCCCTCAAGGGAAATTTGAGTCCCAAGATGCGAGCCTCATCGTAATGCCACCAGAGGATCCGACGCTCGCTTTGAGTCCGCCTTCGTCTCCCGTCTATTTGGAATTTGAGGAAAGACTCGGTGAGCCTAGCCGTAGCGCTAAGCGGCGAAAGGTTTGTGGTTTAGTCTTCCAGTCGGGCACCAGACTCAATGCCTTCGTCAGATTTTTGTAGACGACGGCACAGACGCAGAGGACACATTAGACAGGCTTCCACTCCTACCAACACTATCCTCGCTGAATGACGCCACACCTGCTCATCGCCCACATCGAACAACCACCTCTCCAAGTAAGATCATCGGTCTCCCTGTGGCCAAACCTTCCTTCGGTTCATCCTGGAATCTGCCCCAGCCACTTCCAGCGAGCACACGGCACAAACTTGAGCGTGAGAAATCTGGATCACTACCGTTTCCATTAGGAAAGGACGGAAAACCGAAAGGACCTCTCCAACTAGGATCGCGGATGAAACTTTCGAAACCGTAAGCTTAGCGGCGGGTAACTGATGTACTACTATCTGTAACGGGACAATCTTGGAGCACCTCTATATACCTTAACGATACCTGACTTCTATAATATGTATTCTAAGTGCTGAAGGGCGGTCGTCATTCATCGTAACTCTTCGTGAATGGGCCACTGACTGTGGCGACGAAGTTGTGGGTCCGATTTTTTGAGTAGTGACGATTCGGCGCCTGCCGATCCCCTTCACTTTGCTCACACCCAGTGAATTGCTCTCACCGTCGGATCTGGTCCTGGACTGACATGCAGTCCCATCGGTTACTTTCTCTCACCTTCGACATGAAGCCACGCATATGTCAGCACGTCGCTGCTCGTCTCTCTAAACGATACATTTTCTCCGCTGCTCGAGTTCACACAAATACCACGCGAAGTTTCGCTACTCACCAGGACCCGGGTCCCATTCCATCGTCTTTGCTCTCGCAAGCACTCGATCAAAAGCAAAGAGCAGGAAGCAGTCAGAAGGAGGACTCTGTAGGACCATTTCAGCTAGGTATTGGGCAACAGAGGTACGAGCAGCCGAATGTGAAGAAATGGTCGGAGCTGAGTACAGGAGGCAAGGGTACGCGGTTTGTTGTTCATCTTTATGTTGGGAAACCAATCTAATGTGTGATGTCCTCAATGTCGTCGTCCATATCATATGTATTACTTTTCTCCTTGAATTGCAGTAACACGAGCTACTGCACGGACGACGAACTTCACTGTCATCGTCCTTGGTGCTAGCTTTTCTGTCATGCTCGTCTACGCATTGACATCAGAGCTTTTCTCCAAAAACTCCCCCACCGTGCTCTACAATGACGCGTGTGAGCGCATAAAATCTTCACCACAGGTACGTTCACCTCCCATTCCACAACGCGGCAAGTATGTAACTCGCATTCTGTTTAGGTCTCGCGATACCTCCAAGGGCCATTGACATTCCACCACAACCCGCCATCCGCCATCCGCCCCCGTCATCGTAACCGACACGTTTCTCACCAAATTGCAGTCGACTCCTCAGGCCACGAACATATGCTCTTAAATTTCTATGTCCAAGCCGGATCATCGTCGTCGTCTTCTTCCGACTCTTCATACTTCGACACAGTGGTCGCATGGGCAAAGGAGAGCGCGGAGGGACTACCGGACGTGACTTTGGAAGAAGCTATCGACTGGACAAAAGATCGAGGAAGGAGGACGGTAGATTCTGCGAAGGAATTGTTCAGATACTTGACTGGAGATCCCATGCCAGTTGAGAGGTCGACGACTCTACCGGGATCCATGGCGACTGAGACGAGGGTAAAGGAAGCAAATAAGGGGGAGAATAAGGGCGTCTGGGGGAGCATCACCGGTTTATTTGGGTCGTTGAGGAGTTCCAGCAGGAGTGGCGCGGATGAGGTGAGGTCGGATGTGGCGTCGAGCAGGTTGTGGCAGGAGGGAGAGGTGCATGCCGAGTTGATCAGGGTAAGCTAGCGCAAGTTGCTTGAGCCTTCCAAGCTAACGGCTCCGCATACACAGAATGATGATGGGTACTTTACTTTTCGATACCTCCTCATTGACCTCCCAAGTACGTTCACCGCCCGAGACGAGTGTACGAGGCGATCTAACGTTACCCTCCGTTTGCAGGCACTCACCACCGGAACCCAACCCGAGTTTTCATCGTGCGGACTGAGGGAGTGCGGGAGAATGAACCTATAATGAGTTGGCAGACATACTAGTGATGATAACAGGACTCTTGCATGACCATTGGCCGTTCAGACGACGCGATGAGCGATGTATATTATTGATGTACACATATAACTTAAATGTCCACAAGCCCAGTTCATTCCATCCATTAGCAGTCTATTCACCAAAGAGCTTTTGGACACGCTTCAATACGGAATCCTTTGCTGGATCTGAACCCAGATGTGAGTGTCAGAAGACAAGTCAGGAGAGGATCGAAGTGCTGCTGACCGTATGGATGGTCCTTTGAGGGTATCTCCAGCAAGGAAGGGAACGCCTGTTGATATTTGTCCACGGTAGGACGAATCTTTTCTGCAATCTATAGCTCTGTCAGAGCGAGACGCTCGTATGGGATGTAAGAGGACAGGACGAACGTGTTGATTGATGAGCAGAATGGCGATATCCTTGCGCTCGGTATACTCCTGGAAAGCAGCCTCAATAATAGGTACCTGGGTTTCTATCAGTCGCAGAGGATAAGTTAATCTTCCGGACTATTGCAATGTGTTATAAGATTGGAAGATGTAGACAAACTAGAGTCGACGATGAGGAAGTTCTTCTTCTGCTGTTCGCTGATATGACCAATGCCTGCGAGCAGTAAACCGGTGACAGTGTCCTGAAGGTACGCGTTAGCTATATCTATCTTCTCAACACGATATCGAACATACCTCGTCTCCAATAACTGCGAGAAGATTCCGCTCCTTGAAAGCGGTTGAAGCCATGGTACGCTGCTATAGCCCGAATTGGAAGTCCTGTGTTCGCGAGTCGCAGTGACGTTCCTTACGCAATCTTGTTTCCTCTCGCCACCATCTTCCTCCCGACTTTCTCGTCATCCGTTCCGGCATACCTGTCTACAGCCACGCCATGGCCGACAGTCTCTTCAATAGACCTCCTTCAATCGCAGAGGATGCCTTGCAGTACACAATCTATCCCCGATTCGAGTCCAGCGACAGAATTTCTGCTACCACTATAGCCGTGGCCATTCAGTCTTTCGTTGACTCTGTTCTTGCAGACTTCCTCTGGCATCGTGACCCTTTCCAAATCAAGGTCGTCAAGAACCTGGAAGGCGATGATGCATGGATGTTGGAAGGGCTAATGAGGGTAGGAGACTCAATAGACGACGAGTGGTGCACGGTGTGGCTCCTGCGAGAAATTAGTGCAAAATGGGATCTTGCCATAAGGTGCGCCCTGCTCCCCTCTCCTTTCCTGAGAACATGATCTCATAATGTGGAAAAAGTGTGTATGATTCGGATGGAGAGTTTCTACTGATCGAAGCTGCCGAGTCTCTCCCGAAATGGGTCTCGCCATCCAATGCTGAGAACAGGGTGCGCCCTTAAACCATCATACATGTGTTCCTGTCGAGTAAGTTCATTCACAGAACCTCTCGCTTCTTTCTTTCTTAACAGGTTTGGATATACAAGTCCCACCTCCATTTGATCCCGCTTTCGCATGTCTCTCCACCTTCGACTGCTAGGCGGCGACGTCGTTTGCCTGGTACACATGACAGTGATGACGAAGGAGAACCATCCAATCTTGATGAAGATGACTTTCTGAGCACTCCAGACGCTTTGAAGCTAGTTTGGAACCCGAATGTTCCCACTAATGCTCCTGTGGCGGTTGAGAACGCCGTGTGGCAAAGGATTCAAGGGTAAGACACAACACTTGTTCATCCGCGTATTGTCGCCCATTCAGCTTCTTCTCCAGGTATCCAAACTCACTCAAGAGCCACTCGCATGCAGCTAAAGCTTACGTACCTGTCGATATCGCCAAGGCGCTTTCTGCAGACCCCTCACTCGTTCAAAAAGCAGTAGAGACCTTCTACACTCGCGATGCCATTCAACTCCGAGTAAATATTCTCCTTGTTGTCACCAAATTTTTGACTTACGCTGTAGCCATGTTCTCTAGGCAGCCCACAAAATGTCGCGTTTCCCACCCCAGCCTTCTGTCCTTCGCGACACCAAAATAACGCGAACGGCTTATGCGCAACTCGTTGGACAAAAGTTTCATCCGCCCAAGATCTTCGGTCAGTGGCGAGAGAAAGAAGGCACCCAGGAATGGCGATGGAAGGATGTTGGTATGAAAATTGTGGGTTTCCTCCAGTTTTTGGATATCGTCAACCGATGACTGATTTCTTGTACCCTCAGGCTTGCGGTTTCGAGATGCTCTACCAGGAGAGCAAGGGTCGTGCCGAGTCCTTCAAAGCGACTTTAGAAAGTATCAAGTCATCAGTACGCTCATACTTATCCTCGTCTTCCTGCTGAGTATGTAGCTCAACGTCCGTCTTTTGTCCTCTAGGATGACGCTCGCAAAGATGCTCTTCGGCGCGATCCTGAATATGTCAAGTATATACAGAACCTGATTTCTGCCGGCTACTTTAAAGGTGAAATCGAAGGATCACAGCTGTGGAACACTCTGGAGGACAACGCTGTCGAGGTATTCATCCAGACACGCCGTGAGGAGTACGTCAAATACCCTCGTATAATATTCAAAAATGATTCAATTGACATCCACACAACAGTGACGCCTCGCGACCCTCCTTTGCTGTAATGGTCAATACTGCCGTACTGAAAGCCACGCCTGACGCGCTGGAACCTTCACTCTCGTCCACAGAGGAGTCGGATGATTGGCTTAACGTGAATGCCGAGGACTTTGACACTATGCTCGAGCAGAAGCTAGGCAAGTCTAAAGGTAGTGGCCCTCCCGCGGAAACGAACAGCGACGCGATGGATGTCGATAAGACTGACAGCGTACGGGCCGAAGAGGATCGGCAGGCCAAAGAGCAAGCCAGTCGACTGAACGACTTGGCGAAGAAGGTGGAAACCTTTTTGGACGGTAAAGGAGACGTTGAGGGAGCTAAGTTTGAAGAGTCAGTAAGCTTGCTGCTGAGAAGCTAGTTTGTATCGCTAACCTTTTCTTCTCAATTCGCAGTGAAGAGTCTTCGGGAGAAGAGGAGATGAGCGATTTCAGTGACGAGAAATTCTCCGATTCGGGATCAGACTCTGGCTCGGACGATGAAATGGACGATGCAGCTCGTCAAGCTGCCATGGACAAACTTGTCCCGGCCCTTGATCCATCTGAATACGGCCAAATGCCAGCTTCGTACCACAGCAACTCCCAGCGAGTTGCACCGGCGACTGTGGATTCTGATACCGTCGCAGATGAGGCTGATGCTTCAGCTACGGCGTCGGGCGCACTTCCGCCACAAAAGCCCATTCGGCCTCCGATTCTTCTTCGTGACAAGTATGAAGGCGTCGACTCTGACGACGAAACCGATGAAGAAGAAGATCTCGCTGACGGAGAGGACGACGAGGACGACGAACGGCCTCAAGTGGTTGGTGATATCGAGATCGACATGGGCGAGGAAGAAGAGGAGTTCCTAGAATTCTCTCGACAGGCTTTGGGAATCACTGATGAGCAATGGGGAGATATTATTCGAGACCGCAAGAGTCGTGGAGGTAAATGATTGGTTTTGCGATTCTGTCCGCTCCCTATCGCTTACACAGCTTTCCCTCCATAGCCTTCGTCCCTTCCCATGTCGTCACGGAAAGTCGCCCCACAAAACCGGCCTCCTCAAGTGCGACTGCAGGCGGTGCAGCTGACGCAAATGAACCAAAACTGCGTACACCGATGCCAGGACCAAGACCGAATGCTAATCCAAACCTCGATTCATTCGAAGCCGTCATGCAAGCTATGGACGCAGAGCTCGCACGCTCCAAAGCGCAGCGCACCCATACAGCGGCTTCAAAGTCACCTACAGCTTCCAGCGGGAAATCCGACAAAGGGAAGGGTAAAGCCAAGGCTGATGAGCCCTCTTTGCCCACTATGGACGAGTCGGAGGATATCGACGCGGCGATGGATGCGGAACTCCGAGCTGCACTTAGAAGGGAGGAGGATGACGAAGATATGGATGCGGAGATGGACGAGGGTGTCGGTATGGACTATAACCTGATCAAGAACTTCTTGGAGAGTTTCAAGAGCCAAGGGGGGTTGTCGGGTCCCGTGAGCAATCTGGCGGGGAGGTTGCAGCCTGGATGGAACCTACCGCGAGACGAGTCGTGAATGTGTGAGTACTTACAACGAATTGATGTGACGAACGGCGTTCTTGTTCCCCGTTATAGTTGTACACACAATTGTATGAGAGCGTTTTCAGAAGATATCTGTACTTTAGCTCTGCTGCCTGCCGTTGGCCCTCAGGGTACTATTCAAGACGCCCTGTGCACGTCCAGGGAAAAGTTGACATACGGTAGTCGGTCCGCCACTTCCGCATGTGGCACCGACGCATTGAACTCACGATCTCTCGTGCCACTCAACCACCATCCATAGTAGCAGGACACTGACATCACTTCGGCCACCAGAACAGTCCAAGAAATGATACACTCGGTCATTATCTGTGTGGTTGAGCCCTTCACCGCCCCCACATTCGCAATACTGACGTATATACCATGTAGTCAACACCTCAGGCGTCCCACGTCTTACCAAATTCTACACACCCATACACCAGTCCTCGACCGTCTTGGTACAGAAGATCTACCAGCTGATTAGCACTAGAAGTGCCGGGTTATGCAACTTTCTCGACGCGCCAGAGCTTGAGGATTTCTTGGGCCAAAGAGACGAAGACGAGAAGATGAGGGTGGTCTATCGAAGTTATGCCACATTGCACTTCGTTTTCGTTGTGGATGCGGCCGAGAGTGAGCTAGGGATGCTTGACCTAATACAGGTGCGTGCATCCTTATAATTGTATTGGTAGAAGTTCCTTCTGATGGGCCGTACGTTTGTCCGCATCGTCCAGGTCTTTGTGGAGTCATTAGACCGGGCATTCGAGAACGTCTGTGAGCTCGACTTGGTCTTTCACTTCGACGAGGTCTGTTGAGAACCCACGGTGAAGTCGTCTTTCACTCATTGAAGTTACCCCACACAGGTGCACCATATATTGGCCGAAGTCGTTCAAGGCGGCTTGGTATTAGAGACCAACCTTGATGAGATCGACAAATCGAGTGCGTCTTTCCGCTCATTGTACACAATCACCCTTCAGCAGGAATCTATATCTCTTTCGCCTCCGATTTGCTCCCCATGTCTACCTCTGTCTTGGCATGAACAAGCTTACCGACCGGCTTCTCACAGTTCGACAAGCTTCACAGGCCCGACAGAAATCCTTCGCATCGGCGAATCCCCTGGCTCTTGGTGTGGGAGGTGGCGGTCCTCGAAGCGCATCTATACAGACTCCGTTAGGATGGCTAACAAATAAGCTCACAGGGGTGGGCGCGCGATAACGAGAGTGCCCCTCCTGGTGAAGGATTCTGTATTTACCTTGGGCGAAGATGGAAGAGATGGTTCGGAACTGTATACTAGGTTGTGGCTATATGAATACATTTGTATATGTGCTGTTGTATAAATTGCTACGAGAACAAAGTGGGCTTCTTGATACGCCCTCCGTGGTGCTAAGATCGAGTTGCAGTCAATGGACATTCGCATCGGGTTTCGTGCGATCTCGTTATCAGTCGTGCAATGAGCTGTGGGCTGCAGATATAAATATGAAGTACGCCCGAAAAAGGATACCTCTGGGTTCAGGGGTTTGCTGGGGCAGGAATAGACATCCCTGAACATCGGCATCAGCAACAAATATACCCGCTTACGAGGGAAATAACTCACGTTTCTTTTTCTTCTTCCCTGCACCTTGAGGAGCTCTCACAACGGGTATCTCCGCAGGTGCAGCGGTACTGATGGATGCCTGAGGAGTTCCTACCGAAGTCGGAAGTGCCGAAGGCAAGCTCGAAGACGCTGACATGGGCTCGTCAGTTGCCGTCTGTTCAGCAGCGGACTGTTCCATCTGCAATGCGAAGGTCTTATGGGAGTGCACTGCTGTTGTGCGCATTGCGTTGAGCAACAGTGACATGTTCTGCTGTTTGTTGCTAGCGGAGGCGGCTACGGCTGCCTTCTCTTTGTCGAGTGTGGTTTGGGTGCTGCCGGCCTGTGGTTGAGGTTCGCTGGACTGGACAGGCTGAGAACCAGCGGGTGTGGCCGCCTCGTCTACACGCCGCTTTTTGCTGGTCTCTTCGGGCATCATGACCGGCCACGCAAAGCCAGTGCGAGGAGTATAGTCTGGCCTATATTTGCGCAAGATATCGAGGGAGGTTTGCATCGAATAGAGGGACGTGAGCTGCGGTGGCGAATCAGCGCGTGCGAGCAGACCATAGATCAGGTAGCCACTCACCAAACGGTTCGAGAACACGGTGTAGATGTCTGGAGAGTGATAAATTCGATTGTTCGTGACGAAGTAGACCGCAAGGATGCGAACTTATTGTAGTACCTTCCGTCAGAACCTATCGTAACGAGCAGCATCGTGACGATTTGACCTACCATCATCAGGGGAAAGACGCTCCCTTTTATGGATTATAAACAGGGTCGGAGGCTGAGCGTGGACAACTGTGAACTCGATGCCAGTGAAGCGCCTAGAGACGACGACCGCCACAACGGTAAGGGCCACAGTTGGATGAAATGAGATTATTAGTGAGTCAATTGCACCCACTTGAGCTCTTCCGCCTCGTTCACGATTGGCTTGCCAGTATGAACCGTCTGCATGCGCAGCACTTGATTATTACTCTGTTTGTCGTAAAACATGGAGGTGGAGAAGTAGTCGAAAACATTCTCGGATGTGAGAGGGCCATTCGCCTGTGTGTAATGTTCATATGTAGATAAGATGCCTTGACAAAAAAAAAACTATTTACCTGAATCCACTCGTGCCATATGAAGAAACGATGGCTATGGTCATCCGCTGGATGGAGATCGTTGAGGTCCATGTTGAAAGTACCGATGAGGCGGTTTCGGAAATGCGCGAGCCGCGCTGACACTGACACTGTGTTGATGCGCCGCAGCGGCGCCAAGGGACCGGCTGTGTGGCAGGCGTGAAGGTTCGTCTCACGAGCGTTGGGCTGAGAACCTCTGAGAACGCTCGTCACCGTCTAGCTCACCAAATACATACATTCGCTCCGTCCATCTACCGCAATGCTGGGCTCTCCCTCGCTTCCTTATGTGCACAAAAAAATCTCCCCCGAGCTTTACCCCATGCCACTCTCGTCGTCTAGGCCTCTAGCATGTCAGAACCACTCGCGGCTCAGCCAGCCTTTGCAGACCGTACCCCACCACCAACGGTAATAAACAACTCAGGATCTATTGCTCGCCGCATCCATTATGGATTCCAGAAGTCACTTCACCATCTGAAGAGCCACTTTGGTAAGCGTGTATGGTCTTCGAAATGTCTAGACTATCATTCCTTCTAACCTCTCATGTCGCAGGTGTCGGTGAGTTCTTACCTTGTACCGTTTGAATATGAAAACATCATATGTTAAAATCTTCATCGGGTCGTAGGGATTGTCTGTGCCGTGGCATACTTTGATCCGTGAGTATGCTTGGCGAGCGATCTCTCATCCCGAGGCTTTCAAACTGATGGCCGCAAACAGTGGCAACTGGAGCGTCGATATGCAGGCTGGATCCACATTTGGATACCGACCCATGCTCTTTGTCATCCTGATGGCTAGTTTGGGTGCCGTTGTATTCCAGGTGCGAAAAGACGCATCGAGCTGTTCTTCTTCCAAATAGCTAAATTTGCATACCGGACAGACCATGGCTTGTCGATTGGGGGTCGTAACAGGTCTAGGTATGAGCGCAATACCGCCGAACTTTTACTGCTGGAATATTCACATCGCACTGTACCCTCTCAGATTTGGCCGCACACTGCCGTTTACTTCTCCACAATCGCCCGAAACACCGCCGCTTGTGGCGATATCTAGCCTTGTACCCACTCTATGTCCTCTGCGAGCTTGCCATCATCAGCACCGATCTGGCGGAATTGTTAGGCTCGGCGATTGGAATAAATCTGTTAATACCCTCACTCCCTCTCTGGGCTGCCGTGCTCCTCACAGCAAGCGATGTTCTAATCTTTCTGGTTATCGGCGACCCGACTCGAGGTAGAGGCAAGCCTGTCAGAGTCTTCGAGTTGACCGTGACTATACTAGTTGAGTCGTGTGCATAGTAGACCTTTGTTATGAGACTGCTCTCATACTCTTTCTTTAGGTCTTCGTGGTCTTCGTTGCTTTCGTTGTATGTAAAGCTGCCATATTATTTCTGACAGGTGCTCATGTGGTAATCCGAATAGGTCCTGCTCGCCAAGGTGGACGCGAATTGGGCCCATGTATTCCTCGGCTTTGTGCCTTCTACAAAGCTTTTCGAGACAAAACCGGACGCTCTCTATACCGGTAAGTCATCCCCAAATACTGGTTGCTCACTCGACTCACATATAATTTGCATCAGCGGTCGGAATCCTTGGGGCAACCGTCATGCCTCACGCTATTTTCCTTGGTTCATTCCTCGCCACCCACGACAGAGTCGGAGCCCGCGCCCCGCCGATCCCAGTCCCCGTCAGCACCGACGTCGAGCCAAAGATGAACATTATCAAACGCACCCGCTCCTATCTAGCTAGTCTCTTCGAAGTCTCGCGTGCCGACCGCATCGCCGCTGACCGCGAACATCGGAACCATTTCGCCCACCCCGAAAACAACAGCGTTCACTTCATACAGGCGCACCTTTCGCACGGTGTCGCTGACATCGTCATCAGCTTGCTCGGGGTTGCGGTGCCCATCAACTCTGCGATTTTGATCATTGCGGCGACGGTATTCTTCTCCGGGAATCCGCAGGATGCAGACTCGGCGGGCCTTTTCGAGGCGCACGATATCATCCAAAATAATATAGGAAAATGTTCGTCCTTTCTCTTCCCCTTCTTCGTCTATAGCTAACAACATCTTTATCCCTTAATATTTCTATAGTCGCTGGTGTTCTTTTTGCCGTTGCGCTCCTCTCCGCCGGTCAGACCGCTAGTATCACAGCCACGCTAGCTGGGCAGATCGTCTCCGAAGGCTTCATCGAATGGAGAATATCCGTAAGTCATCCTTTTCCCCAATAGTCATATCGTGATCATGAAGCTAACAACAGCCTACCAACTCAGCCTTTCCTCCGTCGTCTCGTAACCCGTACCATCGGTCTCATCCCCGCCATGGCAGTGGCCATCGGCGTAGGCCGCGACGGTATCAACGTTCTCCTCGTCGGCTCTCAGGTCGTGCTCGCCATCGTCCTTCCCTTCATCGTCACCCCTCTCGTCTGGCTCACGTCATCATCTGCCGTCATGTCCGTGACGAAGCCTTCTCCGCCTTCGCCACGACCTTCCGTCCGGGAGATCCTGATGGAGAACGAAGAGCCCACGACACCGATGACGGAAGTCAATGTGCTACCGTCGACAGGAATGGAGTCCAACGTTGAATACGGTGCCGTGCGCGAGATACTCGTAACGCCACCTCCACAGATGATGGACTCAAAAGAGGAGGTCAGCCACATCGAGAATGAGAAACAGGAGCATGAGGGTGAACGGGAACAAGATGTTGTCAACGTCGTTGATGGAGGTCTTAAAGAAGGACCTGACTGTCCGAGCGAGCTCATTGTGGACTACAGCAATGGGTGGTTCATGAAGTGGCTGGGTTATTGTATATGCGTGATAGTGTTGGCGGCGAACGCGTACACTTTTGTGGTCTTGGGACTGGGTGGAGCGGACGTTTGATATGTGTACGATACGTTTGAAGACGGGGATGCGCAGTATCTTTATTTTAGACGTGGAGGGCCTGCATGTATGATAGCTATTCGAGACCAACTTGGTCTTCTTGGACTCGAGTAACAACAGTAGAAGAATCGCGGGGTGGTAACCATTTCGTCCGAGTGGCAAACTGATGGTAGGTGAACCCTCTCGTAAGTCGCTATAGCAGCTAGCGTGTGCAACATGCGTTCGTCGTGAAGAGAAAGTTGGATGCAAGAACACGCGAGATATTATACAAAGGGCGGAGATTATCAAACAATAAGCTAACAAAATGTACACTGCATATACTGGTACAACTATAGTATAACGGCTGCGACTGCTTCACTGATTATCTCCTCAATTAATACGCAACCATGTCAGTCAGACCGTCCAATTCTCGTTGGAAGTTCTTGTGCTGAGAGATGGCGAAGGCAAAATTGGCGGCGAAGCCCTTCTCTCCGGGCGCGATTTTGATAGCGTCGCTAGCGCCCGACTTCGCGCTGTAAGAACCAGCGGTAACGACACCGTATGACTCGACCACACCATCGCTCTTGAGATCGGTCTGGAGCTCGACAGCGCCAGGGAGACGAACAGCATCACGGAGGAAGGTCACGGCTACGAACAAAGGTAAGGTCAGAATAATGATGGCACGACGAACCTCGAAAGAAGAGGACAGGAAGAAAGGCTCACCCTCGCCAACGGCACCGATAGCCTTGCAGTGGCCAAATGCCTCCAGCACCCAGTGGATCGTGCGGCCATTCTTCGCAAGGGTCGCGACGTGCTCGCCAGAGGGGATGTAAAGGGCGTCGAACAACGTCGAACGCTGGCCCTCGAAGTGGTGGTCGGCGCCAATGCCGTTACCAGGCTTATGCTCCACACCAGCGGGGTAAATCTCGCCACGGCGGGGACCGATGATGAAGCAGTTGGCCTTCGCGCTGGCGAACGCAGCGCGCACAGCGGTGAATTCCGTCAAGTTGAAGCCTACGAACCATCGTAGAGCATCGTCAGCAAGTGGTCAGCGAGAGAGCCAAAGCCGGGAAACACACCATCAGCGATGAGGAATGCGATGCGGCGACTAGCGATGGTAGGCTTCTCCGGCTTATAGTACATCTGCGAGAGCGGGGCGCTCTTCTTGCCGTGGTTTTGTCTAGCAGGTTTGTCCGGAATGACGCCACCGACGTTGATCGCCACCTGCTTCGCGAGGTCGAAATCAATGTTGTTGAGGACCTTGGTGTATGACTCATATACAACTGGGTCGTCACAATGGTCCAGTTCGAAAGAGATGGCAGAGATTAAATGCTTCTTCTCGATCGGTGCGAGGGAGTTATAGAAGAGCTGAGCTTGGTTGAAGTGCTCCTGGAATTTAGCAGTTCGTACACGCTGCTTGATGCCTTCGACTTTGAGTGGGTGGCTGGCCGAATGATGGGTTAATAATGGATGGAGAACAGAACAATCGATTTACTCACGTGTGATAGCCACCTTTGCCATCTGCGGAAGGGGGGACCGGAGGAAAGACGTCCATGCGATTCGGGGAATAGTTGATTTGGCCAGGCGTGATACGGTGCCTTCTCTGCCCATCGCGCTGGTGATTCAACACTGGACAAACGGGACGATTGACGGGGAGCTGTGAAACACAGTAAGCATCAAGTGCCCGGTGATGAGGTTGGAAGACTGACCTCCTCCCAATTGATACCAAGGCGGCTAATTTGAGTGTCGAAGTACGAGAAGTTACGGCCTTGGAGAAGGGGATCGTCGCTGGGAAACACTTTTTAGTAAGAAATGAAGGGACACAAAGAAAACGGCAAACCTGAAGCCAATACCGGGGACGACATGGGAGGTGCAGAAAGCGACCTGCTCGACCTCCGGGAAATACTCTTGTGGGTTACGGTCCAGGACGAGCTCCCCAATCTCTTCGAGAGGCACAAGTTCTTCGGGCCACAACTTAGTGGCGTCCAGAATGTCGAACTCGAAGTCGTGTTCCTTCGACTGAGGGATAGTCTGAATACAGAACTTCCACTTAGCGGGACAACCGCTTTCGATGGCCTCGAAGAGATCCTTGCGGTGAAAGTCTGACAATAGAACATCAGAGACAGTATGAAAGGCACCAAGGGAAGGCAGCATACCGGGATCTTGACCGTTAATCTTGAGCGCCTCGTCCCAGGAAAGACTGTGTACGCCGAGTTCGGGAATGAGGTGGAATTTGACATAGTGAAGTTCACCGTCCATCTTATAGAGGGAGTACGTGTTCACACCGAAACCTTGCATCATACGGTACGAGCGAGGAACCCCACGATCTGACATCACCCACATTACCATGTGTGCGGCTGAGGCAGTAGAGTTAGACTCAACGACAGAAGGAGGCGAAGGGCGAACTTAGCCTACATTCTGGTTGAAGACCGACGAAATCCCAGAAGTTATTATGGGCACTCTGGCCTTGCGGCACCTCATTATGCGGCTCAGGCTTGACGGCATGGACGACGTCGGGGAACTTGATGGAGTCTTGAATGAAGAAGACTGGGATGTCGTTACCGACAAGATCCCAGTTACCTTCCTCCGTATAGAACTTGATGGCGAAGCCTCGAACGTCACGGACGGTGTCCTAGAGAAACAGTCTCAGCTATTAGTGCGCTGCAGTTGTCCAGACATATACTCACGGCGCTTCCCCGAGAGCCTTGAACAGTACTGAAGCGGATGAAAACAGGTGTTGTCCGCGAAGGGTCGGTGAGGACAGGAGCGGAGGTGTATTTGGAGGCACGATTATCGTGAACCTTGAAGTAACCAAACGCACCAGCACCACTACAAAATTACCTGAGTTATCGTACACGGCGAACAACAGTCGAGTGTCACATACCGTGCATGGACGACCCGTTCTGGGATGCGCTCGTGGTCGAAACGATGTATCTTCTCTCTTGCAATCTGGTCTTCGAGCAGCGCGGGCCCGACGTTGCTACCATTCGTCGCTCTCAACCTTTGGGACGGTCAGAAAAGCTGGCGTGTCGTGCGGGACTTGGAATACGTACCAGTTGTCGGTGTCGGAGACTTTCACGCCATGATCGGTGGTGAGGACATTCTGCGTGACCTTACTCGGGTCTACGACGTCACGCTGAAGGTCGGCGTGCTTCGCGGTATTCGTTGGGCCGCCAAAAGTAGATTTGATGGCTTCGGTGACGGAAGACATTGTGAGAGATAAGTGGAAAGGGAAAGAGGAAACAATGCTGACCGAAGAGTCATCCTAGCAGTTTATATAGGCCATTTTTCACCACGATAGACATGGAAAGGATCGACGTCAAGTAGGATCCTCATCGTCAATGAGCGCGTCATAGATTCACGATCGCGGTCAACTTGTTACTTCAGCCACGTGATCGCATTCCGCCAATCGCACGCCGCATATTCCTCGCCCAAGGCCTCGAGCTCTCCACCAACTCTCCACAGCGACTGTGAACAGTTTTCCCAGACTCCTAGCGATGCAGTCCTCAAGTTATCCAGAAAACAACAACAGTGGGCTTGAAGTCGGAGCGTCAACATTGAAACAAGCGCGGCTTGTGCAGATCAGCACAAGAGCAGCACAGTCAACAAAACAAGGGCTCACGCTAACTTCGAGCCTGGGGTCCAGTGGGGATCTTGACTAGCTTGACTGCTGAACTAGGAGAGGAACGGTCGACCCGAATCCGTGCGATGTTGAAGCTTTGGAGTTCAATATTCAGTGATGGAGGGGACGACGGACGAACGTGCAAGAAAATCAAACATATATCGGTCAAGTAATATAAATAAACACTACTTGTACGTGTTACAACGTTCGACAATTCAATTCTACTAGCTCGCATGAATCAACCGCGGAGCAAACAACCTCAGGAGCGCAAAGAGACATACAGAGACAGGAAAACAGAAGGGGAGGGAAGTCGCGATACTTTGGCGAAGAAAACACAGAACGAAGGAATCGAAGCAGTTCAACAAGGACAGTCGATAGGAGAAAAAAAAAGGAGTCTCGTGTTCAGAGAATAGAAATTAGAAAAGAAACTATGGATCAGACGCGGATGAATGAAGATCATAGATCATACAGTGGCGTCGAAGGAGGGTACAGCAAACGCGGAGGACAAGTGACAAAGTCCGCAAGCAAGAGCCATACCGTACCCAAACAGCAATGTCCAATATCCCACCACGATCCAGCGGAGCGACCGGGGAAGTGGGGCTTCCAGACAAAGTGGCCGGACGCGCAGCCAATTACTCTGAAAAGGCGGGGCTCGGTTTAGTAAAGGACGACTCTAGGTATTATGAAGGCTGAACTTACTGGCAACGAAGCTAAGAACAGAGTCTACAAGCCGTTATAGTTTACTTGGCGCAGTTGCAGGCCTTCTCCTTCCCGAACCAACTCTTTCCGCATCCGTCGCACCAGGCTCTCGCCGTCCTGTCGACGCCGATCGCTAGTTTCTGGTCATCGGCGGTGATGGAAGACACAGAACCACCTTGGTCGCGGTGGATGGCCGCACGGTGGCGCTGCAAGTCATGCTTGCGAGAGAAAGACCTGCCGCAGGAGCGGAAGGGGCAGATGTGGGGCTTGGGGCGGTCGGGGTTGTGAGTGTCCATGTGGGTCTTGAGATTGTACGCGCGAGCGAAGGCTGTAGAGTACGAGTGAACAAGAGCACATACAGGGAGAAGAAGACAAATTCATACCTCGGTTGCACTGAGGGCACTGATGCTTGCGACGAGACTGACCGAGCTCCAGTTCGGTGGCGTCCTGGACGGAAAGGACGGGAGGGATCGGCGGAACGGTCGGCAACTGGGGGGACACGTTGGTTGGGGAAACGGAGTGAGGCGAAGCGCTGTGCGAGCTAGAGATGTAGCCGGCAGTGGACCCGGAGACTGGGTACCTCAACGACGGGTGGCGGGAGTGTTGAGTGTGGGGATGGGCCTGGGTGTGGGAGTGGTGCATTGACCCTGGATTGTAGTCCGAATGGGCCTTAGGCGCATAGCGCACGGGAGGGGAGATCGGAGGAGAGGGGGGAAGGGCGCCGAAGGATGTCATATCTCCCGCGGGCTGATAGCGCCGTTGCTGTGGCACAGCACGGTCCATAGCGCCGTAGTCAGATCCGATGCGTACACCTGAAAAATCCATCTCGAGAGGATAGGACGAGTAACTCGACCCGGCGTAATTAGCGGGGGAGAGAGGGAAGTTGTAGAATGACTCGGACGCAGTCGAGAACCCGTCGTAAGCCGACTCGGAAGAGACGGTGATGGTGCTCAAAGGACCGGGCTCGTTCCTGAGGGTGGTGAAAGCGGGTGCAACCGACAAGAGTTGAAGGTCGGTCTCGTCGATATCAGCAAGATTCAAGTCGAGGTCGGACTCGAAGGTAGAAGCTGGGACGATGAGGTTGTCTTCGCCAGCCGAGTTCTGGAAGAAACTGAAGTCGAAGTTGTTCGGATTGTTCGAGTATTTCTGCTGGTCGGCGTACAAGTCGAACGCCTGAAAGTTGTGTTGTTCTGTGGACATGTTGGCTGAAGTGGGGTGGGGTCTGTTTAAGTACGAAGAGATGGAGTGAAGCGGGGGGTGGTGGCGAAAGGAAAGAGACGAGGGAAAGATCGCAACGGCTGCTGCGGAGTGCTGTCACGCCTTTTGCGGTCACATTCCTTTTCCCGCCTCTTGTTTGTCCGTGTTTACCCAAAGGCGATGCCTGAATCCGATCGATGCCGCCTTCGACCATGCGTCCATTTCAAGTACACCGGCCTAGAACCGGAGCAGCTACACCCGCCTGAAAATAGAGGTCTGTCCAAACATTTTGCGCGATTTTCTCTCAATTTCCTGGGGCTCAGAGCACATATCATTACAAGTTCTCGCGCCCATGATAATCAACGCCGTTTGGCATGCTCCCCTTCAAGTCGGCTGCCGCACTTCGGGCGGGTGTTCCTTACCGTTTTGTGGGTGTCTATGGACTTGTTGTGGACTTGGATCCCCGTGGAGTACACACTGGATTCGTCTTGCCCTTCATCTTCTCAACTCGCCAATGTATGATCGCTCACACGAGCAAAGCTTCATAGCTGCAGATAACTCTCCAACCACTTGTGGGCCGCACTCAGAGGGGTTTGTCTTGCAGCTGGTCGCTTCGTTTCTGGACCTGTTGGTTCTCGTGCTTCTCAGAAGACTGACCTGCCTACCTGACTGTCGTATTCCTGCCATTTTTCATCCTGCCGTACCATATTCTGATGGCACGCTCCCAAGTATGATCCTGCTCATATACAGACAAGGCTCTGAACTAAACAAGGTCGAGTCGCGCGTATAATCAAGTTCGCCCTAGCTTTCCTGAGGCCTGAGGAGGGAACGGAGCGTATCGATTCGCTAATATCCCCATCAACCTACCATTCCTCACGGCTCAACCGTTTGGTGTCTTTACTGACAAAGCACCGCTCTCGGATTTCTGCTAAAACGTCCTCGGTCATCACTTCCTGTACGCTCTGACCTGACGGGGAGTCAGCACGCATATGCAAGCTCGACGTACTCCACTTCTGGTGCCTTTTCCTCCTTCACGATCACAGCGATCTGACATGCTCCCTTGTGTCTGGTCAACATCCGCTGCTTCTAGCTCCTTACGACTGACCTTGGCCGTCCAAGAATAGGATTAACTCAGGTTTCTGCTCAATCTCGCCTACCTGCTGCGATCGTGTAGTAGGCCCTTTATTGAGTTATTGCCGTGTATGTCTTACCCTCTGCAAGTGATTACTTCGATCCGGATCACGCTTTCTGCGTCTACGAGCCTCACATTTAAAGCAGTTCAACCGCACCTTTCCTGGCTGGTAGTAGCTCATGGTCGCTCCGACAGTATAATGACCGTTCTCGTTCATACACGCTTCAAAGTACCGATTTTGCCCGAGCCACGAAAGTTCAAGTTCAAGCACCCCTATATTTTCCACAGGGGTTTCCTGGAATAGCGCAGGCACAAAGAGCACGCAGTCCACTCGGATATATGTACGCTCATGTTTATTTTTATCCCTGGCTTCACTGACGTCCCATATCTCAGGTTAAGTGTCAACATTGCTGTTGAATAACTCGCCTTACTCGCTTCAAGAGTCTCCGCAGCAAGTAAGTCCTTCGGGATTACCAGCGACGTCAGCATATAGAAAGAAACGCTCGCGGTTTGATGGATAGGCCTTATCAAAATGCCTTCCGCAGTCCTTTGTTGACCCGAGTATGTTCAACCTTGTTCTTACTCGGCCCAAACGCATATGGAATGGTGATCACGCAGCACTATTACGTGGACTATCCGCAGTCGTACACAATGGGATATCAGGCTTCCGTATGTACGCGATGCCGCTAGCGTCAAAGCAACTTGAATATCCTGTTCGGTATGTTGGCTGTGTAGACCGTCATTCGTGGCTGAAAAAGACGCACAGAAAATTCCCGTTGACTGTACACGCTTGACACGATCCCGGCATTCAAGTTACTTTGGCCTTCGGCTTGCGTTCTGTCAGGTCATATAGCTGCAAGAACAGACCCGGACAGGAAGGGGCAGCACTGCCTTCGAGCTAGCTGCTTGTATGACGAGTTATCTGGAGAATCAACGGCCTTTGTAATGTTGCCACGTACTCGTCCTTATGCTGAGTTGCCGAGTATTGTGCACTGAATTCTCGTATCTCACGCCGGGCTGTTTGTAGGAACTCGTGTTCAACTAAAGTCGGCCTTACGGTTCCGCAAGCGCTGCGGCGACTAGAACTTGAAGAAGAGTCAGACAGTCCTGTATGTAACAGGTTCCTCGCATTCTTTTAGTTCAGATGGTGCGGCACCGTGACTGTTATGATAGGTAGTCGATTGTATGTCCCACTCGACTCCCAACTTTTCGTAGGGAGATATCGCTACGTGAAGTGACGAACGAGCACTCGAGAGAGGTCCATGAGCCACATCCGACACCCGAAAGTTAAGATACCTGCTATATGTCGTATGGCCCAGGCCTAGTATGTACCAACGTGTCGAGGTCCAAACGCAAGGATACATTTCATTGCATACAATAACTTACACACAGCATATCAAAACAACCAGAGACAAAGAAAGATAGCGAAAGGAAAGCTATTACCAAGGGATCAGACCCCAATCCTATGCACTTGTTTTTTCTGTGGCGAGAAGGGTTCGTTAGCATCTTCACGAGCCAGAAGCGAACAGACAACGGACGGACCTGATTCGAAAACCTGATAATATCCCTCTTCTCCAACAAGAACAGGGTCCTCTCCAGTGCATGGCTCGAGTAACCACTTGTGTTGACGAATTCCTTCACCAAACTCTGATAGCTTGTATGCCACCCGACAGGCAAGCGCCTCTTGAGCTCCTTCTCCATCTGTACCATCTCGTGGTTCAGCTCTCCGCGGGAGAGGCCGTCGACATTTCCGGCTGAGACAGCGTTCATAGTGGAGAATTTGAAGAGCCGGATGGATTCTTCGACGTGATGGTTGAGCACGACAGGTGAGAGGGTCAACTTCGCGAGGGACTCGGATATACGAATGATAGCCTCGAGTTGACTGAGAAAAAAGGCGGATATGAGTGAGTACGGGCAGGCCACCATTCAGCCAAGAGTCGGCAAACTACATACCGGATAGTGATAGGGATAGAACTCCGCTCGTCATTATCCCGCTCGACCTGTTGCACTTCCTTCCGTAGCGCGACGAAGTGACTACTGAGCAGTTCTTGAGCTTCCGGCGAAAGTCGTGGCGCGCATTTCCTGCGACACCCGAATTGAAGCCAAGTCAGCGATCCAATCGGAGTAGATATACATCGTATATGCCCACATCTTGCAGTACGAGATGAAGCGCTTCATTTTGTCGATATCAATCTCGCCGACCGCGTCACCATTTTCATCGGCACTCTGGTTCGGACGATTCATATGGATGTTCATGACATGCTTCGCGATCGTCTAGAGGTTGATAGAACGTTAGTCAAAGTCAGATGAATCACGGGCATCACATTTACCCTGTCTCGCGTTTCGTCATGCTCGTCCTTGATGATAAATATCATATCGAATCGTGATAGGATGGTCGTTTGAAAGTCGATGTTCTGAGGACGGTGATCACAACGTTTAGAGAGTAGCTGTACCTAGAGGCAGCAACAAACGTACCTCTCCTGGACTTCTTCCTTCGTCGTACCTGCCCCACACCGGATTGGCGGCAGCGAGCACACTTGTCCGTGAGTTGAGGATAGTCGTGATACCAGCCTTGGCTATCGAGATCGTCTGCTGCTCCATGGCCTCGTGAATGGCCACACGATCTTCGTCTCTCATCTTGTCGAACTCGTCAATGCACACGACACCGGTGTCTGCAAGCACCATTGCGCCGCCCTCGAGATAGAACTCTCGCTGTATTTGGTGATTAGTTGGATTAACAATATTTAGAAGTATCGATACTTACAGATGTAGGATCGCGTTGAACCGACGCAGTCAGGCCAGCGGCACTAGATCCTTTTCCTGATGTATAGACAGCAATAGGCGCAACCTTGTGGACTGTGTGGTAAGTTATTGATGTTTAGCGTTATTATAGGTGACTCCCACCTTTTCCACAAATTTGAGTAACTGAGACTTTGCGGTACCAGGATCACCCAGTAGGAGAACATTAATATCTCCTCTGAGGCGCATCCCATCTGGAAGGATCTTCTTCGAGCCACCGAATAGAAGACATGTGATGGCTTTCTTGATGTCTGGTGGACAATTACACTCAGCTCAATCTCGAAGACGCGAAGATAGAAAGAGACCTACCCAAGCTTCCAAAGATACTAGGTGCTACACTTTTCGCAAAACGCTCATAGAACCCTTCGCTTCGGGCCATCTCTCCGAACTCTTCTTCCTCCTCGGGCGTGTATTGGACTCCGAACGGGTTCGTGCTGCCCGAACCGCTGGATGACGGGGACAGGAGGTCAAGGTGTACCAATCGGAGGTAGGGAGTACGAAGCGCAGATGCGCTGGCTTGTTTCTAAAACCACACTCAGTGTCTGTAGGCCGTAGAAAGACACAACTTGGCTCACATTCTTAGCAGACTGGAACGTCGAATATATACCAGTCGCGATTATCCGAGAGCCAGGGACAACCTGACCAGTGAGATAGCGATCTGCTGAGAGGAGGATATGCCTTGGCAACTCTCCAACGGGGACCATATCGGGTGCTTCCTGCAGCTTCAATACCTGATGGTCGGAGAACTGGGACCTGGAATGAATAATAAGATACGGGTCCATCGGGCAATCCTTCTTCTGTCCCTCTGGCTCAGGAGCGTCGCAAACACGAGGAAGACCCCTGTCAGACCCACCACCAACTCCACCAAGACCTCCACCAGGGTATACTACCTTCGTCGAACGACAGGCTCGACATTGAAGATGAAGTCTTGTGGCGCGTGAGGAGAGAACGGATGCTGAGATGACGATGCCGGGTATACGAACGAGTTTGTTCATGGTGTCTGCAGTAAGCTCGCGGAACTGGAGAAGGCTGAGACCTGATTTGACAGAGACTTGTAGTTTGGGAAGCGATTGAATAGCAGCATCAGCTTGCTCGTCTGCACCACCAGCAAGCGGGAATAGGATTGCTCGCGAGGCTTTAGTAGCAGCGTTCTCGAACTGATATGGATTAAGTAAGGCCTGACGACGCGGTGCAGTATCAGAGAAGACTGACCAGTGGAAGAATATCTGCTGGACGATCCTGTATAGTATGTGCCAGCTCATCGTTGTAGAGGCTGAGGTGACGGAGGTCAACCTCGAGTTGGTATTGCTTCAAGAGCAGATTTGCCCGAAGCTTGTCGCTGCTCCATTGTCAGAGTAAGGTTCGCATAACCGACGCGTTGACATGCGCACCGATAGATGAATTCGCCCCCGACACGATACTGCAATAGGAATTCCAGTAAGAGTTTCTCAATACCCGCCGGAGAGTCTGGTGCTGGTGAAGCAAAGTGATCATGTACTGCCACTGAGAAGACACGGTCTGCGTCGAAGCCAGACATGATGCCAAGTGTTGTGTGTAGGAGAGTATAAGGAGGAGTGCGCGAAAGGGACCCAGTAGCAAATGAGAGGCGACGCGCCGCGATTTAGGGCAGGCTCTAGCGCGACCTACGATCACGTGGATCCTCAGAGTGGCGCTTTGGATGTTCGAATTTTGTATCAAAACCTCCATCCTCCTCACCTTCTTGCAGAGATGCACAATGAATTTTAAATTTATGTTGAATCGCAAATCACAGCTGATATTCAGTGTATTGTCCGGTTATACTCAGATCTAGTAGATAGAGGTCCACGCCACACTGGCATGCGGTTAATTCCGTCTAAGGGTGGCGTAACGCGCGTCCAAACGCGCACATTACGATTGCTTCCCCTCACCGTACGCATCTCGGATTATTCACAATATGAGCAGCATGGAAACAGACGAAGTCTCTGTTGTACTACCGCCGAGCACTCTATCGGGTCTATCTCTTTCTCTGTGCGTGGTTCTAAACCATCTCTACTCACACCCTCTGATTTACGTCCGACAGCCATCCACTCCCTATCCTGAATATATCAGAGCATCTCACACGACTAAGACTTCAACAGAAGATCAGCGTTCCTTTCGGTACCGTCCCTCTCTTTACTTGCTCGTATCTACTGCTGACGATGCTGTAGTTTTGGGTGCATTGCTTGGCACACAGAATGGTCGTGAAGTGGACATCGTCAACACATTCGAACTCGCTGTGCAGGAGGGAGAAAAGCTTGATCATGTCTTCTTTAACTCGAGGAGGGATCAATGTACGCTTATTACGACTGTTACAGTTGCCTTACCAAAGTCAACTTATTCGCCTTTTGTAGACAAACAGGTCTTTCCTTCGCTCGAATTTATAGGGTGGTACTCCGTGGCGTCTGTGCCAACTGCTCGTCACATCGCACTCCATGAACAAGTGCGTCGTTTCCACTTTCACTTCTTTCTTCTGTTTTACATCCATTCTTATCAATATTTTCCGACAACTATATCTAGTTCACAATCTACAGCTCCACGCCGCTCCTTCTTCTCCTCCAACCTTCCTCCATCGGCATCAGTGGTTCCTCAGACAGTACATCCCAGCATCTTCCCCTCAAGGCATATGAACCTACAATCGAAATAAAGGACAGGTCATCGCGGTCGGTCTTCATCGAAGCTCCATTCAGCGTCGAGACTGGTGAGGCGGAGCGGATCGCGGTGGATTGGACGGCACGAGGAGGAGAGGGAGGCACGAGCCGTGAGTAACGTCAAGCACTACCTCCTCCGCCCTTCCACGAGTGCTAAATGTTGCATGTTACGACCAAATCCGTCTGAGAAGTGGAATCGCATCTGAATACCCAGAGAGCAGCAGTGAAGATGTTGCACGATCGTATCGTGATTCTGGTGCAATATGTGAAAGATGTCATGGCCGGTACGCTTGTCTTACTCCATCCTCTCAGTTTACCCATCTTATTCGGACACGGGTCCCTGAATAGGCCAAGCTCCGAAGGACCACGCTACTCTCCGCTCCCTCTCCGCTCTCATTGCCTCCCTCCCCGCAAGCGAGAACAAAGGATTCCGAGAGGAGTTTGACACTGTAAGATCCCATAACACACATATCCTACACCTTTTCTCACCCGTCATATTCGTGATGACCCCAGGAATACGAGGACGTGCAATTAACCGCCTACCTCTCAACATTGACCAAGTCCGCCAACGCCCTCAACGACGTAAGCACCCTCTTCACAATCCGAATCTCAATCTTCGTGAGATCTGATATAATTCCCTCCGCGCCACATAGCTCGTCGACAAGCATATCGTCATGACCGCAACCAACCGCGAGGACCCACGCATGGGCGGACCTGGACCACGACGACGAGGAATGCAGTCCAGCCGGATGGGCACGCTAGGCGACTGGGATCGCTTGCACTGATACATCTGTGCTATTGTCATTGACATCAACCTGTTGTTCACTAATCTGTGTTTCCTGCTCTGTATTGTCATCTTGTTGCAATTGTCCGTTATGATTCAAAAGCAATTGTACAGTACGGTATTCTGGCGCTCGTTTGGAGGTACGGTGAAAACTGGAAGCCACGAACAGAAGGGAAAGTTTGGTTATACAAGGTAGCAAGCCGAGGCATACTTCAACATATTCATGTGATAGATATATTCTCATTCTGTGCCTCTCGTAGGGACGCAGAAGTGCTGAGATAGCAAAAACCGTCAGTTCACACCTGGTGCAGATATGGATTGGGTGTCACGTACATTGAGCCGGGAAGCGTGCACATGCCTGTGAGTCTGAGTGCGGCAGTTATAGCCATACCTGGGGCGAAAAGAAGAAAAAAGTTTGAATTCATGACAGGGAAGGCAAAGCCGTGTATCGACTTACCAGCAGTCTTGCTGCTGTAACGGAAGACCATCTGCATAATGATGTGAGATTACTAGAAGATGCGGAGAGGAGAAAAAGACACTGACGTTCTTGTTTATAACGCAACCACCAGCTCCTAAGGTTCAACTTGATGAATGTCTTCACACAATTGGTGCACAACCAAGCCTCTGGTCTCCATTCATCGTCGTCGTCGTCTCCTTCATCGCGCACGGCGTCAAACATCTTGCGGAGCATATCCGCGTAGTCGAAGTACGTTACTCTCACGACCTTGTAGATTTCTGGCATTTCGATAACGTTGCTTCTCAAGCGACCCTCGAGTAGATCTATGAGGTCACTGGGCAGAATAATCCCAGAGAGAAGATCCCAGTCTGGAGAAGCCAGACAATCAGTCTTTCTCTGGATCCTAAAACGATGGGGTATAGAGTTACGCACTTTTCTCGTTCCATAAATCTTCCAGCCCATCGTTGTGACAGTGCGAGCCTGAGTGTCATTTGATCAGTCAGCCTCATAGAGTTGAGTTGCAGTCAAGACAGGCATACAGGCATGCTTTGTGGCGTCCCATTCTTCCAGGATGGCCTTCGCGCAAGGCTCAGCTGTGTCCAGTTCCATGATGTCTAGCGGGACTTCAAGCAGATCTTTGGCTAGAAAACTGCTTGTAGCCCACAGGTCCTGCTCAAAAATCCCAAGATCACGGCCACTCTCGATACATCTCCAGATGATATCGGGAGTCGAGGTCGATAGGAATTTGGAGGAATTAGCTACGGGGTTGATGATGGCGCTATTTTGTGAGCAAAAGCCGTAAGCCCTGCGTGGTGAAGAGGAGTACGTACGAGATGTCCATATCAATGGGTTCTTATTGACCCATAACCAGTGGTTGATCTCCATCATGAAACGACATACGGCGGCAAACTCGCGCTCTTGAACAGAGTCGCCGATCACATCGATAAATTTCCTTGACTTGTGTAGCATCTCTTCGATCTCTTCGTCCTCTGAGCTATCATTGGTTTCGTCCCAGTCTTCCCCAAAGATGGCTTGGTACGACCATAGGCGATAGAGGGCGCGTTGGAAGCGAAGGGACTCGGAAGCGGACAATGCGCTGGTGGCGGACTCTCGATCCTTATATCTTTTCGCCAGTTAGACATCTGCGAGGGGATACAGATGAGAGCTGAGAAAACAAACCTTCTACTGAACAGTGCCTCAAAAGACGCAACAATATTTGCGCGATCCAATAGCTGCGTACCCTGCACTCGGCAGGAAGGGTAGTCCTTGATGTTGGCTTCTTCATAAAACTCCACAGTCCGGTCCCACTGGATGTTCGACAGAGCCATAGCTTGCTTCGCGCTCGGCCCTGCTATATTGAAAGTAACAGAGGCCTTGATGGAGGTCGGACGTATCTTGAAGACATTGTATATGCTCTTCGAGACCAAGATGGTGGCACACAGAGTATCGAAATCGGGAAGAGAGGTCAGAATTCGGTCGATAAGGTCGAGTGGCAACTGATCCATTTTGTTGCGGCCTCCCAGTAGGTTGAGACGATATATAAAGGGGGCAACAGAGTCAGGCTGAGCGTTCTTCGCGAACGGAGCCGTCGTAGTTCGGGACAAGACACACAGGAGTCATCATGCGACGCGACCCGTCTCCCGCGTCATTGACATCACGTGGCCGTGTCTCCGAATGGTTACGTTCATCTAGAGACCAGAACTTCCGGCCTTGATGGTATAAGTACATGGTCAAGCGGCCGCACCGTCTCACCCACGGCAACGCTTCTTCACTTACCACCAGCACGATGACTTCGTCCCAGGTAGAGACCATAAACTTCTCGAGCATTTTACAACTTTTATCCCTCAAAGGGACGTATTTTCTGGTGTATGCCTTCATCTTTGGCATGTGTGAGTTTGTCTCTACGATCCATCAACTTACTGGTCAAAAGAAAGCTTATCAGCATAAATAACAGCGATCTGGGTAACGTTTTTTGGAGGTTGGCAGTTTCAAAAGTCATGTTTGAAATCTTTCGTCGACTAACATTTATGGCAGGCGTCATCGCCTACCGGGCTTTGCGTGAGCGTCATACGGGTCTGAAGTTCTTGTTCGACCTGAATTGACTTCTACTCGAGCACGACAGATGTTCGGTACCCTTCAACACAAGACCTTTCCGATCTACTTCAATATCAGCATCGCCGCTGCAACCTTTCTCTTGGGCACTTGGACCGTCTCTCATTCGGTGCTTGACAACCTCACCAAGCCATACTTCGCCGACGTGGCACAAGCGTATACCTTGGCCACTGTCATCCTCTTCCAGGGAACCAACACGGGGGTGGTTGGGCCGATGACAAGCAGGTATATGACACATCGTCCCTGCTCCATCTGTGCGACATAACTCATCGACCATGTCTAGGCTCATGTTTAAGCGCCACAAACTTGAGAAAGAAGAAGGCAAACCTTACACCGACCCTTCAGTACGCAAAGCATTCTTCATGTCTAGAGATCAAAGCTGATATCTTCTGGTCAAAGTCATCGCCGGAGATGAAGGCACTGAGCAAACAGTTCGGTGCTCTGCACGGCATCAGTTCACTTCTGAACCTCGGTGTGGTCTTCGCGCTCGGATTCCACGGCCTGTGGATAGCCAACAATGGCGTCGGAGAACTCAGTCTCGGCCTGGACAAGTACTTCACCAAGTACACTTGATTTGATGATAAGCGTCCACGGAGAGGGCATGATGAATAGTGTAGGGTTTCTTCGATTGTGTATGGGTGTAACTTTCGCGGAAATGAATCTGTGTCTTTCATCATTATCGGTCACGCGAGTGCGCTTGCATACAGATTGAGCGAGTATCAACCATTGAGCACAAGAATACAAGAAAAATTCAGAATACACAGCTATGCCCCGACAGACTCCATGCTTGGCAAGAAACCCTCCTTCAAACTCCTCTCCAGCTTCCTGATTTCCTCAATCGAGCTGGCCTTCGCGATGGCCTCCTTCACCTTGTCCGCCTCTTCTTTCGACATCAGACGACCTGCTTTCCCGGGCACGGCAACTGGACGTGGCTCATCAGTCGATACGACATGTTTTGAGGTCTGCGTGGCGGAGGTGGATATTGAAGTCGCTAGTGCGTTCATCAGGCCGTCCGCGGTGAGGAAAAGCTTCTTGGAGGCTTCTCGTTCCTATTATTTCCGTCGCGAACCCCAGAACCATCCGTTGAGTGCTCTGCAATGGTGTGGTCGAGAGTTTTGCGAGCCACGCACCTTGTCACGGATTCTCTGGAAGTCCAAAACTCTCAGCGCTGGTAATCTCCAGGCAAGCCATTCGCGATACCATTTCTTTTCTTGCACTGGGTTCCCCATCAAACTCAGGTACTTGAGTCCCTTGACCTCCCGCAACGGCTCCAAGTCGCCCAACTCCGTGATATTGTTGTTCGTAAGAACGAGTGTTGTGAGATGTGGGACGGAAAGGTGGATAGATGGGGAAATTGAGGATATTCGGTTGTTGGCAAGAAGGAGTGTATGTAGTCGTTTGAGCAGCGGCAGGTTTCCAAGCGCGACGATCGAATTATCTGTGAGGTCTATGGCATCATGTTGGTCCTGTTGAAAATGTAAACATGCTTCGATTGAGAACAACTCGAAGGAGTAAGAGAGAAGATATTCACCCTGGTCACGCCAAGATTTTCGATGGCAGGGATTTTATAGCCTGTGAGCCGGTTTGTGAGCGCCGCGATGAGATATATGATCGAACTGACCTCGCAAGTCGAGCTGACGCTCTTTGAGCGCATTGAGCGACGAGGGGGCCTGCGCGATGAGCTCAGGTGTGAGCTTCATGACCGTTTGGAAGAGCGAGGGTGAGTGGCGAGCAAGTCGAACCGAATGCGCCTAGAACACGCGCGTCAACGCGATTGGACTTGCACTGCGGCCTGCGTCCAGTTTACGCATGTCTGCCTTCACTCCAACCACCATGAAGCCCCTCCACCAACGTCTGAATCTGTGAGCTCTGATAAATTTTATCGCGGAGATTGGCATTGACGAGTTTACGCAGCTATCTGAATGACGAGGAGTCGTACATCTTTGCGCCTACGGAACCGGTTGGAGCACCACCATTGTTCATATACCGAAGCTCTGGTGATCTCGTACTCGAGGGTAGTCTACTGTGCTCACCTATTCACCCATGAAATTGACATTCGAAATGTGCAGCACCTAGAACGCAGATACCAGTCACCGCCAAACGCTATGGCAAGACAGTATACGGAATATTCGGTCTCATAACACTATCTATCAGTGCGCCACGCTCCGCTCTCCTCATGCACGAGCTATAACTCATCCTACCGCTTAGCCGAATATATCATTGTCATTACTGGTAGGGAACAACGAGGAGAGCTTTTTGGACACCCTGTATACCGCGCCTCTGAGTTCGACATTCTGCCGTTGGACCCAACCGTATCTGTGTCAAGTCCACCGCATCCCGTCGAGGCCCACCTACTTGCACTAGTCCGCTCGCATCTCAACAGTGGTGTCTTCCTGTTCAGTTACGGCTACGACGTGACAAGGAGGCTACAGGCGCAGTGGGTTGCTCAAGAGCAGGACCAAGGTAGAGCGTTCTGGGAGTCGGTACGTTTCATGATCTTCATTCATATTGATACCACTTCCATGGTTAACATACATTTTGTTAGGCTGATGACAGGTTTTTCTGGAACAAGTGAGCGGCTGTTATTTGCCTTGCTTATATGAGCAACTAGCCGAACGGGTTCGCAGATACCTCCAATCACGCTTCATGGACTTTACTATCTCAAATCCCCAAAATGACGTGAGTAGCCCCTGCTCTACGTTTTGACGTATCTGACGACTCTTATAGCTGAGCCCATACATCCTCCCAGTGGTCTATGGCTGTGGGTTGCCCAAACGGTATCATTCTTCCATCTGATCTCCGCTAACATCCCTCGCCTCTGCAGCCTTCGACATCCGACGAACTACCCTTGCAGGACGCAGTCTTCAAGTTGGTCTCATCTCTCGCCGGTCAAGATTCCGCGCTGGAACACGCTACTTCCGTCGTGGCGTGGACCACGACGGCCACGTCGCTAATTTCAACGAGACGGAGCAGATCGTGCTCATTGGGTCAAGGGGTGATCCAGAGGAAATCGCTACGAGGCTTAGCTTTGTCCAAATTCGGGGCAGTGTGCCCGTATTTTGGGCGGAGGTGAACACGTTGAGGTATAAGCCGGATTTGCAGGTCATGGACATTCAAGACGGTGTGAGTAAACTTGAGCTTTCAGGTGAGAGTATGGCTAACGATTGACGTCCTTGTTAAGGTCGATGCTGTCCGTAGGCATTTGCAGGAGCAGGTTGCTTTGTACGGAGAACAGACTCTCGTCAACCTTGTGGACCAGAAGGGCCACGAGAAGCCCGTGAAGGAAGCCTACGAGCGTTATGTTGCTGAGGTGAGTTCCTGGCCGTCTTTTTCGATCCAGCAGGCCTGCGGACTAAGACTCTCGCCTAGGCCAACGTTCCGGGAGTCAGATACCAATACTTTGACTTCCACAACGAATGCAAACACATGCGCTGGGATCGTATAAGCCTGCTCCTCGACAGCATCCAGGAAGACCTTCTCCGAGACGGGTAAGGCTTCGATCCTTCCTACCCTTTTGCATGCAAGAAACCTTAACGATGTTTATTCTCTCATCCGCTCTAGATACTTCCGCGTAGATGCAGGAAGTCCGGATCCTATCAAGTGGCAGCTTGGCACGGTGAGGACGAACTGCATGGATAACCTCGACCGCACAAACGTCGGACAGGCTGCTATCGCAAAATGGACGCTCAACCTGCAGCTAAAGACCGTTGGAATCCTGCTCGAGAACGACTCGGTGGATAACCACGAGGAGTTGAACACGCATCTGCGAGAAAGTAAGCTAATCGATTGGTTTCCATCCTGAAAGTCGCGCGTTACTGACACGTCGCACAATCACAGTGTGGTCTGAGCATGCAGATCTCATTTCCAAAGCTTACGCCGGTACGGGCGCGCTGAAGACTGACTTTACGCGCACGGGGAAGAGGACGCGTGCTGGGGCCTTCGATGACTTCAAGAAGTCTGCCCTCCGCTACCTGAAGAACAACTTCTTCGACGGTGCTCGACAGGTACGCATTGCTTGATCATCGGGATCTATGCTTTTCTCGCTCATCCGTATGCATCGTCTAGGATGCCTACGATATTATCACGGGTACTTGGGTCCCAAGGAAAGGCCCCTCATCCGCATTGTTCCTGATACACGACAAACGGCCTCTCATCATCCGCGCTGTAGGTCCTTCTTTTTTACTCATCACATCAAAAGATCTGACTGGCTGCTCGTAGGCTCCCTACGTCCTGTCGTTCTCCTCGTTCATGATCGTGGCCGGCCTCACACTGCCACGCACCTCCGGTCCGTCTTCCACCTTGTTTTGCCTTTCCTCATCTCCGCTTGCTAATTTAGAAACCTCGCCGTCCTTGCCAATGAATAAAACAGACTATTCCCTCTTTTACTACTTCCTCTTCTGGGCCTTCATTTTCACCGTCTCCCTCACCTTCATATTTATTTACGGCATCGATTACGTCGCGTGGCCACGACTCATCCCGCCCACCGATGTTATTCACTACGATGGGCCTGGATACAGGTCGGCCAACAAGGGTAAGGGCTTCGGGCTGAACGTTGGCAGGCTGAAGGAAGGAGCGGGCGCGAAGTGGTTGGCGAAGCCTGGGATGAGGAGAGGAGATAGGTTGATGGAGGAGATTGAGTTGGGGACTAAGAAGAGGATGGACTAGGATGCCTCCAGGAGGTTTGTCCACGATTGGTGTGATTGTCCTTCGCCCTTGTTCTTGTTTTATTGGTGCTAGTGACCGTTGAATTGCCGCTGTCGCCGACCTAGTTATTATCGTATGCGCCCGGCCCTGCCCGGCCTCTACCCGTTTCGTAGTCTTCTATGATGTGTTTTTATAGACTTCGTCTTTCTTCTCATGCTTTGGACGTCTCTACTTCTCATACGATTACATTGTTTCCGGACTTTACGCTCTCTGCAATCCGCTTCCAGTTCTATTATAATGACCTCTCCTAAGTTTTTTTTGTGACGCGTGGACGGCCGAAGATGATGCGAAATGTGCACCTTGAAGGGACGGCTCGGTGTCACTCGCCAGTGTGGCGGGGGACAAGAAAACGTTACGGAGGACAAGCTAGCGATGGTATTTCAGGGTATAACAAGTAGATTTCACACATGCGCATGTGCAGAACAGAGCAGCTTCAAACCGACAATACGTTGTGTACAAATGAACAAACAGAAACTTAAACACTCCTCTTTCTCTAACCTTTGGAAACTGGGATACACCAGTCAAACTTCTCACTGGCAGGTCGGGTCATTGAGCTCCCATATGCCTACTGTTCGAAGTGGAGTACTACTAGCGCCTTGGGGCTGTATACGTCGAAGTAAGTGCTGTTCGCATCAGAATTCACCTTCTGTAAGCTACAGAGTGGCCGAAGTGGCACTTACCTGCTGTACGCAGCCACTGGTAAAGCCTAGGTCTTTCTCTCCGAGGGTCGTACGGCACATCTTGTACCAATCATCACCTGGTCGGTGACCTAAAAGCGGTGCTTTGTAGACCTGGAGCGAAATGAAGATTATGAACATCAGAGCAAATAAAAGAGGAGACAGGAAAGACTCGTACGTGGGTACCCCCGAAACAGCCCTAGGGGATTCGGATATGTCAGTGATCACGGCACCCAGTCACATTGGGCAATAAGCAGCACAATGGCGTACGTTGTCCTGAAGTGTTCCCCAAGTCGAGCTACACCCTGTCTCCTTGGGATCGGTGACCGTCCAATACGCCATGATCATCCCCATGCCCTGTACCATGCATAGTCATTAATTTGGTCAGAATTATTCAGGAGTAAGCAACGTAAGGAGATGCAAGGATCATAGAGCCCGTAAGGACGAACAAGAATGAATTACGGACCTGATCCACACACCGGTGTGGCGATTTGAATTTCTGGCCACGGATCGTCGTCTCTGTACTCATACAAGCCTCCAACCAACGATTGTCCCCCGGAAGTCGAATATTCCACAACCTTGCCTGGTACTCCCTCGTATTGAAGGCTCTGCAATGAGTGTCTTTCAGAATGGGTTCCTCGAAGTAAGGGAGATATTTCGCCCTCTCCTTCTCCCACCCCTTCCGCTCCGCCTTCCACTGCTGTCGCTCCTTCGCCCATTGTTCCTTAGCGCGTTTCGCCTCCGAATCCCGTTCCCATTGATCTCTTACCGACTTTTCCCTAGCACGCTTGTCCTGTGCCTCTCGCTCTCGTCGTTCTCTCTCCCACTTTTCCTTCACGCGTTCGTTCTCCGCTGCTAGTTTCTGCCTTTCTCTCTCCCACCCTTCCCTCACATTCTGGTGGGCCAATTTCTCCTTATCCCAGTCTGATCTCCCTTGAGTTCGATTAGCCGTTCGCTCCAGCTCCCACCGTTCTCTTTCCCTCTCATGCTTCATCTCCTCTGCACTCCAATCTAGTCTAGCTTGAGATTCGCTGGCTGCTCGTTCCTGCTCCCATCGCATCGTAACACTCTCGAGCTCCATCTCCTTTACACGCCGATCCAGTTTCGCCTGGTTCTCGTTGGCTGCTCGTTCCTGCTCCCACCGCCTCATATCATTCTCGTACTCCATCTTCTTTTCACGCCAAAGCCCTCGCAAACCGGATTGTTCAAGCTCGCAGCTATTGTCGTAGGAGTAGTATTGGAATAGGAGTATAGAGAAGAGGACGACGGCGATGACAGTAGAAATATTGTGTGTGGTAAGTCCTTGGGAGAACCACGAGGAGAAGGGACTAGCAGGATATCGACGAGCCGTGGGCACAGATTTCGGTGTCGCGTCATAGTGCGAAGACCCATTCGAGTCTGTCCGATAAACGACCATGGTAGAAGTTGACTGTCAAGAGTCGAGGATCACCTCGAATCAACTACCAACCAACGAACCTATATACTTAAGCGCCGACGCCACGGGAATTACGTCGTTCGAGTTCTGGTCGGCGCTCAAATTTGAATGTCAGCGAATTTGCGTGGCGCTATATGCAGTGGCAAGAATGAATTGAGAACGAGCTTCCAGACCAACCGCGCACCCTCTTCGCAGTCATGGGCATCAATATATCATGTTTATTGCGGATCGCAAGTCTAGAGACAATATCGTGAATGTGATAAGTAACAGTGATAGCGAGCGAGCGAGAGAGGCACTTAATAGCAGTCAAGATCGTCCGAGTGCGAGTCCGAGGTGATTAAGAGAAGGAATAACGTGAAAAGAGAGGCGGATGAGCAAACCAGACTGCGCGTACATGTACATTGCACCAGCGTGACAAGAAAAGGGCAACAAAGAAAGAGAGGGAGACAGCGATCCACAAATAACCGGTAAGTAGATTCGAGAGAGAGGCCCAGAAGAATACGGATAAATACAGCCACGCATGGTTAGGCGGAAGTCAAGAAGCCAAGAAAAAAAAGGAAAGGAGACACCGACCATCTTAATCCACATCCTCCAGGCTCTTCCGGATGCTCTTCATCCTCTCCTCAATCGCATCCAATGCCTTCGTTATCTCACCCACTTCCTTCTTCAAATCCCTAGGCCCGTCCCCAGTGCCACTCGTACCTTCTTGAGATGAAGGTGGCTCGAATAGATGCGCAGGTGGTTGAACTGGCGAGTCCGGTACGGCTGACGTCGGTATCCTCCCTGCTGCCATCTCCTCCCAGATTCCCGTAACAACACCCTGTACCCACTTCTCCCTCTCCTCCAACTTCTTCAGTTCCTTTCTCCTCCCCGCCTCCTCTCTCTTCCCGCCCATCACCAACACGGTCCATATGTTTGAGATCACCAGTATGACAATGACGAACCAAAGGATCGTACTCCCACTACTCTGATCCCACGCGTCCGAGATGAGTTCCAGTGCGCCTTTGGTAGACTGCTTCGCAACATTGTAGGCACCCTCGAAGGTATCGTATGCCCATTGGAGAGATCGCTGGCTCCGTTCGTGCTCTCGCGCTTTCTGGGCTTCGGCGGATGAGAGCGCAGGGGAGGAGCCGAGAGTGGGCGTTCCGGGAGGTTTGTCGAGGGAGACGTCGGGCGAGACGGCCTCGACGGCGGCGAGATCGACACCGGCAGGGATAAACTCTGACTGATGTTCTTTAATGTATCCTCTGATAGCTGCCTCGAGGTCTACATGGTAGGTCTTCTGGCCGTCGAGGGCGGATTTCTCGATGATCCCTAGGAGGAGGTAAACATGTCAATATTTGAAGGTTAAATAAATCCAAAGACTACACAAGCTTACCTTTGATGAAACTCCTGCCAGTCCACTCGACCTGCGTGGTGACGACGACCCTGGTGCTCACTGCGCTCGCCCAAGTGATACATGTTTTCGTCTTGACGGAGAACACGCCACCAGAAGGCACGTCTGGTGTCCTCGTCGTCGTGAGCATCACGACTGAATCCTCGAAATCGCAGTGGACAGTCTCGTCCTTGAGCTCGCACTTCGTCGACTTCGGGCCAATACTGCCCGACAGAGGTTTGATATACGACATATTACGAGAAAGAGATTTCGGGTCGTCGGACGCAGGTGCCCAATCCGAGATTTGAAGGTCTGTTTTGCATGTACCGAGTTTTGTTAGGAAGTAATAGGAGGGAATAGAAATATGAAGACGCACTCTCGAGCTTCTGGTCCTCCCGCATGAAATCTTTCATGAACCCGCTCGCAAACATCAGGTTGTATATCTGTTCCACAGTTCCAGGAAACACGACATCCATCGCCAGCTCAGTGAAATGCTTTCCCTCCTTTCCACACTGACATTGCGTTGCCTTCCTCGCCAAGACTCTCGCCGCCCCATCCCCGTTCGCGACCACTTCGCCGCTGACGGGCAAGCCTCCTACCGAACCGATCGCCGGCAGGTCATGCCCATCTAAACCGTTACGGCCGCCCTCGTCGGGGATGATGTCTTCTGGGCGGGACAGCCGCCAGATATTGTAAATTACGTCATAGACGGTGTCGCGAGCGAGGAAGGAGGCGAAGGTGTACTTGGCGTTGCGGGTGGTGATTTGGATAGCATTGGGAATGACGAACGCGGTCATCTTGCGTTCCAAAGCGAGAATCTCAAATATGGGGACGATGAGCTAGTGAAATAAAATCAATAGTCAGTACGCGTATAAGAGGGACGCGCAAATGCGAATCGACGATAACAACGGGACTTACATCCGTGATCCAACCGAAGATGTTAGCGTGGAAACATATATGGTTTTCAGATATGTATATCCGCCCTTGAATGAGAATCTCGCGCTGAAGAGCACAACCATAGTCTACAGGTTCCCAGCATAAGAACGTTGAACATGGCCCACATAGGGTAGACACGCACCTTCAATCAGATAATCCCCCTCTGGCACACTAGGGAACAGGTCATGGAAATCCGCGTTTCGTTTGTTGCTCGCCACCGCAAAGCCCGTCACAGGTATATCTTCCTCATTCAAATCCCTCAACAACTCCTCGTCCTCATCGTCCTCGTCCACCTCCTCGTCGCTCGACCCAGCCGACGACACATAATTCGAATCTGAATCGGCCATATCCGTCACGGGCACAGAAAGCGAATCGCCCCTCGGACGATGCAAAGACGGCGAAGACTTCGGCGACATCGTAAACGCAGGGTTCTCAGTCGACGACCTGGGCGAATACGCGCTCGTCGTCCGCGTCCTCTTCGGTTGTTCCTCTCGAAGCTCTCTGACGAGCTCCGCGGCAGGTGTGAGTTGGGAGACAGACGCGGTAGCGTTGGCCATCGAAAGACCCGAGGCTGCGATCGCGGAGGCAAGCCCGGTTGGGGCTTTATTACGTTTGGGCGGTCGGCCTTTGTACGGTGATGATTGTGGGACGGAATTCGAGTCTGGCGGGTTCGCCTGGTTGCGCTGCCAGAGCCGTTTCTTGCTGGACGAGACGTTTGATTTGATGGAGGCCGCGTCGCTGTCTCGCTGCGCGTTCGAGGCGACGAGCATCTGCGGGTCGATTCCCTGTCGTGGATGTGTGTAGGAAGTCGGAGAGGTGGTGACTGAGTCGCCGCCATCGGAGGGGGCACTGGCATTGGAGATTGTGGAACCGGCAGGCCTCAGGTCGGGCAGGGTGTTCATGTGCTGACGCGGCGACGGCACGGGAGGTGGTTGAGTACCATTCTCGGCCTGCTTTTTGGTGTTTGGCGACGAAGGACGGGAGCGGGAGCGTGAACGGTCGTTGGACGAACGGTGATGCTCGAGCTTGAGATTGCCCGTGGACGACGAAGGAGTGAGTCTCCTGCTCATGAAGCCGTCAGCGTAGGGGTGGTTTGGTGTCGGTGTCGTGAGTCCGTCGAGATCGTCAATACTGGACGGCGACGAGCCTTGGACGAGTGAAACGGTATGCGCTCGCCTACCACGACTGTCCTGTTCACCCTCGTTCGAGTTAGACGCCTGTCCACCCCCATGGCCATCCGCACCATCATTGAGGCTCGGCTCTCGGGTGCTCGGGAACGAGTCGCTGTGGCTCCTCGGCGAAGGTGGGACGACGCTCACGAGAAGACTGGTCTGTGAGCTCGTCGATCCACTCGGTGAAACTCCTCGTCTGTTCTGCTGTGGCCCGACGGTGAGGTTCTGACCGAGTCGGTTGTTGGGAGGCTTGCCCGGGGACGAGAACGCTCGCTGACGGCTGTCGTTTCCAACCGTCGATCCATCAGGCGAGGTCGCGCGAGAGTTCGAGCCATCCTGGCCGCCCTTGTTGGCGACGAGCTTGGAGAAAAAGTTTGGTGCCATAAAAAGATGGGCAAAGTAGCAGAACTGCGCTGGGTGGCAAAGAGGGCTCGAAGCGTGAGACTGAGCAGTTTTAGCAGAATAAGAATGAATGATCGACTCTATAGAATAAGTACAGATGCCCTTGGGGCTTTAAGAACGTCGGTAGCCTTGTGCTCACTGGTGCACTCAGCACGCTTGTAGGAGAAGTGGGTGGGTGAATGGAATGAAGAAATGTAAGGCTGCGACGAGCGCTGGCTTGGCCAAGGATATCGCAGCAGCATGCCTCAACTCGGATGCGCTCAGACCCCGGTGCAGCCACGTACTTTTCTGCACCCAACATGAGGCTCAACCAATGACGACGATGTTGAACGAAACTCGATCAATAATTAGCTTCAATTAGTAGCTACCTTCTACTGACTTCCACGAACACAAAAAAAGGCACTAAAAAGAAAATAACGAGGGGAGGAGAGAGAGAGAGAGAGAAAACTGAGAGAGAGAAGAAAGACGGTGAGAAAACCAAAGGCCAGGTTTAAAACGAGTGTAGGTGCGATGTGTATACTACGTATGTTCGACTCGGAGGAGAGCAGTGACTGGAATAAACTGGAAACGTGACAGCGGTTCGTAAGGCTATATGTAAAGGAGACGGAGAGAGAGGAGAGAGAGAAAGGTACGCATAAGTAGACGTGTATGCATGTATGTAGGGTTGAGAAAGCACAATGGTCCAGGCGATCCTGCCTGTCGTCGAGGAATATAGGCAAGAAAGGATCCGGAGGCATATACGAAAGCAAAGTAAAACGAGCGAGGGGCGACGACAAGCATATCACAGAGCAAAGAGTCTGTCGAGTTCCAGTCAAGAAAGGGACCAATTCACTGCGCACGCACGGCTCACGAATTCTGCTGCTTGGGCGACGAAGCGAACAGAGAGACGACCTTCTCCACCCCTTCCTTGTACTTCTTCAGCTTCTTGTCCTTCTGCTTCTCATTCGGCACCTTCACGGTCTCGTGCACATCTCCTCCTTCGTGCTCTCCTTCGTGATTGTCCTCGTGCACACCCTGCAGCCTCTCCTCGTTCGTGGACACGTCCGACGACCCAGGGCTGCCCACCGACATCGACACCGCCGATTCCTTCGACTTCAACGAGGGCGACATCCCAGCCGTAGCGTTCGAATGCGCACTCGTCGCCGTCGACATCGTCGCAGGATAAGTCGACGAGGCGCCCGACGTAGAAGCCGACATGAGCGTCGCCGAAGCCGAATGATTCAACGACCTCTGTTTCGTCTTCGTGGTGCTCGAACTTGCATAGGTACTATGAATCGGCGTAGTCGTGGTCGTAGTCGGCGTGGACGTCGCGTTCGACTTGGACGAAGTCGGCGTGGATGTCACGTTCGACTTGGACGATCTCGACGAAGGCGGTGACTTCGGCCTCAAGAACTGTCTCGTATTCCTCCTAAAGTTCAACGCCGGCGTCCTCCCCCTCCTCTCCTTCTCCGCCTGTTTCTTCTCCGAAGGACTCGGCGAGCCAGGCGTCGACGCGGTGTACCCGCTGATCTCAGACATATTCGACATGCCAGAGACGGACCTATTCGGGGTGGATCCCTTCCTGAACACGGAAAGCTTATAACGGTCCACGACGCCCCTCGCGAACAAGCTCGTCCCTTTCGGTCCGTTCCGCTCCTCAGCTCCGCCATCGGCCTCGATGAAGTCCCAGTCGTCCTCCTCGTCCTCGTCCCTCTCCGTCGCAGCCTCGTCTTCCTCGAACGCATCGGGGAGGTACCGATCCAGCGCAGGTATACCGGACTTCTCCCTCCTGCTCCGTGGTGGACGCCCATGAAGCGCATCCTTGATCGTCTTCGGCTTCGTAGATTGTTTCGAGGGCGCCACAACGGTCTTGGGCTCCTTGCGATGAACCTCTGCGGGATTGGCGGACGTTGCTGCGGCAGCAGTAGTAGCGGCGACTTCGGGTTTGGTGGTCGCAGGTTTCTTGGGGGGAGTCGAAGGCGCGGTGGCCACGCTGAGTTGTTCTCCAGAACGGCGAAGTGCCTCTTTGACTGGAGTTTTGGGAGGAATGGCTGGTGGGACCTCGCTGGTGGGTGTCTCCAGCTCGGGTTGTGTCGTCTCCGTGGGCGTCTCCGGAAGATCCGTCTTCTTCGCCTCTGGAGTCTTGGGTTCGGGAGTCCGCTCCTCTTGAGCCTCGGCGCGTTCTTCCTCCACGATCCCATTTTCGATAGACATCTCCCCGTTCAACTCATTCAATGCGCCTTCCGCCTCTTCGTCCATCTCATCCTCTGCCTGCTCATCCTCCTCGTCCTCTTCTTCTTCCTCCTCCTCATCGTCCAGAATGACACTATGTCTCCCTTTGAACGAATACCCGTCGAAGACATCGACCGTCTCGCTTTCCTCATCGCCGACAACCGGATGTACGGACGAGCTCCTCGACTGCGAAGGCGTATTGACAGACTCTTCGCCATCTGTACGATCGGTATCTGTCGCGTCGCCACCTTGATCAGTCCCGTTCCCATCGGCGAGGTCATTCTCGTCGTTGATGACGGGTTCCATATCGAGGAAGGTCTCGTCGAAGTTTTGGGTATCGCTTGCGTTGGAGGGGTCAATGGGAGGGATATACGGGGCTGTTGTGCAGAAACGTGAAAGTCAGCGAGAGGCGAGAGGCACGAGAAGAACGACGAGAACGCACGTATATAACGTTTATGATATACATGAGTCCAATCTCTGCAAGGCCACAACGTCAGTAAAGCGCGATAGGGGGCCTAAAATAGAACAACGCACATCATCGAGAAATAAGGATGCTTCTTGATGCGAGGCTCGCTCAACCTCAATGCGGGATTGCGTTGCAGTAGCTGTGAAAAATAGGGCGTGATGAGTTCCCAGACGAAGAAGCACAGAAATAAGCAGACTACTCACGCCGCGAATCAAACTCTTCGTGTCCTGGTCCATCGCCCTGTCCTCGGGGAAGGTCAACTCGTCCTGCAAGACCCTCACATACATATCCGAGTGATTATCCGCCCAGAACGGTGTCTGATCACCGCCACAAAACTCCACTCAGTACCGCGTATCATATATGAAAAGAAAGGGGCTTACGATGCCAGTCAACATCTCATAGAGCATCGTCCCAAAACTCCACCAATCGACCTCATAACTGTAAGGCAAGCCCTGGATCACCTCCGGCGCCAAATACTCCGCCGTCCCACAGAACGTGGTAGTCTGGTCCTGTCCCCTGACCACCGCGCCACTTCCTGCAGTCGGGAACGCCAACTCGAAGTTCGTCCTCTGGCCATTGGGAGTAGACGGCGCAGTGATAGCGGACGTCCGTCGTGGGAACTCCTTCGACAATCCAAAGTCGGTGAGCACGATGTGGCCGTCGGCCGCGATGAGGATGTTTTCAGGCTTGAGATCGCGATAGATGACACCGGCGTTGTGCAGGCCCTCGACGCCCTCCACGATCTCGGCAGCGTAGAAGCGGGCTCGGTCACGGCCTAGACGACCCCAACGGGCGAGCTGTGTGGCGAGATCTCCTCCGGGGTGGAAATCCTGCACGAAACTTATCAGTAAACAAACTCCCTTAGGGGAAAAAAATAAAAACACCAACCATAACTAGGAACAGATTCTCTTTATCATGGAAACTCCACCAAAGCTTGACGACAAACGGGTCCGAATTCCCCGCCGCCATCCTCTTCAACACCGCCTGCTCCGTCAACGTATGCTGCAGCTCCTGGTGCGCCAGAACATGCCTCTTCGTGATCGCCTTCAGAGCATACAAGTCCGCCGAGCTCTTATGCCGCACTAACAGCACCTTGCCCGCACATCCCTTGCCCAACACCCTCATCATCTCGAAATCGCTGACCTGGACCTTCCGTTGCGACTTGATCTTCTTCAGCTCGCGATTCGGGTCGACGGACTTGGAGCGTTTCTTCCTGGCTGCGCGTCGCTGCTCGTGCGAGGTGCTGATGGACGAATCATCTTCGGTCTGGGTGGACGTGCCTGTGGTGTCATTGGCGTCCGATGGAGAGAGCGACGCTTTAAACACGCGCGACAAAAGCGCCGCCTTATCCGGGTCGGCGGACTGAGAGCGTGGAATACGACTGATATGCGAGTCGGTCGCGACCGGCGTGCTAGGCGCATTCGTGTCCTCGTCCTCGGCGACGGCAACCGACTCACTCTCAACAGGCCGTGGTCTCGGCGACCGAGGCGTCTCCGGTCGTTCGTCGAACTCTCCCCCAGCATCCTGACCCTCTTCCTGCTCTTCATCCAGCGACACCTCTTTCACACTTCTCCGATCATCATCCACCATACTGAACTCGTCACTATCCCTCCCCGACTCCGACGCGCCCCGTCTCAGATCCACCGCGCTCGGCGAGGTCACATGTGCCGCCAAATCCGACCTAACGCGCTTGATCGCCCGCTCGACCCTGACGCTCTCGAGATCGTCCGTCCGGACGCGAACGAAGCGTTTCCAGGCGCGTGTCTGTCTCAGAAGTTGGTCGTTGGAGATCGTCGTCAAGTACGCCGCGAGGCCGGTCACGGTCGGGTTCGTCGTAGCCGTCGGGGTGGTGAGAAGGCTCGAGTCGGCGGTGGTGGTTCCGTTGCCATTGAAGGCAGAAAAGGGGTCGTTCCGCTCTTTGCTTGGCGAGATGACGGGAGTCGGGAGACCCGAGGGAGGGAAATGACGTGATGGAGTGGTGCTTTGGCTGGTGATGGAGGGGGCGCGGGAAGGGTTTCGAGAGTGAGCACCTTTGGAGGGAGTTGCGAGGCGGGAGAGGGTGTTGAGGAAAGCGGATTTCTTCTTGGTCGGCTGGGGGAGGTTGTTTGGGTCGATGGGAAGCTCGGGGAGTTTGATGCTCGGGTGGGCTTCGTGGAGCTTGTGGTGAAGGTCGACGACTTCTTGAGATTTGCGGGTGAGGGTCAGGTTGTGGGTGGGAGCTGAGTGGGCCGTGAAGATGGTTAGATGCACGTTACACGGAAAGATACGTAGATCAAATAGAGGAATGCAGGGCGCCGAGTTTGTGGTCTAGGAAGGCAGAACACGTAGATACTTCGCGTCGGCAAGGAATGCACGATGTTGAGATATCGCGAGAGCAGTCTCCATACCACGCGCAAAAGGATGCTAAGGTTCGGAAATGAGGACACTCACTTTTCACATAGAGACTATAGGAAGACGGGTCGTGTGGATTCTCAGCGGCGCTGATGGTCCAGGGGCCGTCCTGTGCATCCATCCGGAGCAAGGGACGACGCGTCTGCAGCCTTCTACTTGGCGTCTCCGCGGAGGGCTTGCTCGAGGTCGGCATCTTGGTGGTGGTGGTCGTCGGGGTTACAGAGGACTCGGTGGTGGTGGTGGTAGGTGTCGTCGGGGTATTGGGCGAATCGTGGTCTACGAATACGGTGGAGATGGGATCAAAGAAAGATGCGTCTGCGACGGCGGTCCTTGCTTTCCGATGTGGCCTCCGGTAGCTGTTGACGAGATCAATGCTCCTCCTTATTGGCGACGGTGGAGGAGCACGGTCGTTGACAGAGATGAGCTGGTTGTCCGAGTCGCGAAGAACGGTGCGGATACTGGCAACGGTGCGAAAGCGGGTATGCTTCGCGGAACGAGCTGAAAGGGGCTGTTGCTTCTGTAACGCGACGGGGGTTTGCATACAAATCGGTCAGGGTCGAGCGGGCGGCAACGGCGTCGACGACGACGGGAGGTGTGGCGGGGATGTGGTCGGTCGGGAGAAAGCAAGGGACGGCTATAGGTAGGAAAAAGGTAAAGAACGAAAAGGGAAGATGGTTGTGGGCGTGTGCGTTCAGCACACCGCTCGAGCGAGGCGTGCAAGGCCACGAGCCCTAAGCACGTCCACAAATAGTCCTTCCGGTTGCCTCGAGGCTCGCGTGCGTTTCACTCCGTCGTCTGTGCTTTGCGGCTGTGCGGGGCAAGCTGTGGGCGATGACGGTGGAGGGTGCTGGCCGCTGTGGGAGACGACGAGGACGATGGGTTAATAAACGGGAGCTCGCACGGACGGGGCTTGAGTCTATTACGTAAGAGAACTAGTCCCAACTTTTGCCTCCGTCTGCCGATCCTCTCTTCTTCCGTCCAATACCGCCAACAATCCCATGTTAGCCTATGTCCCGCCTCTCCCTCTGTCTATTCTTTTCTTGACCCCTTTGCGGCCTAGCCTCGAGCTTTCTCACTCATCAGCACCCACAATAGCCTCCCCAACAATACCTTTCACGGCTTCAGCCCCAGCGACCATCTAGACCCGCTCATTGCCGGTGGCCCCAGACACGGAGCCGCGTAACCCATCTGATAACCTTACGTTTCGTAGCCTTCATCGAATGCTGTGGCACGCACCAATTCGTGCACTTGGGGCCACTCAGCCCGTGATAACGTCGACGATCCATGCATCTACTGCGCGCCCTATTCGCCTCCTGACACGGACCTGACAAGGGTTTTCGAGACAGACTGTGATAAGCTACAGGCCCTCTTGTTCAGAGATACGTTATTCTGGCGAGACTTCTCCGGTTTTGCCTACCTTGGGCAGAGTCTTCGCAACCGTCGCTGTCTTTGTTTCTCCTGAAGTGACGTCGCTCAAGGCACCCTGGCGCGATAACTCGACATGCGCACCACGGTCTTCGCCACGCTCGGCACCTTCAGGGCAGGGATAATGTGTTGAATTGAAGAACCAATAGGCCAGTCCACGAGACCTAAGCCATTGGTAGACTTGGTGTAGTCAAGGTGGCGTCCAACAAGACGGGTTCCATCTCAGACAAAAGAGACTTTCGCGTTGAAGACACTCGTGAGGGTGTGAATGTACGGACTCTCACTGGTTCACGTACGTTCGTACATTCCCGCCACCTGGTAGTGGGTGTTGCAGAACGAATCCTCAAATATTCGCGGGCCATCATAAAATATGGTTGTAGACTACTGTGCTCTCACCTTCCTGGTGCAGAGTGCCGCCCTTTCGATAGTACTACCATGCACAGTCTTCGCATGTACGCAGAACGACATTTTCTTTCCCTGCTTACCAGACATCTGTGCGGTTCTTTTCCTCATACGAGATTCCGTGTAGGATATTAGGTAGTGGGATTACCTATATCGATTGATAGAGATGCAGGCCGGCTTTGTCCTAGAGCGGCTCAGATCTTCCGCCGGCACTGGATGGCTATCCGTACACCATTTAGAACGTTCCTCAACACACACACACACACGAGCTTGGGCAGCTCTGTGGCAGAGGTTTTTGCGGCCAAGTGAGCCCTGGGCCCGTGTGTATATGTTGGTTCAGGGTGCGTACTTAGTAAATTATCATTACGGATAGCCACCCACTGGCTAGGCGGGTCAGCTCCAACTGAAGAAATATATCAAACACAAGTCTGGTGCATCGATCGAGACATGTTCAATTCCGAAATATACTTGAGAGATAAGTAGCGGATCGAACTGACCACCGTGTGGCTCAGCGTCTATCCCGCCACCCACTCGCGGCGTTCCCAATTTCGAGCGCCGCTTGAGAACCCAAGTACGACCTAATTACCGTGGCGTCGGCGCTTAACTTAGCCAGTGGTTCGACCCTCCCATTCCACCCACACTGATTCCCCAAGTTCACTGATCACCAGATCCACACAGAGGATAGCATGGCCGACTCAAGAAGCCCGATTCCTCCGTCCTATAACGAAGCCACGGCACCTCTAGCACATTCTGCCCCTCCAAGGAACACAGCACGGCTGGCGCAACTTGAACCTCAGGATCCCCACGACGAGCGAGGGAATAGCGAACGCGTGCATTTTGCCCAGGGACAGTACACGAATTATACCCAGCCTCGGCCCTCACCTGCACCCTTCCCCGCCGCCGCCGCGCGTTCTGACACTACCAGGGCACCCAATAACGCCAGAAATGCCCCCTGTCCGGCGAAACCTTTCGAATCCACACCCCTCCACATCAATGTCGCCTCCATACGTCTCGCCATGGTCATCCTCGTCTATCTGCTCGCCTGTATCCCACTCTTCTGCTTGAAGAGCGTCTACGACGATGTTCGCACCAAGCTTGATCGCGAACGCAACGTCCGAGAGTCCGAGAGGAAGCAGTGGCAGCATCAGCAAGAAGATCATAAGAAAGACGAAGAGCGATGGCAGCGCTTGCGCAGGGAGTGGGAGATCGAGAAGGAGGCACATAGACCGTATTTCGAGGAGCCAGTGTTGAAGGACGTGTATTGTCGGGCGTATAATACACGGGAATATAAGGCAAGGTTGTGGAATGTGAGGTTGCCGGCGGATAACTGGCTGGAGGCGTGCATGAGCACGGAGGTGAAGATCCATGGAAGGACAATCGGGCAGCCACACAGGTGTGCGGATGAGGTTGGTGGAATGACTCCGTTTAGCCCACTTTGTACTTGTTCTGATGTTCCTGAATCGATTTTCTAAAATATAGGGATGGGGCGTGATCATGGCCTACTGGACTGTCAACTTCGACGAGGTCGAGTGCAAAACCGTATGGGGGAGAACCTGGGACAAGGTAAATATATCATCTACGTGCCTCGCCGTCTCTTATTCCACAACTCACTGACCTGTTCATCTTCCTCGTGAATAGGGATGCGTCAGACCGGGTATCCATGTACGTCTTCCCACCTCACCTTGTATCCCCAACAAATGTTGACATCTCTCTCCGACTTCAATAGGGCTACGAAGCTCCTCTCTGGGGTCAAAAATGGGACGACGACTGGTACGAGATGTGTTATACCACCCCCGGTAATCTGCCTGGTCTTCCCGGCGACCTTGGGCGTCCGATTAGGTGCGAGCAAAGAGTGAGTCGCCCTCTTTCTTCATTGTTTTTTCGTGCGGACAGGATCCTCACTGGTATGATGAATTCAATCCATAGGGCCAAAAGGGTGGTGGTATGATTGGAGTTTGGGAGGTCCCAGACTCGCGCTGCCGGTCCTTGAACGCAGAGAGCATAGACTGATGCGCATTTCAAGTAGGTGCACCGCATTGCATGACTCCAGGTATTGAAGACACATCTCTGATACGTCTCTACAGAGGAGTACATGTCAAATCCCTGGTCGGCGCCGGTTTAGATTTCTCACCGAATACCTGCCAATAGCTCTGCTCTCCTTCTTTTGTCCTTTGTTCTGTGTCAAAGTCTTCGGAGACTGTATTTATATTGCGAAGAAGTGCTAAATGACCCGGGAGGCATGCGTCAAAGCATCTCGGGGTCGATGTCACGTATGTAGCAACTGTATATGGGTATAGATTCCCTGGTGTTTACCGGATTCTATCCACGAAATTACAATGTCCATGAACGTTAACGATGCATGGGCATGAGACCCTGTCACAACCTATATAAGCTACATTCCTTCTACTTCTCTACTAAGTACAGCACATGACAACGAGACTCGAACAGATATCATTACATTTTATTCTACCTTTCGACACTTCCACCAACAGCCCCACCATAAATCCCACCTTTCCGAAACGAACTCACATTCACCTCTCCCCCTCCGGATCATACTCATATTCGCTATACTCTGGCACCCACCTCACCTCATCCGCCCTCTTCCTCACCTCCTCCTTCCCCCAACTCACACCCGCGCTTCCCTCCTCAATAGCCTGCTCCGCCACCGCGATCGCCACCTCGTGGTTCACGTCCGGTGCGTCCTCGAAGTCGGGAAGGAGGGCATTGTCCGGGTCTTTGAGGGCGGGAGAGAGCGAGGCGAGACGTTGGGTTCCGGCGAGGATCATGCTGTCAGTGAGTGTGCGCGATTGAGAGATTATGGAGCCGAGGCCGAGACCGGGGTAGATGAGTGCATCTGAGTGAGTGGGTCTAGGGGTCAGTCTACTGGAGTGCGCATTGAGTTAAAGTACGATCGTTGCTTACTGTTGCACTCCGCGATACTGATCATTCATCAAAAACACGACAGTCAGAAATCACTCCAAGACGAGATGTGCCAAGGGCAGCGAGACTTACATGTATTCTTTCCCGTTGGGCATCTTAGCAGGAGGGAACGGACTCCCCGTCGCCAACAGCGCCTTCCCCTCCGTCCACTCATTCGCCTTCGCCGGGTCGACCTCGACCAACCGACTCGGGTTCGACAACGGTAATATAATCGGCCTCTCCACGCCCTTCGCCATCTCCTTCACCACCTCCTCCGTAAACGCCCCTCCATGCGTCGAACACCCAATCAACACCGTCGGCTTCACCTTCTTCACCACCTCCAATAACCCCACCTCCCCCTTCTCGTCCCATTCCGAGTCTGGGCGGACAAAGTCCTGTAGGGCGGAACGGATATTAGCGGCGCCGAGAGACTGCTTGACGAGCCCGTGCTTGTCGATGAGCCAGAATGATTGGTTGGCTTTTTCGCGAGGGACGTTGTCGAGCTGGACGAGGGCGTCGCGGAGTTGGTGGGCTATACCGAGGCCGGCGGAGCCGGCGCCGTAGATCACGAAACGTTGGTCTGCGAGCTTGGATTTCGTGACGCCGATAGCGGCCATGACGGTGGCGAGGGTGACGGCGCCTGTACCTTGACTGGTCACGAAAAAAAAAGTTGAATCGTTAATGTTGCTGAGCGAAGAGAAATGGATCGAGCGAGAATGGGAGCGTACACGTCGTCGTTGAATACGGAGTGCTTGTCGTGGTAGAGCTCGAGCAGTCTTTGAGCGTTGGTCACGCCGAAATCTTCAAAGTGGAGCAGAGACTTCGGGAAGTATTTCCTCACGAGCTGGACGAACCTGAAAGCGGTACGTTAAGGTCAGAGGTTTGCAATATAAAGATATGGTGGGGAGACGGAAGTACTTGTCCACAAATTGGTCGTATTCTTCGCCGCGGACCCGCTTGTGTGGCCATCCCTAGGTAATGGGGCAAGTTAGGATAAACCTGTATCGGTGTGTGATTTAGATGTATACGTACGACGTAGAGTTTGTCGTTCAGCAATGTTTCATTATCCGTGCCTACATCGAGCGTTACGCTGATGGACTTCGCAGGGTGTACGCCACCGACCAGCCTAAGAGTTGAATCAGGACCAGAATATCAACGAAGAATTCCGTACCACATACGTATAGATGACGGCCTTGGCCGTCGAGATCTGATGATATGGATGAGTACCCAGGATAGTTCAATAGAGTTGGTGAAGCATACTCCAATGCCCTGTACAGGAGAGCAGGAGTCAGTAGTGAAGGCCTCTGCACAAAAGCCTGAGATCGTACCCCGACACCTTGATCGCCAATACCAAGGATAGCTTCCGCATCCGAGCAAACAATGAGATCCAGGTCACGGCCCTTCGTCTGTTCAAGGAAATCTTCCTCCATACTGTCCCGATTCGCATACGTCAAATACATGCCCTCACTCCTCCTGAACAAATGCGAATACTCCGCAATCGCATCCGCCTGTGCAACATCGACAATGATCAACTGCCTTGCATGTTCAAGAACAGACAGAAGGGCTTACTTCGGTCGGGGTATACACAATCGGCATCAGCTCCCTCAGGTTCTTCTGGATGAGCGCATAATACAGGATCCAATTCTGATCTTTCAAGCTCTGCAAGAACGAATTCTTCCGCAGAGGCTCCTGCCGCGCCTGGAGCTGAGCGTATGCTCTATCGCATTGCTCTTCGAGAGTGTTGATGCGATATGGCAGCCTCCCGGTGAGTCCGAATGCTTTGCGTTCACGTTCGTCGAACGCGGTGCCCTTGTTCCAGCGGGGGCTCGTCAGGATTCCGTCACCGCGAAGCGCGACACGATATGCTGGTTTCTGGGCCATGGATCTAGCTATGGAGAAAGCTATGGGGGAGATACGCATCGTCGAGGCACGGCACAGTCTTTATATATCGTATCGCGATCCTCGTCACGTCTGAGGGTTTTCCGCTGATTGAAAGCGACGTCATGGCGGGTTACGGGAAACGTGGGAAAGCTAGAATATTTAGCACCGTTCTATTTATAGCCAGCTCCCACCTCTTCGAGTTCTATGTGGCCCAGTTCGAGAAGAATTAGAATAGTAGGCACCCAAACTTCACGAAGGATTCTCCGAGCTTCAAGCTTCAGATTTGCTTCATGTGGAACTCTTTGTGGTCTGTGCACTGGAGACAGAGACCAGGATTGATGTAGCACGCCGGATGTATGGCTGGCAGCACAAAAAATACAATGCCCACATCGTGAATAAGCTTACAAGATCCCATGGCTCACTAGCACCCGCTGAACCAACACAGTAGCCCCCAGGAAACCCATCCCGTGCTATATGATATCGCGGCGTACCCTGGGACTTTTTCTTGACCAGAAAGGTCGTAACAGGTCATAACATCTCTGCTCCATAGAACCCATTGAATCGTTCTGTGGGCGCCATCACGAAAAGGCAGATTCGAGCAGTATGCATGCAGCATGGTAGATTAGAGCGGTTTGGCGGGGAGCTGGGTAGGAAGGATGCCGTAACGCTTTTTGATGGTCACTCTGTGGCGAGAGAACTTGTCATCAGGCGAGAAGCGTGCTGTCGGGTACAAATCATCAGCACTTCATATCCCTGAGAAACAACGGGGAGGAGAGTGCATAGAGCGAGGCGCACCAGGGTGTGCTGACTTCGTAATTTTTCCATCGTCCGTGATTTTCTACATCGCGACAAGGTTAGTCATTGATTTACATGGACACAGACTGGAACAGACACACTTTGAGAGAGTAAATCCGGTTGCCAGTGGCATCGATAGTGTACATGAGATGCATGACTGACTAGAGAATGAGACAGGCGGTGGCGAACGGATGGATGGTCGAGCAGAAAAGGAGGAGGACGTTTTGTCAGTCCGGCTGACGAGCGCGTCTCCCGCGGTTCCGGCCGGAGTGCCGGATTTGTGGGCGCTTATTGAGCCAAGCAAACCAATGATCAAAACAACCGCGAAGGGCACTGCTTATTATAACAAAAATGTCCCCCGCACCTTTGCCTCGCCGTTCTCCTCGCATCAATCGAACTTGGACAACGCGTCCTCCTCTCTCACCCAATTTCTTGAGATAATTACGGGTCAACTATGGTGAAGACGCAGGATAACATCACCGCACCACTGCCCGGCACGACGATCAAGCCGTTGCACACATATGATGACGAACAGACTGCCATGCTCACTGCTCTGCGCGAGGTGCGTTTTCAGTCCCAATTTAATTCGACAATTTCTGATACTGTAATTCTCCTAGTATGCACAAACCATTGTGCTCTCAGAATCCGATCCTTACCACGATAATGAGCAGGAGTGGTTGCGCAAGCCTGATACTATCCCCAGGTATATGCGAGCTGCCAAGTGGAAGCTCGAGGATGGAAAGAAACGTCTCAAGGGCACCCTCGAATGGAGGAGACAATTTCAGCCTGACCTTATTTCCCCTGACGAAGTACGCCACTCTACCATCGTTCTTGTGCTCTACTGACTGTTGTGGCCCAGGTTAAGATTGAGGCGGAAACAGGCAAAATGTGCGCTGTTCTCGCTACTATTCCACCCTTATATTAATATTGCTTCTGTCCTCAGCATCCTGAACGGATTTGATCTCGATGGTCGCCCAATAATTACTATGCGGCCAGGTCGCGAGAACACAGAGACCTCTCCCCGCCAGCTTCGCCATCTTGTTTATGTTCTGTAAGCTCGATGCTGCCCAGCGCGTCTTTATGCTTGCTGACTCAAAATTCCTTAGCGAACGGGCCAAGGACCTGATGCCCCCAGGTCAAGAATCCGTCATGATTCTCGTCGACTACAAATCAACTACTATCCGAACGAACCCCTCCATCTCTATAGCCTCGAAGGTCAATTACTTATGATTTCTTCGCTCTTCCCTTCAAGTCTGACATATTTCTCCTCACAGGTCCTCACAATTTTACAGAACCACTATCCTGAGACCCTTGGTCGCGCAATCGTGACCAATCTTCCCTGGGTCCTTAACTTCTTCTATAAAGGCATTTCGCCGTTCCTCGACCCCGTTACCCGCGACAAGATGCGCTTCAACCCGCCATTATTGGAGCTTGTGCCAAAGGAGATGTTGGAGAAGGAGTTTGGAGGTGAGCTCGAGTGGGAGTGGGATTTCGAGAGGTATTGGACTCAACAGGTCGCGTGAGTATCTCTCTTATTTGTTTCCTTTGACGGCAAGGACTAAACTGCTATCGATTTCCTATGTTTCAGAGCTTGTGGACTCGCGCCTGACGGTACACACGTCAAACGTTCTATCTTGACTTCATCTTCAGCTCCACAGCCCAGCACAGATGCCAACTCTCCTGCTACTGAAGCAGCGAAAGCCCCCAGCGCAAAGCCTACATCATCGGCATCTAGTCGCGAACCATCAGAAAACGCTCCTACCACTCTGAAACCCGAGAATGAGCCTATGAGCGGGAGGTAGATGTCTTTCGCAGCATTGGCTCGTAATACACATATTAATCACATCTTACTGGTGTAGCACTACTGCAGCTTCTCCTAGCCGGGAACCTACACCCGCCAACGCAGAAGAAGACCTTATGACGGAGAAACTCGCACGAGTTGACGTGAATGAGGTAGATGGAAACGAGAATACACCGGCCACCGCCTGGATGGCTGCTCCTGTGGCGACGAGTGCTTAGAAGTCGCCCCGTGCATTTGTTTCGTTGACTCATGCAGGTGTCAAGTCGCTCTCGCGGTCTGTGACGCCGTATACAACTATTGATCTCCATGGCCCAAATCTGAATCTATCCTCTCTCATTTTGCAGCTTAATTTACATCTCATTCCAGCTCACATTGTTTGTCCACTACCTTGCCTCTATCTATCATCGCTTGTTGTCTGTCCGCACCTTTGACCACGTTGAAACTGAGCCATTCTTCTGTCACACGTCCCATACCATTTTTCCTACATCAGCTCCAGTACGTCGTACAATACAGTTTAGAAGGATATGGTCACATTACAGTATACTATGGTGCTATGTATGGAGTCGGCCTAACTTTACTTCTGTTGTGTTGTCGCAATATCTATTCCAGTTTACCTGCCATATATGCTCTCCCATCGGGCGTCATATCTATGCGCGTCCCACGCATACTGAGTGCTTGTTGAATGTATACATTCTCAACCGGCCATTCTTGACTGAATCTTTTGGAGATGGGGGCCAGAGGCCTACCAGAAATGCCCGGGCCACAGTGGCGTTAAAGCCTGCCCTAAAGTATCTCGAGGACTCGACGAAATCCCATTTAGACGCCGACCTCGTTATTCCTCACGTTCCTCCTCCTTGTCCTAGTCATTTGGCGGCCTTTCCTCTGCCTTCTAGTGCGTTTGTTTTGTTTATCTTTGTCTAATCATCCGTTTTAACGATCAACTTCAAGCCTCTTTGCCTGGTCATATTTCGGATGGTTTCATAGAGGACTTCGGTCTTCGTAGTACTGCGGTACAGGATCATACCGGTTAGCAGTCTCCATTCGAGTGTACGAGGCGAGCGTTCTTTTATACGCTCGCTATCGACACTCTTCGTGCCATATGGCGCGGCGAGAGCGAGCCCCGGTACGGCGGATGCGTCTTACATTTGATAACTACCGAGTCGTCCAACGTCTCAACTTGTAGCAATCCCCATTGCCACTAGTACTTGCTCAGAGCGCGTATAACTTATTCGCAGCTCTGAAAGACAAACCAAATGCCGTGTACTCCAGTAGGAGTCGCGGATACTTAAACTCGCCGACAACATGCCGGCGAGGTTACTCTACTAGTATCAACCGATGCGCCCGTGCTGTGGAGGGCTCCATCCTAGGATCATCATACGAGGTCGGGCACGCCCTGCGTTCAGTCCGTTCTATCGGTGATATCCTGTGTGCTCCGGCATGCCATGGAGTCCAGGCCAATACAGTGCGGGTTCTTCGAACGCAAACTGCGTTCGAAGTTGCGGATACTTAAACTCTACTAGTATCAACCGATACGCCCGTGCTGTGGAGGGCTCCATCCTAGGATCATCATACGAGGTCGGGCACGCCCTACGTTCAGCTCGTTCTATCGGTGATGTCCTGCGTGCTCCGGCATGCCATGGAGTCCAGGCCAATACAGTGCGGTTTCTTCGAACGCAAAACTGCGTTCGAAGTTGCGAATACTTAAACTCGCCGACAACATGCCGGCGAGTATACTCTACTAGTATCAACCGATACGCCCGTGCTGTGGAGGGCTCCATCCTAGGATCATCATACGAGGTCGGGCACGCCCTGCGTTCTGCTTGCACTATCGGTGGTATCCTGCGTGCTCCGGCATGCCATGGAGTCCATGCCAATACAGTGCGGTATTTTCGAACGCAAAACTGCGTTCGAAGTTACTACCTGCCCACATTCCCCGGACTTCTCTATTATAGAGCTTGCTTCATACGAGGATGGCCTCGCTTCGACGAGTTTGCTGTCTATCGGTGATGGCTCTGCGTGCTTCGGCGTGCCATGGAGAGTGACAGTCTGGGCGGATGGGGACAGCATTCCTCCTGGCGGCGGCGCCAGGAGGATTCAAAAGCAGTCCAGGTCACAACCTCGCTGCAGATCACTACCACAAACTGTGATAGTGATCGTACAAACTCAACTTTCCCTGAGGACGTATCCTCAGGGATATATCAAATGTGCAAGAACAGAAGTGGCTGCTCTCAGAGCTCCCTGCTGTTCACGCAAACTCGGTGTTAGACCAACCACGGTTGACCCAACCCGTTACTGATTCGTGTCCACCATAACACAATCACGCATCCCGACTTCAGTCGAAGCCGGGGTACGCGTATACATATACTGTCGCACACCCGCGCACGTATAGCGCACCTCATTCCTGCTGCCTGGCGGCAGGAAGATCCGCCCTCCCCCCTCTCTCCGGAGAGTTCCTCTCTTTTATGTGTCTGGTTTGGGCCCTCGTCGTCAGCGATAGCGAACTGCTGGCGCCGCCGGGTCTCTTCCATTCACTTCCGTTTCTCAGACGAGTCTAGAGCTAGCATTCGCGCTAACGCTGGGCTTGTGCGGCCCTGGCCAATGGGTGGTGGACTTCGTGTCTATTGTCTTTGTTCAGGTGGCGGCGAGGGGTGATGATCTTCGTGATCTCACTCTTCGTCCGTTGTTCCGCTCAATTTTTGGAATCCCTCGCTCTCTTTCGTGGAGAACAATGTCTTTCTCTGGTTCCACGCCGTGATACATGTGGACGGGAAAAGTTATTTACTTGTATGTGTGTACTTTCAGTCACAAATAAATTTATTGCCACCAAAGTTTCCAGTCACCGTGTTTGGTTGTCAGCAGCTCCTGCCTTCTGTTCCTGCCCTATGCGCCTGTTCTCCGCAATGTTTCCCTCCATACCGTGAAGCAACGCCATGCTCCCTGGAACCACCATCTCAAATGTGTCTTTCACCACCGCGTACTCGTAGTATCCGCACCGTGCGATCGGCATGACCTTCTTCAAGTCAACCTTCCCCTCCGTCAAGACTTCCTCGTCGATGTGCACCCCGACAACCCTTGCTACCACAACATCGACGGACCCCATAGGCGGATTTCCCGGAAGCCTCAACGTTGTATAATACTCGCACTCGAACTTGATAGGGCTCGCCTTCACCATCGGCACATCCATCATCGACGCCATCTCTTTCTCAAGACCTGCGCGAACGAACTCGTCTTCACCGTACGGTACCTGCTCGGCCGTAATGTTGACGGCCTCGCGAAGGTCATACGTCGCCACGTTCCAGACGAAGCGCCCGGTGGATTCGACATTGATAGTCGTGTCTTTCTGGTGGTTGGTATCGGTCTGGTTGGCGGCGAACATCACGTAGGGAGGATCGAAGGTGAGGTTGTTGAATTGTGAATAGGGGGCTAGGTTGTCCTGCCCAGTGGCGGAGCGCGTGGAGATCCAACCGATGGGACGTGGAACGACGCAAGCCTATGTTTTTGGAGAAGTGATCAGGGTGATGTACTCATGAACGATTGGTTGACGGTCCACGGAGAGACGGACCTTGAATGGGTCGCGAGGGAGGTTATGGGGAGTGACACCGGGTTGGTAGAAGACCATGATCGTAAGATAGGTGGATGGGCGGTGGGTAGGTCGCAAAGAGGGGAGGAAGGACTAGGGACTATCGAGAATTGTGAGATCGGGGCCCGTATATATACCTCAGGTTCTGACGGATGGGTATATCGGGTCCGCTTCAACCACAGCTCGGTAACATGACATTGAGCGCTGTTCCCATGTAGGTACAGTGCGGGCAATCAGACGGTGTGGTCTTTCCGAAGGTCGGCTACGCAATTATAGGCGTCTTGGATAAGAGTTAGACGCTGCAGTAAGACGAGCGAAATTTGAATACATGCGCTATCCACGTGAAGAAGTATGTATCATTCTGTACAACTATATCGGACAACAACACAAGTAATCCAGGATGCACACGAAAAGATAAGTTCATAAGTTACACCCGTGTGTGCACAATGAGACGAAAAGGCGGTGAGGGAGCCGTAAAAAAAATGGATGGCGAGCGGCGAGCTGTAGAACATCACGGTAACGAGAACTCGAAAAACATGGTAGATAGCGAGCAGCAGAAATATATGAGAGGACGACGGAGATATTGGTATCATCACAGCTCGTGATGCGGAAACCGCAACATAAGGATACAACATTGTCATGCGCAGATGGTAGAGAAGGGAAGATGGTCAATAAGGTAAGTAGTCGTTGCGTGTATAGTTGGTGGCCCGGAGGCAGGGAAAATCCAGTAAGATGCAAGGTGTTATTGGGGACCGGGCGTATGCACTATAGAGGCGTTGAACAAGGAGAGCAACAATAGTTGGTCGGCTAAGTTTGATGAACGGAGAGTCAGATTTTTCCAGCTATGCGTTGGCAACAGGAGAGGCTTACCTTTCCGCAAAGGTTTGCTTAGAAAAGCGTCCATGCCTGCACTTAGACATAATCTCTTCGTTGATTCCTGTACAAACGGTGTCAGTGACCTTGAGGATATACGAATGGCAGAGATATTACCTGACAATCAGCACTGAGGGCAACAACTAGAGAGAAAAAGATGTCAACTTCGGAGTTCATAGGTCGAGAGAATCTGGTATACTTGGTAATCGAACTGTCAACTCTCGACGAGATTCAAGTTCTCGTACTCTCTTCGCAGCCTCCACACCGTCGCATACTGGCATATGATGATCGAACAATGCGACACTGAAGAACCCAGGCTCGTGCGATTCCCACATAGACACTGCTTCCTGACCATTTGAGGCAGCAACCACCTTGAGATCGTAGTTCTCCAGCTGCTTTCTGAGTAGCTGGCGAGCTATAGGGTTGTCTGCAGATAGGGATGTGAGGACACACCACGAAGTAATATGCTAAAAAAGCTAACCTTCCGCTACCAGCACATTTCCGAACAGCATTCTCTGCGGTGGCGGTAGTTCTTCAGAAGCAGGCGATGGCTCATTAGTGATGTTGGCGTAAAGCTCCGGAGGCATGTTACTAAGGCTGGCCAAGGCGTGCAATATCCGAACTGTACGAGGAGGCTTCGTCAAACGCATGACGCCAGGAACATTATCCCTCATCATCGCATGCCCCGTCACTCCCTCCGCTACAGGCGTATACAAGTGGATGACCTTCGTATTTGGGAGGGTCTGACGGGCCATATCATCCGCATGGGTTTCGCTAGTCGTAGTTAAGGTGAGAAGAAGAAAACTTGACAAGAAAAGAAAGACGCATACGATTGATGATCGATGATGATGTAGGAGAGAGATTGACCGAAGGTGTGGATGGCATTCATGAGCTCGCCAGTCGTGGAGACCGCCGTTACATCGAAGCCTTCGAGCATCGTCCTGAGCAGAGACAACGTAGTATCTGAAGGGGAATTGATGACAATGCGAGGTGGCTGTGGCCTGAGTAGTCGAGCTCGAAGAAGAGCAAGATCGGACATTGCCTATAGCACCGGTAAATTTCGCAGCAAAGAATTGAATGTAAGTACACTTACTTTACGAGATTCTCGAGACTCGAAAAGAGCAACCGGGACATGGAAATAAAAGGTAGACCCTTTCCCGAGCTCCGATTTTACCCCAATGTCGCCACCCATGAGCATGACTAGCGACCGACATATAGAGAGCCCAAGCCCTGTACCCCCATACCGTCTTGTGGAAGAATTGTCGGCTTGCTGGAAAGGTATGAAGAGGAGTTCAACATCGCTAGGCGAAAGGCCAATACCAGTATCTCTAATTCAGGAAGAAAACGGTATTGAACACCCTTCGACAAGGTCAAAAGAAACAATGATGCTCACTGAATGACGAACTTCAGCTCCACCGAAGAGCGCTTTCCATCGGGGCCAGTTGGTGTTTTGTCCATGACGCAAGTCACTTTGACAGATCCTCCGTCTTGTGTGAACTATTAAACACTATCAATATGTAAACAACTCAATCGTACGCGACTGATTCCTACCTTCACAGCGTTACCGATGAGGTTCATGAGCACTGTGAAGCAGAAGATCAGACAATTGACAACCGAGTACTTTACGGAAGATACAAACCTTGGCGGATACGTGCATAATCCGCCTCCACCCAAGCTGGAACATCCGGTGCAATGTCGAACGCCAGATCAAGACCGTTATGGGCAGCCTGAGGCAACAAAAGTTCCATGCAGTCTGCGATTAGGCCTTCAACAGCGAAACCGGAATTTTCTAGCTTGAGGGCTATCCTGAAGGGTCAGAGCTAGTCATCGGACTTTGAATGTAGATGCTAACGGACCTGATGCTTCGAGTTTGCTGTAGTCCAGTATGGAATCAATGATCTGGACAGAACTTCTTGAGTTTAGAGCTTAGCAATCCGGCATACTTCACGAACCTTGAGCAAGAGCTCACAGCTCTGTTTGGCCGTTTGCACTAGAAGCGCATCAGTTATTACATCGTCCGGATAAATGTAAGCATAAGACATTACCTAGCTCACGCTGCCCTACATTGAGCTCCGTCCCCCATAATATGTCCAGTAAACCGTAGAAAGAGCTGCGTAGATGAGTCAAACATGAGTCTATGAGTTCGTTGAATGAAGTTTAGGTTCCTTCCTATTCGCGCTGGTGAAGTGAGACGCCTAACAAACAGAAAGAGTGGAACAGGAGCCAGGCCACAACTTTTCGGCCGGCGCGGGATAGTACAAAGAGATTTTGCCGTCAATTAGCCTCACCTCACTTCACCAGTACGAGTAGAGGGGATACTTAGAAAAGAGGAAAAAACTTGCGAAAATGGAGTCCTGAGCTCGTGGCTCATTGAGGCAAGAAAAGAGCTCTTGATCTATGGGGGTTGAAATGCTCAGCGGTCCATAAATGCTAGCCGGAGAAGCCGGTGAGTAGAGCACCCCGTACCTTTGTGGCTTGCAACGCTTCCTCTCGACTCCTCCTCGCAGCCTCCAGAGCTTCCCTCTGCGTCTGTATCATCTTCAAATTTTCCCTCGTACCTGATTGCACAGACCGGAACAGCAAAGCGTTCGCTATACTAATGCTCGCCTGCTGCACCAGCAAGGTCATGACTGTGTATGTCTTCGATGCGAAGGGGCTTTTCGCTGCCATGTATAGAGCGCCTAAGGTCTGACCACGATTTGAGAACAGAGGCAAGCATATGACCGATGTGTACGGGCTCTCCTCTGCCTCCGAAGCGAAACGTGAGTCCGATGAAACCTCCTCAAGGAAAACCCGCTCTTTGCCATTGAGCGCATAATCAATGATAGCTCTCTGCAGGGGATCAGGAATATTTCGAATCGAAACAGGTTTCCTGTCCATAGCACCGTTAAGGATGTGAAGGCGGTGAGCGGCGGAATCATCAAGCTTACTCGTATGTTCGGCAGGGCTCTGGCGTCAGGATGCTTGTGGCCATGTTGTACTCTCCTGCTTCTCCGGATACGACTAGAGATGCGACTTGGGCCCCGGATTGCTCCGTTGCGATTTCCGTCAGACGTTGCAGAGCTATACAGACGCCATCAGCAGTGAGTTCAGGGAGAATGAACACGAAGACAGGAATCCTTACCTGAAGATAAATGTATATCCGAGGCGATGTCCTTCGACCACTTCAACACATTAGATAGATCTGAGGCTGGCAACAGCAGACCGTCATCCTCCTCGGGGGCATGCGTCAGAATAGCCCCTTCATACTGTGTTCCTGACTCTGCTGCCACAGTGACCAAAGCTGCGTCTGTCTGCACTCCAACGCTGGAGGAAAATAGGTTCCGCTTGAGGGACTTGTGTCGATAGTCCACCATAGAAGTGAGATAGTTGCTAATAAAATCGCTTAATGCTGACTGTGAAAAGGGTGAAAGGAACTATACTCACGCAATACCTCGGGCGCCCCAGTGATTCTGACGGCTGATTCCCCTCCGCATCAGATCGCCCCCGAGTCCGTCTACGCCACATCGTAGCAAATGTGCGCCCTCCAGCCAGAGAGCCCACCCTTCCTCCAGCAGCCAGTCGTTATTGGTACAGAGTTTGACGGCCTCGTCGTACAAACGGAGAGCTTCCATGCCGTTTTCGAGAGACGAGAGTTCAGCGTCCTGCAAGAGGGTAAGTTACGAAAGTCGATAGTTGAGCGCCGCCACATAGGGCAGAACTTACCACCAGTGTGACCCAATGGCTGGTATTGATCGGACTTGAGACAGACCAGGTCCGAAGAAACGCCTGGTTCAGAGATATTTGGCTGAAATATCGCGTAGTATGTGGACATTGGCCTCTGCGTATACATGCGATCATGGCCAGACTGTGGAAGAACATCGCAAACCGAGTGTGGCGATGGCTATGGAACGATGAGTGCTGTGTTCACTATCTTCCGGGGGATGAGAGTAACATACTTTGGATGGGAATGTCGAGTCTCGTACACAGAAAAGCCAAGCTCCGCCGCTTCAGTTGTGAAACCCAAGCTAAACAAGGCTACGACCTGGAGGGCAGAAAACTAAGCATAAGGGGCCAGCAAAAGTAAGGCCGTACACACCTTGTACGAATTGAACCTTGGTCGAGAGTACTGCATGTAAGGGTTTATAGCCTGAAGTCTGGCGAAAGCCACTCACCAGTTCATGACCATGGTTTGATTGTCGGTTAGGGGGAGTGCACTGGAAAGGTATTGTGTCTCATCGAATGTATCTGTTTGGTAGATGTTATCGGCCGATGTGGCGAGCGTGTACCCTATTGACCAGAAAGATCAACCGGTGAACTTCCAGCAGCGAGACCAATACTGACCACCCAGAGCCCTGATACAACAGAGGAGGCCTGTCCCGGCGTAAGCAAAAACCTTTGGTATCGTAACGAGAGGAGCATACCCTTGCTCAGAATAACGGTGTCAGATTTCGGCACCCAGAGGTTGATATCATTGAGGCTCTTGAGACATTGTCAGTTTCAAGAGGAGGCGAGCGACGAACAAATGAATTAATTACGTCTTCCGCCGCCACAAGTAGCTCGTCCGCTAGATTCTGTAAATCACTACAGGCAAGGTGCGAGGATGGACAATTGAGCGCTCACTGTGCACAGACAGAGAAATTTTCGTGACAATCGTATGCAGGCTTGAGAAGGCGGCGAATGTCCTACGATACAGCAGTTGCTCGTTCGTCAGTATTGGCAAGACCACATGTAGAACAACCTACCGATCCCCTGCACTGGCTGCATGTTTAACGGCTTGCTCCAACCGTGGGATGTTCGTTCGAATATGCGAGTTCTCATATCCAACGACCATGGTCGAGTACAACACTAATGAGCGACTGAGACTACCAATCAGCCCTGTTGAGGAAGAAAGAAGAGATCGCAGATACATACCCCTTCTCAACACTCGTCCCATACATATCAGACAACTTCAAAGCTATTTGTCCTAGGTCCACAGCAAAACGGCATAGTTGTCGTCTCTCGGCAGCTACTTGCATCGTCCGTTAGCCGGAGATTTGGCAAGAAAATAACGTCGGACAATACCTTCCAAAACGAAAAACAAACCCAGGCCAGTCCCGGGAGATATACCATGGCTATATCAAAGATGTAAATTCAGCTTGAGAGTCCATCAGAAATGGCTGAAAAAGACGAGATTACCGAAGCGCAAGTTGCACCGTCTGTGTGAATTGTAAGGCAAGGACGGAACAGGTAGTCTGAGAGGGCACCCACCTTCAAGCCAATGACATTGGTGAAGGCACCGCTCGTATTCCAGTAAGCATGAAGTGCTATGAGCATTTTCATCAATACCGGACATCATCTTTTCTAGCATGAAAAGGGTCCGCTTACCGGCCTCACTGAGCAAGCTCACAGCCAGATCCATCTTCGGATCCGTCGCTCTTGGGATCCTCAAGACCGCATCAAATCCGACGGCCAACATCTCGTTCTTCACCTCCTCAAACATCGCGTCTGCCATTTCCATTGTCGGATTTGCCATCATCTCAACCCCAAGCAATCTCAGCGCCTGTAACGTATACGATAGGGCGTCGGAGAACTTGTTTCGCATGAACTGGTTGCGGGAACGAAGACGGAGAAGATTGGCCTTGAGTTCGATGTCTTCGGCGTGGTCGTAGCACTCGTTGATGAAGGCGTCCGATTCATCGTAGCTGCTTCTCCACGTAGAAAGTCTAGTTTTTGGTGAGCATATGTTTCGATCAGTATAGTTACGTGCCGATGACTGTAAAGGAGCACGCAGGAATATCTGAAAGCGTACTCTGCTAGTTTAGACAGCATGTTGAACGCGCGAGCCTTGTTAGACTCCCACAGTTCACCCTCCAACAGGGCTCGTGCATTGATGAAGGCCTGGTACGCAATCTTCAATGGGCAAACATACTAGTCAATGCACTGCTTGAAACAAATCAAAATATTATTACCTCATGCGCACCCTTCGCCCACGCAGACTGTCCGGCGTCGATGAGCAACGCTACCAATTCTTCGCGCCTCCCGTGCTCTCGGAGAAGAGGCAGACATCGTTGTGCGCGCTCCGCGATCTTGAACATGTCTGGATTTTGTTCGTGAAGCATCACGGAGATGATCTAAACATCCGTAAGAAACAGACAGATCAAACTCGACTCAAACGCCCGTGGTGCGATTTGAGGTGGACATACCCTGAACGACATCTTCGCGAGGTTACCTTCACTATCCATCGTTCCCGAATTAGCCTCCGCACACAGGTCGAACACAAAGGAACGCCCCCAAAAAAGACATGAGAGGATGACTTACGGGATGGTCGCGGCCTCAGCCTCAGCCGCTTGCCTATACCTATCATGTGCAAAACTACACTCATCCCTCCCCCTGTTCACGATCCATCCCTCCGCAATAGCGACCTGCATACCCTTCATAGAGCCCCGATTCGAGGTCTCCTTCCCCTTCTCTCTCTCCCTGTCCTTCAAATGCGACGCTACCTCGGTCACACTCCAGTCGTCGTCGTCCTCCGCCTCACTGCCAGAAGAAACGTCGTCCTTTTCCATGACGAGCGCAACGTCCGTCACCTTAAAAGTTGCGCCAAAGAATGAAGCCCAGATGATGTACCGTCGTCCGTCTTCGGGGAGTTGTTTGAGATGGGCAATGAGGAAGGTCAAGTCGTTTGGGTCGGCGACTTCGTTCATGACGAGGGCGCCCTCAATGTCGGTCATATCGTATCTGCAATCAACAGTATTAGGCATACTTCATTCCAACACGAAGGGAGACTTCGTGCACTTACTGCCACTCATTATGGTCGTAATTGAACTTGATCTGGATGAGGACTTCGTTAGCGCATTCTACCTTTTAAACGGCCATCATCGGAAGTAAAGGAGACAAAGGAGACCAACGCACCATATTCTGCCTTTGTAGCCTTGTAAGGATACTTCGAGCTGAGAACGCATTGCCCCCAGAGGCTGCATGGATCAATCTCGATAGCGGCGCCGCATCTTCTTTCCTTCTGTGAAGCGTGCGACTGACGAGACCAGCGATCGCAGAATAAGGTAAGGGGCTGAGCTGGATCCATGTCGCTTTTGATCGACCGGTGAAAATGCCTCGAACGCGCTCGAGGGTTTCTCTGGTTAGAGATATCAGATCGTTTCCTGGCAGAAACAAATAAAGGGTGAAGAAGTGACATACGGTTTGTCCTCTCGGAGTGTGGCGAAGATGAGCTATAGGTGCAAACAAGTCAGAAGGCAGATAAGTGATTATGGGGGTTATTGACATACAATGCGACTCTTCGAATGCGCAAGGGTATTAATCAGGTCCATCGACCTGCCACCAAAGTAATCAGCTGTCTCCCTTTGGGCATACACAACAGAAACCACTCACGATTCATCCGCCTCATGCAAATCGTCCAAAAACAGCGCGAACATCCTCGTATCCGCCAAGGCCCCAATCACGTTCTCGGCCAACGAGTTGAATCTTGCTCTCAGCTCGGGGGTGGACAGTGCTTCCTGCGGAGTGTCGATCGTGATTTGGAACAGGTTCATGATGTCCTCAAGCTCGGGTGCACCTGCGTAAAGGAGGGGAAGAATACGGATTTGAGGACCGAGTCTTGTACGGAGGGCATCAACGAAGCGGTGAAGGTCGGATTGGAAGGCCATGAGTTGACGAAGGGCAGAAGAAAGACACGAGAACTTTATGATTTGATATTAGTGTTTGCAGATGAGCGCCGAGGAACGGAAACATACCAAAGCGGCAAACGGAGAGGACACAGACGCCTGAAACTTTGCATGAGCGAAGAGACCGGTCTGTCTCCATTTTGGCTGTTGCGAAAGCACAAGTGAACTCTTCCCCGCCCTGTGCGCACGATGAGTATACACAAAACGAACAAGTCCAACCTCCAAACGCAGCATCAACTCGCACGAGAGGAGAGAAACTCACCCAGCAGGTCCAACGATGCAAATCGCATGCGCACGTATCGACCTCCTCTGCGATGGCTGAAGCGCGATCCTCCTCAACCCATCCGTCATCGAAGCAACCGGCGACCCAACACTCGACACCCCTAAAGTTTCCTGTCCAGGGCCGACCGTCCCCGTTCCCGACCCCACAGTCGGTCCCACGCTGGGTGCCACATCGCTCGCAGTGCCCATCGTGACAGAATTATTGTCACCACCACCGGCCCGCGCAGGCGACGCGCTCCTCGACGATGGATTGCTCCGGTTACTCGTTTCGGGATTGTCACCCGCGGCGGACGCGGTGGTCTTGTGCGAGCCGGAGGATGAGGAGATCGCGATGCCTTTGTCGCCTACGGTGTAGTGCGAGTAGCTGTGGCGGATCACTTTGCGGATCATTTCAATTTCTTTCTCTCGGCCAAACTGGGAAAGAAGGGTTCAAACGTGATGACCGGAGGAGGAGAAGTGACAACTCACTAGGGCATTAGGAATGGTGAATACCTACACGGATATTCAGCAGTGCAAATAGGGGCGGTAGGATATATGAAATACTGACCACATAGCGATCTTTACTGGCGATCTCGAAAGATGGGATGAGCTGTCGACGGCGTGAGCGAAGGTCCTGAATTGAGAACGAAGTAATCACGACGAACCTCGACCGAGTCGTCCTTCGACGATGAAACTGCGTTGAGCAGACGGAGCTGGCATTCTAATACGGAAGGTTAGTATGGATTAATGATACAAATAGATACTTAGCTCACCAAGCAAGTCAGCCTTGAGCCCATACGCGCTCTGATACCTCTGGTCCGCGTTCTTGTTCAGGAGCTAGATGAAAAGTTAGTTCGGGTCCGTCTGCTAGGTACGAACTGACTCACCTTCTCGATGATCTCCGCCAGCACCTGTGGAATATCCCTCCTAACCTCATGCACCGGCATCGCTCTCTTCTGCGCCACCGAGTGAAGAATCTCCAATGCTTGGCCCTGGAATGGCATCATCCCCCTTCCCACCAACAATGTCCAAAACAAAATACCCAGCGAATACAAGTCCGTCCGATGGTCCTCCGTGTTCGTCTCGACAGAGCCCGTCTGCTCGGGGGCGAGATAACACAACACCTCTTTCACCTTCTCCTTGTCCGCCTCCTCGTACGTGTCCGACCGTAATACGAGCGATGTCGGGCCACCATAGCGTTCGAGCGATTCTGACCGGTTGCCAAAGTGAACAAGACGGACGACGCCGGAGTGTGAGTTTATGTGAAAGGCGTTTGCGCGGACTGATACGAAGCCATATCCATCAGAAAATCAGTAGAAATAGCTATCCGTGAAAACGCTTACCCTCGCGGTGTATAATGCTCAATCTTCAGTGAGCGGAGATTAGAGTGAGACAGGAACGCGTACAGAGCAGACCCATGATAAGTGACGTACCGATGGATCTGTTCTAGACAATATGTGGCTTGAATGGCGAACCTATCCACAGAATCAGTAAGCCGTCGATCCACCGACAGCGCTCGTCTGCTGCGTGCTATTCCCGCAGAGTGTCGTCCAGGTATTAGAGGTCTCGGAATCGGTACGAGAGGGGATGTTTCAACAGTTTCAATGACCTTGAAAAACCTTACAACCGTGCCGCCATGCCGTTTCGCATCATGCATGACGTTTTGGCCCCCCATTAGGCACACCCGGAAAATGTCCGAGCAGCTCTTTCCCAAGGGCAGTTGGAGGACCAAAGCAACAGATACGTGTCCCTCACAAATATCCTGGGATACCTCCCGAAATAAATCACTCACTCAAGAAACGTCGCCAAGTCCATCGTGTCCGCCTGTTCGACCTCTAACTCGTCTATGTCCATGTAGATCTCCTCCGAAGGTAGCGGCCTCTTCACATGCACATGCTCCGCCAGCAAAAGGTCGTTTACTTTCGACCGCGGGAGGTATCGACCAAGAAGATTGGGGCCAGGGTGAGAGAGGAGAAGAACGACGCAGTCGCCGTTCGTGCGGGGGAGGGTGAAGAAGTCTATCATCCTGATCGACATGTTGAACGCCTCTGTGTGCGTTTGTATTTCACCGAGTCTGTGTTTTCACAGAACAGTCAGGTAGATGTGGCACCGTAATAAGAAGAGACGGACGTACATGTGGGCCTCTCTCTCTAAACATACAGACGCGTTCGTGTGCGCCGGAGCAATCTTGGCGAGTACGGGCGATCCGTCTTTCAAACTGCTACCCTCTGCGAGTTGTGTATGGGAGCCAGTGTCTTCCCATCGGACGGCCTATCAAATTCCAAGACGCAGAAATTCAGGTATGAGGTACGATTAGGGCGATGCTACGTGCGCTCAGACCAAGAAGATTGTAGGTAACGGACCTTCTCAAACGCATAGCCTGACGGTGGGGGCAACCACAACCATCAGCATCCTACAAAGCCTGATAAAGCACAGAGGTGCGCACCAGGAAGAGAGAGGATTCCATCTCTGAAATAGATAGTGTGAAAGGATGGCTGGGCATGCCTCCTCCGAGGCAGTTTGCCCTCCATATCGGGACCTCAGTTCGGCCACACGACGGCTATATAGTCTGTAATGGCACAGGGAATGCGGACGAGAGGGAAAGACGGTGGCAGAGCCCGTCGGGGATTGAAATGTTTGGACTGGCTGACAACGATGTGGGCAGACAGAAAAGGGAAACAAGGCGCAAAAGACGCTGGAAAAGGGATTCTTCTTGGAGGGCCCGGAAGCAGACCCCGCCACATCTCATGCGACTATTCACGCCAAACGTCACCGCGAAGCCACCGGCGCGTGCCATTGGCTCCTAAACCACGTCGTCCTCTTCGCAATCTTCCGCCCACATCTAGGCTGACTCAGGCCCCAGGGGTAGGCTCTGACCATCCGTTATTTTTGACGTGAAGGGAATCGCTCACTCATATAACCCCCAGGGGGTCCCTCGCGTGAGCAAAAGCACGTTGCGCAATCCGCTCGTACACTAGTCGTTCAAATCAACATCTCGCACGGTAAGACGGTTTCATGGCAAGGAAAGCCAGCTCCCACACAGTCCATTCATCATTATCGTCGGTAACGAGAGGCGGAAAAATATGATTACACGTTTTCAAGGGGCGCTGACGATGGGGCAAGTAACAACGGCACAGAAGACAGTGGCATGGGGTAGGCTAAAACGGGATGACAGTGTATACGACAGCAGACTCGGAAGAGAACAATAACGAGGTGGAAAAAAAGCGATTAAGAAGTCACTGCACGGAGGAGAAGTTGTCAGCATTACAGAAACAACTTGTGCACGCGAACGATGGAATAACACTCACTGTAGCTAGCAGGATCGATGTGCTCGGGAAGCTCAGGGATCGCAACTTCGAACCGAGACTGGATGGTCGCCATCACCTGCTGGTCCGCCTCCGATGACTGGAAAGTGATGGCGAGACCCTTCGTTCCAAATCGTCCAGCACGACTGAAAAAAGAGAACTCGGTCAATCAGGGAATACACGGCTCGAACGGAGATGGCACTTACCCCACACGATGAAGATAGCTGTCCGCATCCGGGGGGCAGTCGTAATTGACGACGATGTTGACACGCTCAACATCGATACCACGCCCAAAAATATCGGTGGCAACAAGGATACGCTTCTCAAACGCCTTGAACGCCTGGTAGCGGCTTATACTATGATTCCAAAGATTGCATCAGTTTAAGGCCTCCAGGCCGACGTCCAGAGTAAAAACGTACCGCTCCTCTTGTGCAAGGCCGGAGTGAATACTGATACTGGGGAAATTACACGAAACGAGCAGCTTGTCCAACTCGATCGCTCTCGCAACAGATTTCACGAAGATGACGACCTGAAATAAACTGTCAACAGACTGCATTGATTCTGAGATAAGTGAGAGACATACCTGGTTGAACTCAAGAGTATCAAGGAGCTCGTTCAATTTCCTGTTCTTCCCGACCTCCTCCAACTTGACGAAGTGTTGCTGCAGACCGTGCAGCGTCAACTTCGTCTCATCATCGACGAAAATCTCCAATGGCTGTAGCACAAGAAGAAAATAGATGAGCAGACGAAGAAACGAGCTAAGCAACAACACTCACGTTAGCCATGAACTTTTTGCAGGTCGCCCTGATTTCTTTGGCCAAAGTCGCGCTGAACATCATGACTTGCTTGTGGTGAGGGGTCGACCGGAAGATATCTTGGACATCACGACGCATATCTAGTGATGGACGAATGATGGCGAGGTGAGAAAACAACGTCGACGACAAATGCATGAGGAATATTGTGAAGAAAAGAAGAGCAGCGGCAGCACATGAAACCGGAGTCCAGAGGCAAAGTGCCGCAAGGGCGTGGTCGAACGCAGAAGAGGGTAAGAGACTGGAATCGAGCGCCGTCCGGGAGCTTGCTACCGTTGTCTTCATCGAAAACGCAACGCAGCATCTTTGGACTTGCTCGAATGGCCGACCCATAACACCTTTCCCACCGCGTGCCGCCAACGTCCTCCTGAACAAAGCTCCCTGCCAAACACCGCTCTAATCGACAACATCGTCTCAAGTTCCAGCGACCGCTTCCTGATCGAATACGAACGTGCCCGGGACACGGATGCAACGAAGAGAACAAAGGCGGAAAAATGGGCGGGCGGACGAACACGCGACCAGCCGGCCGAAGAGATGCAACGAACATCAAAGGAGGGATGTGGGATGGTCGAGGAGAGGCTAATTCGGTAACTCGGATGACTAACCAAGCTGTTCAAGCATTTTGTCGCATTCGTCCAGAACGAAGTGCTTCACGTTTTTGGCGTCCATAACCTTGTCCCTCACGAGAGCGTTAAGACGGCCGGGAGTCGCTACCACGATGTGGGGGCACTTGGTCTTGTCTCTGAGAAGTTCGGCATCCTTGGAGACGGGAGTTCCACCGAAGAAAGTGACGACGCGGACATCTGGCATGTATTTGGCGAAGCGGGTGTACTCGTTCTTGATCTGGAAGGCCAGTTCGCGAGTGTGACAGAGGACGATGACAGAGACCTCGCCATTCACAGGCTCGAGTTGCTGGAGAGTCGCCAGTACGAAAACGGCGGTTTTACCGTGACCGGATTTTGCCTGACACAGTACATCCATTCCAAGAACGGCTTGAGGAATACATTCTTGTTGAACTGTAAAAGGATGGGGGTCAGAACTATAGTCGAGGTATACAGATGGGCCACAAATTCGGGTACAGTGGCTCTGCGCCCAATTAGGAAGGAGAGGCTTTTGCAGAGGAGTTCCCCACGACTCGACTGCCTACGACTCGCAGCTCAAGGCAGGACATAACCTGCTCCGGCGCTTTTACGCGCCGTTCGTGGGGACCCTTTCACACTCAAGGCCACTGGACCTGAATTTGAGGGAGGATCGAGGAGACGCGTACCTTCAGAGGGGTGTTCAAAACCCAGATCGCTGATCGCGCGCAACAATTCGGGCTTCAACAGAAAGTCCCTACAACACACAAGAACATGTTGAGCCCGCCGAAAGCATCGAAAAAGCCATATATTTATGCGCCCACCTGAAGCCAGTGCTGTGGATGCCGGAGAAGTTCTTTTTGTCCTTGTCGTCACCATCCGCGGCCGTGACTGCCGCGCCATTAGAGGCCGGAGCCGCTGCGCCATTGGGGACGACATCCTGCTCGTCCTCGTAGTCGATAAGTTCCTCGTTGTCGTGAGAGCTCATGTTGAAGATAAAGGAAGATGAGAGAGTATGAAAAGGAGAGGGCGAGGGTGTGATGGAGGTGAGGAGCAAGAGCGACACGACGCCAAAGCGACGCGCGCGACAAACAACAGCGCCACCCGGCCAACACCGCGTCTTCGGCCACGCACGGATCCGCCGCCCGGCCCGTCCCACAACCCTCTCTGTCCCCGCTCACCAGGAAATTCATCGAATAAATTCGTTCTTTCTCTGACAACAATCATCTTTTGGATCAAGTGCAAAGAGCAAGACGCTCACTTTCCGCATGTCCGACGAAAATAGAGAAAAGCATACTCGGCCGACACATACCGACCAGCGCGTATCGCACCTGGAATGCCGGACCGCCGCGTTTGCTGTTCTCTTATACTACAAATATCTTATATGAGTCCCTTGCGATTGGGCGGTCTGAAACACACACTCTTTACTCTCTCGTTCCTCGACTGACTGTACAGTGCAACATGCCGAAGTCGACGTCGACGTCGTATCCGTTCTGGTGAGTACTTCCTTTACGTGCGAGCTACGGTCCGCGACTGACCTCATCTTGGCGAAGGCTCGGAGGTCAGCCCACCTCTCTTACTCGGTTTGGGTAGGAGACCCGTCACTGATCATGAGTATCCACAAATATAAGGTGTTGCTGCTTCCAGTGCGTATTTTTACTTGGCATGCCGCTTCCCTGCTCAATCCATCTTTCATGTAGTGGCAGCATGCTGTACACACCCATTAGACTTGGCCAAAGTGTACGTTTCTACGGCGTTCAGACGTCCTACTCCTCCTCACGCCCATATTTTCTAGGCGAATGCAGACGCTGAAACATCAGCCTGGCGTCAAACCGAACACTATCACCATCCTCCGAGCCACAATCGTAGAGTCTGGGTTTCGCAGCATCTACACAGGCATCAGTGCTTCCATCCTCCGACAAATGTCATACTCCCTCGTCCGCATAGGAGCATACGAAAAAGTGAAGGCGCATCTCTCTCGAGACGGACGACCCTCGACCGGCAAACTACTGTTAGGTGCAATGGCAGCAGGTGGTATCGGAGGTGTGGCAGGCAACCCGGCAGGTAAGCCCCCATGCTCTGTGGGAAACACCTCGTCGAAGATGTGGGCGCCGACTGCGGAATCTGAACTCATCTGCCGATATTGCAGATGTTTTATTGGTGCGAATGACGAGTGACACCCTTCGGCCCCCAGAACAGAGGTTCAATTATTCGAATGCTTTGACTGGACTCGTAAGCCTTGTCCGGAGCGAAGGTTTAGGCGGGCTTTTTAAAGGCGTAGGGACCAATACGGTACGCCGTTTTTCAGTGGTCCATTCTCGAGCAATCTTCTCATATAGCATACCTAGTTTCGTGCTATCCTTATGAACGTAGGTCGTTTTCGCTGATATAATGTACTTCATGAGCTGACGTTGCGCAGGGCTCGCAAGTATGCTCGTAAGTTGATCAACACAGCGACTGTTGCGGCTTTCAATAACAGTTATCGCTACCACAGCTACGACCTGTTCAAGTCTTCTCTCCTAGGGTCGCGTATACCAGTCATTGACTACGAGATACGAGATAACCTCCTGCTTCACACATTAGCAAGCTGCTTGGCTGGGACAGTGGCCACCAGTGCGTCTCTCTTCACCACGGTTCCTCAGTCAATTTAGCATTTACCAAACCTTCATCACAGCCGTTTGCGCACCCGCCGATGTGATGAGATCACGAATAATGTCACAGGTAACGTTTTCTTTCCTTTACGCTGGCTATGCGGCATCTTGGCTCATAAGCTCTATCGTGTTTGCAGAGTGGAGGGGCGAGTCCCATTGAGATCTTCACGCATTCACTACAGAAAGAAGGCCCACGATTTCTGTTCAAAGGCTGGACACCTGCATTCGTCCGGCTAGGACCTAACACCGTCCTTCTCTTCGTCTTCTTCGAGGTGCGTACTGTTCTCCGCAGGATCCGCATATCTTCGTATCGCTCTCCTACTCAACACTGCGGATTCTGGTGCTGTATCAAATCCTTCTGACATTTGAACCCATACCTCTCCAGCAACTTAAAAAGGGATGGAGCACCCTGACTTCATGAGCAGCTTGTCCCCGCACTCAATCCGGGCCTCTGCCTTGCACATGCCTCTTCGAAACGCTTTGCTCGCACTGACCGCACGACGCACGCCCAGTACCACCACGCATCAATGGCACGCCACGACTAGACAGCGGACCTCCCATAGATCTATAGATCTACTCTATCTATCCAATGCACTCTTGCTTTCACCATCACCATTTCGTTCTACCTTCTCACTCCCGAGGCCGATCGTCCTTGCTACATCGCTTCTCCGGATGTCATGTCCTTGTCTTTATCAATCCAATTTTTATTATATTTCTATTGTACAGGCAATGTACTATTGAACCGTAAATCGATCCTCCAATCGCAATGGTCTCGCCCCTGGAGCATCAGAAACCAAACAACAGACGTTGAAGAACTTGGGCCACACACGCCACAATACCTTGGTACTTGCCCCTCAACCATCCACGGAGAACGATCTATCCCGATTCCGAACAGAGTCTCATTCAGGATATTGTATAGGTTTCGAAGTCAAAGTATGTACGATAAAGGTGAAGTGTGAACCCGAAACATGCGTCGCACAGCCCCGACGACGCTCAGGGATGTAGTCTACTGCTAGCCTATCTGAAGCGTACTCGAGGTGTAAGTAGCTAGTGGATGCAGTGATGTGGGTAAGGGTAGGTAACGGTGAACGAAGCTCTGGTTCGAATGAGAAACGGAGTCGTACCGTCGCTGCGCGACAGGCCCAGCGCAGTCTTTGGGCATTGTGGAGGTTGGCTGTGGGTGGATAGATAGGGTGGTGGATGGTATTGTGAACGGGTTCGATGTAGAACTTAAAGAAAGGAAATGAAGCATAATGATGAAGGAGATAAAATGAGAAAGCAAGCAAGATATAGATGAGAGCATAAATGAGAACAAGCAATATAAAAAGGGAAGCGGCGAGCAAGACATAAGCAAAATGAGATGATGATAGCATATACTTAGACGAGAAAGCAAAATCAAAACATGAAAAAAGGAAATATAAGAGATGAGACGAAAACGCCAGAGCCCATCTACTTCCGTGGTTTCCGTCCACGACCACCTGAACGGCCACGACCTTTGGCAGGTCCTCCAAGTCGGCCATGTGGCACTTGTGGCTCACCGTCTTCGCCGAATCGATCATGACTCCAGACATCGTTTTCTCTAGGAGGTGCCCTCCTGTCTTCCTGTCGAGGACGCCGGTTACGATGCGGCCTTGACGAGACCAGAGGAGTCGAGGACACGGGAGCGGACGACGTTGAGGCATGCGCGGATGACGTTGAGGCATGCGCGGATGATGTTGAGGCATGCACGGACGACGTTGAGGCATGGGAGGACGAGTCGGGAGTAATTTGGGACTGTGGACTTGTGGACCTAGGGACGTTGACAACGGGTTCTGTGACAATAGGATTGGTTAGATATCGTCGTAGTGGACTGCGTGCTTATGAGGACGTACCAGCTATGGGCTCTGGCTTGCTAATGTCCGAGGAAGATGCCGGCTGTGATGCGACGATGATGTCGGCCAAATACAATGGAGGCGCCCCATCTAACCAGTCTATAATATTCGCAGAAGCAATTAGTAACTTAAACACACGGAACACAAGGTAAAACACTCACCAAAACCGTCCGGATTCTGTTCAGATTCATTAACCATATAAATCCATTTATTCCATGCCGTCCACAGGTCTTCCGTCGAATCACAGTGATGCATCGGGCACTTCCGATCCCCGTCCTCCATAAATCTCTCACAGACGTAGTTCGGCGGTCGATGGAGTGGGCATCTCTGAGGAGCAGGAGCACACCCAGCCACGGATTGAGGGATATGTCGATGTGGGCACGCTCCGCCGGAAGAACGGATACAGGTCGTGTAGGTGAGCCACGCACAGAGCCCGAGCCTGTCGTGATAGATGGTCTGGGGATCTTCCGGAGTCACAGCATTCTCGTCGAAACCGGCACGACGACGTTCATTAAACCACTCCAGACGAGCCTCCGGGGATACAGTAGGTAGGGACGTTGTATCCACCTCAGTTCGGCAACAGACCTGCTTTCGCTTAGGAGGTTGACGTGGGGGGGCCGTTTTGCGAGGTTGTTCGGGAATGATTGTCGAAGAGGTCGGAGTGACTGTGTGATCCGAGGAGCCTTCGTCTACGAACGCAGGGATTTCGATGGTGTACAAGGCCAGATTCCGTGCATCTCTGGTGCGCACAGCAGATACCGATGAGGAGCGTCGACGGGGAGCAGCTGAGGAAGAACCTCCTGTTCGACGGATACCATAGCTGTCGATCGACCGCGAGCGTTGTCGGCTCCGAACAGGAGGTGAGGTAGACGGAGGGCTCAGGGCAGGAGCCTTGCGCGGAGCACGGCTCACGAATTTGGCGATCGCATCGTCTCGTCGGTATATGTCAGGGCTGTCCGCCGCAGACGTTGACAGGGAACGAAGCCGCATACGAGCTTGAAGCGGTGCCAGAGGCGGGGACACAACAGAATGAGCAGGGGAGGGCACTTGGTCTGAAGCCACGCTCCCGCCTTCGCTGTGGACAGCAGGAGTCTCGGGGACGCTTATCAGAGTGATATGGGCGGACACCGACGGGACTGACGATGACGATGACGACGAAAGAGTATCCGAGAGCGCACTGACATTGCACGGCTTGGCATGTTTCGGAGAATTCGATGGACAGTGAGGGGCAGCCGAGTGAAAGGAGATCGGATTGGGCTCTGTGACATCGAGAACAATCGGGACGGTGGATGGCTCGAGGGAGGTGTCGAAGGCGATAGAGTCTATATCCTCAGTCAAATCATCATCGTCGTCGGGCAGCGGGACGTTGACAGCGAAAACCGCGCAACCATTGATGATGGAGTCCGAATCCTCGGTCAAACCGTCGTCGTCTTCAGGGAGCGGCACATTGACAGCGACATCCACGCAACCGAAGGTGATGGAGCCTGGATCCTCGGCCAAATCATTGTCGTCGTCGGGGACCGGCACGTAGACAGCGACATCCGCCCAACCATTGAAGATGAAGTCCCAATCCTCAGTCATGTCGTCGTCGTCGTCGTCGTCGTCGGGCAGCGGCACGTCTACAGCGACATATGCGCAACCATTGACGATAGGCCCGTTCCCTTTGTCTTCTTGCGGGCAGTCAGGGCCACGTGGTAGAGTATCTGTGACTCGATATACCGCCCGGAGAATCACGTCCAGCTGATAAGAGAAGATATTATTTGTGTGTCATGACACGGCGAGGACGATATGAACCAGACGTACCATCGACGGACCTCCATGAGGGCGGGGCAGCACAGCGAAGAGGACCATCGCGATATAAGGCAGGAGGGTGGTGGCGATGGTGTCGGGAAGTTTTGGGGCTTGGATGTCAATAGCAGGGTGGCGCTGGTGAGTCAGCATCACCAAGGTCAGAACGACACTTCGTAGAAGATGATTTAAGGAATAACGCACCCATTGATCATCAGAGGACGACATGGTCCACTCTGCGTCAGCATCGTCAGACAGAGGGTGAATAATGTATATGACGCGGTCGAAAGATGTTGGTGTCACTGATTCTGTCCGGGGTGTCGCGACGAAGTCAAGGGCGGTTGGCGCCACCGAGAGATAGATAGGGATCCGAATGGGCGCGGCATCGAGGAGGAGTGGCGTATTAGAACCGGTGATGGGTTTGTGTCCGAAGATGTTGCAAGAGATGAGCGGCGAGCAGCGGGAGTTGCACCCCACAGGAAGGTTCGTGTATAGTTGCACTGCGCCCATTATGGCGCAGTATAGAGTGACAAGCCACTGCATGGTGGCCGTCTGAGCTAAATGGGGTGGTGGGTGCAAGTGGGCAAGGTTGTGTTCGAGGTGAGTCGTGAGATGATGGCGGTTCGAGAGAAAGGAAGGATTCGAGTGCGAGGGCCCTTTTGTACCTTAGTGTCATTGTTTTCCCAAACGAGAACAAACGCCACCTGGTGCTTTGACACTGCACAGCCACTGGGACCGGAAACAGTGACAAACAACACTATTAAGTAAGCATCGTCAATTCACAGAAAGACAAACAGACATGATAGATTATCGATTCACGCATGAGGGCCATGACGAGTGCATATCAGGACATTCGAGCTCATTGGGTTACGACTCAGAAAGCCCTGTGAGAGCATCAGCGTTCTGCTACTAGTTCTTAAGATGAATCCTGTTTGAATCCTGTAAGCAGTCTGTAGTAGGGCCTGAGCAACCTAATCGCGTGTGGGATAACAATAGGCTACGTTACAGAGATTATCCTGGCTTTGCTTCGCAACCAAGCTGTTATTGTTGAGTCCACACAGGTCTACAAGGATGTTGACGACGAGTACAAAGCGGGCGCCTATCCGAATCCAGAGCCGACGGAACTGTTCGGACCACGTGGATCTCGTTTGTCTCCTGCGGGCCATTGGAAATTCACTCTGTTTTCGGCCCACTTTTGCGCCTGTCGTGTGGCGAGAACGCAAGGTACGTCTGCCTGCATCTTCACTGTCGAAGACGTACTCACTCGACACTGCTGCTGTATAGTCTTTCGAGTGTTGGTTTCTAGATTGACCCATTGCTTCAAGTTTTTTCGTATCTTTTCACCATCACTACACCTCAGACGCCACACTAGCATGCAGGCCTTCCACCTCCTCTCTCGTGGAGGTGTACAGTTCGACAAAAAACGCTTCAAGAAGGATGTCGATCTGTTTAACAGTGTATGTATAGATCGAGCCTTTTGATCAATTATATTGACGATACAATTGGCTCCCACAGACCACGAAACCCAAGGGTGGATCGAAAGCCGTCAAGACGTCAGCAGAGGGTGAACTCCCGGCAGAGCTCGACTTTTTCAAGTACGCCAAGGGTGGTTCTGGTACGAAACGCAAAGCTGCTAGTGCATCAGGAGAGGCTGAGTCGAGTGTGAGGATGGGGAAGAAACGGAAGACGAGTGAGGACAGCGAGGAAGAGGACGATGAGGACGATGATGAAGACGAGGAAGATGACGAGGAGGACAAGGAAGACCACGATGATGCTCCGTTGCGGCCTAAACAACGCGTTACGGCGAAAGGATCCAACGTCCCTGCAGCGGCAGATACTTTTGAAGACTTGGCCAAGCGCTACCACATACCCCCTCTCATAGTGTCAAACATCGCAGAGTACGGATATCAATATCCTACGGGTATTCAGTCTCATGGCATACCCATTCTGATGGAGGTTCGTCTTCTTTTACTTCTTTGCTTTGCTCTTTCACCTTACCTTTTCCTTACTTCGTCCAGTCTCGCGACCTCGCCGCGATATCACCCACAGGAACCGGTAAAACCCTATCCTACCTCCTACCCCTCATGTCCCAACTCGGCTCTCCATCCTCCAGCTCTTCATCAGAGGCTGGTTCCGGTGTACGAGCCGTGATCCTTGCACCCACGCGCGAACTCGCACACCAGATCCACAACGAGTGCTTGAAGCTGGCACAGAAGCGAAAGTGGAGAATCGTGTTATTCAGTAAGGCCACAGCAGCGACCCTGGCCGACAAGAATGTGCGGTCTAAAGTTGGTGAGTCTTTGTTCTGCTCTGCGAAAGTGTGGCCCAATGTTGACTCCTACCAGACGTTATCATCAGTACTCCCCTGCGACTGGTCACGTCTCTGCAGTCCGGAGACCTCGAGCTCAACAAGTATGTACATTTCATCCTCTACAACGACTGAACTGCTGCTTAGTACCATTTTCATAGTGTTCGTCATCTCGTATTGGACGAAGCAGATCGAATGCTCGACGCGGAGTTCCTAGACCAAGTTCAAGAAGTCATCGCTGCTTGCACACATCCAAAAATTCAAAAGGCCGTCTTCAGCGCCACCCTCCCTGCATCTGCAGAAAAAGTTGCCATGGGCATGCTCAACGATCCCATTCGCGTCGTTGTCGGTCTCAAGTGCGTCGTTTCCCATCTCATTGTCCGTCCCCTACTACGCACTGATGAATACTACCGTTGTACAGAGATACCCCCCTTCCACTGATCTCTCAATCCCTTACCTACGTCGCCGACGATGCCTCAAAACTTCCCACACTCCTCACCTATCTCTCCCAACCATACAACCCACCCCTCCTCATCTTCGTTTCCTCACAACCCAGAGCTTCCTCCCTCGCCGAAGAACTCGTCATCTCCAGTGTCCCCAACGTCGACGTTCTCCACGCCGGTATGAGCAGAAAAGAGAGGGAAGACGCGGTCGGTCGAATGAGAAAGGGTGAGAGTTGGGTTATGGTGACTACCGAGGTCATGGCGAGAGGTATGGATTTCAAAGGGGTACGGGAGGTCGTGAATTACGATTTTCCGCGGAGTGTGCAGAGTTATGTGCACAGAGTTGGTGCGTACAATGCTTGCTTCAGTGGCTATTGTCTGAACGATGAAACACCTTTAACTCATGGTTCCGCTTGATCGTGCAGGTCGAACGGGAAGAGCAGGGCGTGAAGGAAAGGCAATAACATATTTCACGAACGACGATGCACCCTTCCTGAAACCGTGCGTATCACACGTCAACTGAGTTCTCTTCTTCTTCTGCTCACCATCGCCTAATCATCCTCTCCACTAGAATCGCCAACGTCCTCCTCCAATCTGGTTCCTCAGTCCCCGAGTGGATCCTCAAGCTCCCCAAACCTTCCAAAATGAAGCGAAAGCAGATGGGCAAGGTACAGCGCGCGGAGGCCGTCAATCCGGCCAGGAGGATAGGGCGGAGCGAGGCGATCAAGAAGCGGTGGGTCAAGCTTTCGTTACTTCCTTATATTTATATTATGGGTGGATATACAGCGACTGACCTGTTCATGCGTGGCATTTAGAGATATGGTGGCTGCCAGTAAGAGGCGGAAAGGGAAAGATGAGAAGAAGGGGGACAGTAAAGAAGAGGTGGAAGAGGGATCGGACTGATATTCGACGCTCTCTTTATGATATTTCACTGCTCAATATCACCATGCTTTGCCCCAGGTGGCGTTTTCAACATTCGTCGATACTACGTTGCCGCCTTCGACGAATATAGCAGATATGGCACTTTTCCCCGTGCAGTCTCATGATGAGCGCGAAGCCGATCGCAATCCGCACAGGACCGATTACACATTATACTAATAAAAATCACGGCCAGCTAGTATATGTCTGTCGAATAGATACAAGAGATTGTGGTATGCTCGCTCAAGACATGAGTCCGATGGTCTATGATACTATCTAACCTGACCATCGCCGACTCCAATCCATCGGCCCAGTCACTATTAACACGCCCACACATCTATACATGATGCGCCCTGCCTCACTCGCGACGCACAGCCCCCCTCAACCACCCCCACATCCCCTTCTTCCCTCTCCTCTGCCCTCGCTCTCCCTGCAACAACCCATCCGTCTCTCCCTCCCCTCCCTCCCCTCCCCGCTCAACATCAACTCCATCCCTCCCCTCACCCTCACCCGCCTCCCTCCCATTCACATCCCCCTCACTAACCGTCCTCCTCATCCTCGGCGCCTCTCCCTCGTGTCCACTCTCCTCACCCCTCCCGACTCTCCCCCTCCCATGCACAAACTCCGACCCACCGCCTATCGTCCCCGCCCCATTAGTACTCGAAATCCCCAATCCAGTCCCCATACCCCCCGAACTCCCGCTAACCACCCTCTTTCGCCTCTCCCTCGGCATCAACGTGAACCCCGGACTCACAGGCGACAGTCCAATCGAGAACCCAGGCGCAGGAGGGGGCGCTAACGTCCCGTGCTCCGTCCCGGGGCTCATAACGGAAGTTCTTCTTCGTCTCGATCTTGTGGGCGAGAGCATGCTCCTCGACGGAACTGTACCGCCGGTCGTTGGAGATGTGGGGGATTGAGTTGGCGAGTGTGGAGGATGGACTTGGGATTCGGATGCTGTTTGACGGTCGATTGCGAGTGGACGGAGTGGCTTTCCTCGACCTCTGCCTGTACCTGTACCTGCGCCATCTGTACCGGTACCATAGTCCGTGATATTATCCGCATATGTCGGTGTCCGCAAGTCTTCGAGGTCATCAGAGAGCGGCTCCTCGACGATGAGGGAATCTAGTATTCCCATCGGGCTTCCGCCCTCGACGTCGAGTCCGAGCGCGTCCTCCTCATCTTCTTCGTTCCATGAACCGACGTCAACGCCGGGGCCTGCATGGAAACTGACGACCCAGACACCACCGAGGAGGATAGCGATGCCGAGAATGACGAGAAGGAGATGGCTGGTTGGGAGGAGAGAGACTTGATCGAAATAGACCAGGCCGTTGACGATCGAGGATAAATTATAGAAACAGAATGCGACTTTTGTTGAAAGAAGGTAAACGGAGTCAGTGGCCTGCTTGATTTGGTGGTATGTATGAAGGATGTGTACGCACGTGGACAAACGATGGTGGGATTTGCTAGTTTGAGAGCCTTGTGGAGGTACCATAACTGCAAAAGTGCAAAAGCGACGAGCCCGAGCAACAACATCCAAGTCTGCCAACGCACGAACTGATTGTCACCTCCGATAGTGAGCAGAAGCAATTCGACGCCGGATTTGGCGAAAAGGAGACACATGCCGGACAGGAGGCCGGAAGCGGAGGAGTAGGATATAGAGAGGAACAGAGGGGTACGCGATGCGGGGATGATCACCCCATTGGCGGATATAATGGAGGCAGCAGATGATGACGGTGGCTTGCGGTCCAATAGGGGCGTCCGTTCTGTGGTCATCTCATTCATGGAAGAGGTGGAGACAAGGAGGGGTGATGGGGGTGCGGTAATTGCGAGGGCGCGGAGGTGGCGATAATACGAAAATTCGGCGATGTGAGTCTAGTGGATTGAGTTGAGCGACGTAAAGATACGGCTAGAGCAGCACAGACAACTCACAATCACTAGACATATGACAACAGCGAGTCCGAGTAAGGAGAAGTATGCGATGAAGGCTGGACGGTTGAAAAGAGCGAGTAGATCGTCCAGGGAATGATTTGGTTCAGGCACTATGCCAAAGTAGCCGATCATGACAGCGCCGCCAGCAATGAGAATTGTGCCGATGAGCATCCATGGAGAGAACACATCGCCGAGAAGAAGACGTGCAAAGAAGGCGTTCCAGAGGAGAGAGACGGCACCAAGGGGTGCAAGAATGACGACGGGAAGGGAGGCAATTTGAAAGATAGACCCAAGGATATTAGAGAAGAAGAATATAGCTATATTGAGGTGGCAAGGACGTTATGAGGCATTCAGAGGGCAAGAACATGGGCGAGACAAACCAAAACCAAGAAGCCAGAGTCTGAATGATGCGATGTTAGGTGAGCGACCAAGGATGTTCGAAACTAGTGAGAGTGAACATACGGCCGCCTATAATCAGCTTTCTGTAACTCCTCCGGAAGAGCTTGGTTCAGAAGATGGCTCTTTCGTTGAACAGTCATCCCGAGGGATTGCACACACGATGCAATTAGGCCTACGACGATGCCGACCGCAATAGAAATGGAGCCACTCATGGCGAGGGCCTACAAAAGTGCTCAATCAAGGAAAATATAGAGAGTGGATATCTGTAGAATGTCGCCGTCGTTATTGAGGTGCGCAGATAGACGGAGGCGACGGTAAGAGGTTGAGAGCATGCAGCCCGTGTGCTGTGCCACGAGCCGCCACCGTTGTGCTGGACGATCTGAGCGCCGGAAGTTGCCGTGCGACGGTGCATGTTCGATTTCGTGCTCAACTTGCCATCTGCCGCTGCTTCTACGCGGGATCGCTGCATATAGGCAAACTCATGTTTCTCTGCTCTTTCCGGCGGCGCAGAGAAATGTGCAAGAAGGGCCACGGTCATTCGAGAACACCGCAGAACGGTCTTGACGTCGTTGCTCCTATTCTGGAAGTCGCGCGAATCCACAGGACCCCTGCATATGCCGGAGGAGGTCCCATCCGAAATCCCCAGATTTTGCCCTTTTTGTCGCACGATTTTGGGTATATTTTAGTCCGCATGACGATGGTACCTCAGAATTTCGACCATTTTGGTCCGCAGAACGGGATGGGACCTCAAAATTTTCGTTTTTGGTCCGCACGATAGGATGGTACCTCAAAATTCGCATTTTTTTCCTTCCATATATTCATATAAAATCAACAAAAATTGCTCCAACCGGTTTTGAACTGCATATACTGATGTACACCCTCAATTTGCTCCCAATCGACCTCCACTAGCCTCCACTTCCATTTCCGAGCGATTATTTTCTTGTGGCGCCACAGCGCCACCCTGAGTCAATGTGGCACTGCATCTAATTTCCGTTTCCCCCGCATCGCAATCAAGGCTCGAATGACTTCTCCCTTACGCTCGCATAAGGTCCAAAACAAACCTAATACTTACCTGAGGTACCGGTATCATTGTGATGGGAAAGCCTTAGGTGTCGGCGTCGATGTTTGTCTGCCTGATGACCTTAGATATTGCTAACGATAGGAGGGCACGGGTTGGAGGAAAACGAAAGAATCTGGCAGACCGAGTAAACAGACACGTGCACTACGCTGAACAGCGACTAACACAGGTACAGAGTAACAGAGACGACTCGGACACTCTCGGGCTCCATTCAGCGAGATCCGACGAAAAGACAAAATCACGAAAGAACCTGATTTATGGTCTGAAATTCGATATTGTTGAAATAAACAACCCAGCAGGTACAGTCCGCCGGAATGCAACTCGAAACAATGCAGTCAGGCGTCGGAGAAAGAAAATAAATGGCCTCAGCCGCCACCGATATCGGGAAATCTGCAGCCCTGTTTGGTCCGCACGCCGATGGTACCTCGCGGGCGACCAGGCCCTTTGGTCCGCACTACGGATCGGACAAAGGCTGATTTTTGGGCCAAAAATTGTCGCACCAGGATGGGACCTCCTTCGGGATATGCAGGGGTCCTGAATCCACGCGCGTTCGAGTCGGTGACATCACTTTCCCCTTTTGGACACTCGACGAACTCTGTTTGTTTCTCGAAACTCTGTCATGCGCATTGTCGTGGTATCGACGCTTCAACTCGTCATCTGCTCATGTGTATATAATACCTCATCCTCCTCCGAAGATCCGCATAGACTTACACATACTCACACAAACAACTCAACGACTTTCACGAACTCTACCTATCCACAACTCAACACTCCCGAACTTTACCCACTAACACCACAATGTCTCTCAGTCTCGACGCTTTCACCGACAAAGCACAGGCGTCTGTCGCAGCTGCGTTGCAGTTGGCGAAAGACTACTCTCACGCACAACGTGAGTTTTTTTTGTTACCCACTCCCTTAAATCATATGGATTCACTAACATTATCTCTAGTATATCCCGCACATCTTGCCTTCGTTCTCCTCAATGAAGGTGCAGGAGATACCGCTGCCCCCGGTGGTGTTTCACATGCACAAACCCCCCTATTCGCTTCTGTCATCCAGAAGGCTGGAGGCGATGTGGTAAGTCTCATCACACCTCTTCTCTTTCCTTTCGTATCACTGACTAGCTGCTTTTCAGTCTCTCGTCAAGCGGGCTCTCCAAAAACTCATCGTTCGCCTACCCTCACAATCTCCCGCACCCGAAGAAGTCTCCCTGTCCTCTGAAGCCGCCAAAGTTCTCCGCGAAGCGCAATCTCTTTCGAAGACCATGCACGACTCCTACGTCGCTCAAGACCATATCCTCCTTGCCCTCATCAAGTCTTCTTCCATAGCCCCTGTCCTCAAGGAGGCTTCTCTCACCGACGCAGCACTCAAGACCGCAATCGAGCAGATTCGTGGGAACAGAAGAGTAGAAAGTCGACAGGCGGAGCAGGGCTTCGACGCACTGAACAAGTACGCCGTCGACCTCACCGCGCTCGCGGAGGAGGGCAAGATCGACCCTGTCATTGGACGGGACAACGAGATCCGTCGTGTCATTCGTATTCTTTGTAGAAGGTGAGTTTGAGCACATCTTCGTCTTTATCCATACGTTCATGACTGACACCATACTTTTCAGGACGAAAAACAATCCCGTTCTCATTGGTGAACCTGGTGTCGGAAAGACGTCAATCGCCGAAGGTCTCGCACAACGTATCGTCAACCGCGACGTACCCGCTTCTCTCATAGCCCGTCTATATTCACTGGTGAGTTTATTCTTTGACTTTCCGATATATTCCGACCATGGCTGACGCAGGAAATCATAGGATATGGGTGCTTTGATGGCCGGCGCGAAGTACAAGGGCGAGTACGAAGAACGTGTCAAGGCCGTCCTCAACGAGGTCGAGAAATCTTCCGAAGAAGACGGCCCAGGCGTCATCCTCTTCATCGACGAACTGCACCTCATCATGGCCGGCAAGGGCTCAGAAGGTGGCGGCATGGACGCCGCTAACCTCTTCAAGCCTCTGCTCGCCCGTGGTAAACTTCGTTGTATCGGCGCCACGACGCTCGCTGAGTACCGGAAGTACATCGAGACCGACGCCGCACTCGAACGTCGGTTCGCGCAGGTTATCGTCAATGAGCCGTCGGTCACGGAGACGATCAGTATCTTAAGAGGTATCCGCGAGAAGTACGAAGTACATCATGGAGTGAGGATCTTGGACGGAGCTCTCATCTCTGCCGCCACACTCGCGCACCGGTATCTCACCTCTCGACGGCTGCCCGATGCCGCCATTGACTTGGTCGACGAAGCTTGTGCAAGGTAAGTCGCTTTGCGGACGAACCCCTTTCCGGTCACGATGCTGACTTTTTCTCTCTCTTTTTGCTCGATAGTGTTCGTGTTACCCGCGAAACCGCTCCAGAAGCTATCGACAAGCTCCAACGCCGCAAACTTGAGCTAGAGGTCGAAATCCATGCCCTCGAACGGGAGAAGGACGAAGCCTCGAAGGAACGTCTCGTCACCGCCCGCAAGGCCATCTCTCAGGTCGAAGAAGAGTTGCGGCCCATGGTCGCGGCGTACGAGAACGAAAAGTCGCGCGGCGACGAAGTTAACCAGGTTCGTCGCAAGATTGACGAGTTGAAGGCCAAGGCGGAGGAAGCGGAGAGGAGGTGCGTTTATTCTTTGTTTTTGTCTTTCATTTGGACATTGTGACTGACTTGAGCTTCGCAGATATGACCTCGCCACCGCCTCAGACCTCCGCTACTACGCCATCCCCGATCTTCAGAAGAGACTCGACCAGCTTGTCGCGAAGAAAGCTGAAGAGGATGCCCAAGGAGGTAGTGGTAGCGATACCGTCACCCCTGAGCAAATCTCAGAAATCGTTTCTCGCTGGACGTCCATCCCTGTCACGAGACTTCTGTCGACCGAGAAGGAGAAGCTGCTCAGGATGGAGAAGATTCTCGCGGAAAATGTCGTCGGTCAGCCTGAGGCCGTGAAGGCCGTGGCTAACGCCATTCGGTTGTCTCGTAGCGGCTTGGGCAACGCTCAACGTCCTATTGCGAGCTTCTTGATGGCTGGGCCTTCTGGTACGGGTAAGACGCTTCTGAGCAAGACTGTAAGTGGCTTTTTTTCTTGGAATTTTCCTTATGGATGAACGTCGGCTGACTTGTTTTGTCCTAGCTCGCTACTTTACTCTTCGACTCTCCAGACGCTATGATTCGTATTGATGGTAGCGAATACTCCGAGAAGCACTCCATTTCCCGTCTCATCGGTGCTCCACCTGGATACGTCGGCCACGACCAAGGTGGTGCTCTCACAGGTAAGCTAGCTCTCTGTTCCTTCTCTCCGTCCTCCGAATTCGCGCTGACTTCTATTCCACAGAGTACGTTCGCCGCAAACCCTATTGTATCGTCCTCATCGACGAGATCGAGAAGGCCGCCCGGGAGTTCGTCACGCTCTTCCTGCAAGTCCTCGACGACGGTCGTCTGACAGATGGTCAAGGCCGCGTCGTCGACTTTAGGAATACGGTGATCGTCATGACTTCGAATCTGGGAGCGGCGTACTTGAACGATATGGGCGAAGGGCCGGTGAAGAAGGAGACGAGGGAACTGGTGATGGGCGCTATCCAGGTGCATTTCCCGCCGGAGTTCATCAACCGTATTGACGATATCGTCATCTTCGTAAGTCTACCTTTCGCTCAATTACTCATATCTGGCATTTGTCGCTGACTTGTACCTTTGCTTTTTACTAGCGCACACTCTCGCGAAGAAACGTGATGAAGATCATCGATATCCGTCTGGCCGAGGTGCAGCAACGTCTCGTCGACCGCAAGATGACGCTAAACATCGACGACGAAGCGAAGAACTACCTCGTCTCCATCGGATACTCCCCCATCTATGGCGCTCGACCACTCAACCGTGCCATCCAGACCGAACTGCTCAATCCGCTCTCTGTCATGCTCCTGGCAGACAAAGTTCGCGATGGGGAGGTCGTCCGCGTTACTTTCGATGGACCGAGGAATAGGCTGCTTATTGTTCCGAATCATGAGGGGAATTACGCGGAAGATGGGATGGATGTGGACGAGGATTATGAGGATATTGAGGTGGAGGAGATGGATTGAGGAGGGAATACGAATGTGAAATGGACTAGGGCTGCAGGGAATTGGGACTGAATATACCGCAAAAACTCCTCATGTACTTTTACTAAACTATAGTCTCGCTGTTCTTTCTTGTCGCTGCTGACTTGTATTTTTGGTCTTTCATGTTTTGATTACTCAGACTCAACTCTAGCTGTATTTTACGCTCGACCAATAGCAATTCTTTGATTTTCTTTCTCCTAACATTCGGTTGTGTGGCGTGTGGCGACTTTATCCGGAAATGCGCGACGCCTGGTTTCTCACGGCCTCCAACGTCCGTCGCTGAGGTGCACGACTTGAACAAGTATCCCCTCTACGTCGTCAACAATACCCAAGATGCTCACATCTCGCATCACTCCCTCGCTCCGCCGTGCGGCTCTGCGCACCATGTCCACATCGTCTTCGTCGTCGTCGTCCTCCACCGTTCCCGCCGCCAAACCTTCGTCGAGCACCACCCCCGTGCCAGCCGCGACGGCTCAAGCACCGAACTACCCCTCCACCTGGTCCACACACCAACGTCAGCGCCCGAACGCCGCCTCTGGGCCGAGGTTCGAGCAGACGATCATGGAGTTGCAGCCTGCCCCGTTGAGCGCTCTTGAGATGATTGCGAATGAGCCGGTTAGGGTCGTGCAGGGGAGGAAGGCGGTTTGCGATGGAGGTGAGTTTGGTTTTGTTCGGTCAGGTTGGGGTGGAAGGGATATGGGAGTGTGATGTGTATGTTGAAGTGTCTGGGGGCAGCCAAGTGGTGGAGGGGCTGCTCGGGAGGAACGTCGGGCTGAGCTAAAGGATGCGTGTGTTTGCTTTCTGTATCTAGGTGTTGGTCCCCTCGGACATCCCAAGATCTTCATCAACTTGGTGCGTTTCAACCTTTTCAAGCGTTACGTACTATCCCAGGACTGACTAGAACTTTTTGTCTTCGGAATACTCTTTGTAGGACAAGCCAGGCCCTCAACCTTGCGGGTAAGTCACCCTACGACCGTTATCATCCTGGACAGTGCCCATATTAATGCGGTTACGATCAACCCTCTCCTGCAGATACTGGTGCGTCTGTCTGTCACCATCCCTTGATGATATCTCGGATCTGATTCGTGCTTCCCGTTACTTCATAGCGGTATCCGTTTTGAGCAGGACCCTCACCACTCTCATAGCGGCCACTGAGCTGATGGCTTACCGTGATGTTAGAAGGACGCCCTATGTTCCGATCACTCTCTGTAATGCTGGTATCACCTCAATGCATTGTAGTCTGTGGCAGGTACTATCACTATAGAAGATTCAAACCTCGGACTTGATCATCTTTTCGTGCCTCTAAGTTTTGCTCAGCACAGCTGAGAGGAAAGACCATGACGACGAGACATATTCTATATCATCCTGGAAGCCTCTTGAGGAATGGCTATTTCTCATGCCTTGCTACAATTGCAGTGTCCTGTGACGTGCATCTATCAACAAGTTCTTGTATTTTCCTTTCGAGTCCAACAAAATCAACGAGCGTCTCAGCCCTCAAAGATGGTGATTGACTGCGATAATCATACTATCCCTCCAGCATATATAGAAACATCCAAGTACGCAGCCATACGTCCTCCCCCTTCAGCCTCCTCTTGGATTACGATTCCCGCATCTCCATTCTATCTTTCGCCACACCGCACTTGGACTACTGTTCATCCTCATTGACAGACTGACTTCTCGCATGAAGGAGTGGGGTATTTTTATCATACACATTCTCTTTCATGGATGTCTCTTGGCGTTATATCCCCTCATCGTTATATATCTACTCATTGGTTTCATCGGCATCGGATACAGGACGAGTTGGTCCCTCGGCGGAATTGTTTTAGCTGGAGTAACGGCCACCACCACCATCAGCCTACAGCTTATGATGTAAGGAGCGTTTTCAGATCTCCAGTACCGACCTGTGTGCTGAAGTACAGTGGCTGCTAGGGATTATATGGCACTTCAGCGAATACCCTACGCCACCATAGCTATGATAGTGGATTTTTTCTTGACGGGCACTCTGGTGGTCAGTATGTGGGGTGAGCGAAGGCTCTCTCTCAGCGTTCGTACTAGTACTGACTTTATAATGATGGCTCAATCATCAGTACTTCCTTATCTGCCCTTCAGCCCCTGGTCTCAATTTCCCATCTTCTGGGATTTCGCCTCGATCCCAGGATGGGAGATGTTCCACCAGGCTATTCGCTTTGGTATCCCTACCCTCTGCTTTCTATACATGGCGATTCTTCTTGTCGCTCCGTTCATCAGTACCAATGCTGCGAAGTCGTATTGCGCTATACCACCGAATCGCATCCATTTTTCTCGAGACAATTCGCCTTTCTATCTCAGACTGTTCGGTCCCCTGCGAGATGTACCGGAACGGGGAGAGCTAGAGCGTCGATGTTCTTCCGTCATCTTTAGGCGCACTATCGTAAGGAAACACCCGTGCGTTTGATACCTGGCCTATCTCCTATCTCCACATTTTGCTCTCTAAACGTCCTTTCCTAGGTTTGAGCCTCCCATCCTAGGAATAATTCGAGGCATCCTAGCAGTGTATGCTTTGCTTGGCCTTATCACATACGGTGTTTACCTATTGGTAGGAGAAATACAAGACGTCCCGCTCCAATCCGGCCCTTCCTATCAAACAATACAGAAAGTTATGTCCCCCTACCATGCTGACGAGTGGGCCGGTGGACTGCGAATTGTCACAGTGAGGCTTTCTTGGACTTCTCATTTTATGCTCTGATCAATCGAATATTGGCAGGCTATGATTGAGACGGAATCTTCCTCAGCAGACAGTGTATACTACGGGAGTCTGGACATGGATTTAGAATCCGTGGTGAGAGTTATCCCCGCGGACTCTGAACAACAGAGTGTTAGTCAAACTGCGACATACGATTTTTCCAGCAACTCGGCAGATTTATATAACAACTCTATCCCCTCGGTAAGCTGTACAAATACGACACTGCAGATGGGCGAGCTTGAAAAGCAACCTGCACTAGTGTGCGATATGTTTCTACTATATGACCGTGAGTACGCAATCATAGTTTATTATTGTTATTTTGGTATCGAGGGTCAACGTTATTGAATCAGTCGCTACAGTGTCTAGTTTGACACTACGATTCGCGACTCCTATCAGTCGATACATATGGGTATTCGGCCAATGCTTGGATTATATCCAACTGCAGATAGATGCATCCCCCCCTTTTGTTCTACCTGCCGCCTCGAATTTGGACATCTATATGCTGCCTGAACTCAAAGTCAGAGAGCTTGACTCGTGGATTTGGTTCTCATTCCGTAGGTTCAGCCATAATCTACGAGTCAAACCTATACTAAAAGACACCGTCCTTCAAGATACGACTACTCAATCTGAGGCAACCGCATCATCTGTTGTCCTCCATCCAATGGCTCCAAGCTATATTGATATGGAAATTTACACACCAAACAGTCAGCCTCCCTCATTGATAATTGATATCCTGACTGTCATTGGCAAACTTGGAGGTGTATTCGTGACCATCAACGGAGTGTTTGTCATCATCTTCGGCAGGACAATATGGGCAATCATCGCGGGTATGTGAACCAGTCAGATACCCATGTCCAGTACCTTCCAAGTGGCGAAAGTTGCTCAGAGTTGACCTTGCAGGTGGCAAGCCCATCACACCATTCGGTATCTTCAGCAACTTTGCTTGGTACAGAAGAGGGATCCATAAACACTATCCGCAGCTGCAAAGGGACTGCGATGACGAGCGGGAGGGTATGGCAGGCTTCCTCGAGGAGGTCGCTATGGATGCAGGGATTGTGGATCGGATGGATCGAGTTGAGCGTGGACCAAAAGATGAGGTGGATGGGGAAACAGGCGAGGACCACGAGCTTCAGTCATTTATCGAGTCGTCGACAACCGCGCATGAGGAAAGAGTCGTCACCAACCGGGCATCCGTGCACACAGAGGCCTGAGTGGGGTCACGTTGTCCTAAGAATTTGCGCTCCTCTTTTTCCTCCTTATATATCCCGACTCCATTCAGTATGGTGTCTAGTACCGTCTGTTGTGATAACCCATTTTGCGTCCAAGAGGCTTCAGCTTATAAGTACACCCCCACCACTCAGCACTCATCAGCTTCGCCCTGCGTAGAAAACTTTCTCGCTGAAACTGTGACAAGCAGCGGCATACTCGTCTCGTCCCATCAACCTCTTCACCCCGTTCTTCGTCCAACATCGGCGATTCGCACGACAAAATATCACACACCACCCCGCAAAAATACGGTGTTCAACTAGTAGTACTTTTGCATTCGGCTTCTGACTTTTTAGTCCAGTCCTAGCACTCCTCCGATCAGCGGTACCAGTGACGAGCACCAGTGACACTGACATTCGAAAACCCACCAACGCGCACGCCAATGCAACAAAAACAAAAGGAAATAAGCGAGTAAGTAAAAGAAGTAAAGAAGCTACGAAGCGAATGTGAAAGGCGGGAACATTGTGACGGGGCGGGTTGATGCATTGATAGCTGATGGGGGATGCAACTAACTAGTACTTCGACAACTAACTAATACATACAGCGACAGACAGATGTACAAACGGACGAGCGACGAGCAACCTTGAAGCTGGCAGAATTCGAACTCGGACTTGGACTGGGAGTCGGGACTCGAACAGAAGCGCGGATCTTCTAACTGAGCACTTCCTTGACTATGTAACTATCGACCAGACCAGACCAGACAGACAGACAGACAGATAGGACAAAGACAAAGGACAAACGCCCCCCTCTTCAAAAACAGCGAATAATAACAAAAACAGAAAAGAACAAGTAAAAAAGACTAAGAAATAATATGCTAGGGGGGTCCGAACTTCGAACGTCGAACAAAAGCTATGTAAGTACCAAAGGAGTGTGTGTCCGTAAAGAGTGTGTGTCCGTGTGTGTCCGGGATGTGGATTGCAAATGCAAATGTATACGTAGATCGACGGCGATCCTACTGTAACTGTATAAAGTAAGCTATGTAAAAAGGAAATAGCGATAGCGATGTGTCACAAACTCAAACTCAAAAGGAACCCGCCATCGCCGTCCGCCGTCAAAGCACCGCCGTGACCCGTCAAAGCGTCGCGTCAAAGTGGGGTGGAGGAAATCAAAAAACGGGGCAGCAAAGAAAAGGAAACTCGTCTCGGACGCAAGCGGTGCAATGACAACTGACAGCTGACAGGTGGCGGCAACATCAGATCCAGATGAAGAGCATCTTTATTTCCTCTCGTTTCAATTGCCATTGCCGCGCCGCGCATCGCACCAAAAGAAAGGAAGAGCAAACAGACTACCAAGTACAAATAACCCGATGAAATTACGAATGAAAGAGCGCTCGATGTATGCGGTATGCGCCCGTGTCTGTACGGTTTGTGTGTGCGTGTGCGTGCGAGGGGGGTTACCTCCTGGGTCCGTTCGCTTTCGCTGCAAAAAAAGGTGTATGGGTGGGGAGGTAGGGAGGGAGAGGTGGGTGGGGTGGGGTAGGTAGACATGTAATATAAAACAGCTGATAACGACGAATGATGGTGACGGTGACGGTGACGGTGACGGTGACGGTAAGAGTTGCAACAAAAAAAAGCAGCACGACGCAGCAAAAGGCGCAACAAAAGAAGTAAAAGAAGTAAAAGAAAAGAAAGAAAAAGCTATGGAAAGAGTAAGAAATCGAAGTTGAATAAAAAGAAGTTGATTGCGTGCGGTTGGCGGTGGCGGTGGCAGGCTGTCTGTCTGTCTGGGTCAGTGAGTAGAGAAGAAGGAGAAGAAATGCGGAGAGAGTACCGGAGAGAGTACGAGAGAGAGAGAGAGGAGACGAGCGAGCCGCGAGACAGGAGGAGGAGAAAAAAGAGAAAAAGAGTAAGGAGCGGATGGAGCAACGATGTTGTTGGCAGCAGTGATTGTGAGTGTGGTCCACAGAGCAGGATATTGACTAACTAACGAGGACAAGAGCGAAGTATATCGAAAAGAGAAGAGAAGAGAGAGAGAATAAAGAGACGAATATGAGACAGAGTGTAAAGCAGAGTGGTTAAATAGATGAGAAGTGGAAGAAAATGCTGTGATGCACAGAGAAGACGAAAAGAAAGGAGCATGCAGAGATGAAGCGAGCGATGGGAGAAGAATGAGAAACATCAGTCAGTAGTCCAAGTCTTCGTCCGGCATGACGAACGACATCGGCGACAGTGGCGGGGGATATTCTCCCCCTGCCACCGCCTCCAGCTGCGCGAACGGCGGTAACGAAGGCGGAGGCACCGAAGGCGGCCGATCTGGAGCACCCCGTTTCAACGAAGGCATCGAAGGCTAAAGTATACATCAACGCGCGGGAATCAGTAACAACATCAACGACGGTGACCATCTTCATCGAAGAACTTACCACTTTGAAGATAGGATTGATCGCCGACTTCGGTGCGTCCAGTGCAGGGCTTGGTGTATGCCCATGTACGTGTCCGTTGTAGGGCAGTGGAGGATGACCGCCTTGTTGCGGTATCGTCAACCTCGTCGGCTGTGGATGGCCCATGGTGAGATTCGGCGACTGATGAACGGTCTGCCACGAATGTGAAGGCGATAACGACAGCGCGTGCATAGGCGGCGAACCCACGTCCGATAACGATCCCCCAGGAGCCACCGACGCGCGCGTCCGGAAATCGTTCGCCAGCTGCTGCTCGTGCGATAACGAGTTCGATGACCTCGCCGAAACCGGGAAATCGTCGAAACCCGTAGAAGACGCCGTCGTCACCCGATTCAGCCCGAGCATGCTTGGCCGGTGAGCGAGCCGTGAAGGACCAGGATCGCTGTCGATGGTAGCAAAAGAAATCATCGAGACCGGACCGATGCTCTGAACGTCGGAGGAAGACATCGAATGATCGTCGTCGTATTCCCGCTTCCTCGCCTTTGCCATCCGCTCGTCCCGACTCCAATCGTACGACGACGGACCGAGGCTGGACGAAGCCTGCGATTGCTGTCGTACGCCCAATCCAGACGACGACGCCGTCTTGTGTTTCGGATCCGCCTGTGGTGGCCGAGGTGCATCGGCCGGGTTGAGGAGGCTGCCGGAGTGCTGCCACTTCCACTCGAGCTGCTGCTTCGTGTGGTTCTGCATGATCACCTGGTTCCGCTTCTCCATGACCGCCCTCGCCTGTTGCCGATGCGACTTCTCCGCCTGTGCGCGCCGCTGCCTCTCCGCCTCCCTCGCCATCTTCTCCGCCAACTTCTTCTCCTTCTTCGGATCCTTCGCTTCCCGCTGTGGTTCGACCTCGGGCAACGACCGGCTGTCCGTACTCGACGACTGCGTCCGCTTGAGCGACGGCGTCGAGTTCGACGACGCCGCCATGTGCTCGTCCACGGGTGGCAACCCAGGCGCCACGGGCTGGCCCTTGTCCCCGTGTCCTCCGAACATGTTCCCGAGTCCTCCCCACTTGGACGGCTTATTTCCTCCAAATTTGATGGTGCCGAGCTTCGGGAAGCGAGTACCAGAGGTAACTTCGTGCAGGGCCCCATTCGTCGTGTCTTGCATCGGATCCTCGATCGGCGGTCGCTGCGGGTACTCCCGCAGAACGGGTGAAGTCTGAATCTCCATCGGGTGTCCATGTCCATCCACGACGTACTCCTCGTGGATCTCGCCGTGTGGGGACATGTTCCAGTCGGACTGGGGGATCTGCGGTGAGGGTTCCATGCTCTGATAGGAAGACACGGTGGAGAACGTCGCGGAGTGTTGAAGTGGTGGCGGTGGCGGCATGTCGGACAGCTGTGACGAATGGCGAACATGAGCGTAATGAGGATCTGAGGAATACTCGGACCGAGGGGACGGCGCGTCTGAAGAGGCATAGAAGGATTGTCGATGTGATGTGGCCTGATCGGGAAGGTGGACGATATGCACGGGATGAGGGGATGGATGTGAGTGGGATGGGGGCAGATTCCGAGGTGAGACGGCGTTGAGGGAGACGGGCGTGGGGAGACCGGTACGATTGGGGACAGAAGTGGAGATGAGAAGAGGTGGCTGTGGGGGTGTGATACGGGGAGCGGTTTCCAAGAGATACGGGTGTTCGAGGCATTGCCGACTGGTGAGACGTGCGGCGGGATCATACTTGAGCAAGTCCGCGATACACTCCACCAGTTTAGGAGGGACGTTGTGGTCGAACATGGCATTGAAATTCTTGGGTGGCGTCTGCACGACTCGGTTAGCGGGGCTGAACGTGAATAGAAGCACAGATGGAAACGAACCTTGGGCAGGGCCAACCCGGCCGCTTTCGCCATCTTCAACCCCCTCGACCACTTGCCACCTCCGATTGATTTGCCTCTCTGATCATAGCCGTACTCGTCAGAGGGATCGCCAAGAATCTCAGTGATCTTCGAAATCTGGTCGATCTCTCCTTTTCCGGGGAAGAGGGGACGAAGGTTGACGAGCTCGGCCATGATAGTGCCAAGCGCCCACATGTCGACGGGATTTGAGTAGTCCTTGCTCTTGAGGAGCACCTCGGGGGCGCGGTACCATCTTGTGGAGACGTACTCCGTATACGGTGGTTTGCTCTTCGTTTCTCTCGCGAGACCAAAGTCGGCGAGCTTGATGACGACGACGACGTCCTTCTCTGGGGGAGCGTTTGGGGGAGCGACGGGGGAAAGGTTCGGGTAGTCGTAAAGACCGGTGGTTGTGACGAGGACGTTTTCGGGCTTCATGTCGCGGTGAAAGTAGCCCGAGGCGTGTATGTGATGGAGGCCGGAAACGATCTGGCGGAAGATGGAGGCGACGAGGCCGCCGGCGAGGGGTCTGCCCTTGCGAGCCTTGATGAGCTGGAAGAGGTGGCCCTCCATGGGCTCGAAGACGAAGTAGAGCTCCTTTGTCTGTGGGAGGAGGAAGGCATCGTAGAGGGGGATGATGTTCGGATGGATGGGTATCGCGCGGAGGGCCTATAAATAGACGGGAAGGCAGGAAAAGGAAGTCGGGTCGAGCGGAGGATGAGAAGGTTGAAGACTTGGCGGCGGGGCGGGGGCGGAGGGGAAAGCACGTACCTCGAGTTCCTTCAAACGCATACACTCGTCCCAGCCGCCCTCCCACTTCTTTTTCATCCTCTTGACGGCGGCGAGACGCTTGTTGGCGTAGTCCGGGCGAGCGCCGGCGCCAGCCTGCATGGCGGGAAGCGGTGTATTGGGGGGTAGTTGCCCATGCCAATCGCAGAGGACGACGGTGCCAAAGGAGCCGTCGCCGACCTCCTTGATAGGCGTGAAGGAGCGAGTGGAGGCTTAGGGGGGATGAGTTAATGCACACAAAATAAAAGGAGGGGGACGGACTGGAGTGGGCATCTCCGTAGCGGACGCCGTCGGGGGTGAATGTGACGGAGGGGACGGCCTGTGCGACGAAGGCGGGACGGTGTGGGTGGTGTGGTGGGAGGGAGCGGGAGGATGAGGACGTCGTCGTGGACGGTGAGTGTGAGTGGTGCTGGACGAGTACGTTGTTGTAGTGTTGCGGGACATGTTGTTGGGGAGAGAACATGTTCCGGGACGCACTGGCATCGGGTCGAGGCTGGAGGAGAGTTGGGTCAGAGGCGGCGGGGGACGTGCATGGGACAGAGACGATGAGGACAAGGGAAGGAATGAAGAGAAGACCAACGCTCCACGCCCGGATCCGCTTCTCCGCCAGCCGACAACTACTGCTACGCGAGCAGCGCCTAGTCTATTGCGTCTCTTATCGACCGTTGTCTCCTTCGGTCCTTGTTTCAGCCCACTGTCCTCGTCGTCCTCGAACAAACACGGGCGATAATCAGCCTCAACCGTCGGCCGTCGGTGCGTGGGCAGCAACACCAACGACGAGCAACACGGCGCTCGCCACGAATACGGCAGTGTGCTCGCGCGACCGACGCCGCCGCCCCGGACCCCCCTCGATGATCTATCACTGACATCGGCAGATTCACTTTCCTTGCCTTCTTTCGGCGACTCCCCACCAATCGCCCCCACCGGCATTTCCTTTCCCGGCCAAGCTCTCCCACCCGCGCCCACTTGGCTTGTGCACACATCGATCCGCTAGAACCGCCCAAGGCCATCACCATATCCACGCGTCTTTCTCGCCTCTCTTTGCTGTCTTCTACTGCATCCGCTCGACTCCCCGAAAAAATCACCCAGTTCCGCTCCGTCGCACCCCGAAACGCCAAAGCAAGTCGCAATGATAATATACAACATACATAGACCTCAGTACGGAACCTCGTTGAACAGCTTCGACACGCTCTCCCCGTAATGGCTCCGACGTATCACCTCCCCGAGCACGGGCCCGATGTCGATCACCTCCAGCTTACTGCACCCCTTCACGTTCTCCTCCTGCGGCAGCGTATTCGTCACCACCAGCTTGTCCAGCGCGCTCTTCTCGATGCTCTCCAGCGCCTTCCCGCTCAGGATCCCGTGCGTCACGATCGCGTACGCCTTGTCCACCCCCGCCTCCGCCAGGTGCTCCGCCGCCAGACACAGCGTCCCGCACGTGTCCGCCATGTCGTCCACCAGGATCGCGACCTTGCCGGCGACGTGCCCGACGAGCACCATCCGCGACACCTCGTTCGCCTTTTTGCGCTCCTTGTGGAATAGCGCAAAGTCGACGCCTAGTCGATCGGCCATTGACGTCGCTCTAGTCTCGCATTCGTCAAAAATTTATATTTGATTCGAGCGTGGATCTCGGAGAGGTGGCCTCACCGTTTCGCGCCACCTGCGTCTGGCGAGACGATGACGACGTTTGACAGGTCAAAGTGCGTGCGAATGTAGAGGATTGCAGACGGCTCCGCGTATAGCTTCACGGCGAATATGTCATGTTGGAACTGTACACACGGGCTGAAACGTCACTTACGCTGTGAGCGCAGTCAGTCAGTCAGTCTCCACCTAGACAGAATCGACACGTACTTGTCCACCGGAACGTCAAAGAACCCCTGTATTTGCGATGCATGCAGATCCATCGTCTACTCCACCATCAGTTCTCGTCCTCCATTCACTCCACCCACCCCATTCCAAATCCAAAGCTGAAAAAGACTCACAATAACATGATCGCACCCACTCTTCTGCAACATATTCGCCACCAACTTCGCCGTAATCGGCGCTCTACTCTTATCCTTCTTATCCTGCCTCGAATACGGAAACAGCGGAACGACGGCCGTGATCCGTTTCGCGCTCGCGATCTTGCAGGCGTGGATCATGATGCAGAGTTCCATTAGTGCTGTGTTCACGGCGCCACAGCCGGTGTTGATGATGTAGACGTCGTCTTCCCGGACGGATTCGATTATGCGGACGTTGGTTTCGCCGATTCCGGAGCGGGAGACGTCGGCTTTGGAGAGGGGGATGCCGAGGCTGTGTGGGGGGTGGGTGGGCGTGGGGTGGGTGGGTGGGCGTGGGGTGGGGGTTTGGATGAGTATGAGTTGGAATGGATAGAGTGTGTATGGTTCTTAGATATAGTAGCTACGTACCGTCGACATATAATCTCTGCCAGTTCCGGATGGCTCGTACCTACAAACGAACCTCCATCCATCAGAACCCAACCCATTTCCTTCCTCCAAAGCGAACAAAAAAGCAAAGAAAGAAAGACCCAACGGACCAGTAAACACCTTGATCCCACCGCCGTTCAACATTTTGCGTTTTTCGTGTGTCTCGAGGAGTGAAAAGTTTCGGAAGTGCCGGCGTTGGCTTTTTCGAGAGCGGAGAGTCGGTCAAGAGAGCGGAGAGTCGGTCAAGAGAGCGGGGAGTAGGTCAAGAGCAAAAGTGGGAGACCAAAGACAAGAGAGGGAGATAGATAGGTCGAATGGGTTGGTGGGTGGGTGGGTTGGTTATATGTTATGTTATATTATGAATCCAACTCGCTCAAATCCATCGACCGACGGACGGGTCAAAATTCGTCTCCTTCGTCCTGATTATACCTCCAAGGAAAAATCCTGGTCGGAAGCGAGCACACTCGTACAGATGAGTCTGAAGCGCGAGTGGTGATCCTCCGGTATGCGTAGACGTAGACTCAAAAGAGCAAGCGTAGAATAACAACGACGATGAGGATGAGGAGGCAAAGGCGGGATGATAGTCTGAAGAGATGGCATAACTCGAGTTCCCGCCCCGGACGGTACGGGTTCGGGTTCGGGTTCGGAGTCGGAGCCTCGGAGGGCGCTTTGGCGTTCCCGCGCCACAGTCGCTTCGGGGGAAATTTGATTGGTTGGGCCGGGAAAAGCGCGATATTTAAATTGTCGGGCCGCCGCTAGGAAGTGACCGCCGTGCAATGATTGTGTCGAGGTCGGTCGTCTTCCGTATCTGCATGTATTATTGTTTCGTTTCGAGCGAGCTCAACCACGCTGTTTTATTTAGCGCCGCTCATGTAAGTAGTCTAAGGGCCCCTTCGGCAAGTCGAGTCGAGTCGGGTTGAGTTGAGTTGGATCGAGTTGTGCCTCGTGACCACGCGGAGTCACTTAGTGACAGTATGTGATGGGGTCCAGGGTCACCCGGTAAAACAGGGGCCGGTCTACACCGTGCCTATCTTCCCTCATCGCCGCCCTCGATGAGCTCAACGATGGGGAAGGTGCTTTATTTGTAGAATTCTGTCCACCGAATGAAACTGAACGAGGCAAGTATCATGGAGAAGCCTCGATTATTCCACACATTTTGCTATATTATTCAGATCTACAGTAAGTGCACCTTAGTGCCATCCGGAGATGGTGCCGGTGCGTGTGGGCTATCACGGACAATGCGCGGAAATGGTCGGGAAATCACGCAAAGCACGGACGACTCTTCCTGAAGTCACCTCGGCTTCCTCCGTCCAAGAGTGACAACGGGCCTGTGATCCGACGGCAAGAGCAACTCGAGCTCCCACGAGAATTGGCGGGGAAGCCCAACTCAACCCAACTCGACTCGACTTGCCGAAGGGGCCCTAAAAGAGCAGCCAGCTCTTTTCAGGCGCGGCGGAGCATCCTCGGTTCATCAGACATCTCCCCTCGGGAAGGAAGGTTGAAGGAACTTTATAATAAAATTGGAAGCGGGAGAACGCCACTAGCCATCTCCTGGAACTTGAACCAAACTTGTTCGCCGTTCTGAATCTTATGTAGGACCGTTTGTGCACACAGGGCGTATACTTACACTCTTCGTCTTCGTTCTATGATTATAATTATCCTATCGCCGTATAGAACCAGAACCAGAACCAGAGCTGGCTAATGTTCTCTTCCAATGTCCATCATCTGAATCTCTACTCGGATGGGGACTTGAAGCGCACGTTGGCCGTGCCGTTTCGCCACTGGCTCTGAGCCTGTCGTCAGAACAGTTTTCGATCGTGAGCAGAACAGTGTACTTATACTTACGGTGCAATACGATAAGTCCTACTGACCAAAAACCGGTCCATCGCCCGCGCAATCTTCGCATATGTGTCATTCACACTACTACTGGCATTTATACTAGCAGCCGCCGTGATGGATGGATTCGAACGGATGAATGAATCAACGTTGATCCCCATCCAGTGGGCGGGCCACACGTAACCTAACTCAGACTGCGTAACGGCCGTCTTTCGACGTCGTCATCCCTACTTACCATGGCAGCCCACCCAGCTACCTTTTACCTTTTACTGGGCGCAAGTGCACACTCGTGGCTGAAGCGAGTTCCTCCAAGTTCCCTCTCGCTGATCTCTGAACTGAATCGAAACACTCCACGGTTATTCACACTCGTATGTTCTCATCTTGCTCGCTCGCTATATCCGAGTCGTCCATCCATCTTTACAGTAGTGCCACCCACCTGATCACGATCAACACAACCCACACCCAAACCGGGATGCTCCTTCGGAATCGGATATACTGAGGCCTAGGCGGAGGACGGGTCCAGAGCGTTACCTCAGCCTGGGGATAACGTGCTATGCTATGTTTTCTCTTTCGAGTTTACCCCGCGGAAGCCTCGAGGTCGTTTGAGCCTTCGGTATGGCTGTGTGAGACCCTCCCATTCGCTTTTTGTAGGTAACAAAGTGAGCTATGGAGATCTATTCGGATCACATTTCACCTCATGGGTGATGGGCGTATGTAGGCTCGAAATGCATGCCAGCGGTGATGTGATGCGCAAACACTACTGTTACGCTGTGAGTTTGTATGAACCTGTATGAACTCCCCTGATTAGGATGATACCATGCCGAGCTTGTCTTTGCATGCACGCTCGGAGCGCCGGTTTCATCATACTACTTGCAGACACATCGCACCTCTCGTATTTTACGCCGCCTTGTCTGGGTAGAATGGACATTAGTCGGAGCGAGATCGCCAGCCAGACTTCACTGCAACTTTTCGGCGGCGACGATCCCCCTCTGGCCACTGCTCCGCACATTCTGCATGATATACCTCGTCTAGTCTATCCGACCGACCAAACCCATCTGGCTAGTAACAAGAGCCTGCCCAGAGATGACCGTGCCAGCTCATGTCGCCATCAAAGGCCCTGCCTTACATATTGCCGCGTCTGCCACGTCCAATCCCAATCCGGGACCACCTATCCACTCTCAACAAACAACCTTCGAATCCGGTTTCTCCAACCTGGTCGTTCGCTCTCACCCCCACACACAAAAAGTCTGAATCCGCCAGCCACAAGGGTCGGATTGCCTTCTCTCAGCCAACTCTGAACTACTTGTCCTTCGGTCAGCCACTCTTTCGCGCAATCAGATCCGGACGGCGACGACTGTTCCGAAAGGTATGTGTGAAAAGCTCCAACTCTACTTATCCCACTGGCGTACTGACAATGGTAAGGACCGCATGGTACGTAGCGCGAAGCTTCACGGGCCTTCTGTCGCCGTGGCTTTTTCGGCCTTCCGTTCTTTCTCAGTCGTCGCACAATCGCGTTCTGGTGCAGGTCTCATGCCCCGTGTCCGATGAGTCTATGCTGTCCATATTACTCGTACAGAGCATGACAGACGGCAACGAGATCGGGCTAGAAGCCCTTTTGACTGGGCGCTCGCCACAACTGGGAAGTGTCTGGCACATCGACGACTGTAAGTTAGCAGGGTTGCACATTCTCGCGTTCAAACTTCCTTTGTTTCCGCGTCGAGCAACCGCGTCGACGGTTTTGTCTCGTGGCTATTGCTTTTCCATTGCCCTCGCGTTTCCTTCATGCCCGCTAAGGACCGCATCTTATGACATGTGTGATGTACGTATGATACGGCGACGAGCGCTTTGATTTGTCGGCGGACGTAGGGGACTGGCCAGAACCTAGATCAGTGCAAAAACGAAAACGCAGTCTCTCAACTCAACTCGACGCCCTCTTTGCTCTTCGGTTCCCGAACGGACATATATCAGGTTCTGGCATCTGGGTGCAGTTGGAATGCCGACCGTATCAGACCTAAGTACGTACGCTGTCGTTCTCGTTCTCCATCTTCTTCAGCTCCTCGAGTCAGAATTCTAAAGGATGCCGTTTGACGCTTCGTATTGTCCGTACAGGAACTTTGGTTCATCACGAGTCCTCGCAGGGTGCATTCTGCTTTAAGGTAACGCAGCGTCTAACTCCGCCGTCGAACTCATCCTGGCTGTTTTCTTACCCCACAACCGTACGGCAAAGTACTACTACTGATTGGGTTGCGAAGCGTTTTGCCTGTAACAGGCGACTTTCCCAGCTGCGATACAATACATCTGAGCCTCAGGTCAAAGCGTTGAGAATCTGACACGGCCCTGCTTGGGGCGACTTTCGCGTACTTCCAAGCACAAGCACACGGCCGCCGGTATGTCGCGGGAATTCCTACTTGGACGAGACCTGTACATACAAAAAAACACATCGTCTTCGCCCTTCCCGGCTCACAGGGTATCACCTCTGGGTTCCTGGATGAGTGCACGGTCTAACTCTGAGTCTGGCGACACTGGCAGCAGTGGGGACACAGCATCAGCGCTTCCATGGACTCTCCTTGAACAACGGCCTTCCAAGTTCCACTGATCTCTTACCGAAATAACGCCTTCAGCGATCATGTACATGGCCGTACTCTATACAAGAATGCTACCGCATATAATCGCTGCATCGTTGATCGCGTTCACTCCGTATATAAAGATTTATACTTGTCTCAGCCCTTCCCTTTCCTCGTCCTAGTTCCTCCTGATTGTAACTCAGGCTCTTCCGGCTGAACCTTTCTGCATGTGTCTCACACACGAAGCATAGCGCTCAAGAATAAAACGTCTCTGGCTGGGAAAACCGACAATGACGGAACTCGCAGAATGGCCGCATCTGAGGAAACCACTATCCACGGCTCTTAACTCTCAATGTCCGTCCCATTATATTGAACTCTCGCTCTGACTCCTATGCACATCCCACACCTTCGACCTTGTTGTTATTCCAGTAGGGCACCATGCCAAGCCTGGCGCCGATTGCCACTCTAGCGTCCTAATCGATTTCTGTCAAGCCACGAACTATGTTATGGTCTAGCTGCTTGTGGGTTGTACTTGCCTTTCTGCAACGCTACTAGCTCTGATCATCTGTATCTGGGCGGTGAATCGAAGGTTGAACCGTTGTACAGGCTAACGATCTAAGGACCAACAGTACCCTTTCATGGCCTTTTCTACTCACGATTCTTTCGGAGCACAAGCATATACAGTGGTGCGCAGTACTTCCTCTAAATATCCGTTCTGCGTACGTACCCCGTCGGCGGGTTTTCACAACATCATCGGGACCCTGTCGACGATGACGGAACACATTTTGTAATTGATCCTAACCTCGGGCTCGACAAGTCACAATTCACGGAGAAGGTTGGACAACTGATCACGATGTAATCATGATTACCATTCTTTAGCTGCCTTTCAAGTTTCCTCACCTTCAGGAAGCCAGAGATCCAAGACCAGATAGATCTCACAGGCTCTTGCAAAGCTGGGTTTGGCTACATAGACGCAAGATCGACAATCCGTTCAATCAAACTCTGTTTGCACATCGACATCATACTTACTTATGCGAGTCATGGAAGCGACATGGAAGAGTGGAAGCAGGAAGAGAGCTCAGCATCGAAGAGTGGCATGGCATGGACATGGAGCATGCAGGGTGGCCCACGAATAGTCAAAAACCCTAAGTTCACCGCCTCACGCTCGCAGCGATACATACCGCCTTCCTAGTGACGCTACATGCACGCAAGAAGGACCCCAAACCTCATAGACCTCAGATACGTACCCGAGATTGAATTCTGTGACTTCCACGGAGACAATTGGCGTCACCGTTCGAAGTTCGACAACGGCAACAGACTAGCCATCATAAGTACCTCCTGCATGTCGCAAAGCATATTGAGATCGTCAAACCTTACTGGCCTTGTCAGAATATCAAGGCTCGCCTGAGGGCCAGAGCGCGCTATAGTCGATTCCGAATGTCGAAGATGTTAAGAACCCTGTAAGGAGCGCTCGAGCAAGCATACCCAACAAAAGCGACTGACCTGACACCATGGGATGCTTCACCAGCGGTTGAACGACACACATCTAATGCCACAGGCTGAGTTTGACGCAGACGGACATCTGGTTCACAGTAAAGATATCAGTAATACCATTTGAACGACTGACGACGAGAGGCTACGCTACAAAGGGGGGTTTAATCGAGAGGAACCGCGATGTGGGATGGGGGATGATGGCTTTACGCGGTACGTACTTATGTAAATGTATGTATTGTGGTTGTATTTGAACAAAGACAAGAACTGACAGGAGGGTTGGATGACAAAACGGTAGAGGCAGACTCGAAAGCGGAGTCGAACGAGAAAAAGGCGAGAGAAGGGGCGGAAGAAAGAACGGAAGCAGATTCAGAGGCAGGAAGATAACAAAACACTGTAACACAGCGACGTCAATAGACAAAAGGTCGGTCAGAAGAACGCGGTGAGCGACGAACAAATGGAAAGAAAAAGGGTGAGAAGAGATAACAAACATTCGGGGGAAGGAGAAAAAATGAACAGAGAAGGAATATGAAGAGAAAGGAAGAGAACACTACGAAAGGAAAAAGGGACGAAGAAAGGGGAGAAGACAACATGAACGGACGAATGCCATGATCCCTGAACGACAGGAGTCATAAAATCAACACGAGTGCAAGTCACAGAGAGGATAGCTTACGAGTAAAGATGAAGCCTGAACACGATAAGACAAGAGTGAAAACGTGAATCGAGAGAGGAGTTCGAGGAGTTCGAGGTAACGCAAAAGATGAATCGAGAACGAGAGCTGGGGACGATAACAAGAAAGTAACTACACCGAGTGAAGTGAGAACCGATGATAATGGTCGACGACAGAGAACTATGTTACAGTACAAATAAGAGATGGACGGGTCCATGGTCAATCTCTGTAGACACCTACGGCAATACTTCTCCTTCATTGGCCACCGGGGGTTCCCTTATTCATGAGGAGAGACAACAGCATGCCCGCATTAGACTGGTTTGGCGGATTATGAGGGGTCTGGAAGTTTGGGGATAGAGCCGGCGCAGACAGAGGGCCGGGCGGGGGAGGTGGTCCCGGCATGAGATGAGGGGGAAGAACGTGCAGTTGAGGAGGTACAGTTCCCATGCGAGACGAAAGAGGGGGACCATTCATGAACGGAGGGGGCCGCATGCCCATGCCGGCAGGGGATGGCTGCATTGGAAGCCCGTGAGGACCCGAGGGATGATGATACTGAGGGCCCGGCATGGGCGCAGGGGGTCCAGAGAGAACACCCATGAGCTGAGCTTGGCTCATACTGGCCCGGTTCATGTTTGGGATGGGCCTCGAAGGTTGAGGCTGGTGATGAGACATGGGAATTGGATGGAAGGCATTGCTGGTGCGGGGACGGACAGTGAAAGCATCGTCTTCGCGAGAGCCAGGAGGATGTATCGAGGAATTAGGAACTGGGTATGATGGTCCATGGTTGTGTGGATACATTGATGATAAATTATTGAAGTTCGACGGAGGTGGCACTGACATGGGTGGCATTGGAGGCTGGAGATAGTGTGGCGGGGGAAAATTAGGATGAAAGCTCGGGCCGCGAGCGTCTATCTCGTGTGCAGGTCTGGAGAGAGCAGGTGAATGGTTGGCCAAGATGGGTGTTGCCCGCGCGGTCTCATCTAGCAAGGACTCCAACAGTCCGAGCTGTTTCATTCGCTTGCCACTGATGAGACTAGGGCCTTCGGGAGGACGATTGGTGTATGGAGTGAGATCCGTCGTGGCAGACGAGCCCCGACGAGCCGTAGGGCGGGACGCCGAAGACGTTGAGGTTGTCGTTGACAGCGCAGCGGAAGGGGGAGGAGAGGTGGCCTGAAGTGCAGGAGAGGATGTGCGATGTGCAAGGCCATTCAATGGCGCCGGCTTCGGGGAACGCATAGAGGCCTTCGAGAAAGGGCGCGATGGTGTCGGTGATGCACGTATGGCCTGTACTGGCGAGCGGGATAGGGAGGTAGGAGGACGGGAGGGAACGTGATGACTGTCTGCCGATTGAGACGGGGTATGTACAGAGGACCGGGCGTCCGTAGCGTTGACCGGAGGCACCGGGGTTTTCTCAGGGGTTTGTACTTCGGCTTTACCAATGGAAAGGATGGCTGGATCAGAGAGATGTTTGTTCGGGTTCTCTATATCTCCCTTGGCCGAAGTGGTCAGAGCGTTGAGCAGGCGAGCGAGCTGAGGATCAATCAGTTCGGACTTCAAGGCGCTCGCCACAACGTCTTCGGCAGGGACGTCAGACGTGTGGTTGACAACAGCTTCGGTATATAGAGGTGAGGGGGTCTGTGGATCGCCATTGTCCGCAGAAGACGACTGGGAGCTTGACTCCTGCTGAAGACCGGGATCGAGACTGAGAGCAGAGGGTGATTTGTAGTCGACCACTGCAGCCCCGTTGGTGGCGTGCATATGCAGACTCTGGTCAACACGTACATTCGGCGTCTTAGCGGCTTTGCGACCCAATTTTCGGGGTTTGCGCTCGTGTATGTAGGTTTTGAGAGGCCTGTATAGGTGTAAGTCGCATTCAAAACGATATAGGAGGCTGTGCGTACGCGATGAAGGGGCCGATGAGGTAGAATTTTCCAGGGACGGGCTTATTACGCTTCCATGTAGGTAGGTCGATGAGCTTGAACCAGTCGATTTTCTTCATTGGGCGTAAGTCGTAGCTATAATAAGTAGTTCAGAAAAGGTGACGCACACTAATCTCTTTCCTCGTCCTTGTCTGGAACTCAAAACTCTCTGGTACGCCAGGCACGATATATAGGGAGATGAGCTGCTCTCTTATAGACACTTCGATGACATCGTCGGGGTCGATTTGATCGGCAAGGTTATACCCCGTCTCTTCTAGAACCTGCGCCGCAAGACGTATGAGAGATTAGAGGGTATGGTGAGGTTGAAAATGGAGCAGGACATACTTCGCGAACGGCACACGCATGCGGAGGTTCACTCTGATTGATTTTTCCTTTCGGGAAGCCCCAACCTGAGGACTGCTTCCAACCCTTGACGAGAATGACCTGTCGGGATTATCAGAAAATTAGATCTGGTGTGAATGCAGACAAAACGTGACAAACCTTGTCCCATGTCTCGTTAAGCATTATGGCACCGCAGACGGGCACGCGTGTCTTGTACTTCATGAAGTGGTCGAAAGCACCTTCGTGATTGCCACTCCACCTGTGCAATAAGGGGCATGCCTGGAACAACATCTCTGAAAATCGCTTGAGAGGTAGCGAGGGCAGCTTCGGATTGACATCTCGGATGAAATCTTCGTAGTACCAATGACTACATGGCCACGTCAGGTGAGGAAGCAAATTGTGATAGCGTGTTGAAGGAACGCACGCTTGTTCGACCTGAAAGCATACTCGTTCCAGCGATTCAAGCTCATCGTCGGGGAGGTTGAGAATGAAGCGACTATGGGAATTTCAAGAAATGAGCGTCGAAAGGCGGGGGGTATGGGGATGGGCGGACCTTGAGAGGTCTTCGAGAACTTCTTCAAATGTTGTGTATTTGGGTGAATCTGGCGTTTGTGGGGGATACGGAGCCGGTGTGAGATCCGGCGATGACGATGATGAAGATGCCATGAACGGCAGAATGAATGGTGGGCAAGTGGATGGGGACGATGTGGGCGACGACGAGCAAGGGCGTCGGTGTTGACGGTATTCAATGAGCGAGAGCAGAGCAAGAGGGACAAGCGCCTTCAGCCGTCCTCTTCCGGCCACTCCATCCCGGCCCCACGGCGCGCCCGACACAGACACGTGTCCCACACCACGCCACCCAAACTCAGTACGTAGCACACCATATTGTCTAAGGTCTTGCAGTTCCATCACAGATATATCGATGCTCTGCCTTCTATTATTACAAAATAAAACCCAAGAAAATCGGCCTAAATACAGATACATTACATGCAATCAAATCTGAGAAATGCACGCCCACAATATCATCAAGTCCATGAGCTTTTTAACCCAGACATAACCTATCATTCCTCTCGAATATATCCCATCCGACGCGCATACTCCTCGTTTTCCTCTTCCGTCACGCCGTCATTCCCCGCCCAATTCGCAGAACTCGTCCTCGCCCGGAATCGACTATGCCTCGTTCTGAAAATCTCCTCCATCCTCAATGGCCTCACTCCCGCCCCAAATATATCATCCGGGTTCATGGTCTGCTGAGCCTCCAATTGTGCCCTGACTTCAGGCGAAGTCGCCCACCGAGGAGCATCGAATTTCTTGCGATCCTCGTCGTCAGAGTCTGAGTATTCGCTGTTCGGTTCCGGCAAGTCGATGAGCTCGCTCGCCATTGGAGGTGGGGGTGGCGTTTCCGGTTCCTGGAGCAGAGCCCTGGGGTTGACGCGAACGATCTTCGCAGGCGGTTTGGGAGTAGGCTCGGGTTCTTCTGCTTTCGCTTTGCCCTTCGCCGCCGGTGTCGGTCCTGCTTTGGCACCTTTCGTGGCGGTCGTGGCGGTAGCAGCAGTAGAAGTACCGGCTTGCGAGTTGAGTGTCGACGTGGAGGTTTGTTTTTTGAGCGACTTGCCAAAACCTCCAGGTTTGAGCAATGAGGAGTTGGGATTGGGACTTGGCTTCGTCGTACGGGTAGGGATCTCTGTCTTGTTATCTTTTGACGGAGGTTTCTTCAGGGTGGGCTTCTTCTCCATCTCAACGGTAACCTGTTGTATTCCATGTCAATTACTTCCTAGATAGAGTGTATTGGTTTTCAAGCTTACCTTCTTCTCAGGAGCCTTGAGCATCCGTTTACCAGTCTGCTCCTCTCGCTCTTTCTTCCGGCGCTCTGCCTCGTCGCGCATCTTCTTCTCTTCCGCCTCAGTCTTTGCCTTTTCCTCCTCGGCCTTCTTCTGCAAAGCTGCTTGGCGCCTGGCTTCCATCTCCTTCATTCTTGTCGCTTTCTTGTCTTGCTCTTCCTTTTGCTGTTATACGATGCTAGTCAGTCAAGACATACTCGGCCTCAGACAAAGTCGACAACAAACCTTCTTGGCGGCGGCGGCAGCAAGCTGGATACTCTTGACGGGCTCATTCTTGCCTTTCTTGCTCCCCATTATGCTGCTCACGAACTTCCCGGCATTACCAAAGAAGCCCAAGGATGTCCCTTCATCGGACGAAGACGTCGACGCTCCAGGGTTCCTGCTCTTAGGCTGTGGAATTTCGTTATTAAAGATGTACCAGTGATGAAACGAAAAGCTCACCTTTACAAGCTGGACAGTAGGTTTGCCCTTCTTGACGATATCCTCCAGCTCTTCGTCTTCACCGTCCGCATCGTCCTCCATATCATCCATAACAGCCCCTTCCTCGAACTCTTCATGAACATCCACATCCATGTCCTCTTCCACCGGCATGGGAGCAGGCTCGGGCTGCACATTATCGATCTCTCTCTGGTCCTCATAAGCATCCTCACCCTCGACCTCCCTATGCTGCGACAAACTCTGCGTGAAGCCCATATGCCTCGTATCCCCGTTCTGACTATCCGTCGGGACCGAACTCCAAGTCATGCTATCCTCCTGCGCACCCCAGACCTGTCTCGCCGCCGCCAACTTCTCCGTCAACGGCCAACTATCGTCATCGTCATTCAAATTCAGATCGTCCGGATCTTCGTCTATGTCGTCTCGTTCGAGCGGCTGCTCGAAGATCATCTTCGGGATACCTTGAGACTGAGAACCTGGTTGCGTGTACTCCGTGTCTTGGGTGGAAGGTGCCCAAGCGGGACGAGCCGAACCGCCGGGTTGTGAATCGAAGACCGCATCAGAGAAGAGACTGTCTTGACTCGATTCTTTGTAGAATGCGCCAGGTTTGGGAGAGTTAGAGTGTTTGGGCAGTTGGGGCTGTAGACCGATGGTGAAGGCCGTGCCACCGAACGGATAAGGGTTTGGCTTCGGTTTCGGCTCGGGAGCTTTGAAGACTGGCTCGGGCGCAGTGAAAACGGGACCGGAAGGGATAGCATTCTTTGTAGTCGGGCGAGGATGAGGAGGAGAGTTCGGAGGCGTCGTTGATGTACTAGAGTCGCTGTGCCTAGTCTTCGCGGCGCGAGCAGCCGTCGGCACGGCTGCACTGAACACTGACGATAGAGGTAGCTTGAATTGCGGCGGTTTGATATCGTTCTTCGAAACTAGCTCAGAAACGCTGAGACGACGGGAGGCTTCCTCTGATGGGACTGAAGTCCGGGGTGGAGGCGCGAACAGAGAAGATGAACCTGGTTCGGCGGTGAAAGACTGTAGCGGAGCCAATGGCGAGATCTTTGGCTCTTCCACCTGCGGAGGTGACGGTTTGGGCGCAGGCGGGGCAGAAGGTTTGGATGACGAAGAAGATGGTTCAGCCATAGGAGCTGGTTCGGGAGCTTCGACCTTGTGACGTTCTGCCACTCTAGCCTCAGCTGCAGCTCTCGCTTGTGCGAGCTCGCTGACGGCGTTGCCTCCGAGAGACTTCCCATTACCTTTGCCGATGCGCGCTTCAGAGATCGTCTTCTTGAAGATATCAAGGGCGCCTTCTTTAGTATTCTTGACGTGGAAAGTGAAATCGTCGAGGACCATCGTATCAGTGCTGGGTTCCGGGAGCTTGAATGCAGTCTCTGCAGGCGACACGGTAGGCTCGCGCTCCGGTGCGGGTGGATCCTCGACCTGCTTCTGTTTCTCGACTGGAACGGCATGCTCTGGTGTGGCCCGCATGCCCGAATCGCTGACCTTCGCAACCTTCGACGGCCTAGGGTTTCTTTCTTCTTGAGCAGGCGTGTTGTGATTCGCAGTTCCCTCCGTCTCATCAAGCATATCCCCGCTTTTCCTCTTCACACCCGCGACAGTCGGTGCCGGAGTGAACATTGAGCTAGGACCAGCGGCCCCTCCAGCAAAGGTAGACGTCCGCTTCCCAGTGCCCTCCAAGGCCTTCGCCTCCCTGGCCTTCGTCAACCAAGACGTCCTCTTCCCGCCTCCTGCACCAGTGGGTGGACCCGGCGTCCTAGTCCCGAGAGTCGCACCTATGGACTTGCGAAGCGGTGAGGGGACGCCCAAGCCAGCAAATTGTGGCATACTACGTTTGCGCGCGAGTGTGGGTGCGGAGTCTTCGTCACGGAGAGGCATAGTGATCTCTTTGCTGTCTGCGAAGAGGGTGGAGGTGGTGTCTGCGTGGTGTGAGGGAGGGAGGACCGCGGGGGGTTCTTGCCTTGGTTCGGGGTGGTAATGATGCGAAGTCGAAGGAAGGGAGTCTGCAACAGCATCCCGAGCCGGTTCGTGAGAGCTATGTTGATCGGGTATGGGCTCCGGCATAGCTTCAGGCACAGACGGTTCCATGCGAGGAGAGCGGGGGGCAATGGACGAGTGTTGTGTCGAGTCTGAAACTGTAAAGGCCTGAGTAAGATCATAGTTCGTCATCTCGACATCGTCTTGGATATCCTCATGTGCGGAGTGCCAATGTTCATGGGATGGTCCTTCGGTAGGCGTGTCGGCACGTTCGACGCCAGGAGATGGAGGAATACTTGGTGGAGGAAGATGAACGGACATCCGAGACCGTTCGGCGGGTTCTTCGTCCTCCGCAATCATAGACAACTCGATAGCGGAATCCGGGTGAGGAGGGAATACAGCTTCATGCTGAGGGAATGCAGGAGCAGGGAGTGCCATAGGTGGTGGTGCGATCTCTTCGGCAGGAAGCTTCTGCGGGGATGGCTCCGGTGATGAATCAGGTACCTCGATGAAGTCGTCGAGGTCCATGTCATGCGCAATCTTGACAAATTTGAGCTTGGAAGATGGTTGAGTTTTTGGGACAGTCTCTTTTGATGAGGATGCGCTGGCCTGTCGCGAAGGTTTGGCATGCGGTTCGTCGTCTCGAGCGTGCAAAAGCCGTTGATGGAAGTCGTTTACCGGAGCGGTGTTGGAGTTCTCATCCTGAGGCCTATATGAGCAGGATTTCAACTCTAAACGTAAGACCGCTACGCACCTCGAATGAGAGGCTAGTGATGGCTTTGGATTTGCCAGCCGCCGCCATGGCTGCTCTGGTCTTCTTCGGTACGTCCTTCTTGCGGCCGGGAGTCTTGACCAGCTCAAGCAGCGGTCTGGCCATCACGAATCAGCTACACGCAGATATACACACTAGATGACGCAGGACGTACTCTTCGGGAGCTTCAAGAATATTATCGAGATAATTGTCGAGCCATTCGAACCCTTTCTGGACCTGAGCATTGAAGATCATCCGCCCTGGATCATTCGCCATGGCATAGCGAACCGAGGTGACGAAGTCATTGGAGCCGCTGTTCTTGTTGTTGAGGCGGTTGGCGGCCATGAGTGATGCGCCAACGTTCGCGGATGCGGATGTGGAGTAGAGGACGCGGTGGTCCGTTGTCGCTTGGTTGTCGCCGTTGTTGTCGTCGAGAAGAAGTTCGGATTCACGCCGCCGCGTCTGACGTTGGCCCAGTCACGTGGTCGCGTCTTTGTGTGTGTGGCGTGCGTGAATTTCCAATTCGTGCCACACCACAACTGATCACGGCGACGCAGTTTCAATGCTCTCTCTTGCAGGACCACCACGTCGTCCTAGACGTAACCGTGTATACTACTAGTCCCAGCTGTAACATAAACTCGATGTCTGGGAACCCTTCGGTTTCGCAGACGCTGCTTCCTCCGCCTGCTCATCCTAGTCGAACGAGCTCAGGGATATCTTCAGGCCACAGCTCGTCTAGATCTATCAGTCCTGCTCCTCCGCTGCCTCCTCGAGCACCTAGTTCTACAACCCCAACACCAGAACTTCCGCCACGCCCTCGAGTAGTTCCATCCTCCTCTGAATCTACCTTTTCGCAGCCTACACCCCAAGTCGATGAAGATGATGACCTATCTGCAGGCGCCACACAGTCCGGTCAGGATGATCCTCACGAACCCTTCGAGTTCGTACAGACCAGCGATATACCTAGCGACTTCCTCTTCAAAAGCATTGCTGAAGATATGCCAGAGGCTCAGCTCCGAGAGCTGTATGAGAACGAAGAGATAGAGCGATTCGTGAATTTCTTCTCCGCTGTAAGCGTCTCAGCAGCCAAGGTACGGTCATCGGGGTCTGATGCTGATGAGCAGGGGACAGTATGTTTCTGAAGTTAGGGCCCCTACAGTTCCAAACACCTCTGCAGCTTCTGCTGCCTTGACTTCTCCGAGTGAGGTAACGATAGGGGTCTCTCAGACCATGGAAGATAGTGCAGAGGGTTCGTTGGAAGAGGAGGGAGCCGCCAATGCTTCTATACCTCCGTCCCCGAAAGCAACGCCTCAAAGCTACGACTCTCTATCAGAGACTATAGCACTCGTACGCTTATTTACTCCCTTGAAGGACGTGTTCATGTTTTCACAATTGTCACAGAAATATATCGTACCTCGCTTACCGCCTTCAGCTCCTCCCCAACCTCCGTTCACGCTAGGGCGATTCAAGTTGGCCGTACAACGCTTGTATATGATTGGTGATGGCTATTATCTCCCGTTCTTGCTCCGCATATGGGAGCTCGCAACATGGAAGGACAAACGGCAGAGTGCGACCTACTGTGCAGTATGTCCAACTTCTTTTTCTTCGTAGGACGTGCCTCACGTGTCTTGACATTATCCAGATATTCTGGGTACTCTGGTTCTTCGACCTCCTCCTCCCATCCTTCTTCCTTCATCTCCTGGTCCTCCTCCTCCACCGCCGTCTCGTCTCCTACCCGACTCTAGCCGAACTTCGTAAACATCACACCGACATCCTCCGTGCCCGCGAATTCGGAGAAGAAATGCAAATGCGTCTCATCACGGGCTCTGTTCAGTTTGGAGCGAAAGATGTGTTTCGTCTGTACAAGAAATTCAAGAAACCGAAGAAGGCGAAGGGCCATGAGAAGAAGGGAAGTAAGAAGAGCGAGAGCCAATCTACGGCTAGTTTGGTCGATGATCTGGCTGCGGACGGTGCGGGTGCGGGTGAAGGCGCGCCCGTTATAGATGTTATTGGGGATGAGGAGGAGGGTGTGAAGAGCACGGATACGGATGAAGTCCGCGCTGAGAAACATTTGAAGGCGAAGGGTTTGGCGATGTTAGTTGAGTTGGCGGATATGCACGAACGAGTGAAAAAGTATGTATATGTGTTCACCCGTACCTTCCCATTCTAACAGACTCTACGGCATGCTAATGCTTATTGTATTAGTATATTCTTATGGAGACGACCTGAAGCGACCTGGGTGTACTTCGGTGTATGTTCTACTCTCTATGTTAGGTTTGACATGTCTCTGACTGAGGTCGACTTAGGCGATTGCGGCGCTGTTCATGGTCACACTGATTCTGCCGGCGAGATATTTCCAAAAGCTGGTGTTTATGACAGGCGGATTCATGTTCTGGCATGTCGTTCCCATTGTAAAGGCCATCCCGCCCGCAGATCGTGCTCGGTTCGTAGCTACCCAGTCTCTTCTCTCTCCGCAATCGTATCACTCGCTAACATATTATAATGCCTCGCAGACTCCCGCCGCCTCTCGGTAACGTCCCTACAGATGCGGAATACGCCATGGACCTCATCTCGCAGCGTGTGGCTCGCGGTCTCCCCATCCTTCCACCCAAGAGTTACGAACCTAGTACAAGGTCAAGCGACACCGACTCCGTGCGTTCGTTGAACGTACAGAACCGAGAGGGCCTGAGACAGAGGTTCTTTGGGGACGAGAACTCGAAGAGCGTGGACTGGAAGAAGTGGGGTGAGAGGGCCGCGACGAGTAAAGCGTGGGCCGACTCCGTACGGGGAGAATCGGCACGGCGGGTACGTGTCCTGTTTCCTCATACCTCAATTTTTGGTACAGTCGTGCTTATATACTGATGGTAAAGCAGGGAGGAGCCAGTGGTACATCGACTCCGAGTATCCAGCGCGACAATCCGACCACACCAGTAGAGACATTCAGTAAGTTCAGTCCGTTTTGCGCCGAAGGATGTACACGGTCTGACTCTCGTCCATAGCCTTCCCGGCAACCAGTTCGAAAGGTCCAGGACTGATCACAGTCACGCCTACGACACTATACTTCACGCCTCTGGTAGCTGTGAATCCAACCATTGTGCTCCCCACCGCGGATGTCACAGGGATCAAGAAGACCACTATGATTAACGTTAAAGGTCTCGTGATCCACTGGACAAAGGATGGAGAGGAAAAAACCGAGAAGTTTAGATGGGTGGGCGGAAGGGACGAGGTGTTCGCGCGACTCTTGGGTGGTTCCGGAGGCAGGCGATGGATCAATGTCTAAATGATTTGGACGATACTTAGAGACTTAGAGCTCGAACCGGCGGATCGTCCTGGGCTCGACGAATGACACTGACGTTTTAGCGGCCGTTGCACGCCATTTTGGGCTTCTCATATGACCCGTATGTCCAGGTATGGACATGTTTACCTTCACAATGATGTGATCCTCGAGGGGTTCCGAATGTGGCGAACGCACTCCCGAGTTGGGAAGGAAGTAAGGAATCGGTGCTTCGACGCAAGCTCTCTCCACGCTCGGCTCTGTTCTCTGCTCCCGGGACATCGCTGCTCCTTGCGCTCTTGCCGACGTTGCTCTGCTCCATCACATTCGTTCCCCTCATCTTTGCTTTTCTGTTGCTCTCCCATCTTTCTTCCGTTCTCGTGCTCTTGGACTCTGACCACCATGTTCTTCAATCAAGACGTACTATCCCGACGCGACAGTGGCTTCGGTCTTCTCTGGTACACTACTATTCGACGCGTTCAGACACTTACTTCTCTGACGCGACGCGACGCGTCTTACTATTGATATAGGCTTGCAGCTACTCTCGGTGCTAAATCCAATTTCAAGAAGCTTCCAAAGCGCGATGTCCTCGGCGCAGACATCGTCCAGCTATGTGACCTGATTGCGGAACCAGAGGAACCGCTTGCTCTTCGTCTATCGAGCAATCTAATGGTCGGACTCGCTCGGTGCGTCGTCTCACTCTCAGAACCACGCATATATCTGAGTTCCTACCTCATATATCCTATTTAGTGTCTATAAAAGTCAATATATGCATTATGTTCACTCGAAGTTGCAGACTACTGACTACTAGCGATACCAGTAAAACACGAGATATTTCTTGGAGACGTGACGTCGTGCTTCACGGCCTTAAAGAAGGCCGTTCAGGATTTCCACGCGATGTCGATGGCTGCTGAGTCGTTGCAGATGGGTAATCCTTCCGTTAGGTCTGTGTTTCTCTGTGCCGCTCTACGCTGCATATATGCTAATACTAGGACGAAGACCCGATGCTGTGACCCTCACAGCGGATCCGGGTATGGCTCTTGGACTGAATATTGACGATTTCTTCGCCGTGAGTGTTATCCTCGTTTCCGGTTCGATTGACCTGAGAGTACGCAATCTTCGAATGCAGGACTGGGATGATCTTCTGAATGTCCGAGGTATGTCTCCGATATCTATGCTTTGTGGACCTGTCTGATTTTCATCTGCATCGCACAGAAGTCGACTCTGAGGATGAATACGGTCGTCCCAAGAAAGCTTCCAAGAAACAAAAACAACGAGCATCGTCCCTCGAACACGCCCGAGCTGATCAACACACCCTCGACGAAAGCCTTGAACACATGCTATCCGCCTCCTTCGACGTGTCAGCCAGTATCGATCATAGCGGTGTCGGCCCCTCGTCTTCCCAGATGGACGTTGACGGCTTCGGGTTCGGGTTCCCAGACGATCCCCTCCTGGGCGGTGACGACCTGAACTTGGATGACGATATAGGTGATGAACTCGCGAGAGAATTGGGCGAGGGGTGGGGTGGGCCATCTTCGCAGCCTGGACCTATTAGTGCTGGTGGCATGGAGTACGTGTTCATGTTCACTGTTCTCGACACTATTGCGCGAGTGTCGTTTGACGGATATGGGCTTCGTGTAGTATCCCCATGGCGGATATTGACTTCAACCAGGGCGGCGACTTTACCTTCACGGGGCTCGACATGTCGGATGATTTCTCATCGGCCAGGAAGACTGACCGAGCATCCGATGGCTCGAAGGGAAAGAAAAGAGTCAGTACAGACTTATTCTTCCCCACAAACGAGACTTACTCACTATGGTACTTGTCAGGCGCTGGACGAGGCGGACAAAGGTAACTTCTTGTCTGGTGTTATGATCGCCGTTATGTCCTCACATACAACCTTTTCTTCAGAGAACGACATGCCCCCTCCACCACTGCCTTCGGCTTTCAGAGACTTGACTCCCATCGGAGCTAGTCCTGCTCCGCTTGAACCCGACCAAGCAGGTGATAGCCAGGCCCTTGTAGATGATCCTTCTCAAGCTCTCACAGCAAATGAGACCCAAGGGAAACCTGCGAAGAAACCGAAACGTGTCCGCCTCCTCCTCGACAAGGTTACAGAGCTCTCTGATGATGAGATGAAGGTTGGTTTTCTCCACTTTCACGTGTTGCACCAGAGTTGGAATTGATTCGTCGTTTAGACCGCCCGCGCGCAATATGTGGAGGACCAGAGGGCCTTACGGCGTGAAATGGACCATAAAAGGATCCAAAAAGAGAGTGAGCGGCTCATTGACGAGATTATGTGGGGTCCGCCGGAAGGAGGTCCGTCTCGTCATATATCGTTGCATTGGCTCCAGTTCTGACGTTTTACTAGTGCAAGCGCCAGTCCTGGTGGACTACTGGCTCGAGAATTTTAGGATTCATGTTGAGGCCAGGTCAGGCGCTTTACATCTTGAAGCGAGAGGTGAGCTTTTACACATACCCTTCCTTGCATTGGACAATATTCACTTTTTTTGTGCAGGAACTCCACCGACAAAGCGTCGCCGGATTGAGACACCGAATGATCAACGCTTTGAAGACCAGCCTGGCCGCCCGTTCGAAGAGCCCGATGCAGCTAGGGTTGAACCTGGAGATGTCGAAATGAACTACGGTGATGCCTTTGACGCATATCGTGAGCGCCTGTGATGTTTCCAGTTGGAATACAATTGCTGATCAGTATTCCGATGTTTCAGAGTATCAAGACACCGGCGCTTTCGAAGTCGGTCCATCCGGTCGGAGATCTTCAGATGTAAGTAACTTGCCTCTGTCCCGCTTTCCCACTTACCGATCCTCTCTGTCTCTTACAGGCTCCAGAGCAACTCCGTCGTCTCTCCCGTCCTGCTTCACCCTTAGGAGGCCGTTTCGACTCCGTCCTCGGGGCGCCAGGAGGCTCTCAAGGTCCTTCTCAAGGCTCTCAACGCAGCTCACTCTTCCCTTGGGACCATGCCGGTGCTGGACCCAGTTCTTCCGCTGGCGGAGGGAGCTTTGCTCCCATTGGAGGTGGCAGCGTAAGTGTCGGTTCGAGGGAAATCAGGATCAGAGGAAGCTCGATTAGCAGAGATAGGCGGGAGAGCTCTTTGGGACCGAGTGGAGTTCTGAGCGCTGGTGCTTCGCCTGGTCCTGAATTCGGAAGGTTTGGGTCTCATGCGAGTGTGGGTGGGACTTTCGAATTCGACTGTGAGTAGGCTTTGTTTTCATCTATTGTGAGTGTTGTCTGTCTGACTTTCGCTTTATCCGTCAAATTTTCTGCGGTGAACAGTGCCGGCAGAAGGTATCTCCCTCGTAGAGACACAGGAATCGGATCAGAACGTCGTCAGCTTGGAGAAAAACTCGTATAATTTCCTTGAGTAAGTCATTCTGTCGGACGGTCGGATTTGCTGTGATGATGGGCCAGTGTGGCGCTGCCAGTGCGCCCGCAAGCTCACCTCTTGATGGATTTGCCTGTGTTGCAGATACGCAAGGATGCAGGTGCAGGCATCCGCTCAGCCCGAAGATGGTGTTATGTTCGACGGTGTCGTCCCGAAGGATACGAGTAATGCTCATGTTGCGGCTGCTGGATTTTATCACTGTTTGGGTAAGTAGTACCTGGCTGTCTTCGGCACGATACGCAGGCTCACTTCAGTTTGTTCACTAGTTCTCGCCACGAAGAACCTTATCCGCGTTACTCAACCCGCTCCATACGGGCCATTGAACATCGAGATAGTCTGATATGCCTGTCCATGGGGAAGGTATCCGGGATAAGCGTCGACATTGGGGGCTATGTTATGAATATGACGCTCGTCGATAGCACAGGATTTGGGAGGCTGACTTGTGTACTCGCCCGATTCTGTAATATAACTTACGAATGGTGCCCGGTTTTACAAGAGACACAGCGCCTTTGTCGCTGTCTGACTACAATCCGCCCGGTACGCGGGCGCTGTGATTGGCTGAACGAGCAGAATTGGCAAGGACTGTGGCGTGTGAACGGTTTCATACGTTGATCAGAACGAGAATGGTTCACCTCCGAGCGTTCGCCTCCCGCCTCCATCTCACATATCTTACGATCCCTCTAAATACCCCCGCGCGGCCGCACACCATTTTCCATACCCCTTCATTGCTCTGCCGCCCACCACCACCACCAACACCACTATCCTTCGTTCCCTTCATACACAAGGCAGCAATGTCCACCACCACTACCGTCACTCAGACACTTCAAGAACAACTTGCCGACATTGACTTGTCGAGCTACGATGCTGAGCAGTCGAAGTTGATGGAGGAGAGGTGTATCCTCGTGGACCCGCAGGATAATGCGATTGGGGCTGCCGACAAGAAGACTTGTGCGTTTCTCTCGACCTAATCGCCTTCGCACTGAACAAACAACGAATCCTGCATGTACAGGTCATCTCATGGAGAACATCAACAAAGGTCTCCTCCACCGTGCCTTCTCCGCACTCGTCTTCCGTCCCTCAGATGGGAAACTTCTTCTTCAGCAACGCGCTACGGAAAAGATCACGTTCCCCGATATGTGGACTAACACATGCTGCTCGCATCCGCTCGATGACTTCGCCGAGGAGAAGATCGAGCAGAACCAGCTTGGGGTGAGGATTGCGGCTTCGAGGAAGTTGGAACATGAGCTGGGTATTCCGAGGAGTCAGACACCGGTGGATAAGTTCCAGTACTTGACGAAGATTCATTATTTGGCGCCGTCGGATGGGTTGTGGGGGGAGCATGAAGGTGCGTTCATGTTTCTGGCCTCTCTTCACTTATGGGTCGATAGTGTGGGGTCTAAACGGAGTTCTATGCTCGTGATGTAGTCGACTATATTCTCTTTTTGACTGCCGACGTGGACGTTAACGCCAACCTGAACGAGATTCGGGACTGGAAGTACGTCGACAAGGCAGAGCTTCAAGCTATGTTTGATGCCCCTGGTGCGTTTCCTCTACACATCTTCTGAGGTCATTACCCTGCTCATCACAATTGCGTTATGCTCCTACTGTACATTGTAGGCAACTCTTTCACCCCATGGTTTAAACTCATCGCTCGTGACTTCCTCTTCGGCTGGTGGGACGAGCTGCTGAACCGGAAGGATGCGAATGGCCGCGTCAATGCGCTCAGCCTCGATGGCCTCGTTGACGGTAGCAAGGTCGTCAAGATGGTCTGAGTCGGTGCTTCTTATATTTAGTGAGTACAGCTTCGCCGGTCCCGCTGTGGCATGGACGAGCTGGGTGTTGATCTGACCATGCAACTCTTTTCTCAGTATTTTGTTTGTTATGCTTTGCTTGCTAGAGGATAGACCGTGATGGGTCGCGGATATTTGTGTATTTCCCCCAGGAATAATAAATGGGGTCGTATCAGAATTAAGACATTGAAATCTCATCTAGTGTTCGAGGTTTGACCGTTTCAGTCTTGTCTTAGATGGCGACCTTGTTGGACCCGGACGAATCACGATGCATTCGGTCCGTTCTCAGACACGGCCCCATTCACCTCCCCAATCTATCCGGCGAAGATATCCAAACCCGAATAGCGCCGCTCCCAATGGCTTGAAGGCTGAAGTCGGGAACGCCACCTGATTTTTACGCCACTTCTTGCTCTATAGTATCAGCCTCTCCTTCAGTGCATCGGGTTTCTGCTTCTGTCGCTCTGTCGTCAAACCCTCCACGGGGCACAGCGCTTCCATCATCCGATTCTCCATGATGTTGCACGTTGATAGATGGTGGATTCAGATGAGAAAGTGTTCGAAGAGTTTCTTGAAAAGCCTGTCAAAGGGATGGGCCAAGACAGGGTACATACGCTGCAGCCGTGGATTCGCGAACATTGATGAAGAATTTTCCTCGCACGATTTGGTACAATGTTGAAGATGGTCCTACAGAGAGAACTTGCATCCGGAGCGACCGCAAGACCAGAGCACTTGCTTGCTTCCTCACATGTAAGAAGGGAATTTTCGACAGTACTTTTTTTGAGAAGTTCTCTTACATCCGCCTTGAAAGATCTGTACATTCTTGTCATCCCACCATCCCACAAGGCTGTGCGTAGAGCGGCAGGTGGAGGGTCAAAGTTATCGTCCTCGTCACCCTTCTGAAGTGAAAGTTCCAAGAAAGTTCAGGAAACTTGAGCCCGAACCGGCTTCTCGCCCGGCATCCACCGTGTCAGATGGTCAGTGAATTGATTCAAAGCTTGTGTCTTGCGTTCACCGTCGAGTAGACGCTCAGGTGAGCCTTTGAGATTTGTTTGGGATATGTAGTTTAGATGGCAAGCATCACCTAGAGTGTTGACGGAAGCGAGCAATACGACGAAGGGTCCAGTGGGCTCATCCCTCTTAGCTACCTCTCAGGAGAGCTCAGGGGGTTTTCATCTCTGTTTCTCCGCGTTTTCCCGTGTCTTGAACTTTTCATCTCTCCGTTGACTGGTGTTAATGCGGTCAGGGAGTCGTCCTGTTGATCAGGAGGGCATGTTTACAGAGCACTTGTTCAAGCCTTTCACCTAGGCTTGAGCTAGATCCAGCCTGTATGTACGAGGAATACACGACAAAGAGCCTATAGACGCTGTCAAAGTCTTGGCTTGCGCCGTGCGGGGATGCCCAACCGTATGAAACGCTACCCCGCGATATGACAGCGTTGGACAGGAGCGTTGGTGTGTTCCCGTCCGACCACGGTCGGGCAACGGTCGGGAATCGCAATGCCGCAGAACTGTTACATCACGTACTTGTTGCAGATGAGGTCTGTGAGGTGCCACTCTCCACGAACAATTGTTCGCTGCTGTGCGGGATTGTGCTGATGATTCTTAGATGACCCGCTATGCTGTGACGCCCGGTCTCAGCCGCTTTGATCCCGCACTGATTTCGTCTTGTTTCTCTCCAGAAAGGTTTTTTGGCACACCCCTTTAGGCTCGGTGGTGGTCTGAACATGCAGCTACTGCAACCAAGACAAGCCTGCACAGGCTAGCAACTACTGAGTTAAATCCCAGGATAGCGGCAAGCTTAGACCGAAGAGGGCAATGTCTCTCTCTTTCTAGTTAGGTGCATCGTCCATCGTGTTGATGTCGGTACGCGGAAGGATGCATTTATCTCGGTATGAAAGCTGTCGTTGTCTTTCCCCCTATGTCCGATCAACTGTAGAGCCACCGTGAGCGGCTGTATAAGCGCAACGTTGACCCTCAAAAATGCTCCCCCTCCTCGCCTTCTCGCTCCGAACTACTCTCGTGCATCTCTTCCTTCGTCTTGGGTGAGCCTGGGTGGCTTCGAGATATGGCTCGCTCGATCGATCTCCATCTTCCGGCTTATCACCAGCCTCGTCAACGGCGCTCCATTTTCCTCCCTTTCTGTCGTTTCGGAGGCGTTGGCCTATTTCTCGCCAGCGCCGCTGTCTTTGGCATCCTCTTCCATGTCCTTGTCTTTGGCTTTCTCAATCTATACTATGGGCCAGGGGAACCTCCCTACAATCGGTGGCGCGAACCTCCTTCAACATTCGACCTCCATCCAGATGCCGCTCTGCTACATTCCCCGAATCAACCGCTGTCCTCAACCTCCGCGCTCCCGTCATCGACCTCCGCCCCTCCGCCATCAACCACCCCCGTCCCGTCATCAACCAGTGCCCTCCCGTCATCAACGCCAACGCCATCCCCGGATAATTCTGATGAACTCACTATGGATGAATTGAGAGATATGGTATCGAGCACAAAGGGCTTTCTGGCGCGTGATTATAGCTTGGGCCTCGGATGGAACAACGTGGGTCCTCTGCTTCTCTCCCGTCATTTTCTTGGAGCACTTATCATTCGGTCCTGGGTTGCCGGCCGTAGATTCGATACATCATCGAGTCCGCAGCTATCCAATCGAAGATCCTAAACCGTACCCTCATTCTTCCGTCCTTCATTTACGCTCGCGCTTGCGAATACAACATGTACGTCATCGCTATCACGTCTACCACCCGAACATCCTGACTCAACATTCATCCTTCAACGTGGATAACCACTGGTTAGCACCGTCTGTGCAGAATTTGCACCAATGGTCAACAAGGGCGATGCAATCGGGTGGGATGAATGGCGTCACCTACCAATTGAGGATCAAATGGCATTCCGAATCCCTATCGATCTCATGATGAACATTACTCTCCTCCGACAGTCACAGCCCGTCATTACCGTCTCCGACTACCTCCGCCTACATAACATGACGTCCGAGGACGAACATAGCAACGGAGCTTGGCAGCGCGAACGGTATCATACGAAACCAGCCATTTTTGACGCGGAGGAAAGGCTTCCATCCCTGTATGTCATTCGAAATTCGTGGTATGATCCAAAGGGGACAGTGAGAGTGGATTATCTACCAGAGGAGATGAAGGAGCGAGGAGGATGGCATCGAGACGCGGTTGGTAGTGACGAAACTGGTCCCACTGGTCGCTGGCTGGACCAGCCGACCAACCCGGTGTCAGACATCCTGCACAGTGCGCTGAAGGAAGGCGAAGTGATACTCAGTTGGGACGACGCCTGCGAAGCCCTGGAAAATGGGTTAGGAACATTACTTTCGAGTTTTGACTGCAATGAGGGGATGGAAGATCAATTGACTGAGGCAGGATGGGAGGTCCTATATACTTTCCGGGGCGCGTGAGTTATAATAAAGTAATTTTCACCTCTTATGTATTCAGTGCTCACGGCGATGTTTCTTCTCCAGAGGCGGTATGGATTACACAAAGACAGTCGTCGAGCCTATTCGTCAAGTCGTACCGCGCTACACACTCCGAGGTTTCAAGGAAGATTATGGGGACCTTGACGCCGACGTACTTTTGATTGAAGGAGAGATCCATCTAGGTCGTAAACCCGTGAGTGTTAATGTTCTGGCTGTAATAGGAGCTCTACATGCTCACATCTGTGCTTCAGGGAGGTCTTCAGTTCACCACCACCGAAGCGAGCCGAGAACTTGCCCGAAGCGTCTTGAACTATCTGCGACCTCCGGACGTGGTTTACTTGTTAGCTGAGGCTCTCGACTCACGACTGCAGGAGCTGACTGAAGGACGTATGTGGATAGGCTCGCACATGCGTCGAGGAGATTGTGAGTGCCTTTCGGAGTGTATTCTCTCAAAATGACCGGAAATGCCGATGCTGAACTTCAATACCTTCCAGTCGTTCGCCTTGGATGGGCCATGTCGGGATCACCGGAGGCACATGTTCAGCGAGTGAAGGAACATCTAGCTGATGGTAGAAGGTTACTATCCTCCTTGGGAGAGCTTCAAGCCTACGACATCCCCGAACCACTTCGCGACACCAAGCAGAACTCGACAAGACCTCCCGCAGAAGACGATCCGTGCGTTAATCTTCACCATACCTCTCCTGTCCCCCATTGTAACACGATCGTTCTTACACAGATTCTATGTGGCCACTGATGAGCGCGACCCGGACAGCTTGGCCATCATCGCCTCCAACGGCGCCATATTCCTCAACGACCTCCTCACAATCGACGACAGACGGATATATGGCTGGCCACTTATGATCACGGATGTGCGGGCTCTCGTTGAGCAAGCGCTTCTTGCTCGTTCCTCCTACTTTTACGCGCATGCTATGAGTTCCGTGGCTGGTGGGATCGTGAACATGCGTGCGGCGCGGGGCGCTGATCCTCGGACAGTTTTATTAGATTAGTAGTTTACCAGTCTCACAGTACTCGCTTTCTCAATCATTCGCTCGCTCTCCTGCTCAAGCATACACTCACTCACTCACTTACTCACTCATATTATATTTATTTACTGCTTACTACCTCATATGCCTATGCTTGTATCCCTACGGACCCTGTCATCGCACTGCCCTCAGCCATTATACCTTGATATAGAATCCATCTATCTCCATATCCCGCAATCACATCGAATCCCGCCATGTTCGCTTCGTCCGCGAATGCAAGCTCGTCCCAATATTTAGAACACACCCGCATAGTTGCCGCACAGGCGTCTATCATCCTATCTTCCTGTCAGCCGTCTCATCGCTGACTGGCTTAATCTACTGTATTTATTCCGTGTACAGCTCTGATCATAACATCTCATCTGCCGCTGTTCGTGTGTTCGTCATGAAATTCTGATAAATATTCGATCTAGTTCGTTGGCTGTGGGGTTCCCTTGACCACGACCATCATGATGCCTAGGGTTCACCTCTGGCAGTTAGTGATGAGGCCTTCCGTGTTTATATGTAGTACTGCTAGACTTGCCTCCGGTACCCAAGGCGAAGTTGCCACGTCCGATGACTCGTAAAAATGCATTGATCATCCCATTATGAGCGACGATGGACACATCTGAAACGATGCAAACATGGTTTAATAAGTCCATCGAAAGCAGCTCAGAGAGTGTCACACTGTCATCTTCAATTTGGGAAAAAGGGCGGACTTACACGTAGAGTCAGTATCATCCTCAAAGATTCTATCCAGGACCTTCCGCGCCCGCCCATCCAGATGTTCATACGTCTCCCTTTCTTCCGTCCACAATTCGTCGTCTTCTACGAACCCGTCCTCAAACACGAAGTCTGGGAAGTCTTTCTCTATCTTGGAGCGCGGGCTCCGTTTATCGCATGTATGATGTCCATAAATCTCCCGCACGTTCTACAAGTAATATGGTTCCCGCACACGTAGTTCCGATTCGATCGAGTATTAGTGTAAGTCGATGTGCAAGGTCGACTAAGCACATGGCAAGGACGAGAGCCACGACGTACCTCCAGGATCATCGGTGTGAGCTTCGAGTCCGACCCGGGAGCGGGCAATATGCCGTCAAACGTGATTGAATGTGTGTGCAGCGCCCGGGTCATTGGGCTGCAATAAAACTTGTGCGGGAGAGGAAGACCATTTGAGAGTTCGGTGACCCATGCCTCGTGGGCTAGCCGAGCTTGGTCTTTGCCCAAATCGGTGAGAAGGGGATCCGCTGTTTTACGAAATATAAGGGTGATGTTATGAGTGGGTTTTTTCTTCTACTTTCCTTCTTCCATTTCGTTTCTTTTTTTCTGATGAGAAGGAGGAGTGGACTTACGACCCCAGGTTATCAGTCCGTCTCCGTTCAGAGAAGCCCATGATCTATGTCGTGACGCATCAACATTGCCCTACGCTATACCCTTAGGTGTATAGAAGGCGATGATGATCCACTTACTCCTCCCAGACCTGTAGACATATGTCAATGAGTACGGCATAGTTACAGTAATGATGGAAAAGAGAAACTAACCTTTCCATACTTTGCTATAGCGACATTATCTGCACATATACAGTAAAATTGCAGGATAGTCAGTAACTTCATTCGTCAAATAATCAGAAGAGCTAAACCAACGATAGCCTTGTCCATGCCTCCCCAGAATCAAAACCTTATGCGAAGTTCCGTTTTCTGTGATCGCATTGAGTTGCGATACCTTCGAGTCAAAATCTGACCATGAAGGAGCTAGCCGTCCAAAAGACGGGCAGATCTACAGAGATAATAACACAAAAAAAACATGCATGTGTTGAGTTTGAGTAGATCGAAATCCTTTCAAGTCAAGTGACACGCATCGCTCACCGATAGAATGAACGCAGGATCAGCGTCCTTGTCGTCCTGTATGAAGAACCCAGGAATATACTGATTTGATTAGGTCCTAGATCAGTCTCGTCACAAGGGATGAAATGTCAACGATGAAGGTTGATACCTCATATGTATATACTGCGCCAACCATTTGGAGGACGTGAAGGCCGGAAAGAGCCTGTTCTTTGTGTAGTATGTGGCTACTGCCGTCGGCTCGCAGGGAGAGAATCCAAGTCCGATGCGACACACCAGGGTCTAGTGAGGGCTAGGGCTGGCAAGTATCGTCGTTCACGACGATGTCTAGCGCAGGCGATGAAACGATGTCCAGGATTAGACCGACTGATGCCGGTACCTACTTGGACGGACGACGGTGAATCGGAGTTTTGTTGGAAAACGACTCGGAGGTCCTCGGAAGCCTGAACTACACATCGTGGAACTCCGCTCGGCGTTCTCCGACTCCGTCATTCACGAGGGGCCGCCAACGTGAAAGCTTTTCGGAAGATCTGAACAACGGATTTGTATCTTCTCGATAGCAAAGTTTTCCAAGAGCAACGAACAACTGCGGTATCAGAACTGGAGAAAACCATGATAGATTGCATTGGCCCAACCCAAGCAGGAAGAATACAACAACTACAAGTGGACCAAAAACCACCGCGCAAAAGGTATGCATATACAAGGGGCGCTACAGCGAGTATGAATCATAATACAAGCTCGAGCACATCTAAAGCAATTTAAAGATACACAGAAGGCGTAGCGGTCATTAATATTTGTTACGGCCTGGAAGAAGAGGGCTCGCGACTGTTCGGAAGGCCCTTCTCCTGAACACCGTATATCCAAAGCTCGCAGTCCATCGTAAAGTCATACCCTCGATTGCTGTTGGGGCTATTGCTCTCGCCCAGTACCAGGCCACCATGAAGGCGAGCCCTTGAATACCCAAACTTCCTTCCTCGATCCTAGGCCTAACAGACCCGTACGTGACATGGGTACGCTGGCGTCGAGCTTGAAGGCGAGGTCATTGAGAGCTTTGAGGATAGCGGCGAGGAAAAGGTTCTTGTTGACTGCGCCGGAAGCTGCAAGAAAATGCGTGTGAGCATAGCTTATTCTTGGGGCCACAGACAAAGAAGCTGACATAGTGTCTCAGACAATGATATGCAATATCCCCCGTCCTCGATGGCTTTGTCGTCATGGACGAAGTGGGGGAACTGATATCGCAGAGGTATACCGATTTGATCTGCCAGACCTCGAGGTAGATCCACAAATCGAACTTGGTCTCCTCTTGCGTTGACCGTCATTGTAAAGAAGACAGCTTCTGGGTCTGATCGAGCTCGGATAAAGACCAATTGCGTTGGCTTGAACTGAAAGTGCTACAAGATGAGGAAGAAGCAGGAAACAGGGCAGAGGGGGGAAAGGAACCCACTGCATTTCCCGTGTTGATGGATGTGAGGTATACGTATCCCTACCAATGACCCAAGATATGTCAGCGCAGAAACGAAGCGCGACAAACATAGACGCTCTCATACCTGATTGGACAGGATCCAGAACACGCGGATAATGATCCTCTGGGCTCTAAGAAAGTATCGCGGTGGGTGAGTATCAGAGTGAGAAAGTGAAAGCCGCGCGCATCATGAACTGGAGCCTGACGTACAAGACAGCATCTTGACCCGTAGCGCTCCATGGGCTCCCCGAGAATCGAATCTTCCACTCAGTCTGCGTCGCCTCTGAAGTGGCACCTGCGGGCCACATAGCCGGTATCTTCTCCTTGAGCTCCTCGGTAGTGGATAGAAACGCGATGTTGCGGACGAGGAGTTCATTCGAACCTCGTAGGGAGAGAAAGATATGATCTATATGGGGTTTATTCGGCCCAGATGAACATGGGAAATCGATAGAGACGCAGATGGAGCGGAGCTCACCAGGATTGCTACGGTTCATGGATTCAGTTCTCGATCGTGATCGGTTCACAGAGTTAAGCCTTGGACGATTATCTGCGCCTCCCGAATGCGTTCGTGAGCGAGCAAGAGCGACGGGAATCGCTGTCGAATTCGAGCGCTCCGGAGCTTTCTTGAGTGCGGATCGTAGTGGCCGGGAGGCCGTCGCGGCCGCAGCGGTGGTGTTTCGTCGGTGAGGATGTGGTGTTTGTTGGCGGGGCGGAGGGCGATGTACAGGTATTTGAGTGGGTTGTGGCTCTGGAGATTGGAAGTGGGGGGTTGGAAAGGAAACGGTATTGCCGTTTCCGTACTGTGTCATAGCAGGCTGCTGCTGTGGGTAGGAGTTCTGCAATGCCTGCTGCTGAGTATAGGGCGTTGGCGTCTGCTGGATATGCGTATTTTGGGGTTGTTGCTGATAGTAGCGCTGACCATACTGATATTGTTGCTGGCCGTATGGTGGCTGGGTGTACGGGATTTGTTGATAGTATTGCTGATTGCTTGTGGACTGCTGCATTGTGGAAGCGAGAGCTGAGATCGTTCAGGATCAAGAGAGAAGGGGCTAGAGAGAGAGCGTGAGGCAGAGACAAGAGGGCAGAGAAAGCGGCCAAAGCGGGAGGGGGATGAGGATGAGAGCAGAGAAGACAAAGCGCCGACGTGAGGCGTGCCCGGTCCAGTTTTGTCGGCGATAGTCAGAAGGCCTGCAACGTGGTGTTGGCGAAACATGTATTGCCTATTCTAGCCGAAGAAGGACCAAGCTGCAGAGGCACTTCAGCCCAAGGCTAAGAGCATATTTCTAGCACAGAAGACACGGTGAAGGCAAGATGTGGTAGAGAGCAGAAGAGAGCACAAGGAGGAATGACCGCAGGGGGACTGCGAAGCAGCGGAAACATCGAAATCTTGATCGTTGCGTACAAGTCCACCGTGGGAACTTTAATCCACTGACGTCCGGTCGGCCCAGCAGCGCCTCACTCCAATCATTTCTCCCTCATCTCTCAATGGCCTCCTTCCTCAACTGGGCTCGTTCCCCCGCTGCTCGGGAGTATTTCTTCAGTATGATCTGATTCAGCTGTAAAACGCGCGTTTTTTTCTGACCGTATTCACCACAGGCACACATTTCTGGGGCCCAGTCAGTAAACCTTGAACTATACAGGTCGGCCGATAGCTCATTCGCGCCGCTGCACATACAGGTAGCCAACTGGGGTCTCCCCCTTGCTGCCCTCGCAGACTTGAGCAAAGATGAGGAGGTCATCTCGGGAACCATGACCAGCGCTCTTACCTGTTACTCGTGAGGTTTTCCACCGCTACGTCGTATTGCGCTTCGTCTGACCTCTCGTTTCACTCTCAGTCTTGTTTTCATGCGGTTCGGTGCGTCATCAACTGCTCTTCCTCTGATGCTGAGGGTCATCTTGCTGCTGGTCTAATTCTGCAAATGTAGCATGGCGAGTACAACCACGGAATTACCTCCTCTTCGCCTGTCACGCCACAAACGCTACTGCCCAGTCAGTGCAGGGTGTCCGATTCCTGAACTATTGGTACAACGGTGGCAAAGAGAAGAAGGACAAGGAGAGCCTGTTGGTCCCCGCCGAGTCTGTGAAGGGAAAGATTGCTCAGGCTGTGGAGGAGGCACGAGCAGAGTCGCGGGAAGTCGCCGACAAGATCAAGAAGTAAAACTCTTCCTTCTCTGGGCGACGCTTACTTTAGAACCGTCATGGGTACTATTTATCATTTGTGCTTGGTTCACATCCATTGCGCTTCTCAGAGCGATTTGAGCAGCACGAGCTGCTTGCGGTGATGTTACAGATAATTGCAGGAAGCGTGCCACAGTCCACATCCGAATCCTTTGCTATCTCATGCCTGAACAGCATTCACCAAAAGTCATCAGCATCGTCTCCCTTCTTCTTCTTGCCACCACCTCCCTGCGCCAGAGCCTGTCGCTCATACATTTCCGCAACCTATACACCACCGATAGTCAGCGACCGCACAAATGGAGAAATTGCTGACAAGGCGCCAAAGTCAAATGGACCAATTGCAAAGCAAAACCCACCTGTTCCGGACCCGTTGCATCATCCGCACCCTTGTCATCCCGCACCCGGATGAACCTTGGAAACCTCAAGCTTATTCCCCTCTCCTCCACCAATCCCTGCGCCGCCGTATATACCGGACTGAGACTCAAATCGGCCGTGAGCACCTCCCAGACGATCTTGGGTTCGAACCAAATATCAGGCTTCGCACCGCCGGGCTTGATGTCTCCCCTGTGTTTCTCCATTTCGAGTGGCTTGAGTGCTTCATAATGCGATGCGAGGGCCTCCTCGCTGAACCCGGTCCCGATCTTGCAGATTGTTTGGAATTCTTCAGAGTCGGAGTCGTAACAAGCAAGCAAGAAGGCGCCGTAGAAGTTGGTCCGTTTGCCTTTGCCGTAGTAGCCGCCTACTACGACGAGGTCAAGAGAGTCCCCGACGCCGGCCAGGTAGTCCTTCTTGAGCTGTATGTGTACGAGGTCAGAGACTTGATGAGAAAAACAGTAAGAATAGTGAAATACGTACCTTGAGCCAGTTAACACTACGTCGACTGGGTTCGTAATGGCTAGCCTCGCTCTCCATCATCTTGACCATGAGACCTTCACATCCATCCTTCACACTCACATCCAAGAACGTCTGTATCTCCTCGACGGACTCGTTGTCCATGGACTTGGCGAAGTCAAACTCTCCCTCAACAGACTGGAAGTGCTTCCGGAGAAGTTCGCGTCGTTCCGCCAGGGGTTTGTGGAGTAGAGGCTATTATGATATTTCGGCGATCAGGATCCTCAAGGTCAAAGAGTAGAATGATAACGTTGTGAAAGCACTGACCTCGCCATTGAGGTACAGAAGATCGAAGGCGAACAGACACACCCGGACTTGAATATCCTCAACTTTGACATCCTTCCGCTTCCGCTTGCTGAGCTCTTGGAAAGGCATCAGTTTACCTGTTTGGCGATCAATAGCGACTGCCTCCGTATCGAGCACGAAAGACTTCGTGGCCTCTTTCACACACTACACTCGCCACATAAAATTCAGCAAGCAGAACCAATGTCAGTTACGAGCATGTGAAGACGTACGTGCGGCAACTGCTCGACCAGATCCGGATACTTCTTGCTCATATCCTCCGAATTCCGACTGAACACATTGATGCTCCCATCGTCCAGCATATGCACCTGTGCTCGTTCGCCGTCGTACTTATACTCGCACGTGAACCTTTTACCCTCGAATCGGTCGAGGACCTCGCCGATCGCTTTGGTAGGCTTTGCGAGCATAGGTTTGAGTGGGACACCGGGGGTGAGTTTACATGTCTCCGTGAGGCGGTCGAGTCCGTCCGTGAGGAGGGCTGGGATGACTTTATCATAGTTCGGGAGTTCACTAACGTCGAAAGCGACATTATTCAGTATGTGGCCTTGCGTGGAGAAGGGTGGAGGAATATTACCTGTAGACCGATTTGATGATGCTGGCGCCTTGCTCTAGTCGGGTTGCAAGTTTGTCTGGACTCCATTTCTTCCCAGCTTCAGATGGGTGTCGTCAGTTCAAGGTTATTCAGATCCGCCAGAGAGAGTTACTGACATTTCTCTTGCTCTGCTAACACAGCCGCGTGCGCGAGAGCAACGAGTACCGTTCTCTCTGCATTCCCAATACGTAGCTTACCCTCCAGGCTGCGTACGATGTATTTCGCCTCCTGGCCTAAACATGCAGCTAGAAGCTTTGTGATGATGTTGATCTTCTTGTTTTGAGACTAACGGGAAAGGAGGGGTCAATAAATTCTGTGATTTGTAAAGGTGGAAAGTAACGCGGCGTACTGAATGTCCTGTGCTGAGCGCAATCTCCTTTAGGTTGGTGAAGACGAAGGAAGCGGTGAGAGGTTTGGGCTTGAAGAGCGTCTTCTGCATGTTCTTAGAGTTCTGTGGCGACATTATTCCTCAGTATGGACGACACAATGCACAGTGTATTGAAACTTTTATACCATAGCCACAAGTCCCAAATCACCCTCTTTCTTGAGCTCGGCCTTGATCGTGTTCAGATTTCGGCCCGTTGACTCCCCAATAGCTTTGATCAGGATGCTCTCGCCGATACCCAGTTCAATGCCAATGTAATCGGGACTCAACTGTGGTAGCATTAGTACAGAAGCAACAACACAGCGAAAATGAGATATGGGAAAACGTACGCGGTTGATGCATAGATAAATGGTCTGGAGCAATGAATTGGAGTCTCCCGGCTTACTGCGTTGTATAACAAGGAGCAGAAGAGCCGTAAGCAGAGATGTCTTCTCTAATCGCTTCGTCGTCGCCTCAATGAGAGCAAACGTCTTGGCTAAAGCAGCGTACGGCACCCTATGGGACTGCGTCAGTGAAGTTGTGCTCACTGTCGGGGACGGTAACTCACGGTTCTCCATCTTTCCAGCCACCCGTCACGTCGACATCTGTTCTTCGATCCATAGCCGCCTCCGCACTAATCACTGTATCAGCTGAGCGTTCTACGAAGTCTCTGGAAAATCCTGAACTTACGTTTTTCGTGCGGCCTTTCCACTCGCTAGCTCCTCTACTTCTTCTTCAGCGTCAATCTCGTCTTCAACAACCTCATCCGCACTGAGCGCTGCATCTGACGACGGCGGTACCTCATCAACAAGATCATCGTCCTCCTCCACCACTGGTATGGACTCAGCCTTCTTCTTGGATAACCTCTTCGCTTTAGGTTTGGATGCCTGCTGGGCCTCAGAAGCTTCAGGTTCCGAATCAATGGTTTTCGACGCTTTCTTGGGCTTTCTCTTGGGTGGCCCGAACTTCATGGGTATCGGCTCCGGTGCAGGTGAAGAAGGAAGAGAGGTATCGCTAGTCTTAGTTTCTAGACGAATGGGCGAATGTCTCAGTGGAAAGCGACAGTTAGGGAGAATGGAGCAAATACCAGCATCTATCTCATCCTCTTCGTCAGAGACAATCATTTTCCGCTTCTTCACCTTCTTTGAGTCAGATGCAACTAGTGGAGGGCATTATGTTAGTGCTACTACTCTTGAGCCCGTTATTGAACGACTCACCTGCAGAACTCGGAGCGTCCAACTTGCGCTTCGCCTTTGCAGCTGAGGATGACGCATAATATCAGTATCAGAAGCAGTATGATCGGGAGCTAAATCAGAACGCACTCTTCTTCGGTTTCTCTTCCTCCTCGTCATCCACCTCCATCTCCTCTGTCTTCTTCTTGCCTTTCCCATTCGCCTTCGTAGTCCTGTCCTCAACCTCCACCTCGACTTCCGACGCATCCATCTGCACATCCTCGTCCGCACCTGAATCATTCGCCTTCGTCTCCCGCACCTTAGCCTTGCTCGATGAACCGACCTGGCTACCCGAAGGTCCACTACCATCCCCATCAACTGCCTCCTTCATGACCTTCATGTCCTCTTCATCACCCTCCTCCTCCTTATTCACCTTCTTAGTCCCACCACCGCCCCACATATCCGAAAGACTAGCTTGCTGAGCCGGAGCCGGTTTCTTATCCGGAGGCATCGTGAAGAATTTACCTACACGTCCCACCATCCCAAGTCGCGTTCGCATCCACATCCACCGAGTAACCCAAGAGCGCGTCAGATTAAACGTAACGTAACATCTCCACCAACATGTGGAATCGCAGAGGGGCAGAGAAAGAAAAGCGCACCTAGAGTTTGTTGTTTGCCCATATTCCTATAAAGTAGTAGAAACCGAGATGATGGTGTCGAGGAGCGAACGCGAGCTTGAGCGACGCGCAGGGCAAGAAGCATGAGACGCGTCTGAATCTCTCGCCCTGTTTACGTATTTCAAATCGACGCGTCAGACTCAGAGCGCGTTCCGGAGCCGTGCGGCGTGGCCCGTCAGAGCGCGGCCCGCTTTGGTCCGCCGTTGCGGCGTAACGAACGAACGAACGAACGAACTCAATGAATATCCACGGCCCTTCAAGCATCAAATCATCATGTCTGGTTTGCTTCGCTGGTGTCTCTTCTTTGTACCTCTACTCGCAGGAATCTTTGGAGAATGGCCAGCACTACGCCTGGCTCAAGCATACACATACACCAGAGAATCCTCGATGTCTGATGTCATTTCCCCTCAAAAAAGAAATTCGAGTCCAAACAGGAGAAAAAGAAGACAGATAAACAGCGCAAAACAGAGAGAGAAAGAGGCAGAGAGAATAGAAGGAACAAAAGAAAGGACATGATGCCGCAAAAAAAACATACTCGTACTCAGCTATAGCACAGAAGGAAGAGAAAGAGACAGCCCACGCAGGGAAAGACAATCACAATCACAGCTCAGGACGAGAGATAGAGAGGCGAGGCGAGGCGAGGCGGGGTGAGGATCGAGATGGACAGGATGGAACGAAGGACAGGAATATATGGGTGAGGGACAAGTTGAAGAAGTGAGTGGAGAAACAGATGTACGATAATAACGATGATACGGCGACAGTCAAAAACGAGTTGACTTGGAGATGGAGTGGAAAAGGTGAAAGGAAGGAAAGTCGCCCAAGATCGGTTGATCACACGTAGCAACGGCAAGAACCTTCACTGGATCACAAGGGTTGGAACCAATGTACGCAGCGCGGCGGCTGTGTGGGAACCGCAAGGTAACGGCAAGATGGGCGAAAAGCGGGACGGGCTGCGGTGAGCTCGCCGCTGGAGGGCAGAATGGGTAAGTGCATGGTAGCTGCGTATAGGTGTGTGTGTATGGACAGTAAAAAATAAGGATCCAGAAATAAACAAGGATGGTCACAGTCGTCTTGGAAAAGCGGATGCCTAAACGGGTCGAACACAGGGTAACTTCGTCATCATCATCGTTCGTTGCGAAAAAACAGCAGAAATGGCAGAGAAAAATCAGGAGAATAATTAGGGGCAGAAAAAGAACGACTAAAGTGTATGCGCCGCCGAAATATCGCGACAGTGACGGAAAGACCTCTGAGTGGGAAAAAAAAGCGATGTTGCACCCACCTGGCCAGCGGCCAGTTGCTCTGCCGATCCGTTCAGAATATCCGCCCCACCTACCAGGCCCTGAGGACAGCCCCTTTCGTTCCGCGTAGTGCTCTCACGCGCCCTCAAACTCGGTATGAACCACACCGTTGACTCGCGTCTCCTGATCTCAGCACGCCGCGTTCGATTATATTCGTATAGCTCGCTCTCGGTCGAATGGTGTGGTCTTCGCGGTTTACTAGGCAGCATTCATCATGCTGCCACCGGCAAAGGTGAACACGTCAGGAAGAGTGCTATTGAGAGAAATGAACTGCGTCCGAACCTTTTCCGCTTGGCCTTGGTCATCTCCTTTCGGAGAGCAGGCCCGTCGAGCGGCTTCAGCAACTCGAAAGCACATAGGAGATCCTCAGAAACGCTAAGGGAGATTGAAAACACGTTGAGCAAGATCACCAGCGAGCGTATTAAGACGCAAACTTACCTCATACACGCTCCATAATTGTCGAACTCTTCAAGAACAATAATTTTCAAAACAAGGTCAGAAACGAAACAGAGATGACTAGACGTACCTCCGCAGTAATTCGGTGCGCTGAACACCGTAACCAACGTCCGATCGTTCCAGAACTCATACCCGTCCTCTACTACCATGTGCGCCCGACAGATCAGATCCATATCGTACCGCACCAGGAAGTCGTTGATGATGGCCTTTCCGAAACAGTAGCTGACCCCTCGTTCGTTGTCTTCCCACTCCACTGCCGTATCTGATGGGTCGGACCATAGCAGATCGTTGAGCAAGCCGTAGTCGGGAACGTCCGTCGGTCGCTGAAGCGCCTTGATGTCATCCATTGACTGTAGCGACGGTGAGAGACCACCGTGAACACAGAAGATCTTGGAGGCGACAATTGCAGCGATAGGGAGGCAGTTGAACACGTCTATGAAAGTCTTCCAAGTCTTGATGTTACACCGTCGTTTGCACTCGTCGTAGAAGCCATACACTGAGTCATTGATGGGTCAGACTTTCATGATCTACGCTTACGGAACAAAGGGCACGTACCTCGGGTGACATTCGCGCATTCGTGGTTGCCTCGAAGAAGGAAGAAGTTCTCGGGGTACTTGATCTTGTAGCAGAGCAAGAGCAATATCGTCTCCAGACTCTGCTTTCCTCGATCGACGTAGTCTCCCAGGAAGAGATAATTCGCCGCTGGAGGGAAGCCGCACATTTCAAACAGTCGGATAAGGTCTGAATATTGCCCGTGCACGTCACCGACGATCTTCACGGGCGGAGAGAGCTCGATGAGGGTCGGCTGACTGAGGAAGACCTCCCGGGCGGCCTGGCAGATAGCGGCAATCTCGACGTTCTTGAGACAGAGCGACTTGCTGACTTTGCCAGTGTAGCCGACGTCGAGCAGTCGCTGGATCATGTCGTCAATATCGAACGACTTGAGCTTCTCCTTGGCGGCACTAATGCCGGCAGAGCCGAGTGACTCGCCTAGGGGCATGGAGCTTCCTGCCGAGCCCGAGGTCAGAGAGCCAGAATGTGTGAGGATGGTCTGGGTGGCAGGGATATCGAGAGGGGGAGGTTTGTTGGAGTGGCCTGTCGAGTTGTTGTTCGGTGCTGGTGCGGAGGATGGAGCGGGGGAAGGCGCGTCGGTTGGGGCGGACGAGGAGTTGTGATTGTTGGTGGTGGAAGAGCGACTGGCTACGCGCGACATGTGGTCGCCGTCAGCGTTGGAGACGTTGATGGAGGGGTTACCCTGGGCAGCAGAGTCCGTTCCGTTCGCAGCCTTGGCCGTACCTGCGCCGGTAGCGTGCGAGAGGCTTGCCTGGGACGTGTCGTCGTTGGTGGCGGCATCGTTCACGGTGGGGTCGGAAGACGAGCCTTCTCTGTCCTTGTCCTTCCCGCTCTTCTTGGACTTTTTGGACGACGATGACTGCTGCTGGCCCATGGGGAGGCCCTGAGAGATAGACGCAGGGGAACCGCCTGGTTGTGGGGAAGGGGAATGTGATCTGGACTTGCCCAGTCTGTTGGTAAAGACGGAGAGAAGAGTGGGCGCCAGCTTGGGCGGACGACGGTGACGACGGTGGCGAAGGGGCGGGAATACAAGTATGACTTGGTTCTGAGAGCAGGGAACGTCGAGCGAGCGAGGCGACGGACGTAATGGCTGTGTGGGAACTTGCTCAGAACCAGCACGGTCTGGTGCACTACGCCGCGCTCGTTTCTCGCGCCACTCCCACGCGACCATCGTCTTACCTTAGATTATCACAGACCACGACTCGCTCACACCTTTCGTACAGGCGCATATCGGCAGTAATCATTTTTGGTGCATGGCATATATAGCGCAACATGGGGAGAAAAACAAATAAAATGCAATGCGAATCGACCATCATCCCCTCCAACGTCCCATCCAGGGAGCCACCTAGAACTTGCCGAACGCCCTCGCAGCCGCCTTGTTCTTGAGCACTCGGACAACGTTGAATCGCACGGTCTTCGACAGGGGTCTGCATTGACCTATTAACGCACTCAGTCAGTACTGTCCTCCGCCACCGGCGCCACACCACACTCACCAACAGTGACAATGTCGCCAACCTCAGCACGGAAAGCTGGCGAGACGTGTGCGGCCAAGTTCCTGTGGCGCTTCTCATAACGGTCTGCGAACATCGTCAGTACGGCGTGTTGCGCACGTAACAAACACGGCTACGCACTGTACTTGGGGATGTAATGGAGGTAGTCACGGCGGATGACGAGGGTACGGGTCATTTTCGTCGAAACGACACGGCCAGTCAGAATGCGGCCACGGATGGAGACATCGCCGATGAACGGGCACTTCTTGTCTGCAAGGGCGAGCATGCGCGAGTGAGTCGAAAGACATGGAGCAAAGAAGGGAGCGCACGCACCAATGTAAGTACCGCTAACAGCCTCTGCAGGGGTCTTGAAGCCCAGACCAACATCCTTGTACCACCTCTTATCCTTAGTAGTCACCTTCCGGCCGACTGTACAACGCAAACACTATCAATCAATACCCCGAACTTCGAATGAACACGGACAAGGCGCACGCACCACGGGCCTTGGTGTTTTGGAAAAGGTGCTGCTTCTGGTATGCCTTCTCGATCTGCACGGCGGGAACGAAGGATAGTCAAAATACGAGCATTTCGCCGACGATCAAGGTCACGCACCTGCTCAGCCATGGTGTTTAGTCTTGAGGGGTAGGGGGACTTGGGCTTGAGGTCGGCGAGGGCGTTCCAAAGATGTGCTTGACGGCGCGGGATGCTAGGAACCGAACGCCTGGCCCGTCAGCCACCGTCCACGCGCAACTATACAGCTGACCGGCATCTTCCGGATCCTCTGTAACTTCGACTTCAACTTGTCGCTGGGAAGGTCGCGGTCGTGTTTCTAGTGCAGACGGTGGGACTGATATTGACTATGGATTTCTTCTTGTCTACGTGCAATGTCCGACCAATGATACCGCCTTTTCGATAATTTGCTCTTCTCAACCCTTACAACCTACACTGCTGTCTGGCCGACGATGCTAGGGAACTGAAGCTGGATACTATGTGCACCTCTGACATTGCACTAACCACCTGGATCGAAATGATGATCGAGAACACCGGCCATGCCTATGCCCGGACTCTGAGACTACGGGCAAACACTGCGTGTCGATTGCCCGCCTGAAACCCGCCTCCCGACACCCGCTCCCGCCTTGTCTCACCGAAGTTGAGAGACACTCGGCCTCTTGGTATAAAATCCTGGGGCTCTGCGCTCATGGTCACTCACCAATTCATCGTCTCCTCTAACACAATCGTCTCTGGAAGACCTCGCACTCGAGTCTACCACTCTTGCCACTCAGTTTTACTTTGCCTTGTATTACTCTTGATATTCCTTGCTATACTCTTCGCATTCAGCATTATCTTCGCTTCATTCAACCTTTCAACCATTACAGCGCACTCAGCATGTCTATTTCTATCTCTACTACCGCTGCTGGCTCCGTCACCGCTGTCTTCACCTCCACCAACTCCGTTAACGTCGTCGAACAATCTGAACTCCCCGGTCAGGAGTTACGCGAGCGTCTGCAGTCGGTCATCGCAGCGCGAGACCAGACACAAAAGCAGCAGGTTACCAGCATCGACAACGCTATGACAACCAAATCCGCGAGTCTTTCCAACCTTGGTACGTCTCCTCCTTCGGACCATCTCCCCATTTCTTCACACTAACATTCTATCCGTATTCGTCTATAGGTCTGAGAACGCCCTCCGTCGCCGGAACGATAGAGGCTAACCATAGGTTACACATGCTCCTACCCCGCATCCAATCCCGTCTCGCCGCGCTCCAAGCCGAAGCTGAGACAAAGACAAAGTCTCAGGCCGCGCCTGCAACGTTAACGTCTCAGCCACCCGCACCCGCCCCCGTCTCCGTCTCCGATTCCGACACCGACTCTGCGAGCTCGGACACTGAATCTGATTCCGAAATGGACGGGATTCAGACTCCACCCGCTATGGATATACCCACCGTGCTAGTCACGGATCATAGCGACTTCGTCGTTACGTGTGTTGATCACCCTGAAGAGGAAGCTGGAGGAGAAGTAGGAGGATTCGCTGGTATGACGAGTCTTTCCTACCATGGCGATCTTAGCGAGCTGGCGAAGGACGGGGGAGAGGGAGGGGAGGTGAAGGGGAAGATGGTGGGCCCGTTTAGGTTTCCGCCGCCGAGGTGCGATTCGAGGGAGTTGTTGAGCCCTCAGGCTGTTCCGAGGTCGCAGTGGACGAAGAAGTGCAGGCCTGTGGCGGCGCAGAGTCAGCGCCAACAGCGTCCGCAACAACAACAACGGCAACCATTCCAGTTCAAGCCAGACGCACCTATCGCCGCTGGTCGGGTCCTGGAGATCGAAGAGATGGGACGTCTGCTTGAGGCGTTGACGCAGCAGGGATCCGGAGCCGAGTTTGACGAGAAGAGGGTGAGGGATAGGGAGGCGATGCGGGTGTTGATGGAGAGGATGGGGAGGGAGATCGAGGAGGAGGGGTGTTCGAGGCAGGAGGCGAATATGATTATGTTTCAGGTGTTGAGGAGTGTGGGGTTGGGGCTGGAGAAGAAGTTGAAGGAGCAGGGGATGGAGGCGCAGAAGGCTACGGAGGTTTAAAGTTGTGTGGGGGGTTGGGAGGTGTGAGTTGTGCGGGGACCGGGGTGGGGATGCGGGATGGCTGGCTGGCTGGCTGCTACCGTTGTGGTTTTAAAAGCGCCGCTGTCTGTCTACTTTCTTGTTCTCTTCATGGTTTCGTTGTTCTTGGCTGGCTGCTACCCTTGTGGTTTTGAAAGCGCCGCCTACAACCTCTCCATGCTTTTGTTCTCTATTGCTTTGATGTTTTGTTGCATATGTTTTCTTGTCGCTCATTGCACCCTGCACTCTCCTTTTGGTCCTCGCATCCTTGTTCCGATATGTTATTAATATTTATGTACTCCATCGTCTTGAAATGAACAACGATTTCAGCATCCAACTGGTCGGTTGTGAGTGTCGGTGTCTATCTGTACGTGATGAAGGAGTACTTGTCAATGACGCGGTCGTTTCCTTTTCTCTTCCCGTGCATCCATGACGATCAGTCCGACATGCACATTTGCAAGATGGCGATCCTGATTTCACCTATCCGAATGCTGGAGTAGTTCCTTGCGTGTCGGAAGAATTGGCAGTTGAAACGTCTCTCTGATGGTTCGTGGGCATCCGTCCCCGATGCCAGGCAGGCGCAGATCACAATGATTCCAAGTTTGGTAACAAAGGTGGATTTCCTCGCTTTAACCGCTGCATCGCCGTCATTGAAAAGTGTGAGGCCGTGATTCGTGGTGTAAGCGTGCGGCCACTTGTTCCTGTCGGTGCTGTGCGTTTCGTCTAAGCGTTCAAAGCACCGACCCCCTTCGTCATATCGAAGCGGGAAGTGTATGGCAAGAGACAATCGCGGTCGTGAGGGAAAATGTGGAGATGGAGTCGGTTAACGGCCGGGATGACGCCACCGGCGTCGGCTGGCGGTCACGGTCCACACGGTGCCTCGAACACCGCTCTAGACAGACACTGCCTGCCTTGTCGCGGCCAGCGAGCTCAACTTGTCCTTTTCTTTCTCCTCAACTCTTTCGTCCACGACGGCGACGACGACGACGACCGCAATTCTACGCTATTATGCACCGATGATAGGCCAACTCCTGCCTAGACAATCCCCGTCCGCTTCAGGTTAGTCACAGTCCGACGCGATTGCCCTCGAGCTCGCCGCAGTTCGCAGCGCTCCTTCTCCTCTTTCTGCTCTTCGTTGGGCGCCGTGATCTGAATCCGTGCTTGCTCTTGTCGTATCCAGAAACAATTACTGACCCTTCTCCGTCTTCTTCCGCTGACTCCGCCTCTGCTGTATCCTCCTCTGAAAATACTGTATCTACCACCGACTCTGCTGCTACTACTCAAATGTCCTCCACCGATCCATCCTCCGCTTCCCCAACCGCCACCGCCACCTCCTCCGACTCCCCCACCTCTTCATCCGCCGACCCCACCACCTCCACCGCCGAACAAACATCGACTGCGGCCACCACTACCCCTGCACCCACCTCCGACGCATCTTCTACAGCGGCGGCCTCCTCATCGTGCGTCTTCTACCCGCTCTCACATCATCTTTTGTTCTCATCATTTGTCGTCGTTGTCTTCCGCAGCACCGATCCTACCTCCGACGCCTCGTCCACCGATGCTGTAACAAGCTCTGACTCGCCAACATCCTCTTCTACTGATGCGACGGCCTCTGTTTCTCCTTCCGCACAGACAACGTCACAGCAGACGTCGACTACCCCGACCTCGACAGACTCTCCCACAACCACCACCAGTCAGGCGACCACCACCACACCAACCTCCACCACCCCAACCTCTACCGCTCAGACTTCTACTACACCCACCTCCACCACACCCACCTCGACCTCGACTAGTCAGCAGCAGACAACTACTACAAGTGAGCAGACGACGACTACTTCTTCACAAGCGCAGACGACCTCAAGCTCGACTTCTTCAGATCCGCCGACTACCACAATTTCCACAACCACTGCCCAACCCACCACGACGACTGAATCGACTTCGTCTGTAACGCCGACGTCGACACCGTCATCGACCACTCACACCACCACCTCGCCGACTACCACCCTGCCTAGTGCCCAGTATGTCCTCGTGCTTTCCGCTTACTGTTCCATACTTGACATCGTGTCGGTTCTAGAACGACCCTACAGAGCACACTCTTCCAGACGACCACAAATAGTGCGGGGTCGACTGTGACGACCGCTCCAGCTCAAATCACATCCACCTTCACCTCCACCAATAGCGACGGCTCGGCTACCACCGTCACTGAGATCGTCGCCAATCCCACCCTCAGCTCCAATAACGATGGCACCAGCTCCACCGCCCAGTCCGTCTTCTTTTTCCCAGAGCTTTGGTAGCACGATGCACGCGATACTGACTTTTTTTAATCCATTCACAGATTCTTCCATAACAAGGGTGCAGTCGCTGGTGTTTTTCTCATCGTCGGCCTCGCCGCGGCTTCCATCTGCCTCTTCCTGTTCTTCTTCATCCGACGTCGTCGCCGTCGCCGACGCATCGACCACGACACCGCCGTCTCCGCCACGCTCGCCGCGCACGGCTTCAACCGCGCCCCTCTCGTCGACCCAGACGACGAGGACGACGGGTACGGAAAGACGATCGGCTCCCAGGCGGCATCGACTGACCTCGAAATGGCACAGCAGCCTGGGTTCGGAACAGCTTCGAGGGCGAGTCTCCGTGGCGGGCAGGGATTACCGAACGATGATGAATTGAGCGCCGGTTCGGGTTCGAGACCTTTCGATCCGTTCTCTGGTACGGCGTATGGAGGTGGACCGTCGAGTACCGGCCATGCGGCCCAGGGTTATATGCCCACGCGCACGTCAAGTCCTCCGCCTGAGGGCGCGGCAGCTGCAGCTGCGATAGGCGCGGCGGGTCTCGCTGCCGGAAACAACGCACATCATCAAGCGCAGAGCAGTTATGGGTCGTCGAACGCTGTGGGAGGGAGGTCGAATTCATCTGGGCATGTTCCGAGGTATAGTGCGGGATCTTATGAGCCGCTGTTGGCGAACTACGGGACGAATTCAGGGCCGGGGACACCGACGTTTGGGTCGCCGGAGCAGCAGCAGAGGGAGGCGAATGTGAGTGGATCGAGTGGGACGACGACGACGCCCCTCGTGCCGCCAAGAAATCCGAAGAGGATGATGGATGCGGGTCGGACGGGTGCGGCTGCGGGTGGTGCTGCCGGTGAAGGATATGAGAGTGGGTATGAGTCTGACGATGTGGCGACTGCTGGTGTTGCCGGTGCAGGAGAAGGAGGAGGGAAGCCAGACGCGAGGCTGGACCCGGGGACGTCGTTGGGGAGGTCGAAGACAGTGAGGGACGATGTGGATTATTCGAGGAGGGTGTTGGAGGTGCGGAATAATCCTTCTGCCGAGGGATAGGCTGCCTCGAGAAAAATCGTAGGTTGTCCTGTCCGTCGGCGAGAAGGATGGACTTTATGGCTTCGGCTCGGACAAAAGGCGTGCTTTGCTAGTATAAACCCCACGTCGGACATCGCATATTTTTCCAAGTGTATTCGTTGTTTGCTCCCTTTTGCCTTCCTTCTTTCCTTCCCTTCTTGCTCGCTCATAAACCGGACATATCTCGCTCGAGAGTTACGACGACCCGTTCACGATCTTCTCGCGCCCCTGCTCCCGTGCTTCATACTACAGCCTATTCCACGATACAATCTTACAACTACATTACTGTACGTACGCTCGTTCTTTAGTTTGACCTAGTCCTTCACTTTCGATTCCCCGCTCTCTTGCGACCTTTTGCTTTCGTTACAGACTTACAGCTACGGGCCGCGCATCACATCAGGCCTTTCAATTCACTCCTTCAATCTTTCAAGTTCACTGCTGGTTCCGGTTCCAATTTCTATCTGATTCTGCTGCTTTCTTTGTGTTTGTTTGTTGTTTCTTTCGAGTCCATGCAGAATCCACGCACGCACGCATCCATCCATCCATCGTCATTTCCCTCTCTCCTCCCCGCAGGTATCCATCCATCCGAATCCGTAGACCTAGGAGCATGTATGTGTAAGTAGTATGTGTACACTTACATACGAGTACAGGCAATCACGGACATCTTTCACTTTCTGCAATCCTTATATGCTTCATACGACACGTCGTCTTCATCCCTCCGTACACCCTTCCCGCCTCTCCTCCGTACACCCTTCCCGCCCCCCCCCTCCGTACACCCTTCCCGCCCCTCCCCCCGTACACCCGCTCCAAACCCATCTCATCTCATCTTCATCCCCATCTTTTCTTCACGGTTATTTTCTTCCATATGCATCTTGTGCTCTTTTTACATAAAATCTTTAACTTTAACCATCTTACCCTTCACCCACGTCTGCTGCGTGCATTTTTTTCTTTCTAGGATCCGAGTGGTACAGTACCAGACAATCTTCTTGTTGTTGTTGCTGTTGCTGTTGTGGTTAGGTGACCTCATTCTGCGCATCTGTTGTTTTCTTTCTTCTTCTTTCTTTTCATCGTGGTGTTGTGGGGGGTGGTGGTGCTTGTTGGTTGTTGGTGGATGGTGTGGATAGTGATATATAGTATTTTTTGCGCTATCCCTCTTGGGGCTTGACAGGTTTGGGCTGTCGAGTACTTCTAGTTTTGTGTCTCTCAAGGTATGTTATGTTGCTTCCTGTGGGTCCGGGCTATCATTCGAGTTGGGTCCTGTGATTCAGAAACACTTGGTTCTTTCGATGAGATGATACACATGTGGTGATAATTTCATTCTTTGATACTGTACACTGAAGCCCAACATTCGACGTCGACGCTCGAGTTTCTAACTTTCTCGACTTACGCCTCAAGCCTTACTGATGACATGGCCCCGCTCGTCCCTCTCCCACCCGAGTTGCTCGTAAGTCCAACCGAATATTTGGCCCGGCGCCTCCGCGTAGAACGTCAAGAGGCTCATATGTTGATCTTCCTCTTGATGGATCCCGTCGAGGACCTGTATATCTTCGTCGCTCAAGTCGATCAACTGTATACACAGAGGGCACAGTGGTCAGCAATGTTTTCGGAACCTAAAATCAGTAGAAAACCACACACGTTGAAGTTATCCCTCATCCTCTTCGGGTTCGCGCTCTTCGGAATAACCGCCGTACCCCTCTTGACCCCCCAACTCAACACCACCGTCCCCTCACTAACCCCATACTTCTCCGCAACACCCTTCACCCTCGCATTCCCACCCGCCACAAGACTCGGGATCCCCAACTTTGCTCTCCTCGCTCTATCTTCCTCGTCCGCAGCAGGCGGAGCCCCCAAAGGCGAATACGCCACGAGTTTGATGCCTTTGGAGTCGCAGAAGGCTTTGAGATCGCTTTGTGGGAGATGGGGGTGCATTTCGATCTGGTTGACGGCGGGGATGATGGACAGGTCGGGAGAGGCGAGGAGGGTGGTGAGGGTGAGGATGGAGAAGTTGGAGATTCCGATGGAGCGGAGGTGGGTGGGGTGGGTGGAGAGGAGGCGTTGCATTGAGAGGTAGGTTTCGGTGAAGGTTGGGGATTCGCCTGGTGGGAGGACTTTGTCTGAAAAGATGGGGGAGTGTAGATGTTAATGTTAATGTTAATGTTTGAGTCGAAGGGAATATTGATAGGGATGGGATGGGCGTACTGTCGATGATGGCCTGAGGCCAGTGCATGAGGTAGAGGTCGATGTATCCGATGTCGAGCTCCTTGAGCGAGTTTTCGAACGCCTCTTCGACGCGGTGATGGTCCGCACTCCTGTACGATCCAAAGTAATCGCGAGATGAGATATGTATCCGCGACGTGGAGAGAGAGATAGAAATAGAGAACGTACCACAGCTTCGTAGTAACGAAGATTTCTTCCCGGGGAATTCCAGATTCGCGAATGGCTTCTCCTACGGCTTTCTCGTTGGCTAGTGATGGAGAGGGTCAGATTTGGGTGAAGTGAGATCAAGAAGGTGTTTGAGGCTTACCGTAGCCGGATGCCTATACAAGAGTCGAGAGAACAAAAAAAAGTCACGTATAAATCAGTCGTGGTCTAAGAGAGCTTAGATGGTACGTACCGTATCGAAATGCCTGTATCCGATCTTCTCGACAGCCACACCAATATTCAGAATTAATAACATGCCTCTTTCTAAAAGGCTGCACAGAGCAAACTCACCTCCAACGCTTTTTTGCACATCTCTTTGACCTCCTCCGCCTTTCCAGGTTGTCCCATCCAACAACCCATACCAACTGCAGGCATCTTCTGCCCATTGTTGAGTATGAGAGTGGGTACGGCGAGGGGTCGGGGAGTAGAAGTAGGGGTAGACATTGTCGTCAGTACTTTCGATAGTAGGTATTCGGATGAGTGAGTGATATGATGAGACGGAAGTTTAATGGAGAGGATCTAGAGGGAAAGCCTGGTATAAATACTCAAAACTTTGAGACGGCACCGTGGTCATGATCGCCCCTGAAGTCCGACCCAGAAGGTCAACACCCAATGCTTGATGGCGGCCGAGACCTTGCCGTGGATTGCGTGTACACCTAAAGGTTACGATATGGACGATCACTACTCAATTCAGCAACTACGGAAGAGAAGGGCACAGTGAGAAAGATATGAGGGGGATGGGAGAACGTTCTTTGACCGACCCTTGAGTTTCAGTGAACAGCCACCGGAACAAGTTGGGAGGTGGGTCGAGGTCATACCTTCGCTGAATCAGACGGTCATTCGGGATGTGGGTACACCGTGCTGTTCTCAAAAAGTGTACATTTGGGTGGACGTGACACGCGGCATCGAACACTGGGGAGAGAGCAATCAAACGATTGTACACGAACCTTCCGAGTCAGAGCGTGCGAATTTCATGTCTTGATTTCACATTCACCCGGTCCCGTTCAGTAAAACTTGGGCACAGATTGATGCAGGGCATGACAGAGTACCGTGGTTATACGGGGAAAGAAGAAAACAAAGCTTCGATCGACACACTCACAGTTCCGTTCTGCAATCAATTATTTTTCGTCAATAGCGTTGCCCCCGACCGCCCTGCATCCAATACTTCGTTACGGTGGAGACTCCCAAGTTGTCAAGCCTTGGTAGTGATCCGCCCTCTGACGTCCATATCCCACCCGAGCTGCTCATAAGTCCAACCAAGTATGACTCCAGGCTTCTCCGCGTAAAACGCTATCAGGCTTGTGTGTTGACCTTCCTCTTTATGTATCCCATCGAGCTCTTTCATATCTTCATCGCTGAGGTCGATCAGCTGAGGGATAACAAAAGTAAGCGCATTATGAAGAGGAAGACTGGAGAAAGGATGAGAAAGAAGTACACTGATGTTATCCTTCATCCTCTTCGGGTTCGCGCTCTTCGGGATAACCGCAGTACCCCTCTTCACCCCCCAACTCAGCACCACCGTCCCCTCACTAACGCCATACTTATCCGCTATACCTTTCACCCACTTATTCCCTCCCGCCACGAGACTCGGAATCCCCAACTTGGACCTCTTCTCCCTCTCCTGTTCGTTCGCGGCGGGCGGAGCCCCCAGAGGCGAATACGCCACGACTTGAATGCCTTTGGATTCGCAGAAGGCTTTGAGAGCGGTGTCGGGGAGGTGTGGATGCATTTCGAGCTGGTTGACTGCGGGGATGGCGGTGAGGTCCGGAGAGGCGAGGAGAGCGGTGAGGTTGGGAATGGAGAAGTTGGAGATCCCAATTGAGCGAAGTTGCGTGGGGTGGGTGGTAAGGAGACGTTCCATTGAAAGATAGGTTTCGATGAAGGTTGGGAATTCTCCAGGTGGTACGGTTTTGTCTGGGGATTCTCCAGGTGGTATGATTTTGTCTGGATATAAGAATAATGAGATTAGTGAGTATCCTTGCTAGGGAAGATGATGGGTATCCAGTGTACCGTCGATAATGGCCTGGGGCCAGTGCATGAGATAGAGGTCAATGTATCCGATGTCAAGCTCCTTAAGGGAGTTCTCGAACGCCTCTTCGACACGGTGATGATACGAGCTCCTGGAAGCATGTAGACAATTCAATCAGACAATACATGCGTAGGCCTCGCGGATAGAAAGAGAAGGCTGGGGGTCAACGGTATATAATGTACCATAGTTTCGTGGTCACGAAAATCTCTTCCCGAGGGATCCCAGACTCACGGATGGCTTCTCCTACCGCTTTCTCGTTACCTGGAGGTAAGGAGGCAATGTGGGCAAACAGTCAGCTCTGCTATACAGTGGAATAAAAAAGTATCAGAGACCCACCATAACCAGAGGCCTATACAAGAGTACAAAGATCATGCAAGAAATTAGACACAAACAGGTTCATGCAAATGGACAGGACCTCAAACAATACGTGCCGTATCGAAATGCCTATATCCGATCTGCTCATCACGATTACCGTAGAGCAAAGCATAACGAGGTCAAGGTCTGGTATCAGCAAACCTTCGCAAGGGAGATACACACCTCCAACGCTTTCTTGCACATCTCCTTAGCCTCCTTCTTTGCCCCTCCACGATCTCCCATCCAACAACCCATACCGACCCCAGGCATCGTTTGCCCATTGTTAAGTACGATGGTTGGCACAGCTAGGGGTCGTGGTGTGGTAGGCATTGTCGTAGGTCGGGCTATGCGAGGTTCGGCGGTTCAAGCGTGTGATGCGTATGGTTGAATTCTAAGGGTTCTGGGGGCTATACTAGAGATACGCATATCGAGTATAAGTACTAGGTCGAGATTTCTCACTTTGCATGGCACTTGGGTGTTGGTGAGCACCATCGGAAGGGTCGGTCAGCAACGCTCGCCGACTCGGACGGTAGGGCGTGGGAATCGATATTGAGTTGCGCCACAGGGGCTTTCAGTTTGCACGAGCTGAAGTTAGTGATTGGCAGTTACAAGAATTTGCTGTTACTGTTATAAAGGCTACTTTGGACGTTCGGGAGCCTATACAGTGGAGTGCTCCGCTCCCTACACATTTTACCAAAATTTATTCGATGGCAGCCTCGAAGTCACTCGACGCCACAGTATATGAAAGCACGACAGAGCAAGACATACAACATTGATGAAAACTGCACTTTTGTTCGACACCAGTCGAAGATCGTTTCTTCTTTCGCCACACATAGCCACCCCTTCTCTCACCATACCGCATCTCAACAAACTCACTGCTCCCACTTCTTCGCCACACTCCCACTCGGCGGCTTAACCTCCACCTTCCCCTTCCCGACCTCCGTCCAATTCGTGCTCAACGCCGTTCCTCCACTCTCCTGATAACTCTTCATCATCGCTCTCTTCGTGTCCTCGTCCGCGTTTGCGAAAATGCCCTGGAAGAACTCGTTCACGGTGCTGTCCCCACCGACATTTGGGTCATCGTTCGACGTCCTGTCCTCTTTCTTGGCCGACTCGAGGATCGTGTTTGTTAATTGATCCCAGTTTTTGCGCGCTTGGGGGAGGGTTGGGACGTGTGGCGGTGGTGGTGATGAAGAGGAGGAAGCTTGGGGGAAGGTGGATAGGGCTGAGGAAACGGTGGACGGGTGGCGATCACAGTCAGATGTCAGGAAAAAAAAATTCGACGAATGGGAGTGAAGGTGGGTACAAGGCAGAAGGTATTTCGATCAGGATATGTTAGACTAAGCCACTCACGATCTGGAGAGTCGCCGACAAGAGTGCCCCACCGTCCTTGGGCAACCTTGAAGAGTCGGATCTCGACTTTGACCTTGCCAACAGCGAAGTTACTCTTCTCCGTGTCGATTTGGCCCTTCAACGGCCTGAACTCAAGCTTCTTCTCTGGACCATTCTCGTACACGAGCTGAGGGTAGATTGAAGATAGCAAGTGGAATATTCAGAGAAGAGAGTCGGGTCCGAGTGGGTAGATAGCGAGTGATGATCATATGTGATGTTTGGGAAGGTGCGCAAGGAATGAAGGAAGGTGGCGGGTCAACGGAAGAGCTTTGAAGAGCGGGGTATATGGCGTACCCCTCTGGGCTCAAAATGAACATTGACTTGGGTCACATCGGCGCCCTTATCGAAAACGGTGAGGGTGAGTTTCTCATCAGTCTCATAGAATTCATGTCTGTGAATAAAGTGCCGAACGCGTCAGCATTCTTCGATTTTCTGTGGATATGTGGTGAGGCCACTTACCTGAGAGAGGCCATGATTAGATGTTGTTGTTGGCTACAAACTACAGAATAAGTTGAAGAGGGTTCCCTGTATGACGGCCACAGCTTTTTAAGGTGTTCGTGAAGGTCAAAGCAATGGCCAACAGAGAGATGAAGATGGCCGTGTCACGGTGGCGGCCTCGCGTATTGAAGTCTCTAGAAAGTTCTCTCACGTGATGGCGCTAGCGTGGTAACTTAAATAAAGTTGACTTCGTACCTTAACTTACCGTATTTAGGCATGTCCGCGTCAATTTAAGCAAACCCTATTTTCTGTCCACGCCACCCATCCTGGACCTCGAGACCTTGTCGAGACCACTTGTTGTCATTGAAGGGGTCCCAGTCAATAAACCCATTTACACGCACGTAGGATCCGGTGGAGTCATAGAGAGAAGAAAACACATGCAGTCCGGCTGGAGGCAGGAAGATGTGGGGAAAGCGGTCAGATCTACAGATATCGGGCGCAATTGCGGGGCAAACAGGACGATGACATCATCGTTCGCGACATGTTGGCCGCTCAAACTCGCGTTGCTCTTCTACTTATATCTAAGTTATATCCAACTCTCCGTTTTGACTTCTCTCCCATCTATCTTCTTGCCTATCTTCTGTGCTTTTGAATTGTTCACCTCCTCAACCTATACGCGCGATGGCTTCAGCTCAGGCACAGAATGTTCCAAAGGCCATGCTCTATCATGACCCACAGTCACCGTGGTCCGCCGCTGGTATGCTTGTCCTCAGCAACTCTTCGAGGTGAACACTGCTAATACAAGATACTCTGAATACCAGTTAAGATTGCTTTGTGAGCTTTGTGGTTTACAGTATTTGTTGCCAGAGACGTGTTTTGTTCGTTCGTTCACGCTAAGTTCAGGGAGGAGAAAGGCTACGGCGAGGATGAGATCGACCTGAAAATCGTCGACCTGCGTAAGTCTTTTATCTTCCACATTTCACCCATATCTTTCACCCTTAGCCCTCACCCACAAAAACCACCCCCATCATCTATACAGAGAAAGGCGAGAACTTTTCGCCGACCTTTCTGCGCCTCAACCCCAAAGGTATGTCTATCACACCTATCTCGGGTCCCCAACGTTCACTCGCCTTTCCGTCCCCGCTCTGACCATGCCCAATGCGCAATCAAAGGCACGATTCCCACTATGATCGTCCCGTTCGAGAACACTCTCGACTCTGTCACCGAGAGCCGTTACAAGGCCGTCACAGATATCACAGTACGCACAGCTCGTTTTAGACCCAAATCTCCGCCATACAGTATATCACCCAAACTTTTAGAAACCACCTACTCACTCGCGCATTTGTGCTTTATATTTGCTACAGGCTATCGTTGACCTCCTCGACCGTTCTCGAACCGCCATCTCCCGCACCCACACCACCTCCTTCGCTCCCGCGCCCTCCCTCTCGCCCGCAACCATCGCTCTCTCCGAACTCTCTAAATCTATCACTGCGCTCCTGCACTCCGCCCCCGCCTCCCCGGAACTCCTCTTCCTCTTCAACGCTCGCGAGACTCCCTCCCTCCGCGCCGCCGGCCCCACACTTCTGCCCTTCCTCCAAGGCCGGTACGAAGCCCTCAATAAATACTTGAAAGAGAATGAAGCGAGCGAGATCAGGGTGAGCGAGAAGACGAGGGTGTTTTGGGTCGAGAAGAAGAGGACGACGGAGGAAGTGCTAAAGGTCGTAGAGGCTGCGGGCAAGGGAGAGGAAGAGTTGGGCGAGGAGGAGAAGAGTGCGAGGAAGGAGTATTTTGAGAATACGAAGGCGGCTTGGGAGGTTGGGCTAGCCGTTGTGTTGCAGAAGATTAGTAAGGACCTCGTTGGGCCTTATGCGCTTGGTATGTTCTGGTCCTGTTCGCATGTCCTCTATGCTCTGTGCTCCCGTATGTGTATAGAACTTAACTATCCTTCCACTGATGCTCAATGCGTACAGGCGACCAATTCTCCGTGGCGGACATCCATCTCTGCGCCTGGCTCGCTTGGCTCCTCAAGATTTCCGGGGGTGGCGTCACCGACAGTGGACCCGAGGCCATCAGGAAGATAGAGAAGAACGTAGGGGGCGGGTTCTCGCTCCCCAGGGCGTTCATCACGCCTCCTTCACCGGCGCAAGACGGGAGTACCGATGCGACAACGCCGACGCAACCGGTGCCGCAGGCGAAGTTGGCGATCATTTGGGATGCGATCAAGGAGAGGCCGAGTTGGAGCAAGATTTATGGAGGTGGGAAGTAGATGAATCCTAAGGCCGAACGGTCGAATGTCGAGGTCATGAAGTGTGAAGTCGTGACTTAGTCTAGGAGTACCATGTTTTGTTGAAGAAGAGCTGGTGAAGTAAAAGTCTTGTAGCATGAAGGAATAACATGATGTGAACGAGTAAGGCTGCTGTGGTGAATATTTGACAACCATTTGTATACTTACGTGGCCAAATACGACACAGAGTAGGTTCGCACGAAGCGAATGTAGTCTTAGCACTCTCACGAAGATACCCTACCAGTGATTTACTCAAACTCAAAGAGATTGATGAGAAGTCTTGGCAACGCCGCTCCGCCTGAATTCAAAGCCACCGACAAAGCCACCGACACAGCCTGAACTTCGGCGATGAAGATGGACAATTGAGCAGCCACACAGCCAGGACGATCGCCCAAATACTTTCTCTGGGTCAGCAGGGCGCGATAGCGCAACCAACATAGCTATATTCGCACGGCCAAGCAAACATACGTGTATCGATAAATTGGGTCGCTGTCAATGTTGTCAAAGTGAACGCCACCATCCAGATGATGGTCGTGCATAGCAGTATAGCACACGCACATTTCCACACGTCCGGAGTACGATGCCTGCTCATCTGTATCGGCTGGACTCTTCCGGAAGGCCTCGACGGAGCAGAGAGTTCACGGATGTACTAGTTTGACCGAGCCGCCATAGGTTGAACAAATGTCGATGCTATACAGCGAGTGCAATGGCGGATGGTCAAGCATATGGATCCATACAACACTTACCCCAGAAAGCGTATGTGCGAGGTGTCAAGGGCGGCGCTAAGATACGAGAGAGGCTGTCCACGCTAAGTGACCAAGAGTGTCCACATAGTGGCGTAGTGGCGTAGTGGCTGTCGAGGGCAAAGTCATTGTTCGTGGCCATTATGAGGCTGTTTAATTATCTTTTATCGTCGAGGTACATGAGTTGATAGGACCGCAGTTGGGAAACGAAAAGAAGAAAAAAGTAGGATGGTATCGCCCACTGGCCAGGGTGTACGCAGTCGGGTCAGCCGGCTTACTGGTTCTGAATCGCAGCGGGCAACGGTGACCGCGGAATTCACAGAACTCAGCGTGGAGGTGGTGAAGAAGCTCAGACTCGGAGGGTACGAGCGCGCACACTGAGTCGCAAAAAAAATCAAACAGAGAGGCTGTGAGCGCCAAGTGGGATGTGGTCGTCGTCGGGAAGAGAGAGTCGAGTAAATTGAGGGGTGCGTTCGAGGGGGTACGGCGGATGCCGAGCCCGCGCCGGAGGAGCGAAGATGGAACGGTATGCTCGCAACAAACTATCTGCTCGTCGACGACCATCGTCGAGCACAATCTACTCTCGCCCTCGTCGTCGTCGTCGTCGTCTGCATCGAGCCAAGGCAGCCGGTGAGAGCCCAGGGAGGCCAATACCGGACACAACGGCAAATCAGACCAATCGCAGGCGACGAATACATTATCGTAATTCCTGCTCAATAGTTATACAGCCACCGGCAACCGCTCTTCTTAACTTGCCCACACGCTCCTTCCCTTCCTCATCCCCACCATGCCCTCCGTCTTCGGCGTATTTCCCTCAATAACCCGCCCACCGCCCTCACCCAACATCGACGTCGACGACTATGACGAAGGTGACCCCCTCGAGGCCGGCACCCCCGTCAGGCCCTCACTATCCCTAGCGAGGACCCGTTCGACATTCACCGCGTCCTCATCGACCAACGCGCTCGGCTCACACCTCCCAGTTGAACCAGAGTACCTCCTTCCTCACGGCGGAATCTCCGGACGCTCCTCGTTCTTTTCCTCACCGTCCAACACACCCGTGCCTTCGCGGACAAATTCACCACTACCCGCATTTTACCACTCTGGTATCTCATCCGCTTCGCCCTCAGATACAGACAGCGAGCCTGCCTCGCCATTACTCAGTTCCATGCGGAGGAGCACCTGGCGACGAGAAGAGCCAAGACGGTGGTGGACCCTCAACTCTTCTGGCTATCGTCGACGAAGACGAGATTCCGGTTGTAGTTTCAACTTTAGGTCACTCAAGCGGGCATGCAGAAGAGTAATCCGCCATCCGTTCTTCCCTAAGCAGCCCATTACCATCGTACGTCTGCTATGTCGTCTTGCCTTGTCGCTCCACACATCTAACGGTACTCGTGATTACTCAGCTCCTCACTCTTCTTCTCCTCACCCTGCTGTCCATCTCAATCACACTTCTCATCATCCATATCCTTAACCCTGATAAAGAACCACTACCTTGGCGCGCTTACTGTACCTTCCCATCTTCGTCGTCACATCCACCATCTCTCACCGCACCCGCCACCTCTCTCGACATCGCCTCCCTCACAGAAGGCCCTTCATGGTCCTCCTTCCCTCCAGAGAACCTCGATGCGCTCCCCCCGGCCGGTATCTTCGTCGGCGTTTTCTCTATGGACTCTGCTTTCGAACGTCGAATGCTCGTACGTACGACATGGGCTAACCACCCACGCAGTCGACACGGCGCAGGTCCAGGCGATGGAGGTGATGGTACTTCGCGTACCACCGTACGCTTCATCCTCGGTCAACCGCAAAAGACTTGGGAGCGTAGGATCAGGTTAGAGATGGAAAGTGCGTAATATTTTTCTTGTCATTCTCCTACCCTATTTTCTAGCCATTCGCTCGCTTTATTCTGTCTCCACAACCCCCGGTATCTCTACTACGTCGCAAGCGTCATCGCTGGTTCTATATCTCCGCTGATCATCCGCTCATCTCACGGGTTTAACAAACAAATTACTAACAAAAACGTGACCACACTCAAAAAACAGAATATAATGACATCATCATCCTCCCCGTCCCCGAAAACATGAACGAGGGAAAGACACATGCATTCTTCACATGGGCCTCAACCGAAGCTTGGGTCCCACCCGTCTACTTCGAGACTGAAGTCCCTCCTCCGCAGTTCTCCTACTCGAACCGGACAAGCGTCCCTCCCGCACTGCTCGCGGAACACGATCCACTGCACACGAGACTGGACAGGACCTCGACGCATCCAAAGTTCTGGGTCCGTCCGGATTTTGTGGTCAAGGCCGACGACGACTCGTTCATTATGTTGGCGGAACTGGAGGCGAGACTGAGGGTCGATCTGCATCAGGATCCACCGCCGAGGGTGCATACGAACTCCGAAGGCTATGGCTCTGCGTATTTCGACTTTGAGAAACAGCAGCAGCAGAAGGGATCTGGTTCGGAAAAGCGGGCCGATTCAACCTCTTCTTCGTCCGCACTCTCGAGTCGACCATCGTCTGCTTCGGGTTATATCGGCGCGGTGGATGCGTCGACATATGCATTACAGAACAACGATCCGTTAATCTACTGGGGGTATCTTGTCAAGAACCGGTTCATGGCAGGCGAGATGTACGCGCTCAGTTGGAGTCTGGTGAATTGGGTGGCGAGGGATCCGGTGGTGCAGGGCATGAAGAGAGGCGCGGAGGATAAGCAGACGGCGAAGTGGATGCAGCTGCATCCGAGAGCAGATGAGGTGCAATGGAAAAATGAGAGGTGTTGGATCTATGACCATCCTCGGGCTGGCACGGTGTATGTTCTTTTTTCTTTCTTTCTACCTAACAGGCATCCCATCACTTCTCACATCAGCCTGTCAAGTCAACTGACCACGGTTATCTCGCTACAGATATTCTCACGGATTCCTCTTTCCCTCGGAGGTCGCTCGTGTCCGAAGGGGTGTCATGTCCTGGTTCAACAGAGACAGGACCTCTACCGCCGTCGCCGCCGTACCCAGAGATGAACAACAGCCCGCGCCCACAGCGACCTCGGCATCAGGTTCGGCAGCCTCTTCGACCAGCGCCAATAGCATTCCCATTCCATCCGCTTGGTCGAAATCATCCGTGTCGCTCTTCGGCTCGAGGTATTCCCCGCCTCTCGCAGATTTGACGTGGAAACAAAGTGTGGAGGCGCTTGTGGAAGGGAGCGATATGTCGAGATTGTTTGAAGGTGCGTTTTTGATCGGCGCTTTTTTCGTGGTTTCGTTTGATTATCAAACACTAATCCTTGTTCGTCTATTCGTCTCCGTCGTTTCATGATGTTGGTAATTGGTATTGGTTGCTATGACATGGTATGGTACGTTTAGGGAGCGTACAAACGGCCGAAGACGCCTGGAGACAGCGAGAAGGCCGTAAGGCGCGATATGCAGGAAAGCGTGTCGGGGGTACCGTCGTCGTGCACTTCATCAAGAAAAATATGTGGTTCCTCGAGACGGCGCTGGCGCTGCTGGAGGGTGAAGAGGAGACGGAGCTGGACAGGCAGAGGAAACAGTATCAGAATGCGAATGCGAATATGGTAACCAGTGGTCAGGGAAGAGAGATCGTCGCGGTGGCTTCACGGACTATAGAAGACGGTGCAGATGATGGTGGAGATGACTCCGGCGACGGAGACGTGGCAAGACAGCAGCAAGGGAGGATCCAGGGAAAGCATCGCAGGAGGTGATGGTGGGCTAACGGGGTTCTTTGAGCATACCTCGTACGCCGGCCGTCTATCCCTCTCCTCGTATATATGCCGCTCTGTTTCTCTGTTTATTTGTGATCCTTTGGGCTGCTGATACCCACTTCTGATGATGATTACCCTTTGCTGCCTTCGTCGCTCGTCTCTATAAATCGTGAAATGTGTAGTTCGCCGTTCTGACATCGTTGTTCTTCACTTGATGTACCATTACCTGTAGTATGCTTCGCTTGCTTTCCTCTTTCGTCGTCTCTCGTTCGTCCATCCACGTTTTCCCCCTTCTTTATTCCCTTTCTTCGTAAGTTCGTCCATTCATCTTTTATACCTGCATGCATCGCTGCCCGCGTCTTTCTCCCATACACCATGTCGTCCAACAACGCTCACCGCCAGCACACTAACTCGTTTCACCCATTCATTTCGTCTTATTTTTCGACAATTCAAATCTAACGTCCACGCCACCCATGTCGACGGACTTTCTCTCTCCCCTCTACTCTAGTCAATATTCTCCTCTTCTCCCTTTCCGCTCCGCTCCTCTCCTCTCCTCTCATCGTCGCTCTGGAAATCAACTGGTCTTTACTTCACCCCCTCATTCTTCTCAAAATCTTCACCTTACAGTTTACAATGTGAACCACTCCCGTTCCGTTCCGTCCGTCCTCGTTTCGTGTCTTAGACGTTCTAGTTGAGACTTTACACGTCTCTTTCTTCTTCTTCGTCTTCTACACTTTCTTTCACCTGTTTCCTTCGTCGTACTATACATTCATCCTTCGCCTCTGAACTTTCTCAATTCATCGTCCCTACCTAAAACATCTTACTTTATTTTATTGTCGCTTCCAAACCCGTCCTGCCTGGAGTCTCGAGCTCGAGAGCGTGCCTACTTATATATATGTACATGGAACTTTCCACCGAGGTAAATAAACAAGATAGTCACACAGCACACCATGGAGTCGACTCGGAGTGAGTGGGTACTTCGGAAGAGCTCATGCGTAGCAAGTTACAGACCTTATTCGTCTTCGGGAAAAGCAACTATGAGTGCGCGAAAGTCAGGCAGAAGGTGAAGAGCTGACTGGGGTTGCTCCGTAATCAAAGTATGTATGACCGTCCACGTTTATGAGATGGCCAGGTCCAGGTAACCCTCCGGGACACAGACGTTCATGAGAAAAGTAGTCCCCCACACTGGTCGTTAGAAGGATATGCATGACACTGGCAGTCTCGTCTCAGCCCTATAAATTACAGTCATGACAGAAATATAGACCGATGTCCATCATACACCATTCGACGCACAGCTAAAGGGACCTCCTACTGTCCCTGCCTGGTAGCTATCAATGATGGATTGAACAGAAACCTATGGGCAGAGATGAGTTGCGTCATATCAACACATGATCTCAAACAAGGGACGTACATAGGAACCAGCGCCAAGGATGTAGAGACCGATGATGATGAGCAAGTAGTTTACCAAGGTTTCTGCAATGCGCCAATAGTTCGCCCATTTCAATCTGCCAGGGTAGAGTACCATGTACGACATTCCCCAAAATATGAATCTAGAAAAACCCCAGGTCAAGACGCGATACAGATGGTCAAAGATAAAACGCACCCAAACCACCCGTCTACGAACATGTATTGTCAGTGAGCGACACAATCTGACACGTTTTGTTGAACTGACCAAATAGAGAGCTCATAAGGCTGAGCATATCGGAGAAGAAGGGAATCACTTCCGCGATGATGAATGCAAGGACCCATGTCGCAGCAATTATCGCAGCCCATACTCCCCAGGCCAGTGGAGTGTTTGAGTGTTTGTGCTCAGAATCGCGGAAGATGCGGAAGAAAAGAAAGCGTGCTGTGACCGACTGAAGGTTGCAGTGTCATTTACGCGGCCAGAGGCTATCGATAAACGTAGGGCACGTACCGAGTACAGAGATCCCAAATAGACAATAGTTGGTATCGCAAAACAAAACGCAATCTTCTTAAAGACGGGCTGAAGAGATCCTACAGCTGGTGCGACGATATACTGGTTCCCAGTGAAGTGATAGACTATTGCACCCGCGAGCGTGAACACTATTACCTCAGAGATGGTCACGGCCCAAAGGGCTGCCACCAAAAAGTCAGTGGCTTAGTACATCACTTATAAGACACCCAAGCTTCCGACTTGCCTTTAGGGAAATCCCTCGGATTTTTCATCTCTGCAATAAACTGATAGGGAGTGAGCGGGAAAACCCGTATAAGTAATATACCTGGACTCACGGAGGGTAGCGTAATTTGGCCAATGAGCGTGTAGCTTATATTGAGAAAGGCTGACATGGCTGTTAAAGGCCGACAAACCTTGAGATATGACGAACGCATAAAGAGATTCACGATTCGAACTCACCAGAGACATACGATGTTCCTGCAGATGCCCATACTGTAATGATGGGAGCTTCTCCGGTGAAGTCGAACGGATGGGTTTGGACCCCAGAAAATATCACGACAAGTAGTACAGAGGCTCCCATCGTGACAGCAGCAAAGACCCCAAGGTAGCTCAGTTGACTCAGAGTACGCGGGAGACTAACCAAGAAGCAAATTATAGCAGTTACTGCCGAGAAAGTGATCGTGCATGATGAGGATCCGGAGAGTGTATTCAACAGTTCTGCGCCGACCACACAATGGAGTGCTGAAGGCAAAAATCAAAGCTGGATGGAGATATTCTTCGAAGAGACTATTGCGATACTGACCCTGTATAAATACATTGTTGAGGATGAACATAACGACTGTGAGGCGATATGCAAGCTCTGATCCGCCGGTTATGACGCGTGCAACGTCGCAGACATCTCTGATTTCCGGATGTTCCAAGCAGAGGCGCCACAAGATTAAAGATGTGTACTGCACAGTAGCTGCCACCCCGATAGTAACGAGGATGCCGGGAACCATGCCTAAAAGCGAGAATGCCCTACGCATGATGAAGGGTCAAGAACTGTCTTTAGAAAGACAGTGGGGCCTTGAACATCGAGCACTGACCAGGGAAATGACAAGATAGCCAGACATATATATTCCGAGAACAACAGTCCCGCCGTCTACCATATACCATGTCATGAGCGCTGGTGAAAGTGAAAAAGCGGTTTCAGATGCAGAACTCACTTTCTGCCACGAACATGTACGATAACGAACGGCATGTCCATTCTCGAGCGAGATCTGGTCCGAGACACCACCCTCCAATGACACAAGCTCACTGCGGTCCCGTCCTGCTTTCTCGGAATGATTGGCATCTGAAGAAAGATGTTCTGGGGCCTGCATCTGTAGTAAACCAACTCGCTCAGGCAGATGCAAAGAGTTCGAGATAGAAAGCACAGAGCGCCTGGTACGTGTACTTTTTATACCTGCTCCCACACCATAAACCTGATGACTGAATCTCATATGACATCAGTACGATGAATGTAGTTAGAGTCTAGTGCACTCAGAATAGACGACCCACTGCCACTGCAACCATACATTTTATATGGAGCGCCCCATGGACTAAAAGATTGATGCACTTGGTAAGATGATGACCCGATTCGGACACCATGAATCTCTAGAGTAGTCCGGTTGAAAGCGTGGCAAGTTATAGCACATGCGGATACGACGAACGAGCCAAGGCACTAATCATGATGGTGGTCAGCTTAAAACTACAGACCTGGCAAGTCCCGGATCGTCACGGTCCCGAATTTCAACTCCGCAACGGTGAATTCGCACGTGGGGTGCGACCGACGCTCGACGGCTATTCCTCAAAATTTGACAAAAACTAGAGGTAAACCCGACGCTTGAGGTCTGCAACGGACTAGACGAATTCTTCAGGACCGGTGACCGCTTCTGCATCACCACACAAACCATACCACAGTCGCTGATGCTCCACAAACGCAAGGAGCATTACAGTCACACTGGCGGTGCGGCGGTTAGCGCGGCATGATCCTGTACTCAAAATAAGGCAACTGAGTAGTATGGCATACGATTCACATTCAAGATTTTCGGTCCTGACTGCTATAAACTTCAGGGGGCTGCCCAGAACCAATCTCAAACGAAAACTTGACGGAAACTGCAGTACCACGACTTGGATGCTTTGAAAACACAGACTACATATTGTGGTGTATAAATTAAGGACCGAAGAGAAAAAAATGAAGTTGCGATAGGAGTTTGAAAGCTAGCACTACCGTATCTGCAATAAAACTTGGCTGCTTCCTTCGCTATATCTGCTTATGAAATACGTCTTTCGCTTCCTGACGCTCTCCTTCCACTGATTGGGGCTGTTGAGTATCTTCTTCGGGGCATGCAAGAGGAACAAACCCCCGGAATGGCATCCCCTCGCTCGTAGTAAGTGCCCCCCTCTTCTGATCCATGGTATTTCCCCTCCCAGCTTCTACACGACCGTCAACTCCTGGATCCTCAGGAGGTGATGCTAAAGACAATACTGGCTGAGCTGTCTTCGAGTCATTTTGAGAGGAGTAGACTGTTGAGAGCTCGATCTCGACGACCATTGTATCAAGGGGCCGCGCTGCTGAGCTTTGTGCAAACCTCGAGCCGCGATTTCCAGATGGTTTTTCTCGATTATTGGTACGTCTCCCGAATATGTGCGAGTGAAAGGCCCGGCTGGCTCGAACAAGAGCCTGAAAACATGTATACAAGTATGATCAGATCTGACACTCATCCAGAAGGATTGTGAACTAACTGGATCTGAAGCAGCGAGCAAGGCATATACAATGGCGCGCCCACCGTAAAGAAAATCACCTAATTATGAATGGCCATGATCAGCTAGACGCACATGCTTAAGCTAGCGTGTGTCCTGTTGTCGTGACGTACTGAGTAGGAGTATGTTATAATCCTACACATCCATGTCCCACAAGTTAACTTAGCGGCATACTCTTAACTATTCAAATGGAGCTGCGCATGCGACTGACCTCCCTATTGTGAACCCCTCCTGTACTAGTTGCATGTGCAACGCACATCATGCTTGTGAGATTGATGATGCAAGATGCCAGAGGATACAGGCCTGTGTAGAAAAGACATGGTGTTTGGTTAATCGACGAGAAGCACTGAGTGACGGAAAGCAGCCCACCAATTCGCAGAATAACACCCCTGTACGCGTTTGCAATATCCACCAGTTGGCGACCTTGCGTAGTAGATACCGAGCCACCCCGCGAGCGTGCCAAGCTTGGGCCGGAAGAGGACTGCAATGATGAGTGTGTAGCTTTCCTGCGGTGCTTCACCATGTAGATGATAACAGTAACGGATGTGCAGACTTCTCCGAGTACTGTGAGTCCAGTCCACAGTAGTTGTGTGCCGATCTCAATGAATCAAATGATTGGGTGACTATGAGTAATGGACGAACCAACACCGAGGGTTCAGCGAGGAACGGGCATGAACACATACCTGCCACCATAGCCGCTGCACTTGATTATCGTTCGTGTACCAGCAATCACGAACGAGAGGGTCCCACCTGAAAAGCGGAGAGTTATAAGGTAAAATTCGACGAGACATCCTGTGAGCCTCGTAAACATGTTCACAACGTTGACAATAGCCACTCACCCGTACTGTTTGGCAGCATAGGGCGGGACAGTTATAGCCAGGGCCAAGACTGTAGCCCCGATGATATAGTAACGTTCCATCATCTGGCCGCTGATATGATGTACGACGACCAACCTATACCAGGTATTTCAGCGTAAACAATATATCAGGAGAGTCAGTTTCAACTCACTGAAGGTTCAAGGCGATTGCAAAGAGCACAAAGCTGGACCATTCCAAAGTGAGCTGTTCGACAAGTATCAGATCGTATGGTGAATAACAATGGAGGATATATACCTGTAATATGAATATCGAAAAGCCACATAGAAAACCAGGGGCTGTCAAAGAACCTCCCACAGCACTCGCGATTCCGAATAGCATGCTGTAGCGATATTCTGATCAGTATTTGAAGAGGTCGCGAACCGTTCCTAGGAGCATACTTTGCGATCAAAGCCGACCTCAAGAGACGAAAGCTGACACGGTCTAGGTGATGCTTCGAAGACCGATGCGTGCCCAGCACAAAGATCACAATAAGCACGAGAAAGCAAAGGACAGCGCCAACGGCCGATGTGACCGCCCAGAGCTTATTGCTTCGGTTTGGGAGTATTAGCGATGTTTAAGACTCTATAAGGAGAAAATAACGCTCACGATATGTCGTCCATTTGCTGAGTGAATACAAACCCAGCCATCGTGAAAGGAGAGGTGCTCGAAGTGACAGATTACCGCGCGAATGGAGCAAGTGCCTGCGTTTTATATTACATAGCGCCAACGCGAATGGCAGGTAGCACTGTCCTGAGGAACCTCAGAGTTGCAGAAATCCGGAGCTTCCTTCTCCCTAACGAGGAATGATCAAAAGGGTACGAATGCAATCGGAGGTCCATTGACGCCACATCAGGATCAGTAGCCTTTGAATAGATGGTTCGCAACACATGCTGCGATGATGATGCTGGTGGGCATAAGCATCGGCAGCAGTGAGACAGCAACTGGCGCCTTCATGTCCACTGTGATACGCCATTTGGATGAACGGAGTCCATTGGATGATAAACTTTATATATAAATATACAAGGCTACAACGAACGTCTTCTTGGAGGTGGAGACGCGAGTCAGAAAATAGTTCGTACCCCACACCATAGCCAACAATCAGTGGAGTGTGCCAACTTCCGGGGGGAATCCTTCTGTTTCGTCAATGATGCCCAGGATTCCATGACGAACGCACCTTTGGTTGATAGTCATCAATAGCATATTCAGATCGGATAGAGGAGGTAGGATCCAAATCCGGAGTTCTACGACCATCCTGCAAGACCATTCCCCCATGTTACGAGCCATGATCAACCCCGGAAGCTTGAACGATTTAGCCACATGCTCCTCGGAATGATGCAACCACACAGATATAATACACCTCACCATAGGAAGGAATTGAACATAATGTACACCGGCTTGACACAGGCGCTTAGAGAGCTTGACGTCGCTACTCTTGAAGCAGTTGTAGCACGCCTGACCGATGTTCGCCGTCAAAGGTGGGACAGGCACAGCATCCATTGCAGCGAACGTACAGAGTGTTTCCAGGGCGGGCGGGTGTGGAGGGAGGAACGAACGGTGAACGCGACGATTGCGGCGAAGTTGAAAGGTTGACAAGGAAGAGCACATTCGCACAGGCGTCTTTTTCTCACGGATCCTTTTCTTTGCCACAGTGGCACCAATTTATCACGTTGACCCTTCCTTGCTCTCAAACCACAGTCACAGCATGACTGGGTGCTGCTTTCTCTTAGACGGGAGACTTAGGATATCGATATATGCTTTTCGCTCATCATGCTCACCTTGTCGTGTGAGTAGCCAAAGCGCAACGACTCTGCCCACGACATTACACGCACTCGGAATGGGCGGCTTCCCACCACCTCGCACCAGTGACTGGTCTTATCTGTTCTGTTCTCCCTCGGCCGTGGGCAGCAAACTCTCTGTCTATTGCATTTGCTCTGATAAAGGCATCCTGGAACGCTTCTGCTGACCATTTATACAACAGCCATGGGTACGCTATCCACCACGATCCAACTCACCACCATCACTTTCATTCTTCTCCCGCTCTTCATTGAATGGCGGCTAAAGTCAACCCAAAATATGATACTCCGATTCTAGGTATGATTGCGCGTCCACCTGTCGAAACAGCTATCGAGTACGGTGATCCGACGAATTTCTGGGTCGAATATCCTACTGGACTCGTTGATCTGTCGAGGTCACAACACTTGGATGAGAAGAGTCTGGAACCCAAGGCATTGGAAGACGCACAGCTCGAGATTGCGGTGGATGGGGGGAGGACCATCAGGATTGACAAGGCAAAGACTGCGGTCGTGGTCATCGACATGCAAAAGTGAGTTGCTTCTCACAGCAGCTTTCGCGTTCACTTTCCAGCCTTAGGTGTCAAACATCGATGATTAACTTCTTATAGTTTCTTCTTGCATCCCAACCTGAGGGTCCATCCGAAAGGTCTTGCTTGTGTTGATCCTATCATGAAGGCCGTTCCTGCTCTTCGGGCCCACGGAGTGAAAACTTTATGGGTGTAAGTATAACACCTTGCTATGCGTTCTTCGCATCAATGACCTTGGTGTTTTTGCATAGGAATTGGGGCTTGACGGAACACGAACTCAAAACCATTCCTCCGTCGCTTGTCCGCGGGTTCATGAAGAACGGAAGAGGAGGATTCGGCGCGGATCTTCCTGGGAACTGGGGTCGATTGCTCATGCGCGGGGCTGCCAACTCTGATCTATACGGGCCATTGCAGGACGAGTATCTCAAGGGAAAGGAGTTGGAAACTGACGTGTGGATACATAAGAATAGGTTCGCAGTTGCGCCTGTTCATACATTCAGCGTCACTCTTACCTTGGATATTTGCTGCCATACATGTAGAATGAGTGGTATATGGGGATACCAGACTGCTCTGGACTTGTATCTCGAGCAGCACGGCATCAAGACATTGATATTCGCTGGCGTAAACGCAGACCAGGTAGGTTTACCCTCGCTGTGTAATATGCTTATACTGACTTGGTCTCCACTTCGAAGTGTGTCCTGGGCACGGTCGTCGATGCCTATTATCGCGGTTACGATGTCGTTCTGATGACGGACGGCGTGGCGACAACATCTCCTGAGGGAGGTTACGAGAATGTGGTGTATAACATTGGAAATGTAAGACAGTTCTTGCTTCTACTTGCGTCGGTGCTGAGCGCTAGCCTGTGACCTTCTAGAGTTATGGGTTCAATACGGATTCGGCGAGGATCGTCAGTGCCGCGAAGTAAATTATGCGAGAGGTAGTCACATCCCTTGAATGTTGTACGAATATGTTACCAGCGCCGGGTTCAAGTGAATGCTTTTTTGTTGGGTCTCAACAACAACGTACGAAAAGGGAGGAAAATGCAAGGATACTCGATATCTGTACAACACAATGCTAACAGTACACAGTGTGGCGTGAATGCCCACACTATCTCAACCACACCGACTAACGACCTCGTCTATACGCCACACTATGCTACATCCCGAACACCCGATGAATAAACTTGAATAAATAGGCTATTGCCCGCGTTAGTAGCTAGGTGGCGTCGCAAAGTCGTTATGCATCTAGATGAGACCACGACAATAAGCCATCCCGAATAGATAACACGAAGAAGACAGACATCGGTGACGTACGTTGTGGTTCATGGGTGTGCGCCTCGAATACGAGCGCCGCAGGAATACTTCGGGTTCGTGGACAGGCCCAGGTGGATGTAACGGTTTCTCGTCGAAGAGTGGGCTCAACTGGAACGCTGGAATGTGATCAGAGCCAGTACTGCCACCGGGACTGTCGGTGTGGCCACGGGAATGAGAAGAGACAGAGGCGGGCGGAGTCAGCGCTGCGGGCCCAAACGACCTCAGTTCTGAGCGTGGAGGGCGGGGCGGACTGGTGATCCTGGAAGGAGATTCGATGACAGTGTTGCCGGTCGCAGGTCGCAATGTATCCTTCGATGCTCCGAGGTGGCGAAGAGGTTCAAGCTGCGAGAGAGGGACGATATCGAACGGACCATTTTCGGCAATAAAAGTTCCTGGATTAGCGATGTTCTCCGGTTGCGCGTGACTCGAATTGACCTGGTCACCAGGGAGGGACGGCGGATAGATAGAAGGCGAAGAAGGAGCCTCAGAGACTCGAGATTCTGAGCGGTGATGTTCCGGCGCGTCTTCGGTAGGTGAAGTGGTCACAGCCAAACCAATATTTGAACTGCTGTGGTAATCGCTGAACGGATTCTCGTCTACGCCGCGATAACGCTCCTGAGGCACTATTTCCCTGTCGAAACCAGAGGTGCTACGAGGAGTGAGCGGGAAGTGAGTGGGTGCTGGCATTGTGACAGGGCCTTGCGTGGTCACGCCACGATTGGCGGAGGCGTGGATTCTGTCCCAGTCGAGGGGCTGGTGAGGGGCACCGTCGATCATCGACATCTGAGGCGACTCGTCTGAATATTGATTCTCGTGCGCAATGGGAGAGTGTTCTTGCAGACGGAGGCCGCCACGGTTACGGCGTTTGCGGTAACGACGGCACATGCAGGCGGAGAGGAGAACCAGAGCGGCCGCCACGAGCCCGACGACGACAAAGACTCCTGCTACGGCACCATGGTTGTCGAAGAATCTATGGAACAGTAAAATTAGGAAGAGTTCTTCAGGTTCAATGTAGGTATCAAGGTACTCACGTCTTGTGGCTCAAGCTCGCCACTCGAGTCGGATTGGCGATAACACGGGTAATGGTGGTTGTCGCACCATTAGGTTCAGTGGAAGTCCCAATACTCGTCACAAATGAAGGCGCAACTGAAGACACTCTTCCGTCGGCGAGAGTAGTCGCAATCGAAACGGGGCTTGAGAATGTCGATTCCGGCTGGATAGTGGACGTTATCGTCGCCGTGGTGCTCGGCCCTTCCTGAATGACGACAACTGATGAGGCGATAGTAGTCGTAAACTCAGTGTGCGATCCAATGGCCTGAGACGAGTCGACAGCGGAGGCAAAAGACGCTTCGTTTGAAGACGATCCGGAGGCTGTTGCTGTGGACCCAGGAGACGCGGCGGATGAGCCGGTAGATGCCGCCTCGAGCCCATTCTGCTGGCTGGCTGATGGGGAGGATGAACCTGACGCCACCAGGCTAGGAGGTCGTGCGCTACTCGCCGTGGATTGAGTGGCCTCTGCTGCGCTGGACTGAACTGAGGAGGCAGCTGCAGAAGAAGTGGCAACGTCGGATGAGGGGGCAGGAGAATCGGATGAGGACGGTGCAGGAGGATTAGATGAGGATGCAGAGGAAGATGGGGAGGGGACAGCGGACGAGGAAGCAGGCGTGGGATCTGCAGACGATGATGCGGAGAACGCGGGGGATGTGGCTTGAGAGGAGCTAGCCTCCGTGGTTGCGGCCAGCTTTTGGGTTGTAGACGCCTCCGAAGTCGAAGACGCTGTCACTGACGCCACTGATGATGTGGCCGCCGCCGACGTGGCATTTGTCACAGAACTCAGCGCTGCTTTTGCCATGCTGGCTGTGGGCGAAGTAGCCGCGCTATTCGAGAATTAATCTCAATCATCTTGTGACATATAGGATACGGAATGTTCAAGACATACGAGGGAGAAGAAATTTCGGCAGTGGGAATTTGACTAGACGCTACTTCAGACGAAGATGTCCTAAAAACTTGGGTAGAAGTGCTGGTAACAGCAGACGGTATTGCTTGGGCGGAAGTGACAATCGTAACGGAGGAAACCTGTGCGATGGTGGAAGCTGGAGTGGCTGAAGCGGAAGAAAGCACCAGAGACGGCGAAGAAGCCGTGGAGGAAGACGGATTTGCCGATAAGGAAGGTGTTGCAGATGCAAATGTCGTTCCTGTAGAAGACGGGGGCACAAGGGAGGCCGTAGAGGATGCCTGGGCACGGCTACTGGCCACAGAGGATATCGAGGCAAGAGGGGACGAGGACGAGATGGCTGAGGACAGCGCAATTGGCGGGGCGGTCGAGTCGTTGAAAGAGTGGACCTGGCTACTCGACATCGACGACACTATAAACAGTGGGCAAGGAACGTGGTAAGTCAGCAATACTATAGAAAGGAAGGAGAGATAACGAAAGGATGCGAAGGCAGGATGTAAGGGGGCGAAGACGGGTTTAGACACAGTGCAAGGGCTTTAAAGAGCAGCGGCAATGATAACTAAGGCCTCCATATTTCCTTCCGGGACGAAGTATATTGTCTGTGCCAGCGCATAGAGTAACCGTGACACTCACCAAATGCTAAGGAGGAATTGGACGCCGCACTAGCCATCAGAGAGGAGACATAAGACGCTCAACAAGTCGTAGCAAGGGTCATAGATTGGAAGCCGCTCGACGAGGAAGAGGGGCAAAAAAGCATGAGGGGACGTCCGGTATATATTGTCGACGTGTGAGCGGAGTATCTTCGAGGAAGGAGTGTTGAAAGGAACGAAGCCCCTGTAGCTCATGCGAACATCTCGAGAACTTACCCCGAGGGGGGATCGCCATGACCAGGACCATAAGGCTCAGATCTCAGTTGCTTATCCAGCAGATATGTTTAGACGATACAGCGTGGAAGCATCCAAGAACACGCAAGAGCATACTAAAGCCGTGGTGGAGGCAGAGATGAAGCCTGATGAAGCGCATGGGTATCGCGTCGCCACACCGCCAACGTAACGCGGTCCGTGTGCTTGTCGCCGGTCACCCTCACGAAATTGACTCTCTATATTCGGCTTCAACTCACGGATCAGTTATGCACAATGCTCAAAGCGGTGTCCCATATGACTGGTAGCAGAGAACATCCCGGCCAGAACGAGCCCGATTGACAACCGCCACGTAGGCAAAACATCACGAGGGATGGTTGCGCCCTTTCGCTATCTAGTCCGAACATACTCTTCGAAGGAATGCATAAAGTCCTGATGTCCATTGGTACAGATTATCCTAGTGAAGTCATGATATATACTAGAAGGGGTAGACGGTCGACGTCGGTGGGAAGAAAGGCACTGCTGCAGGAGCATGCAGTGCGAAGAACACGGGCTGTATAGCGAGAAAAGCTGCGGAGTGAGAGCGAACGTCGGTATAGTGAGTGTAGGGTATAAATTACAACTAGGAAAGCATGAGAAGGCCGAGAGAATATAAGATGGCTACATAGAATGCGGGAAAGGAGGGATTGCATGCGAACATCTGAAAAATCTCGGCGTTAGTCTACAACGGCAGCGAAGACAACAAGGACTTACAAGGCCCGTCTAAATGCAAGGACGTAATAGTCTCCCAAGGAAGCAAAAAAATCATAACACCGGTCTAACAACATCGTCGGCCTCCTGCACCTGGCACCAAATCTTTCAGCTTCAGCTTGACCGTGCCCTTTCGCCGACCTCCGCTTAGACTCCCGAAACTGAGCCGACTTGAACTATTGACACGACGCAACGCTCTGTCCCCATAGCTCACTCCACTTCCAACCTTGTCAGGGTCCAGCGCTCCTGATTCGATAGACAACAAGATCGAACGTGCTGCGAGAAGAAATGGTGCCTCGACGTTATCCCCTGTCAGTGATGATGTCTCAAGGAAATGAACATCTGCAATCATCATCAGCGTCATTCTGACACGGTGAGCGGAGTTGGCAGGTACCGTTCTCAGCAGCCCAACGACTGGCCTCTGCCCACTCCACTTCTCTTTCATCCTCCCGGTCCGACTTATTACCAACCAAAACTGCCACTAGGTGAGGACTTGCCAGTGCTCTGGCATCAGCTAGCCACCGGGAAAGATTGAGTAACGAATCTCGGCTGCATAGGGAGGAGGTGGGTAAGTTGTCAAATATACGGATGCGACGCATCGGGAGCGCACGTACTTTGTGATGTCGTACACCAATATGGCTCCAGCGGCTCCTCGGTAATAGCTGCGGGTGACGGAACTATACAGATAATTGTGTCGGTCAAACTGCGGGAGTCATTGACGAAGAACAGCACAGACCGGAACCGCTCTTGGCCTGCAGTGTCCCATAGCTAGACATAGATGAGAAAGGGATGCGGCAACTCGGTCGGATGGAAGGCACACCTGCAGCTTTATCCGTTTCTCTCCCAATTTGACTGTTCTGCTCGAGAACTCCACTCCGATGGTGTGTTGCGAGTGGTCTTTGACTGTGCGTCCGAGCTCATAATTCAGCGCCTGAACAGTAGTAAAGGGTGGCGAAGCATAGACGGACAAGTATTGTGTGTGAAATGGTGTAGCAGGCAAGATTTTCCGGTCCCGGCCTCTCCTTGAGAATAATATGAGCTTGACCAAGAGCGAGATACAAATAGTCCCAGGGACGTACCGATGATGATAAACTTCATGAGGAAGTCTACCAAGGTGTAACCTTTGAGCCAGGACATCGACAGCAAAGGTAGCGGTACACACCGTAAGTCTCTAGTAGCTCTGTAGCATCATTATCATAGTCGTTGATCGCCATGGAAGGCGAAGATGAGGGTGAGGGGGTCGAAGAGAGAGGATGAGGTCAGTGACCGGATCAGCAACGCGCTATGGTGTGTAGCGTGGGAACATTTGTCTGTGGCAAGTTAGCATGGCTGTGGCCCACTGGGTCTTGCAGGATGTTCTGTGTTTTAGAAAACGCGGGTTACTTATAATTTCTTCGCTCGGAGTCTCGAAGAATTAGTTCTGACCATACATGTCGAGGCAATGTACAACAGCAGGTATGTATACATTGGAACGTGACCAGCCCGAGCGGTTCTGCGATCAATATCACGCCACACGTAAAGTTCTCGACCCATGAGACCTACCAGCCCTTCCAAGGCACCCAAACATCCTTCACTTCGTTCGCAGTGCTATCCTCTTCCGAATCAACGATGTAGTACCACGGATATGCTGCTGCAATCAGGCAGGCGTGCTGGCCCACAATCTGCAAGCTCGTCAGTGAGTGAGCTTTTCCGTAACACGGAAACACCCAACGAGGGAAAAGGCTGACCTGCACAGTGCTACCAATCTCAAGACCTTCATCCTTCAACGCCGCCTTCTCTCCAGAGGTCTCCCGCGTCAACGTGCCATGCTCCTGAGATATCCTACCCAGCTTCCACGGCTTGCCAATCACCTCTCCATAACCGCTGATAGGCCCGCTGTCTTTGCTCATAGCAATGGCGCCGGCATCACACATGTACTCATCGGAGCCGTCGTCGCCGCGACCAGGATAGTGTGAGACGACTGTGGCGACGACCCTTTGGGCAATTCGACGACGGTCAATCAGGCTAGTGTTGAGCTGCTGCAGGTCGAGAAGTGGGTAATTTCCTGGAACGAATTTGCGGAGTGAGTAATTACCATAAATATCATGAAATAGGTATAGTACCTGCATGCAATTCTAGGTCTCCATGTAGAAGCGAGGACAATCGTGCTCTAGTTTCTGCTGTGGCTGCATGTGCGGTTGGCGTAGATCCAACTGAGAGTACGAAACGGGGATGGTTTGACAAGTCTTGTCCTGCTTTCGCGAAGAAATCCAAGGCGAGCTTCGCAGCCAAATTCACTGCTTCCACCTCGGAGGAAAGGAAGGAGGAAGCCTCAGACGGCGAGGTGGATGCATACGCATTTCCAGCATGGCAATAGAATCCTCGCAAGCTGATGGCAGAGGACTCAGACGTTGCCTTGAGGACAGATTCAAACATGGGAGAAGATGTGACGACTCCAGCCCGCCTAACAAAACATGAATTTAGATATCAGGCATGGAATCAGAGGGATTTTGCGCACTTTTGTCCACCGTCGATCTTGACAAATATTGGCCATTTTCGCTGGGTACCCTTAGCCGTCTCAAATTCTTGCACTGCTTGAATTTGACGAGGGTGATCAATCATGAGCACTACATCCCCGCCATGCGCGTTCAATGCATCCTTCAGCGAGGAAACATCGGCGATCTTGTTGATCGCAACGGGTAGACCGTATAAGAGCTATAGAATCCAATCGATCAATAAATCTTTATTGATTTAAACGGTTAATACGATCCATTAACTCACGTCCTTCACCGTACCGTCCGCGACCAGACCGGCATTCACTACCTCCCACGCTTCCATGAGCGTCGACACAACGACACGATCTGTCTTGTCTGAGGAGGACACAAGTTGTAATCTCGACCCCTCAGAAGTCTATAAGGTGAGTAGTTTAGTCACGGAGCCTCGCTAATGGAATGAAGCCGATGGGGCCACACCTTGTGAGTCTTCAGATGGGCACGGAAACCGGCGCCCCATTGCTGAGCATTCTCGTGCATCCGAGCACAGTTCTTCGCAAATACAGCACGGTCGATGACAAAAGCAGGAGTTCTGAGGGACTCCAAAGGCTTGCCTACGAACTCCTTGACCAGTTCATCCTTCTTCGGTAGGTTGAGGAGTTCATGAGGAGTCGATGTGTTGTACGAAGACATGCTAGGCTTTTTGGAGATTTTCAACCAAGAGCTCGTCGAGATGCAGGATAAAAGCCGATTCGTTTACGAGTGTGAGCACACAACAGACAACTGAGATTATAATTCATATATAAGCAAGGACCTCCGAGGGCCAGCGGGGCGGCGTGTGTTGAGTACATGGTCAAGTGGCACATTATCTTATCTATTTCGATGATGAAACGAGCGCGGATGTTCGGATCGGAGATCCGTTGGGAGTGGCAGACAAAATACATTTTTTTCTGCTCACATTCTGCGTTTACGAGTAGGAAAGCGACGACTCTCTGGAGTACAGCGCTAGCATCATGAAGGCACTATAGGATGGCCAGTGCCGGTTTTGTTGCAAAATGTGATGGCCGTTGCGCCACAACCCCTGTCGCAAGCGGGATATTCCTTTTCTTCTTCAACAACGTCTTCGTACAACAATCTTTTCTTTCACTTTACCCTCACACATACTCAAGTGCTCGCAATCGCCTCAATCTCGACGTCGACATCTCCCGGAAGCTTAGCGGCTTGAATACACGTCCTGGCCGGCTTGGGTGTGGGCAAAAGCTTTGGGGAAAATTAAAGTCAGGTTGCCTTGAACATACTCACTCTGATTCACCAGGAGGCTATTACACACCTGCTCGTACACCTCATTCATTGCCGAGAAGTTATCCATGTCCTTGAGGTACACGTTGACTTTAAGAACCTTCTCCCACGACGATCCCGCAGCCTTAAGAACCTCTCCGAGATTCGCGATGCATTGGGCCTACGACACATCTCGTCAATGAAGCATTACAATCGAAAGATACCCGAGACGTGACGTACTGTGTGCTCCTTGATACCTCCTTCAACTAGCTTTCCATCCTTCACGGGAGTCTGACCGGAGAGGAAAATCAAGCCGGGGACCTTCGTCGCATGGGCTGGGCTCAATATTCGGTGAGTGCAGGCTTTGGATGAATCAGATGAGAATTAGGACATACACAAGATGTGCTTGTGCTGCCCGACTTCAGTGGAGTTGATCTTTTCGACGGACATGATGAAGACTGGAGTTCAAGGAGTGGAGTGGTGTTTGTTTCGTGAAGAGGAATGCGATCGATATAGCTCGAGGCAACGTTATCTTTCCTATCATCCACGGAGCGGGGCCACGCTGACTTTCTTGGTACTGATATACAGTACAGCTTTCTCAGATGCCGCCGAATGCGGTATGCTAATATTGCGGCACATGTGGACACCGAGACCGTTCCGGCTCCGTACATTCCACTTCCCTTTTCTCTGAACGGAGGTTCACGCCCGCGAGCGAGCAATGCACTTTCAATACTCCTCTGCTTGTCGTCCAACCTTGTTGCTCTGTTTGCAATATTGACCGGATGGTCTTCTTCAACTACCCAGTTGCCCATATCTATTGCATATACTATTGCTCAGATATCGAGCTCACGGTACAATTATTTGTGCTTGTATGCCGCTGCGACCGAATCTCGTTAGGGAGCGTTGAGAAAGGTACAGGCGCCACTTTGCGTATCAGAAGGCTGTTCGGCACTGAACCTTCGTTCCGTTCATATGATACCATGGTCAGGCGGACTATCTAAACGCGCTTGGCAGCATGTATAACTTGGTGCATGCAAGGGAATGACGGCTTCGTCGGTTCTTGCTTGTTCTTCCTCCGTCCCACGACCACCTTCAACGGCTCACTGTCATGTTCTTTCGAGACCGAGAAGCTAGTGCCTCTAAACAAGATGCGAAAGACGGCGTTCTGGATGCTGCTTCTTCTGTCAAGCTCGGTTTGAGTACTGAAGTCGCTGTGGACGAAGCCAGAGTTCAGGCTGAAGAACGCCGTCTGAAGCGCAAGTTCGACTGGTTACTTCTCCCTCCCCTGACTGTTATGTGCGTGTTTACGAGTTTTATATAAAGGTAACTACCCACTCAGTCCTTTCGTTAGGTACCTTTGCAATGCTTTGGACAAAGGAAACGTCGGTAATGCGAAGACAGACGGATGGGACAAGGTATGCGAAAACTCTCACAACCCATCCCTAGTACTCAAAATCTGTTATCCTATAGGACGTAGGCCTTGTAGGGAACCAGGTGACAGTCTTGTCCTAATACACATTCAAGCACTAAGCTGACCATGCCTTGACGTGACGGTGTAGTATTATCTGCTCGTCATGATATTCTACGTGAGTATATGCTTAGTCCACTTCTCAAGTCTGATGCTAACCTTAAATAGGTCCCTTTCTGCCTGTAGGTCTTCATTCTTTCACGATGCAGGACGAAGTCACGAGCTACTTGAAGGTCTGGTACACCTATCAGCATTTTCATCAAAAGGTTTAGCGCCGCCAGAGTGCTACCCCTCAGTAAGTGGCCACCACACGCCGTTCCGGCTGCTTTATGCTAACTATGTGGGACTCATTAGTGATGATTGGCTTTGTGCGTACTCTGCGTCATTTTCATCTAGGGCTACGTTGATTGTTCGTGACCTCAGGGATCCATGGCACTTTGTACAGCAGCCGCGAAGAACTTCTCCGAGATATTTGCCATTAGATTCTTCTTGGGGATATTTGAGTCTGCCATGCTTCCAGGAGTGGTCAGTATTCTTTTAATAAAAGGGCACTTCAGCGGTTCTGAATCCATCATTCAAGGTCTTCTATCTATCCACATTCTACAAACGTAACGAACTCGCCTCAAGAGTCGGTCTATTCTATGGTGAGCAAAAGTGACAATTATTCTGTTAGTCTATATTAACAATTGTGTATAGCCGCTTCGTCCATTTCCGGAGCATTTTCGGGTGAGCATCATGCTCTTCGCTTTCACAGTTTGAGTTTTCAACGCGTCGTCGAACAGGTCTCATTGCCTTCGGAGTCTTCCACATCAAGAGTACGAAGTACCATTCATGGCAGTACCTGTTCTGGATCGAGGGTATGTCCCTTGCAATCACGAATCATGATATGGAAAGGTCAATATAAAAATATGGCTTCTAGGTGGATCTACCATTTTCTTCGCCGTCTTCGCTTTCCTTTGGCTCGTAAGTCACGACTAACCTCCTTCCGCACTTCAATATCAGTTCACTAACGTTCCCCCAGCCTAGATCTCCCGCCTCCTGGTGGTTCCTCAGCCCCCGCGAGAAAGAACTCGCTCGACAGCGCGTTCAAGCCGACTCATCCTCTGTCGTTAACGAGAAACTCAACATCCGCACCGCCTTCCAACCTTTCAAGGACTGGCGATACTGGGTTTGGGCGTGGATCAGTCTCGCGCTGGGCGTCCCCCTCGCAAGCGTGAACAACTTCTTGCCACAGATCGTCGCCAGTCTGGGATACTCCACCGTCAAGACGAACTTGTACACAGTGAGCAGACTTACTGGAAATGTTTCACATATAGATTTTGACTGAGCGCTACCTCCACTAGGTGGCTCCAAATGTCGTTGGTACTGTCGCATTGGTCTTACTCACATTCAGCTCCGACTACTTCCGTGAGAGGTCGATCCACATGTGAGTCAAGTGCCACCTAGAGAAGCCTTTCTCGCTGATGATACATACCAATGCTACAGCTGCATCCCGCTCGCAACAGCCCTCGTCGGTTTCGTCATACTAGGATGCATCGACCCTTTGAAAGACAAAGCGGTCGCTTACTTTGCCTGCTTCCTTCTGACCATGGGCGTACGTCTGAAGTTCATCCTAACTCTTATATATTCGACAATACTGACCTGCTGCGCTGCTATGGATTGTGCATAGGCTTTCGCACCGTCTGTTCTTGTGGCGTCTTGGTACTCAAATAACACGATGAGCGAGAACCAGCGTGCGGTTGTGGCCGCAGTGATGGTGAGCTTGCATTGATAGCGTTCCACAACTTCATCCCCCACTCACAACTCTGCATTCCCTATGTTCGAATGGACCTTCGTATAGGTCGCCCTCGCCAATGCTGCCGGTAAGTCAAATGGAGAACATGTTCATATTATATCGGACTGAGCGCAAGACATTCTCTAGGTCTGATCTCTACAAACGTCTTCCGCACGCAAGACGAGCCGAAATACGTCCCAGCTCTCATCACCTCAGGTACGTATAATAAGAACGATGCAGATTTCATATTGACAGGCTTTAACCACTTTTTATCTCTACGCAGCTGTATTCGGAGGACTCTGCTTGGTCCTCGTCGCAAGGTTAGCAAAACCCACACCATACACATTCCTGAGCCCCAGTCACTGACCATGATTGATATGTCTGATGTTTTTGTAATAATAGCCTGGGTGCCTATATGCGCTGGGACAACAGAGAGCGCGATCGCGCGCAGGGTAAGCACATCAGAGCAGGAGACGTATCGACGCAAGAATTGGACGACGGATTCCAATCAGCCTCGTTCCGCTGGATGTACTGATGGGGATGTTCCTGTTACTGCGACGTATATGTATGCCTTGCCGCTTCCGGCCACCGCACTTTGTAGACAAGAGACCGGTGCCTACATATCTTTTCTGTGTTGACACCGGCGGCGTTGACGTTGTGATGATAATGATGACGATGACGATTGGAATCCTAACATATGCATCATTCATGTGTTCCGAGTCGAAGAGATCGTTACCTCGTTCAGAGCTATCGACGATCGCAGTCCAGCCAGCGGAATACGTCCCTTGCTCGTGCTCGAGCGATGAACCTGTAAAATCACAGTAATGACACGCTTTCAATTCGTCGATCTATTACAGAAAATGGGGTTTCCTAAGAAAGGGCAAACCACTGCTAAACACTCGGAGAAGGAGTAACGACTAAACCTGCCTCTGCATGTTTTATTATTGATTATTTTTCTCTTGCGAGAAACGCACGAGGGGCCCAGCAAAGAAGCATGAACCTGCAAAAAAAGGGGAAGAAAATACAGATCACAAAGGCTCAGAAGTGTGTGTGGCCCTAAAAAGACGAGGTTGTGGCGAGTGGCGTCTGCGGGCTTCACATGTTCAGCAACGACAAGATCAGGGAGTTGAGAGACCTAGACATTCGGATGAAAGGCACTCGACCAGAGATTACGGGCAGAGGCTTTCACTGATGGGCTTGCATGATGGCGTCCGAGATGAATGCGGCCGAGACGGGTCTTCCTCCGAACCAACGACCATTGAGACCTTGGACGGCATTGCGAGCCGCGTCGATAGTACCGAACCTAACGTAGATCTCACCCTGTAGGGCATTTTGTGAGCGATATGCAGATAAAGCCGGAGCGTGAACGACGATCCGTACCTGTGTTTCTTTTTCAACCTTGATGCGGTCAACTGGGCCATATTGCTGCTCGCATTCGCCCTTGACGTCTTCAGCCAGCTCCTTATCCCAGTCGCGCTCCGTTTCCCTAAGCACGAAAGTCCATGTAAGCTAATGACCATGTACACCAAGAACTGCGATCTTACTCTTCAGGATTGAACATGTTCTTGAGCAGCACGGACTTCGTCTCCATGGCCTGCGGAAGGTTGGGCTTCGCGCTACAAGGAATACAGCATGGTCAGATCGATACCACTAAACATGATAATATAAAGGAACTTACATCGGCTCCGGTGTCGACCTGCTCGGTTCAATCCTGGCAAGTTTCTGCATTAGCGCTTGACGAGATGCCGCGTTCAAATTACCACCTGTGGAAGACGATAAGCATGCGTAGCCTGCAACGAATACCTGAAAACGACGACGACTTACCGCCAGCTTCATCCAAAGAGTCCTGCTGGGCGTATCGCGCAGTGCCCTTTTCATGCACTGTGTTGACGCGCAACTGATGAAAGTAGCACGCAAGGTTAGCGCCTAAGGCCCCTGCTCAACATGGAATAAAAGACATACCGTACGACCCGCAAGCTCAAAGCCCTCCATTTGCTCCAGGGCCATCTTAGCGTCCTCAGACTTCTTGTATCTAAGAAAACAAGAATTTTAGCAACATGAACCACCTGCTAGCTGTGCAGGTAGACGTACTGGACAAAGGCGTAGCCCTTGCTACGGCCAGTCGTAGGATCCCTGTGGAGATCAACAAACTCCAGTTCTCCGAACGGTTCAAAGACCTGTTTGATGTCACTCTCGGTGAGGTTGAAGTGCAGAGAACCAACGTATAGTCTGTGCGACATGGTCAGAAACGTTCTTCGCAATTCAGACAGGATGAATGACATACTGCATGGACCCTCCATGGGGTGCGCTGACGCCCGGGGGCAGGTTGAGATTTCTGGAGAAATTTGTGAGTAACTAGCCACGGTGAGAGACGAATATCACTCACCCGTCTCCTGGGTGAAGCCTGTTCCTTTCGGACTCAGTCAGTTGAACCATGATAGGGAGCCCCATAACAACAGTGCCACTCAGAGCGATCGCCTTTTCGACCAGTTCAATCGAGCGGAACTCGACGTAGCCAATGCTGTAAGCGAATGTAAGCAAAACCGTCTCTAAATTAGGAGAGGGGAGAGGGAGAGTGGCTCACCCTTTAGAACGCCGGGAGAGTCTGTCTGTGACGATCCTAGCATCAAGCACTGTGTTTTCGCCTAGTTTATCCTCAAAGAAGTAACCCAGATCACGCGCAGTGAGTCGAGCGGCAAGCTGAGAGACGAACACAGACCGAGCTTCGGAATCATCTTCCTTCGGCTCTTCATTCGTGGGGTCGTCCGACTGCTGGGCATACGATGGGGAAGGGCGCCTAAAGAAATACATCAATATATATGAGAAAGAGAACCTGTGAGGAGTATGCGGAAAAAACAGACCTGACAGGTGGCGGTGAGGGTGGTCTGCGATTGCGGCGAGGGGGCCGACCGAAATCGTCATCGGGAGGGGGAGGAGGAGGTCGACGACGGTCGTCTCCTCCTCTCCTCTCATCTCTCCTATACCTAGGCGGATCGTCGAACTCGTCCCTCGGGTCGCGGGGCGGTCGAGGTGGCCTGTCCACCTCGCGTGAAAAGGCCCTCTCAGAGCCCCTGCGAGGACTTTCCTTGCCATGGGAAGAGGCCACGCCATCCTCGACGACCACATCCTCCGCGCGCTTCCTCTTCGACCGTTCCTCCACGTCCACTTCCACGTCCTCGTCGCGTTTCCTCCTCCGTCCATCTTTATCTTTCTCGTCCCGCTCACCACGGTCACGATGACCATGTCTTTCCGTGTCTCGTTCCCTGTGTCGCCTCTCCCTGTCCCTGTCCCGATCAACATCGCGCTCACGATCCCCCCGATGCACTCTCTCCCTCGAACGACTACGGCGTCTTTCTCGGCTACGACTGCGTCGACGACGTTCACGGTCACGGTCCCTATCCCGGTCACGATCGTCGTGGCGCTTTTCTTTACGTTCCTTGTCCACGCCGCGTTCCCTGTCCCTAGAAGTCGACCTGTGAGATCTCCTGGTACGATGCGTATCTGTAGACCTGTCTCGAGAGCGAACACTGCGCAGTGTCAGAGATGTCCAACGAGAGAGTCGATATGGCGGAATACATACGATGCTCGGTCTGAGGGTTTGTCAACGTCCATCTTACCGTTCTCTGACATGGTGGTGGCTGCAGTAAAAGGTGCTCGTCCAAGAGCCGAAAGAGGCGCGTGTCTCGCGAGTCGCCCGGAAAAATGTTACGTAATGCGGGTGGCGGAACAACCTGGAACAACTCGGTGTCTTTTCTATTTTCGGCCACTCAAAAGGGCAAGATATAGGCTCTGCTACAGAGTGCTCCTTGCATAGCTGGCCACGCGAGCCAGGTAAGGAGTATGCAAACTGGTCCTATGTTCGCGGTGCGGAAATGAAAGTTTGATATCTATGTCAAGGACATTGATTACGCTAAACCCCCATCTACAGATATCCTCAGACAATAAAAATCCTTCCTCTAACCAATAACGAGCTTGCCCTCGGCGTCGTTGAAATCGTGTTCGGGAACCTCGAGGTTGAGCTGGAGCAGAGTGGTCAGAATGGTACTTGTCAGGTTAGGAAAGCAAGAACTTACAGGAGCAGGGCCCTTGCGAGCGCGGCCGGCTGTAAGAAAGAAAGCAACGGATTAGCGACAGCGTCATTGCCACAGTCAGAGCCAACGCACAGATATCGTAGTGGGAACCGTGGCACGGGCAGAACCTAACCAGCAAAAAAATACATCAGCGTTTGTTTCCAGCGAAATCCCAGAAACACATACCATCCTCCATAATCACCCGCCTCGCCGATAGGCACACAACCCAAATGTGTGCAAACGCCCAGCATGACCAGCCACTCCGGCTTCTTCGTCCTCGCCTCGTCCGACTCTGGGTCACGGAACGTCTTCCAGTTCGCGCTCCTCGCCTCCTGGATCTCGTCCTGCGTACGATGACGGATGAACACGGGCTTTCCGCGCCACTTGATGATCACGTTCTTCCCCTCGGGAATGCTCGCGAGTTCGACCTCGACCTTGGCGAGCGCAAGAACGTCGGCGGACGCGGACATCGTCTGCAGGAATTCGGTCACGGTGGACTTCGCGACGGAGGCGGTGATGATACCCATGGAACCGATCATGAAGTATGAGAGGGCACGGTTATTGGATTCGGAGGCGGCAGCGTACTCCTGGAGGTCGGGGACTTCGTTCGCATCTCTGCGGACGGCAGTAGTGTGGAGTAAACGAGGTTGAAAGACGCCAGTGGTAGGTGCTGAACATGAACATTAAAAACAACACGGTCAGCCGTGTAGTACATTTCGGACTCTGTCGCGCCATGCGTACCAGTGATGTAAGACTTGTTGAAGACACCGCTCGAAGTAGACCTGTACCCGCCAGCCCACTTGGACGGGGCGTCCGACCTAGGGCCAGGGCCATGACCGTGACCATGTCCCGAGGCGACCGCACGAGCGGCTAGGTTCACCGACGGTGCTGAGGGCGTTCCCGACGCGAGCGTGCGTACGGTGGGGGCGAGGGTGGCATACTTTTTGGAGAAGGAGGCCATGGCTGGCGGTGCCGTTGTATGTATGTAGTGTTTGCGGAGGGGACGAAACGGACGATGAGCGAAATCAAGCGCGCTAATTCGTCCGGCGTTTGCCTTGCCTCCTCTACCCGATCCTTTCCGCGGCGGTCTGCGCCACAACGCCAACCTACATAACCAACAATGACATCGCTCGGTCAGTCCGAGTCTTCGCCGTCGCTCTATTTTTCTCACTTGTATACACCCCTTCAGATGAACAGATGCATTATATGCGCACCGCTCTTGCAGAGGCGGCCAAATGCGAGCCCACTCCTACCGCTTTCTGCGTAGGCTGCGTCCTCGTCACCCACTGGCCATCTCTCCATGACCAACCCCCGGTCATGCTCGCCACAGGCTACTCCCGTGAGCTCCCAGGGAACACCCACGCGGAAGCGAATGCCCTGGCAAAAGCCAACCTCCTCGATCCAAACGAGCTCACCAAATTATTCTCCGGCACTACCTCCATCTCCTTGAACGAGATTCTACGCCACACCGACGTCTACACGACCCTCGAACCATGTTCGATCCGTACCTCAGGTCTCGCACCCTGCGCCGACGCACTCATCGCCGCCAAGATCCGTCGATGTTTCATCGGCGTCGGCGAACCGGACGATTTCGTCAAGTGTGAGGGTGCTCAGAAGTTGAAGGATGCTGGTATCGAAGTCGTCTGGCTCAAAGGCCTCGAAGAAGAATGTTTGAAGGCTGCAAGGCGCGGTCATGATGCATAATGCGTGATACCTAAGGAGCTGGAACACGCTTGATGTTATCAACAGTATTTCTCGTTCTCATTTCTTGGTTGTGTATCCACTGACACTGGTCGCCGCATGCTCTCCATGTACTTTTATTATCCATCCCTGGGTGTTAAATGTAACATCAGCTTCATCCTCTATCGCTTTACTGGGTGAACCCAAATTCTCAACAATTACACAGCTCTCCCCGCACTCCTATCCTCGCGTGGTTGTCGCGTCGCGTCGCGCGACTCATTGCCGTGCCAGTTGCCAGTGCCAACGCGCCATATCCAATTGTCCTATGTTTCATATAATCACAATGCTACTGACACCCGCAGTCCAACTCTTTCCCTTCAAATTATCCCCCATCTTCCTCGTCCACTCTGCCATGACCACCACACTGGTACTTGACGCCCCGTCCCCACCGATGCTGCCACGAATCTGCTCAAAATCCCGCTGCAAAAAGATACTCCCACCAGAGTCCGAATACACCTTCAAGACATGCGAGAAGTGTCGGGCCTGCGTGCGTAAGTCGAAGGCGAAGGCGAAGACTGCCGAGGCAGAGGCTCGGGCTGAGCGTAAGCGCAAACGAGGCGTGGATGGCGAAGACGTTGATTTGGATTCCGGCGATGAATATGAGAATGCGCAGAACACCACAGTAGGTTTCAAGTACGATTCCCCCCATATTATCTGTCACGCACTAACCTCTCTCTCCCTCTCGGGTCTCCAGACATTCCAACGCTTCGACTCCGCCCAAGCCCTTCTCGCTACCTTACAGAAAACATTCCAACACTCGGCCAACATCCGGTTCAGCGGCTCTTATGATCATGAGATCCCAACTGCCGACGTATCGGTGCCAATGACGGACAAAGAGCGCATCGTAATGCTAGCAAATGAAGTGTGGAAAGTGACCGGTTATCGATTCACGTACGTCCGTTTCCTTTCGTCTCTAGGTGTACTTACATTCAACTGTGGCTTATGCGTGGATTCAATGAACAGCGTCCACGACCACGAAACCTTACCCACAGGCCACAAAACCCGCTTCTGGTGCTCCCAGGACCGCGCCCGGAAAAAGAAACCCAAGAAGGCGAAGGACTCAGAACCCGACGTCAAACGGCGCGATAGTACCGAGGGGATGCAACGATTCGACTGTGCCAGTCGTCTGAGTATCACCTGTCGCAGGGGTTCGAGTCCCGCCCTTCGACTCGTTACGCTCAGTATCGATCACCATGCTCGCCATACGGAGTACTGCGATGGGAGGACGCTGCCCGAGGTCCGAACTGCTCTCATTCCAGACACACACCTGAGTATGACAACCCAAACTTCATCGCCTCATCATCCCACAAACTCAAGCTCGAATCACACGCCAACGTCAATACCCAACTAATTTACCCAAGCACTCTCTCTAGCTCAAGCTTTGAACCACACAGGCGCAGATTCAGAGTTACAGACGAGCCTTCATATTTTACCACGACAAATAAAACACATCTCGAACGCGAACTGTTCACAAACGAAGGGGTGCATGCAAATGCAAATAGGGCATATATGTAGCGGTTCACATCTCCAAAATGCGATGTGAACTAAACGCATGACGGGTTCAATATTTCACAATTTTGTCTTGTTGGAGCGTCATAGCTCAATTTACATTTAGTATGAACTCGACGCGAGAGCGGCCTCCTCCTACCTCTCCCTGTTCGCTGTCATGGTTCAAAACAACAGATACACTTTGACAGGAGGCCCGCGTACTGTAGTATCAAGAAGAACCGCGACATCCGAGGTCGTCAGCAAGGAAACGGGGATGCGAGCAGAAGTAGACCCGTCTCGAGAATCCAAACTCAATGTGAACTGAATATTATATCCGGCACCACATCCGGGATTCTGAGTTCACACTTTTCGCTTTCAGAATGATGCACAAAACTGATGTGAACCGCAACGTATATGCCCTAATGCAAAAAAAAAAAAAAACAGGAGCTATGTAAAGACAGACAGGACAAAACGTAAGATAAACGAGGTCACAGAGTAACTAAAACAAAGCGACGAAAGGGTGGTACAATAATCAGAGGCGAGGGGAGAGAAGGGAAACCAACAGTCCAGACGTCCACGGCGGCCAGGCCAGGTGTTAAGTTCGGGAGTACGATAACTATTAACTAGTCGACGACGAACTGTACGGATCGTGCGAGTGGCGAGTTGATTGAATGGAAAAATACTTCACAGAGCGTGCACGTGCATGGGAAAAGGTATATGTGTGAAGATGTACGCGTCCGAACAAAGGTCCTTTATATACATCAGCCGGTCCGCGACACGCCGACCGCGAGATCTCCTACCCTACATCAAGTCATGAACCGATTCAACGATCATCACGTCATGAGCTTAGAGGAAAAGAGCACCAGCCCCAGCGAGGACCGCGGCACCCATGGAGAGCACGATAGCACCCATAGACACGCTGCCTGCCACGACCGTACGAGGCGAACCACTCGTGTCGTTACTTGAGCCGCTGCTGCTGCCGCTCGTGGCTTGTGCAGAGCCGGGAGCGCCAGAGGAGACGGTAGCGACGGCCGTGGCTACAAAAACAAAGTATCAGACCATAGCCATCGAAAGTTCTCGAGGGAGAGACGTACCCGAGACCGCTGGCGGGTTGGTGCTGTTGTCGTTGGTCTCGATATAGGCATCTGACAGTGGGAGGTTCAAGCAGCTAATGACGGGCATGATGTTGTACGATCCGTGGGCGATAGCATCAGGAAGAATGTATCCGCTGTAAGACATGCAAGTGTTAGCACGAACATTGACACTAGACGTGTTAAGTAAACAGCGCGTACGTGGCCAGCTCGACGGTCTGCTGGAACAGGTCGTGCTCCAAGACGATAAATCCGGTATCGATAGCGGAGGCGTTGCCCATAATGTTCTCCCAGTTCTGAAGAACCTGTTGGGGCGTGATCGTACCAGCATGGATGTCGAAGTCTGTCGAAAGTACGAATTCATCAGTATTTTTCGAACTAGGAAGTACGGCCTACAACAGTACGTACCTCCGGTGTCGAATGTAGCGGTAGCGCTAATACGAGTCCAGATGACAGGCGTCAAGCCCATCGCTTTGGCAATAGCACGAACACGGTCACTGACGAAAAAGGAAATTGAAGTACGCGTCAGACGCTGTGGCGCTAAAGTTGAAATTTTCCTAATGAACACCATACTCACTCGATGTCACCGAATGGAGGACGGAACTGATTGGGAGTAACACCGAGAACGTCATAGATGACCTTCTTGGACCAGCCGAACTCGGCGATGATTTCTTCGTTGGAGAGCGTGGTCAAGGACGGGTGCGACCAGGTGTGGACGGCGATCTGGTGGCCGGCCATGTACTCTTCTTGCAACATCCCGGGGAAAGAAATCACACGGGAACCGACTGTGAAGAAGGTTGACTTGAGGTTGACTTGGTCGAGGTATGCGAGAAGGTCGGGAGTGTAGCTTTGAAACGCAAGAATGTTAGTGAGGCAGCGCTGATATGGCGGCGGGTAAATATCGACTTACAAGGCGGGTCCGTCATCGTACGTGAGACCTAGTGAAACGTGTTAAAACGAAAGCTGGGAAAGAACGGGAGACAACGCGTACCCCAAGTCATTTTGTCCGGGCAGTCGACGATGTCGGTATCACGAGTGTAGCCACCGCAAGTCCACCAGCCATTTTGAGAAGCGTTTGTGACGGCGTTTGGGTTGGAGGGGCATCCACCAGCAACGGTCAGAGGGATATCAGGGATGGTAACGCCAGAGTTGGCAACATCCTTGATCCACTGCTGGACCTCGGCCGAGTCAGTGGGAGGAGGTGTATCTGAAGGGCGGAACGCGGGAATTTAGGCGACAAATGAATTGATTGTGTAAAATGAAAGACAAACCTAGGGCGGGGTAGTTGCTAGGCGAGAGCTTCGAGACTGCAAGTCATCGTAACAGAGTGTGTGAAAAAAAGACATTATTCAGCATTCCTGCCATCACGCGTTTCACCGGGAGCAGAAAAAAGAGTTCGAACTGGACGATTGTGAGAGAACATGAGGACTCACTATCTGGAAGACCTGGTGCTCCAGAGATCGCTGAAGGCGTTGAACCAGCAGCGAAAGTGGTAGTGACAGAACCAGTGGCTGCCGAGGGTGCATTGGATACAATCTGGGTAAGTGGCACGGCAGTGGGGTTGGTAGACAACAGCGACACCGAGGGGGCTGGTAGAGAAGAGGCCCCGCTCGATGCGGCGGTTACAGAAGCACCGCTGGCGGACGAGCCAGAGGCAGCAGAAGTGGACCCGCTCGAACTTGCGGCAGCGGAGGATGAAGTTGTGGATGCCTGGCGGGCTTGGAATAGATGGTTGTTATTGTGGCCGAGGGCGAGTGCCGGGAGGGCAGCAATGGAGAGGGTGGTGAGCAGAAACATGGGCGGTGAGGGTTCGGAGCAAAGAGCGACTGGACGAGACGTGGAGAAGCAGAGACAAGAGGCGAACTGGGCTCCACTCGCTTCAGGCAACCGTTCCTCACGGTGACGATGGCTGGCTTGGCGCCCAGCCCGTCGGCTCCCTCCGGTCCCTGCTTCGTCTTTTTTCGGGCCACAACGAACACTCAAAGCAGCAGTATATAGCACAGTCAGTCAATCCGCTATCGAAACAGAGGGCATATATCATAGAAAAATAACAAGTCACGTCCAGTCTGCCACTTCATGCCTGCTTCGCCTTCTTTGCCCGCGGCTTTTCGAGGTCAATCTCCTCCGCGTCCTCGTCATCATCGTCGCTGTCGTCCTCGTCGTCCGTGAGGTCGTCGTCCATCCGCCCCGTGAAGAAGTCGATGGCGTCGGGGAATACCTCGTTGGCGATGATCACGCCGAGCTATACCACAGAAATAATCGTCAGTCATCGCCACATCACAAGAGTCTGCAAGAAAATAGCACGAACTTCGGCTTGGTCTTTTGTTCCCGCGAAGAAATTGAAGAAGCTCCCGGGGTCCGCAATGTCGTCTTCGTCCAGGACCTGCGGGTACAGCTTCTGCAGGTTTTTCGAGTCGTCCTTCCAGTTGATCGTCGACGGCTACCGTTCATCAAAGTCACGACTCAGCACGTTTCATAGCTTTTTCGCTTCAGCACTGCACTAGGCCGCTCACTCACCTCGATGGCGACGTCACGCTCCCACGAAAAGTCCTCCATCGACGGCGTCAGACCGTCCGCATCTGGTTTCTCATCTGCGGCCGCATTCGAAGGAACGAACTTGTACACTTTCTTCAACACCGCGTCGCTGAAGAACGGGTTCTCCTTGAAGTACTGCATTCACGAATAACGCGTGTCAGCCTACACACTCAGAATAAAGAAAGAAAGAAAGAAAATACGCACGAATTCGATAGTGAACACTTTGGGCTCGTCTTTGTCCCGCACGATCCAGAGATCCTCGAGGTAGCTCAACGCGAGCTTGTCCGTGTGATGCTGAGCGTGCATCTCGATCAACCTGTGGTTCATCAGCGCGACCGCCCAGAAGCGCGGGATGCCCTTCAACACCTCTCTGCGCTTCTCGTACACAGGGGTCAACGTAGCCTGTGCGCGGCGCTCTGCACGCGTCAAGAATAGAAAGAGTAACACACAGTCAGCATGGAACTCGTAGGCTTCATGGGGTGATGGAAAGACAAAGGGCAGAACGATGGAAAGAAGGGAAACATACCGAGGATGAGCTCAGCACGACGAATGTCCTTCGCGATCTGGTCCAACTTCGCAGCGTCCTCCTCTCCAAGCTCAGGCTCCGGAATCGGGTTCTTCTCAGTCTCAGCCCCAGGAGACGCGCGCTTCGTGCCTTTGGCCATCGTGTCTTATTCTTTTGAGTTGCGGGGTGTGGGTGTAGGGAAGGTGGAGCGAGCGGTCGCTTTTTTGTTGAAGGATGGGATGCGGCAGAAAGAGATGCGAACTGGCGCTTGAATGGAGAGGAAGGGTGGAAGGTGAGAAAGAGTTGGATGAGAAAATATTTGTTAGCGGGCCTGTTACGCTGTGGCGCGACGCGTCACGGGAGAAGATTTTTTTGGATGCCACCCCAGAACGTTCCGGCCCGGGCGCATGTTCAACATTCAAAGCGTAACCATGACGCGACGCGTCGCGTCGCGCTCGCTCCTTATCTACGTATACGCGACACCTCGTATCGGGCGAGAACTTGTCATTTTACGATTGCTGGCACATTGAGCCATTACACAATAATTGTTCGTACTGATAAATACGTAGGAAACGCATCGGGAAAATATGGCCAGCCACGACTTTGACTACTTCAGCGCATACCGATCCGGAGCCACACCCTCTTCGTCCGCCTTGATTTCTGAACAACACCTTCATCAGTACGCGTCAAAGTGGCTAGTAATCAAACAACACATACGAAGGGCCAAATAACGGGAGTACGACCTCGCCATTGAAAAGTTTCCTGTTCCGATCATCGTAGCGTTAACCGCCACTGTGCCAGCCGACGTTGAAGTAAGTAGATGACTTACCGGACGCGTACCAAAACCTCTCATGACCACTATATCTCCATACACTACGAATTTCACCTTCCTCATTGAGCCCCCAGAACGGGACCAAATGCCCAGCGACTTCGGCTCCGCAGATATCCCGCACTATTTCTCGTGGATCTCCAAAACTATAGATTTACGAGGCGATAATTCGGTCAGTGGTCCGAAAATACTGAGTGTTTGTAGCACAACATAGAAGGACGTGATACTCACCCGGTAGCAAGGACAACAAGATCCACGTCGATCTCTGTTCCGTCAGAGAGTCTGACGCCGCTCGGGGTGTATTCTTTCAGAGCGAGGCCGGATACGAACTTGATACCCCCATTAGCGATAGATTCGCTCGCTCCAGTATCTTAAACGTAGACAAATAAGATGTGAGTAGCTGTGCAGGAATATGACTACGACACGCAACAAACCGATATAATATCCTCCACCTCGAGACCAATACAGCTGCATGATCCCAGCGTCGTCTGGTCCCATATTCGTGCGGAAGTCCACAGCATTCAGCTTCTCGCGCAAACCCCTGAGGAGTGGTACACCCCACCACCGTATACTGTCAGCGCATTCCAGTAACTGTGACTATCACGAACTCGAGATCATGAAAAGTTCAAATCGCTCAACTTGTCCATACCAGCCGCAATCCCAGGAAACACATGTTGGTGCATGAGCTTGGTGACTTGAGCAGGCGTAGAAAGTCCTAGAAGATCTGCTACATCGCGGGGAACAGGGCTCGAGTCTGCCCAGAGGCCTGTATATCAAGGAAATTTCGACTATGATGAGATATACTGGGAGCGTGGATACGACCGTCTACATACCTAGAATCGCCTCGATGGCTCTCATCGAGATGACATATGTGGATGAGCGTTGGAGCATCATCACATCCACCCCGGTCTCATGTAAATATTGCGCGATGTCATGGGCTGTATCATACGCGCATCGTTCTCAGCGTCATGTAACATCAAGTAGTGGGCGCTGCAATAAACAAATACCTGAATTACAGGCTCCAACCACAAGAGCCTTCTTCCCTTTATACGCACTCGAAGACTTAAACTCACTCGAATGCAAAATATCACCTCTGAAATCCTCCTAAAACTCCCCTTCAGTACAGTCCGTCCCCAGAGGTAAGGCAACGAACCTTTCCCGGAATTTCAGGTCTGTAAGCCAGCCTCGGACTCGCCGTACCCGTGGCAAACACCAGATGCTTGACTCTCAGGTCCTTCTCCTGGCCCTCGCGCGTGACTTTGACGCTCCAAATTTTCTCTCTAGGATTCCAGACGGCGGCGTCGATGATGGTGGATGTCCAGACGTTGATTTCCAGTGTGCGTGCATAGGATTCATGCCAGTCGCCGAGCTGTGCCGATATACCGAGGAATAATGAATCTTGCAGGAAGAAGGTAACATAGAGCATAGTTTCATACCTTGTCTTTAGACGGATACACAGGCCACACGGTTGGGTAGCTATGGAGAGTCAGCCCGCAGGAAGATGTCTACGACTTTGCCTTGCAAGGACTCACGAAAAGAACGGCATGTGATCGGCCCCTGCGACAAACACCGATGTCAACACCTCATTATTTCCATGTCATCCAATGAATGAAGGAAAGAAACTGACATGTGGGATCATGCAAGCACAGTGAGTCGTACCGCTTCCTCCACTACCACCACATCAATCAGCTCCTCACCCTCTCGACCAGACCGTGCAAGAAACAGAAGAAGCAACGTACGTTATCCCCCACACGCGCGTTCTTTTCCACGACCAGAGTAGATACACCAAGCTGACGGAGTTGGGCTGCTGTATCCAGGCCGCAGTGTCCCGCTCCTATTATGAGGACGGAAGGGTCACCATCTGCAAGGTCCATCTCACGTCGACGGCGTTCATTCCACGTTCTTTCCGGTACAGGGGGTCTCTGAGGAGATTCCTATTGATAGACCCAATGTGCGAATGATGCGGAAGAACTATGTTAGTACCGGTTTCGTTCGCAAATACTGGAAACAATTGAAAACTTGCCTTCGTGGCCCAGAGTGACTGGAGCGCAGTGAATACCGTATACGCCTTCCACGTTCCATCGGGCAGAGGCAAGAGTCTCACTATGCCCACACACCTCCCCAGCGCGGTATCAAACCCAAACCCAAACTGGATCCAAAACAAGTCGAGGTCAGGGAATGGTTTGCTCAGGGTAGGAGAAAGATGAGTATCCTTCGATATGGCAAGTGAGGACACTTGAAGACCAGAGGTGAGAACACGATCCGTGAAAAGGGCAGTGATGCGGGTGAGACCCTGTATGGATCGATAATCCCATGTGAGCGCTAGGAGATCCCTCCAAGCCGCATCCTCGACAAATAATTTGTTAAGAGTGGATGTGTCTTCGGCCCTGATAGCGTTGGAAAAGGAATCGAGCCATTGTTTAGCAATGTCCGCAGCGCAAATGTCCGAAGCGACAGTAGACCGTAGCTTGGACAAAGTTGGCAGAGAAGAGTGCGGTGTGGCACCGCTCAGTGGAGATGACATGTTGGGCCTATTCGAGTTGGACGAAACGATTTCCTCGCTCGTCATGAGGGATTATATACGAGCCTAGAATAGAACAACATGGGAAGGTCAAGGTCTTCCATATATCCTTGACAGGGGCTAAATGTGACCCACCATGTAGTCCAGATACTACATCCAGTCGGCGCGGTTCACACACCGATGAGACATTCTTACCGTCGGGAAAGGCTGAAGTCATCCAAAGGGTAGAGAACATAGGTCTCCTGAGCAACAATTCGACGTCATCCAGCACTTCGAGACGATGCGAAGGCGGGTGAGCAAGGGAGCAAGATACTATTTTGGCTCGTAGAGTGTGAACCGAAGTAGAGCTGACCAGCTTTGAAAGGACGTGGGCACGCATTGGCATCGAAGCTTGCAACATCGAATAGGATGTGTTATACCAGGTTATATCAGGCACTTGTCGAAGAGAACGGCCGATAGAACAATCTTAGTTAGCCAGCCAGAGAGTTAGCCACCAGCGACAGCCCAATCTTCGTCAGAGAAAGGAAAAGGTGCACGTCCAAAATCTAGGCGGACTTTTATCGTAGTGGAGGCAGAGAATTCAGAAGATGAATCTTCTAAGGCGCAAATTTCGAGGCTGTCAAGGACAAAGTTTGTGAGACTGCAAAGGACAACTCGGAAAACGGCTATGCAAGTGGACATACACGGCATATCGAGGCATATCTACCAAACACTCCTCTTGGCAGCGCAAGACATTCTCTGGGATCCTCAGGTGCTGCTGAACGTAGCATGGATTCATGTCGTAAACTATAAGTAAGTGGTCCAAAACAATGCTGGGTATAATAACTATACAAACCTATGGTATGAAAAAAAGGAAAGCGAACCATAAACATGTTAATAATGACTGAACATAGAACATAAATGTGACCTGAACCAAAAGGACCAGAAAACCGTCTCCTCCGCCAGTCCGTCTACCTCGGAGTCCCAATCGTACTGGTCCTCTCTAATAGCCCCTTCACCCTCCTACTTAACCTCTCTGCCTCCATCTTCCTCTCCCAGACCTGATACGCTGGCATCTTCTTCTTCGGCAACCATGCTGCCACACCAGGCCTCGCCGTCCCGTCCGCGCTCTTCGAGTTTCGCACAGACAAGTCCACGATGCGTGGGTTGGAAGAGAACTTGATGACATCCCGGTAGAGAACCTTGCGCTCCGTTGCTAGAGAACGCAATGTAGGAGGCGTGCTCGGTGTTTCCCCATCCGAATCATCCGTATCGGAAAGACCTGAGGCAACGAGTGCAGGTGTTGGAAGGCGACTGGGAGAGGACGAAGGTAATGGCGGAAGTTCCTGGATCTCTTTGAGGAGATCTTGGCCCTTGAGATATGCATTCTCCTGCCGCAGGTACCGAACGGCTCCGCGGAATGCCTCGATCTGTAGTAGTGTATATGGTTCAGTCAACGCATCTGATGTAGAAACAAACATGCTCCTAACCTGCTCTAAGAGATGCGATGTCTCAAGATTACCCTCAATCTGGATATTCTCCGTCTCAGGCACGACTACTCCGGAGGCTGTAATCAAACGGTGTCAGCACCATCAGACGGGGAACACTCAGGGTGAACGAACCTTGTCTTTCTGGATTTGCTCCTGCTGCCTTCAACTTCTGATTTTCCTGCTCCAGATTATCCAAGTCCGCTTGTAACTGCTCGATGGCATCCTCATATGCCCTCTCCTGCTTCCTCGCCTTGCCTAGCTCTCCTTCGAGATCTGCGATCGTGTCCGCCTGCTTCTTGACTGTCTCCATCCGTCGCTCCATGAGCTCGATCTTGACGGTCGACTCCTGAACGTTCTGTTCCTTGAGCTTGAGATTCCGGACGAGGCCTTGCATCTCTTCATTCAATTGGGCGACTTTGCGTTCGGCTTCGACGTTCACGGCAAGGGCAGCCTTGACTTCGTCGACTCTGCGGACCCATGGGGCAATGCCGGTCACTGCAAGCCAAAAAAAAAAAGTTCAAAAGTGAGCGATATACAGGACACTGTATTAGTCGAAGACGCACATTTCACCACATTACTGGGGTCCATAGTGATAGGAAGCAGAGCATTGGCCTCGGCGATGACTTGCGAGATCGCATCGCTCAGAGCACCCCAGCACGTCGCGACGTCCTTTCTGCTCTTCCAGACGGTCGACGTTGCCACCTCATTAGCGATATTCAGAACCTTTGATAGCTGGAACGGAGTCTTTGATCCTTTGGCATCAGACACGTGAGGCATCGTTTGTTGGGCAAGCTGTGTCGAGCTCGCGATCAATACACGAACTCAAAACTAGACGGTGTAACGAAAATGACAACGCACCTGAATACCAAAATTGACGAGCTCCGAGACAAGATTGGACAGGGACTTCAATTGCGGAGCCAAGCCTGCTTTCAATGCCGACGACTCATGGGTCAGGTCCTCGAGCCGCCTGGTCAGTTTCCTGTGACAAGATGGTAGAGTGTCAACAATATTACTGAAGTAGCGTTTAGATGATACGCACCTTGATATCATCTTCGCAGCCTTGTATTGATCTAAGGACTTCTGGATGGGTTCAAAGAATACAACCTGAGGATCAAGTTCACCCAGCTCTAGGATCATGTCTGCACACAGAAATGTGAGTCGGTGGCCAAATTTAATGCAAAGAGACACGATAGCCAGCTGCGTACCTTCATCCTTCAGTACTCCTTCAACAGCTGTCTTTGCCAAACCAACTGAAGAGGCGTAGATGTCAAGGTCGTGGTCCAACGTGAGCACGAATCCAAGCTCGCGCTCGCCTACGTCGAGGTCGAACCCTTCGAAGTACGTCTCAGCGAGATGGTCAAACTGAGCCTGGATCCTGTTCAATAGCATCAGAGAATCAGTTCATCGTCCAAGTGGGAAACACATGCAGGCACACTCACTTGGCTATATCGCTGACGCATTCTAGCTCCCTGAACTCTTCTCTGCGAAGAAGGTCGATATGCATGTCAAGCCGTTTCTCCATAGGTGCGATCTCCGGGTAGAGCCTTCCGACGTTGAGGAAAGTATCGACGTCGCAACGTCGGAGGATAGCTGCGAACCGTTTACAGAGTGTCGATACGTATGCAATCGAACCCCTCATCTAATATAGCACCCATCCGATCAGATCTCAACAATGCTTATGAGCAATGAATGAGGGGACGTACTTCGCATACGCCGACGAGCGTTTCTGTCACAGAACCGTTGAGCGAGTCTGGTAGGCCGTGTACTTGAGCGGAAACAGAGTTGATCAAGTCCGCCTTGAGCGCCATTCTCTGGAAGAACATGTAGCAGTTCGTGGCATCGCTGTCGCTCTCAACATAAACTTGAGGCAAGTAGGGCTAGACCGCACATTGGCATGCAGGTAAGTAAGCGAGGACCATGAAAGTGTTGATGCAAGACACGCACCTGGACAATGGTCAAGAGCTCGCGGGCTTCCTTCGACTCGATGCGCTTGACTTCCAAGTCGATGTTCTTCGCCTGGTTCTTAGAAGCTGTTGATTGAAGCTTCATGTTGAGTGACATGACAGCTGCAGATTGCGATGCCGCCGCAGCGTATTCAGATTGAACCGTCTGACTCTCATTTCTCGTTTTGTCAAGCTCGCTGGAGAACGATCAGCGCTTCCACTTTTGACTCCACAGGACATGTATAACGTACCTTTGAAGTTGTAGTACGAGTTCTCTGAACTGGACAATGGTGCCTTCTAGATCCTGGCAGACCTCTTCAAGGGACTCGATCTTCCGTTTTTGATTGTGGATCTCCATGTCTTTCTCGTCTGTTCAACCAGATGAATAGAAGTTCAGCGCCATACACTATTACAATTTGCTCACTGATGTCCTCCTGCAGGGCCTTCTCGGTGTCGACATGGTTCTCTTCCAGCTCATCACTGAGCTCTTTGAGAGCCTCGAGATCTTCGATGGTGATTCGCATTTCCTCGATTTTCTGTCGCCGATCAAGTCAGGGTCTACCCAGAGACATAGAAAAGCAAGTGATTGCCGTACCTCGCTGAGCATGAGATTCCGTTCCGTGAGTTGAACCAACATTTCTTCTGCGCCAAGGGCATCGTCGAGTTGAAGCTTGAGATCCTCGACCTGGTTCTCCGCATTTGACAACTTGATGAGAGTGGATTCCAACTCGGCTGTATCCACAAGAGTTAGTCGAATGTAGATCGTTTTAAACCTTCTGCTTACCATGGAGTTCCTCCACGTCCATGATATCTTTCTCCATCTCTGCAATCCGCTTCCGGTTTTCCTGTTCGGTCTCGGAAGTTATATCGCGCAAGCTGGGCGACAGAAATGATAAGGATGAGCATAACTCTTCAATAAACGCGAGGCGCACCGGACGAGAGCCTCCTTGAGTCGTGCATTCTGCTTCTCAAGCTGAATATACGCCAAAGAGCCTGACACTTGCGGATCAGTACCCTCTTCGACCACAATCCCTTCGCTCTGCTCTTTCTCCTTCATCACTTCCAACTCAACCTCCGCCACTGCCAGTTTCTCTCTCAACTCCTCCAACTCCGCCTCCGCGACTTCTGCCCTCTCTTCCGCCACCTCCTTATCCAACATAGACATCTCCAACTGCTCCTGCACATCCAACATCCTGCTCTCCGAGAGCTCAGACAGCTGTTGGGCATCCGCGAGTTCGCGCCGGGTGGCAATCAGCTCGGTTTGTTGGGAGTTGAGCTTTGCTTGCAGCTTGGGGCGGAGAGCAACGAACGACTCGGCTTCGCTGAGCTTGATTTCGAGTTCTCGAACATGGCGGGCGTCGTCAGCGCGTTTGGCTTCTAGAACGCGGATCTTCGCTCGAAGTTCTTGGAGCTCTTGAAGCTCTGCCTCGAACTGTGGAGGAGGCTGCGAGGCAGTCAATACTTGTTCTTTGAGTACGTCAAGGGCTCGAACTCACCTGTTCTGATAGCAAAGGTGACGATGACGGCGGAGGCACGTCTGCTAAGGGATTGGTGGGTGATTCTACAGGTCGAGGAGGAGGCGTGGGTGACCGAGGGGGTGGAGGTGGCGGTGTAGGCTCTGGTGCGGGTGGCTTGGGAATCTTGAAAGCAAGTGGTCGTGATGTAGACGGAAGACCCTGTGAAGGAGTTCCACCTTTTGGTGTACGTGGTGCAGAGCCATTCGGATTTGAAGCGGTTGGGTCTATAGAGGACTTCCGACGGTGGTGCCCACCAATAGATGCTCGGACACCAGGGCTCGCTGTGGCCGACGGAGGAGCGCGTTTGGTGGGGGAAGGGGGCCCTGGTCCGAGACGAGAGCGACCATTGGGCGCAGGTGATGTACCTGCTTTCGGTGGACTTGTGGCGCGAGGAGAACCAGGTGGCACAGACGAGCGTACAGAGGGCACGCGAGGTGAACTTCCGCTGGCTCGAACAGAAAGTGAAGGGCGCTACAAACTGGTCAGCAGCGCGTCCAAGAATAAGAATCGACGCGACGCACCCGACTACTCGCAGATGCCGCTGCCACCGCTGCCACCGCTGGCACTGCTGCAGGAGGCTCTGCCACGATGACCTTGACCTGGCTGGGTCGGACGAATACGCCGTAGTTGAGCTTGCATTGGAAATAAGAAACGCCTCCAATAGACCCGTCGTTCTTTCCTTTGCCCTCGAACAATTCTATGCCAATCCATTTGCCTGCTGCGAATGATGTTGTTCCGGCAAAGCGGACCACACCGCGTCCGACCGGGATTTCTACGACAGCACCTAGCTGTGGCTCGTGGGACGCCATGACGCGTCCCTGTATGTCCGAAAAGCTCTAGTGAAGGAAAGGCTGAAGGAAGGCAAGCTAAAGGTGGCCGAGAAGGAGTAGATGCCAAGAGCGAGTCAGTAATGGGGCAAGCAAGGGCAAGCAGCAGGAAGCGAACGCGTCTACAGAGTCAACAGTTGATTTCAAACTCCGAAAGGACCATCTGTAGTCAGGACTACAATCGTGGACTGGCGCCCCTTCCCTCCTGCGTCCATCACCAGCCGCGGTCACCAGAACTCCCCCTCGTAGCTGAGTAGGAGAGGCAGGCTGTAACATATTCATTCAATTTCTCCAAATCCGATTCCATGACAGTTGTTTAACTTACATGTAGAAAAAACAGTACACTCTCGAGGCTTGCGTCGAACGATCAACGCCCATCCTCTGCCATCATCTCATCTCATCTCATCGCCTTTCCTTTCCCGTTCCCGATAGGCGTCTCAGAGAAATCGTGCACAAGCTTTCCCGAAACATTCGATAGTCAGCGCATTTTCCTCGAGTTCTTCTCTGGGACGAATCTACCTTCGGAACAAGGCACAGGGTTTGGTAGACCTGAGCATCTGCTGCATTGCACACGTATCTCACCCTTGAGCGGCAATCCAACATGGCAAAGGTTCTGCCTCGTCGACCTCACTCGGAGTCCAAACACTCTTAGATGTTCCGAAACTGTCTACTGACACACTACCTTTGTGCCCTCTGGTCGTCTCCCCACAACAGGGCGCTCTTCCCTTGAAGTGCTGACAATCCATGTCCACGGTATGACCAATGACACCATGCCTTGCTACATAAATGACCAAGAATCCTGACTGTCGGTCGTAAATCCATGCTCTTCGCTGACTCTACATCTAGTGGATCAGCAAATCATTACAGCGGGGCAGTGGTCTGTTGATGTTTTCTCGGAGGTTGATCAGTCCGTGAGAGGAACAGCTGCCTCAAAAGTCAGCTTGATCTTGCACCAGACATTCACTCTGAATCGCGTTTCACTTTTATTTAGGTTGGGCCATATGGGCTTGAAATGCTTATAATAAGTATTCATCTGTTGCATTTGTCAACTGACGATCACCGGGACTAGGTGCGTGTCATAGTGGCTGAAGCCTTTAGGAAAAGGCAAGGATGTGGAGGATTGGATGCCTGAGGAATATCTCGGAAGTTTGGCATATCGTACCCGAGCTGAAGTTAGGTGCATATATGTTTCCGCGGCATGCTTGTGCACGCTAACCTTTTCTACAACAGACCGCGAAATTACTTGCACTTCGTCGCGCTCCGATCTCTGCGGTGTTCTCGTAGACGCGCCTCTGGGCAACCCTAGTCATAGTAGCCCGGGAACTTACTGTACATAACAAATCGCGCTGAGCGGACCCTGAACGCATTTTTCTTTCTATATATGCTCCCCTTGATGTAGGTCAACAGGTTCGCTTCTTCCCTCCAACCCTCTCGCTATGTCATCGGCGATGTCCTTGCTTGATCTCGTCACAAGTCTGGGGGCAAAACTGGAATCAGCTGTTGAATATCACGGAAGGTGAAGCTAACTCTATGCCTATTGCCTTTTTTCTTACCCTGACCGATTGCATCTCTGTCCTCGCAGCGCACGTCTGGAGTTGCACCACCTACCAGTACGTCGATGTAATTTCATCCTCCACGAGTTTGCCACTGTAGCTGACTAATGTGCGTGGGCTCCGGTCTACTTTTAATGTCTAGTTCGACGTACTACAGCAGTTATCCGACATGCTTCCTCGCCTTCAACTCTCCGTGATGCGAGCGCAAAATGTCCACTCGAGCATCAATCGTCTACCCATAGAAATCCTCGCTCACATCTTCGAATTAGCGAAGACGAGCGATTGGAGGGTATACGGTGACCAGCAATCCGGTCGCATCGTGCGGATGTCGCTAGTATGTCGACATTGGCGGCACGTCGCCCTCGGATTTCCCTCCCTATGGTCGACTATTCAACTGCGCCACGAGTCGACTTACAACTTCGAATTTGCTGCCCTCTGCCTCGAACGGTCCAGATACTCTCCGCTCACCATCGTCATTTCGACATTATTTCGGGGACCGCAAATAGGAGAATTTTTAGCTCCTTACGCCTCAAGAATACGGGGCGTTATGCTCCTTGTACCGTTTCGGTATGCCTCCACGAACGTCGGCTCCTATATTCTTTCCACGTGTCGGTTTTCTGCACCCAATCTTCAAAGTTTGCGCATTTCTGCGCCGACCTGGGCCGCTAACGCGCCTCCCGTCCTTCCAACGCTCTTCAATGACAACATCCCTAATCTCAAGCAACTTCACATCGAATCCTTCTCGTCCTGGCCAGGGCATTGCTTCACTCGCCTCGCTCACCTTGCCATTAGTTGTCAGTCGCAATATGAGCATCGATCGTCCATGACGAATATGCTGGACGTCCTCGAGGCCAACCCGCTTTTGGAAGAAATCCTCGTTGACGATGCCTGCCCTTCGCTTGAGAGCCTCGCTGGTCGACCACGGGTTCGCCTCCCCCGCCTACGTCTCATATGTTTCATTGTCTCTCTGTCAGATAGCGAGCTACCGTCTCAACTTCTGTCACATCTCGACCTGCCGCGGGAAGCGACGATCCGCATCCACCTCGACATGATGCACACGGCCGAACAGAGCGCATTATCACCATTTCCCACCGATCTTCGTCCTCTCGCCGCGTTCACCTCTGTGGACCATCTCATCCTCCGAGACGACGTCGTGGTGTTCAACGAACCCAGCCTTCTCTGCGCTGCTGTTGGGGCAGACTCCGGCGTCGCCGTATCGCACAGACTACGAAACGCCGATCCGTACGGAAAGTGGTGCCATAAAGCAGTACAGAGTTTCTTCGAACCCGTCTCTTGCGCTTCCATACGGAGCCTATGGCTTGCGATGAATCGCACTGCAGACGGGTTCGGAGTAGACGAGTGGAGAAGCGTCTTTGACGCATTGCCGGATTTGGAGGAGCTCACCATCATCGACCATCACCTACCACCCATTATCGCTGCACTTCGTCCCGTGAATGACGTCGGACCTTTTCCAGTACCGAAGCTAGCAAAACTGCGACTGATTCGTCCGCGGGCGTTGGACGTGAACATTCTTACTCGTACGGCCGAGGAACGCAGGCGCCTCGCCCGTCCCATCACGAGCATCCATCTTCTTCCGAACATAACATTGAAGGCGGCCCGTTCGTGTGGACTAGAGAGGTTAAGAGATTGCTGTGGCGAGGTCAGGGTGCTGCGTTCGGATGAAGAACCAATTTTCCACCAGCCGACCGAGATGGAACGAGTACCTTTTGGGAGAGATATCCCTGGACTCTACGAATAAGTCGGTTAAACATACTTGACCCCTCGCGTTTTGGTTTTATAATCCATCGTCTCATCTCCAACATATTGAATGCCAAACCGGCGTGATGCTTTCTACGACTACAGTCTAATTCTGTCGACTATCGGCTGCTTGAGTCTGTCGCAGGGTTATCTACCTCCGCACTATGTACCAGATTTTATTATGCATTACTAGTACAGCCAGTACAGTCATGCCCGTATATCCTATTGCAGCTCTCATGGTCAAATTAGGAATCAATGAACTTCGAACAGGACCAGAATTAGGCCATGTAACGGCCTAATAGTATCACGGTGTCGGTGATGAATTGAAGCGGAGCTTGAATGCCTGGCAGATAAGGCACTGACCTGACACGGCGCCACGCCCTCTGCCACTCACCGCCACCCTCCTCTGCCACAGCTCCAGCCACAGCTACCAGCACTTACAGCCACAGGACCCACTCAGAGTAGAGAAAATCAGTTGAGTTTTTGCAGCAGGGACTTTGTTGAGACACCTCTTCAGTAAGCACCAGTCGCAATGGTCAGAGCTCATATGAAGCAAACGGTGAGCACTACTCTCATTGGTTCCCAGCTGTCCCTTGCCTTCAGCCACCTGACGCCCGGTAATTTGGGCTTGTTTGCGAATTCGTCGCGTCGCGTCGCGGGTGTGGCGTACAGAGCGAGGAGAAGAAGGATACGCAGAAAAGGACGTCCAAGGCACCCACAAAGAAGAAAGCAGATACGGGTGTATGGCCATGTAAGATCGAGGGATGCAACAAGGAATTCGCTCGGGAAGCAGATCTGAAGAGACATCAGCGGACGACGAAACTGCACTCGCAGCCTGGGTTGTGCGTATCTTCCTCTTCTTTAGCCTGTACGTCCTGCTCAATCACTGTATTCCTATCAGTGCGTGCCCACAGTGTGAGGCGACGTTCACAAGGGTGCGCTTTTCAGCTGCTTCCATTGCTTTCCCTATTGAGCCCATGCATTCTCTAGACGGATGCTTTGCGACGACATCAGAAATCGCGGTATGTTCCATTCATGATCATTTTCAAAGTCGGTTCACACTCAGATGAGTTGAGGGTTTAGGCATAATGGCGTAATCATTGAACCAGACGTTGACCAAACCAAGGAAGACGGTCCAGTCGCCAGCGGAAGCGGTTCTCAGTCACCGAGTCGCAGTGGCACACCCGGCTCGAAGGGTAAAGCACCAGAAGCCAGCGTAACCTCGACTCCTGTAGCAACAGTCCCTCCTGGCATGCCTCCTCCGAACGCGCCTCCAAGCTATTATCAGCAACAAAGCATAAATCCTAGCGTGTTCCCGCCTTACTCGCGTACGTCTAATACCCTCGTTGTACCCTTCCAGTCATCCCGGTCCTTGTCCAATTGCGAGCCGATCAGAGTGTTTAATAGCACCCACTTATTTTTTCAGCGCAGACGAATTGGCTGCCTGCGTGGCCTACGGACGGAAGTGCGCTGCGATTCGGATATCCTCCACCCGGATTTTACCCGTATTACCATCCCGGTATGATGGCCCACGCACATCAATTCGCACCTCCACAAGTCCAACCCACTCCTAATGGTCAACCCACCGAAGCACAAAATGTAGAAGACTCCCAAACACCTGCCGCCACACAATCGGCTGCACCAGTCATCGACCCCTCCCTCGACTCCGCATCTGCTGCTTCTCCACCCAAACCGACATCATCGAAACCGGGCGGATCTGCGGGCGCTAATGCTACCGATAACGCACAACAGCAGCTCGATGCAACAACACAACTTCAGATCACGCATGCCGCGATGCAAGCTGTCTTTGATGCTGCCAGACGTCATCAGGAGAAGCTAGACGCGGAGCAGGCCGACGAACAAGCTCTTCAACTATTCAATACTGTCGCTGCGACGGCTGCTGCTGATGCCGCCACTCAGCAAGCTTCTGCACCTCCGCCTCCAGAACCAACAGCCGCGCCGAACAACGTCGAATCTTCCTCATCTACCACACAAAGCATTGCCGCCGCTGATGACGCGCCCTTACCTTCGACTGACGATGCGAAAGAACAAGATGAGGCGTCTTCGGCATCTGGGCCGGCAGTGATCACAGCGACCCCGAGCACGGGAGACGCGAAGGTTGAACAAGTGCCTGGTGAGGCTCAGTCTGCGGCAGAAAACGTCTCGTTATGAGTACGTCTGTAGTTCTCCCCACTCAAACTATACTCGCTCATCCATGACTAAACCATTCGTATAGGCGCGAACCGCCCAATCTGCCCGCACTTTCGTTCAAACTTGCACATATAGCTACTACATCTTCCTTACATCCAGCTCTCCTCTTATTCTGTTCCTTTTTCGAACAGACATTCACAGTGCAATGAGTCTTCTGTATGTATTCCCTCGGTTTTTGTAGTTATCGAGGCGCACGATTTTTCACTCTGTGGTATCAAATATCTCGGTCGTAGAAGGAACATGAATGGTATCGGTGTTGGTTATTGTACTCAAACTACAAGCTGTGGAGAGCTTCTTAATGATGTATGCAGAACTACAAATACAATATCTAGGAACTTCGGGTAATTGCTGTTGAAAGCACACGTCGCTGTTGAGAGCGAAAGTGAAAGCAGAGGTAGAAGGACAGATGATGTCGATGAAGCAATGACCAATGGTTCACGCTCGAGAACGCCATTTACAGGATGGAGACCTTGGGCCATTTGTATGTGGGACCGACCTGTACCATACGGTAATCAGCGGGATATGCCAATATATGTGGTGAATACCTACCTGTTGGACGTTCATTGCACCCATCTTGTGACCCGCGATGACACACTCGTCCAGAGGCTTGCCGAGGACCAACCCCCCCAGGAAGCCACCGGCAAACGCATCGCCTGCGCCATTGGTGTCGACAATCTCACTGTCCTTCAACGGGTGCACTTCATAGACCTTCGGGGCATCAGGCTCATTCGACGTGACTGCGACAGTGGACAGAGGACCTTGAGTGATGACGACAGTTCGGGGACGGGAGGGGTTGGATTTGGGGAGGGTGGCGAGGGATTTGGCGATGGCAGGGATATCGGTCTGATCTGGGAGGCCGGATGCAGCGGCCCAGGCAGCCGCTTCGGATTCGTTGCAGATGACGACGTCACAGTGAGAGAGGATTTGTTCGAGTTGGACTTTGAAGAATTGGGCGATGAAGGGAGCGGAGATGTTGATAACGAAGATCTACATGGGCACATGTGGCAAGATTTGGTGATCAGTACAGGAGTGCGGAGGAGTGCCGTGACAATACACAGTGTACTGTGCGTGTGGGTATTCGGGTGTGTGTGAAGTGGTGAGAATGAGTGCTTCAAGGTTCAGCCACTAACCTTGCCAGCTTCCGATGCCTTCTTCGCGAGCTCGACGGCAATAGCAGTCCCGTGTGTGAGGAAGTACCCTTCCACGTAAAAGACCTTCGCCCCTTCAATCAGAGGCGCAATCTCTGGCGACGAGAGGTACGACTGGTCGTACTTCTCTGCGACACGAAGAGTGGTGACAAGGGATCTGAGAAAAGCACAAGCTCAGTTCAGAGCGAATTACCGAGATTCGAACGGAATTGACCGGTGATGTCCTGTGATAATGACGGCGCAGGCACCAGTCTTCTCGCCTTTCTTGACGAGGTATGCGTCTTGAAGGCCTTCACGTTTGTTGGCTACCTTCAATTGCTCAGCAAGCTCATCGTCACCGACACATCCGGTGTATACGACGGAGTTGGGAGGCAGAACGTACTACGTATGGCAGTCAGCAATACACATAGCGTGAGTGATGTAAAAAGACGCACTGCAGCTCCCCGAGCAGCATTCTGGGCAGCACCACCAGCAACGTAGGTGATCTGATAATCTTTCACAATCTCCTCATACCTTCACGCATTGAGCACACACAATATTGATGTCAGCCATGCAACTCCGATAGATTGAGTGGCAAGACGTACAGAGGTGCGTGCTTTTCTTCCGCAAGAATAGCATCGTTTGCCTTCAAATCATACTTCTCAAGCAACTTCTCACCGTTGGTGACCTGCATATCAAGCAGGGGATTGCCCATGCAGAACAAAGGGTATGTAGTACCAGCCATTTGCGTGAAAGAGAATGAAGAGAAGTATGGATGAGTGAAGTAAAGTAAAAGATCCAGAAATCGGATTATACACAAGGAAATCCCGGGGAATAGTCGACGGCAAGCTCCGTTTTCGGAGTCCCATTCCTTCTTGTCGCCACAGCAAGTGTGGCGAAGAAGTACTCGCCTATTTAATCCCCCGAACGGCCTTTAGGTGGTGAATTTCACAAAACAACATGACACTCTATATAAATAATTCCTCTCTAGCCGTTAATCCACAGTTTACATAATGGATGCAGGGGAGACAAGAAGAAACACGAGGAAGCCCATTGGTACCTCAGCCTGACGAGTTCAAAGACTGAATTGACTGGGACAGTCAAGGGACAGTATAACAGCTCCGGTATGCTGCCTGTTCTAGCGGGCGTCAATTCAGACTTGATTCGTGGAATACATATAAGTGGACTTACCGTGAGTGTGCAGCTAAATCAGTCTACCGTACGCCCCATAAACTCATTCAGCCTCCATACTCCGGGTAGGATATGCATGATCGAAAGCCACGCCTGCATTTTGAATGGTGTGTAAGCCATAGGCATATGACAAGGATGAGAAACTAGATGTACGTTGTACCAGTGGAAGGATATCTTGTCCTCCTTCACCTCTCGAAAGAGGACGAACCTTCCGCTCACAATGCACGCGACAAGGGAGAATACAGCCGCGGTGGAGATGTCGAGCTCCCAGGCAATGCATAAATACAAGGTCCAAGATAAAATGCCGAAAGAGACGCTTGGCCGAGCGATGGATGGGAAGACTATTGGAAGAGTCTTGCGACCTATCAAGCGGTCACCGTGAACGTCTCTGAAATCTTGTGCGTGATAAGTCGTAGAAAGTGCGAGAGTGCTGAGCACGATGGCTGACTTCATCGTGCTGTCGAGACGAGAGGGGTCTTGAGCTGTCATAGTTACCGTCAGTTTTGTGTATACACCGGTGAAGTCAAGCCCGTATCGGGGACATACCGGCTATCAAGGTCGATCCTAGCTCGAAGGCAGCGAGGTCGAATGCAACAAGCAAGTTACGGATGATGAAGTGTCCAGCCGAGAGCCGGAGTTCATTGTAGATGATTGTCAGGACGGCCATGGACGCACTTGCTCCAAGCACGAGCGAACTATAGGCCGCCGATAAAGCGAAGCAGATGGGGACCAGTACCCATCGAAGTGTTACCGCGGTTTTCACTGAAATCCTCTGTGCGGGTATGGGGCGATCCGGCTTGTTCTGTTGATCCTCTTCTATGTCTTTGGTCTGGTTTGAAAGGTTGAACTGTAGGAGGTGGATCCAGATCCAGAAGATGACTTGGAGTAGCTTTGAAACAGAGGAAACGGGTGCGGTGGCGGCGGCGAACATAGTCTGCAAAGAAGATCGTCAATTGCTATCATGGGACATATGAGTTCACGATGTGTGGAGAGTAGTTTTTATACCCACGATTGGGATGATCGTTGTGCGTATGTCCCCCCTTGTGAATAAGAAGAGAGTGTTCGCATGGTACAGAATGCGACTGGGCAGAGACATGGGGGGCAGGATTATCAAGGATGTTGGCAATTTGTGTCGTGAGACGAGAGGCGAGAGAAGATGATGAATGGGATGTCTCTATACTGCCATGATGGTGCATCCTTATAACTTCCACTAAAATGATGATTCAATCGAAAGTATACTATACGAGCAGCTGTCCCGGCTCGATAGGAAATAAACTACAGACCCGCATGGCAGACCAAACATAACATCCCTCCGAACAACGTCTATGTCCAAATGCGTTCCCTGTCTTCGCAGTAAATGTGCGATAGGTAATCCTATGCCGAGCCATCCCACCTGTATCATTAGATGAAACGGGGAAAAAAACTGGAGGCAGTCTTACCCAGAAACCATAGAACCCTTTTGGTGGTAGGCCGGCGAGCGCGGATTAACTGTCTTATCAATGGGCGGAGACGGCGCGTGCTGAACTGCACTACCGAGGGAATCGTTGACAGTAATTAAGACGATGCCGTAGCAATCTTCAACATAGCCCAAACATAGACATCCTTACATGAATCTTCCAGGACAGACCTCATTGGGGAGGAACACAGTTCTTTGCCTTATCAATGACGACAGTCCCCACACGATGATGAACAGCATGAATGTTCACCATTCACCAGCACCCCACAGTACGGAAGATTTCTTCCCTTCAATGTACCGCCTCAGAATCTCCCAGCTGAGCACGACGAGATTGATACTTATCCATTACTTCCGCACTCCGCGGGTTCCTTAGCAGAAATCGCTGCGCGCAGGCAGTGTGGGTGTGTGTATTGCAAGTCTCCTTCCGTCAAAGTTGGTCAACGTGAGAACTAGGCTATTGGCGCGCTGAATGTTGATTTGTTGATGTAGGACCCCTGCGTATGCTGACAGAGGTCCCATCCGAAAACCCCCAAAATCGGTCGTTTTCGTCGCACGATTTGGGGGGTGTTTTCGTCCGCATCAGGATGGGACATCGGATTTTCGGCCATTTTCGTACGCACGATCGGATGGAACATCGCCCCGCATAAGGCCTTCCTGGGCCTTCTCAAGCCCTGTTTGTCAAAATTTTTCTCAAAACGTGTTTTTTGGCCGTGTTTTTGGCCGTGTTTACCCCATTTTTTGCGTCCCCGGGAGGCATTTTCGTCCGCATAGCGGGATGGACAAGAGGTGGGCGGAATTGCAATCCCGGACATGGGAAGGTCCTCGGCTATTTGATTCCCACGGGGGGGAGGTTGTCGTAACGTTGCCCTAAAAGGCAGTTTCGAGCAATGCGAGCGGCGAAGCAGACGCGCATGAAGCTGAGTGGCAGTGTGATGTTTGTGAGTCTGGAGAGCCGTTGGTGAGCACTTCAGCTCATCTAACTGCTCAGAGCAAATGTTTTCGGATGCAGGACACCAAAATTAAAGTCCTCGAAAGATACTTTTGCACGAAGTAGCAATCATACTAAAGCTAACCGGGTGTTCGGACACTTTTCAGTGTTCCGGCTCTAGCATCCGCAATAAATCCGTTTTCGTCATACTTTTCTGCACCACGCTATTTTTTTTTTTTTTTTTAAATCAATTGTATTTGTATAGCGCCGGCGAAAGCCAGGGGCGCTGAACGTATCGGTACTAGTCAACTATCTACAGTACGAGAGGGAGTTGGTAAATACTGTGGAACTCGACAATAGAGTAGGGGATGAATGCGACACAGGTGCATAAAGTTCGATGTCCGAAGGCGGGAGAGATCTAAAACACGACGTCTAATCAGGGGGTCGGGGCACATTCGGGTTGTGTAAGTTGGGCACCACGCTATTTGGCTCGCCGATCCACACATTCCTATCAAAGGAATAGGGTATAGAAGTGGAATGTAGCGATAGAGAGAGGTAACAAGGGGTAAAAAGTGTCCGAACACTCAGTGCCACAGCGGGCCGGGGCCACCTAGTGTTCGGACACTATTCACCCCTATTTCCCTCTCTCATTAATTATCCAGAGCAACTACAAACTATCCCTCTGGGATTATGACTACGAGTATACATGCAGATAGTATGGCACAAAAATTAACGAGCAAAAATGATTTATTGCGGGTGCTAGAGCCGGAACACTGAAAAGCAACTGAAAAGTGTCCGAACACCCGGTTAGCTTTAGTATCACAGAACGGTGCGGGCCACAAAGGTGCTCTCGGATCGGCCACGCAGCCCGAAATGGTAATTCAGAAGGAGCCGAGGCATGTTTACGACAGCCCCCCTCGTGAGAATCCAGTAGCCGAATGTCCGAGCTGTGTGCCGGATTCCAATTCCGCCTACCTCTTGGGGATGGAACATCAGCACCGACGGGCCATTTTCGTCGCACTACGGATCGGACGAAACGCGATTTTTCGCCCAAAATTCGTCGCATCAGGATGGGACCTCCGTCAGCATACGCAGGGGTCCTGTTGATGTCCTCCTTCGCCACAACAATGCTCAAAAGCTTAAGATCGCCTCGGTCCGCCAATTTTCCTCTCGGGTCTGGCTTTATCACGCTCAATGGTTTCTCTTCTGTCCTCTTTTTCGTGGTGTGAGGTGGTGCATAGTACGACACTCTTCCTCCACCAGACGCTGTCATGCAAAGTCTCTTTCTGCGCCAGTTTACGGCGCTCCTCGTCAAGAATTGGATTGTATTGTCTAAGCATCCGTTCGTACGTCTTTCCTCCTAGCGGCCACATGCAGGATTTGCAACCTAAACGTGCTATTTCATTCTATCAGCTGAATATTTTGAGATGTTTTGTGTTGCCTGTTGCGTACGGTATCTTCTTGGCTGTGGCCCAGGTCTTCTTGGTCAAGCCTTCTAATGCACGTTTTCTTTCTGTTGCTTCTCTCCAAGTTGGACTAACCTCTTTCCTTCCATACTTAGTTCGGACTAGGGTCGTCGATACCAGTGTATAACCTCACCGAACGGTTTGATGGGTCCTTGACACTCATTTGGGCCGATGGCACAGATGGGACAGGCTTTCCATCCCCCTCTGACATCATGTCAAGCATCACCAGTAGTTTTTCTCCGAAACAGCTTGACGCCGTCAAACAAGTAGAATCTCCAGACGACATCCCGTCTTCATGTCCACAAAACTTTAATCTGTTCAGCGATTGTTTTGCTGCTGTGGCCTTTAATTCCATTCCTCCAGAGAATAACACCCTAGCCGAACCATTCAATTACACCATTCGTGCAGACGGAGGCTTGTCTCACGTTGATGTCATGAAACATAGCAGCGACTATGAGATCAGGGTCCTGCCCTTGCAGTGGGCTCTGGATAGTGTGAGTATCGGTCCTTATTTTAGAGCACACATATCTCATAGGTATACCCCTTCATGGTAGGCAATTATGGAGCTCAGGACGGGGCAACGGATGCCGACACCTTTGGAGTGGCCATTCACTCAAGAAACGAACGCAGAACAGAGCACAAAGACTCGTCTTAGTACGTTGCTCGTCCCGCACCAGCCGAATCCTTGCTGAATCACGTTTCATAGGCTACATCCGAGGCTTGCGGACACTGTTGGTATTAGCACTGTAGGCGTCACGTTTTTCGTCGGATGCGGGCAAGGTCTCATCATCTTCAGGTTCATCTGTTACATCGGTGTTGCATACCACCTCCCCGGGTCATTTATGGGCGAACGAGCTCTGTCACTAACGAGCCACCTGAAGGTGATGGGTCTTTTAGACTCGGCACGGATAATGTAAGTTAATCGTAGGTAGGATGTCCATTAAATCTCATCGACTCTTCCTTTTTGCTAGATCATGGCATATTAGCATATCACTTGCATATCTCCCAGCATGGATAATCGTCTCGATTATCTGGCATCTCCGAATCTTCAGTGGCACCTCTGGTGGCCTCGTCTTCGTCATCCATCTTGTATTTGGTCTCTCGCTTGCCAGCTGGTCTCTATTCGTCGCCGTCCCCTTCGGTAAAAGCCCACAACTCGCGGCAGTGGCATCCACATTCTTTTCCCTACTTTTCGCGATTCTGGCATTAGTGATGGGCGCCGTCGGCAGTGGCACAGCGTTCATATTTACGCTCATCTTTCCGCCTGGCTTCTACATCTTTTCTGTCAGAACTATCGCAGGGTTCGAGAATCACCAGATACCGACTTCAGCGATTCATGCTGATCCCGACAGTGGCATGACTCTGCTCCCAGTACTCATTGCCGGTATCGTACGTGCATTTTGAAACCTCGGATTGACTTTGTGACTTATCTTCGCTGCAGATCGACATCTTTTTGTGGCCATGGATCGCCACTCTTCTTGAACGACGAATGTACGATGCTCATGAACCGCCTTCAGGTCGGGGATGGAGATTTTGGAAGAAGAGGCCTATCGACACCGCGGATCAAACTCCTTCGGAGATGCCTGAGGAGACTGCGATCTCCATTCGTCATCTGAACAAAACTTTTCAACCCAACATTTTCCATCATTCACAAGATGCTGTCACCGCTATATCCGACCTCTCCCTCGATATACCCAAATTCGGTATCTTCGTACTACTAGGATCCAACGGGTACGCTTTGATAAACATAACATCATTCTCCAACCTAACTCGTTCTACCAATAGAGCAGGGAAGTCTACCGCGCTGTCCATTATAGCCGGCCTACTTGGTCGCACGAAGGGTTCCATAACTTTCGAAGGTGGTATTTCTCGACCGCCGCGAGGCGTCATGGGCATTGTCCCCCAGAAGAACGTCCTTTTTCCCGAACTAACCTGCTACCAAAATGTCAGAGTATGGCAAGCGGTGAAACATTCGGATTATGCACTGGCTGCAAGTGATGACCTAGAGCAGTTGCTACGTGATTGCGATTTGGAGAAGAAGGTGCATGAAAACGCGAGCACACTTTCCGGAGGGCAGAAGAGGAAATTGCAATTGGCTTGTGGATTGGTAGGGGGTTCGAAGAGTGCGTCTTTCACTTAATTATCATGATCACACTTCTTAAGTTATTATGATGGATATGCAGTCGTTCTCGTGGATGAGGTATGTCGAGGTCATTCTATGTTAAAAATTTTGAGTTAATTTATGGATTAGGCCACCTCTGGGGTAGATCCTTTAGCGAGAAGAGCGCTATGGCGCACTCTGACTTCCGTTCGCAACGAACGAACGATCATATTTACCACACATGTAAGCTGAACGTCAGTACCATCGTTAACCGCATTCTGATGTCGACTGTTCTCAGTTCCTTGACGAAGCGGACCTTCTAGCGGACCGCATTGCTATTCTGGCGGCTCCAGGAAAGTTAGTGGCTGAAGGATCCCCTGTGACATTGAAGTCCACGCTTGGCGAAGGATACACCATCCAGGTAACCTTCCAGTGCTCTGAGGACGAGAAGGCCGGCTCCCGACCTTTGACGGGCTTGTTAGAGAGCCTTCGTAGCGTGGCCCCCCTCACTTACACCTCGTCACCCGCGATGGACCAAATGTCATACCATCTCAAGTCCAAGGACCCGATCATAGTCGAACGCGTCTTGGAGCTCCTCGATGAAAATACCGATAAATATCAGATTGCGTCCTATGATGTCCAGGGCACGTCCATAGAAGAGGTCTTCCTAGGCCTTATGAACACCGATACCAAGAAGGATTCTGACTCCACAGCCCTCAGTGACGACAAGAATACGACTGGACATACACCATCAGAGACTCCGGTACCTGAACAATCTACCGTCCTCCAGCTCACGAACGGCAAGAAGGTCTCTGTTTTGACCCAGGCGCTTACTATATTTCACAAACGTCTGTACGTGGCCCGTAGGAGCTGGTTGACGCCACTCTTGTTGGTCGCAATAGCAATCGCCGGATCCTGTATCCCATTGTTCTTCATGGCAGGTAGGCCTCAGTCTTGTACAACGACATTCTTGAGCGCGACATCGGTGCCGTTGTACTTCCCGGACTCGCCTCTCCTCACGTTCTTCAGTGCCGACCAACACCTTCTGACCGCCCCACCTAATATCGTCTCTACGCTCGGGCCCACCGTAGCGAGCCTCGGCATAAACAATGTGGCAGACAACGCCACTTTCGTCGACGACATCAACCAGAACTATCTTAACCTCGCCCGCGGTGGAATTTCGATCGATTTGGACTCGGGACAGGCCCTAGTTGCCTGGGAAGCTTCACCGCCCGGATTAGGAGGGCCGACGATGTTGAACCTCGCTTCCAATATCTTACTCAACCGAGCCTTGAATAACACGGGATCAGCGGCAGCTTCAGGAGACCCTATATTGATACAGGCGACATACGAGAACTTTCCCGTCGTGGATGCGGGGACGCTGATCGCGTTGAAGTGGGTGGCTTTCTTTGGAGCGTCTATGGTGAGTATTCTCCGTTTTGCGTTTTCTTTTTGTAGAGCTGATGAAATAATCGACATGTAGGCCGCATATACAGCGTTCTTCTCGCTCTACGTGTCGAGAGAAAGGAGGTCATCAGTTCAGGCCATGCAATTCTCTAACGGGTTGTCAAATCCAGTCGTATGTGTTCTTGACTGTAAAGTTCTGTGACCAGAGTATGTTGATGATCGTGCTCCGCGGATGACAGGGTCTGTGGCTCGGCCATCTACTCTTTGACACAATATTCGTCTTGGTCTTGTCTACTATCATCGTGATCGTCTTCAAAGTCGCATCAAATCAGTTCCACGGGCTCGGCTTCTACGTGAGTGCCGCACGCATATCACATCCCAGGACCATCTAACACACATTATGGCCATTATACAGTGGCTGATTCTTGTCCTATATGGCATCGCGGGAGCGTTATTTGCTTACTGCGTGTCGCTGTTCACCGCTTCGCCTCTGGCAGCATTCGCAATCTGCGCTGCGTATCAAATAATCATCTTCACAGTATGCTTCGTCTTGTATTTGAATGAATGTTCTAAGAGCTCTGACCAACACATTGTTGACAGGCTTATATTGCGTCATACCTCTTAACGCTGACCTATGCAAAGACTTCGAAGTCTGGCCAAATCATCAATATTCTTCGTATGTCCCCTTTTCTGTCTACCCAGTTCGAATTTATCGCTCGGTCAGATGCTCACAGTGAGCCCGTAGATTTTACGCTGTCTTTGCTGTCTCCTGTGGCGAGCATCGTATGTACCCTATGCCCTCATACATGAGTATCTGAACGAGTTCGTTGACATGATTGACGGCTGATCGTAGATGCGGACCGCCTTCGTCTCCGTCAACCTCTTCTCCCTCCTCTGCCTAAAGGGTGGCGAGATCCCTGCCTCCCAATACGCTGGCATCACGCGCTATGGTGGTCCAATTCTATACCTGGTCGTCTACGCATTCGCCCTGTTCTTCATTCTCGTGTGGGTAGATTCTGGTTCCCTCCTCCCTCGAAATATCTCCGCAGCTCGTCGGCGAAGGGAGCTACAACCGGTTGTCGGCGCGAGCGCCCTGGATAACGGCTCGGTGGCTGCAGCTGAAGCAATGGCGGAGATGAAAGTCGATGTGGAAGATGAGGCGAAGGTGGTTGGACAGTCAGACGATCCATTGAGGGTGTTGCATGTCTCGAAGACCTTTGGGCTTGGCAGAGGAGCGAATAAGGTGGTAGATGATGTCAGTCTGGGTGTCGGTGAAGATATGATATTCGCCCTGCTTGGTAAGTCTTGAGAAAAACACTACAGTCATAGCTCTTGGCTGACGATGGTCTGACTATTTCTAGGTCCGAACGGAGGTAAAGCACAATCCACACCTTGCCAAGTTGTTCAATGCTAACCATTTTTTACTCTGCTCAGCCGGGAAGACGACCACATTTAACCTCATTCGTGAGCTCTCTCGCGCTCCTATCTTACCTTCAAAGCTGACAACAAGACTATAAGGTGGAGATATCATGCCCGATCGCGGTGACATCCTTCTCAATGGTATCTCTGTCGTCCGTCACCCACGTTCTGCCAGACTTGGCCTCGGGGTCTGCCCTCAGTTCACGGCCATAGACTCACAACTCACCGTCCGGGAGCATCTCGATATCTATGGCCGTCTGAAGGGCATTTCAAGAGGAAGTGATCTTCGACGAAATGTGGACTTGTTGATGCAAAGCACCGGACTGGATCAGTATGCGGACCGTTTGGCTAGTAAGCTGAGTGGCGGCAACCAGCGAAAGCTGTCTTTAGCTATCGCACTTATGGGTCAGTACAGTCCTACTCGGTATTGTGAAACATCTTTCTTATTCACAGTATAATGTCTAGGCAATCCGCGCGTTATCCTCATCGACGAGTTCTCTACCGGCATCGATGCGAAGATGAAGCGTGAAATGTGGGGCACGCTACAGAGAATCTCTGTTGGGAAAGCAATCGTAATCACAACACGTAAGTATACATTCTCCAACCGGTCAATATCAAATTTTGTTTGCTTTTGACACGAGCAATACCCCATTCTAGATTCTATGGAAGAGGCTTCTGCGCTCGCTGACAAGGTCGCCATCATTGCCACTCGTCTACTCGGTACGTCAGTGCTTGCCTCTACCGAAGTCACCGAACTCATCAACGGCAATGGCGGCTCTTCGACTTATTTAGCTGTCGGAACCACCGAAAGCCTCGCCGCGCGGTACGCGATGTACGAGGTCCATTTCTCCTGCCGGAATAGGGACGACGTCGCTCGGGCACAAAGGCTCATGGCACGGATCCCCGGCGCACGCATGGCGGATGATGTCGCCACACGCTTCGAAGTCCCCATCGGTAATGGCAATAGCAACTTGCTCGAAGAGTCGAACAGAAACGGTAGCGGCGATTCTGAGGCCAGGTTGTCGCTAGCTGAGCTCTTCCACGTCCTTTCCAGCGAGGGCGACTTCTCGGAATATAGCGTGGAGCGGGCGACTCTGGAGAGCGTCTTCCTGAAGGTCATTCGACAGAATAATGTGGCGGAGGAGGATCAGAGGATGAGGACCGGACGAAGTAGTTGGTGGAAGCGTTTACGAAGAGGGTGATGAGCGGTTTTATTTTTATGTTTGCCTGCAGGAATGTAGTGTTGGTTATCGGTCGTGTCGAGGACTTTTATGGACATACATATACACGACGTGCCGGTCTCTTGTTTCTGTGCTTACGATGTCGCTGACCCAATGTTTTCAAGTCTTGGATATCGTTATCTGTACTTTGCTTTCTGTCCCAATCCGGCATGAACAAGAGCTCCCCGGGATTTGACTCGAGTAATGTTTCGTACGGACCACGCCTCTGAAACACCGACTCGCGCCACATCTACATTTCTCCGAACCCGTACCAGTCAATAACAGTCCTTCCTACTTGCTCTCAATTTTCGACGTCAACCATTCTTACGGCGGATGGCGTTGAACGATGATGCATCGTCTGTTCAGCCGGAAAATGAAGACCAACGCTGTGTAAGCATGTTGATGTTCGCCTTCTCTGATCAATCGAAGTCGCCTCGCTGCGGCATAGATAGTCGTATGTAGCGGTACAGTCACCCGTTCTATTACCCTCGTACATTATACATTACAATAATTAACATAATCATAGTAAGTAAAGTATATACACGCTCAAGGAAGGAGGCCAGCGATGATCTGCCAAGGAACACAATGACAGCTGCGCGATCTAGAATACACAAACGTCTCCGAGTCCGATGCGAGAGACCCTCAAGAATACAGAAAGACCTAGAATATCCAGGACGAAGAATTCTTCATTATGGTTCGTCACTTCTTGTCCGTCTCATGCTGTGCTCCATCCTCCAGCACACCCACGATCCTCCGCATAATATTCATCTCCAACATCCCTCTGCTATCGGAGCTGGGACTATCGACTTCCTCCACCACCGCGCAAGTCTCGAGCCCTTCGACGGTCGCGACCGTGAACTCCATAGACGAAACTGCTCTTCGTGGACTGGTCAGGTCTGAGGGCATTACTGTCATGGTCCGCGAGTCCCACGCACGGCGCGATGCAACTCGCATGCTGATGAGGATGGTAGATAAAACCTAGGATAAATAGCATAAGCACGCCACCCAAAAATTTCAAGCAGCCCACGACGTACAGGCATGAGGAAGCTAGAAGGCAGGAAAATGTTGGCGGCATGGCTGTTGAGCGCGTAGGGTATTGCGAGGGCGAGATATGACGCAGCGCAGATCATGGAACTTTCGATGACCATGGCCGCGATGGAGATGTACGGTACGGCCAAGGCCTCGGAAGTGCCGAGCGCGCGACGAAGCCGTCGTCTGAAAAAGAGCAGACGGCCGGTGATGAGGATGGCGAGGATGATGTTGAGGGCGGCGGTGAGGATCATGCGGGCAAGGCCCCAATCCACGGTGTTATTGCTGTACAAGCTGGAGCCAGGTTGCATGGATTCGTAGAGGAAGAAGATGCTGGATACTGTTTCACGAAGTTGGAGGTCAGCAAAAGATTCGGATATAACAGATAATGGTGAGCGATCACCCATGTTTGCAAGGAACAATAGCACCAGGGGTATCAAGAGGTACAGTTTGAAGCGAAAAATCACAAGGCAGCGATACAGCTGCTCAAAAGAAGCATCGGCACACAAGTTTCGGTTTCTTATTTTAAATGAAGACTGCACTCACTAGAAACCCATCTGCAAGCCACGAAATCACCACACCGATCGCGTTGGACGACGCAAGACGCGCACTTCCGTACTGCGTTCGTCCCCAAGCCATGGGACCACCAGGATAGTCGCGATTGTCGATAAATTCTAGCTGATAATTGCGCGTGTACAGGCCGACGAAAGATACGGCAAGCGTGAACATCACGAAAGTGAACGCGATGAGGGCTTTATTTCGTGTGCGTCCTCTTTTGGGAGGATCGTCAACGAGAAGATTCACGGTCTGCAGACAAACGACGCATATCATCCCTATGATCATCAGTGGTCGTCCCGATTAGAATTAGAACAGGCCCGAAAAAAGAAGTCAGAACCAAGTTGTTGCCACTCACCAAAGGTCATCCAAGATGCGAGGCCGCCGATGAGAGCAGCACGCTCATAAAAAAGAGCATCCGCAGACAAGTTGGGTCTATTCGTATTGGACATATGATTTCCGAGTGCTCCTATGTACTACCAGAAGGCGCAGAACGCCTTGAACATCGAAGGGAGAGGGTGAAAGGTGTTAACCGGTCGCTGCCCGCCCTTTATGTGTTTTATCGGGCGCAAGACATGGAAGACTGCTTCTGAAGGATCGTGATAGGGCTGTCTCCGTGTGACGCGGTGAGAAGGGTGCTAAGTTGAGGTATCTAAACGCTCCAGATAACTTGGCTGCGGCCTTTAGCGCCCCGGTTCGCTTCATCCCCGCCTGGAGGTCTCAGACAAGGGCAAAAGATGCCCATAAAGAGTATATATCCCGAGTGTTGACGGCTCGCTTTCTCACGGTAGAATGCATATGGCTGTGGAGTGTCCCGTTGTGTAGATGTATACACCCTTGGCATGCGGACGTCGATTCGCTGACAGATAAACAAGTCGCTATGAATGAGGACAAAGACACCCTGAATCCAGATGCGTAACACTCACAGCAGGAGAGAAGCCTTCGCGTTCTGGAAGATCCACCACGCGTAATCTCCAGACTAATTGAGACATTGAGTTGCCGATATCTTCTAAGCCCCAACAACGACCGATTTCGAACCTGTAGGGCGGCATTGGGGCGGTATCCTTTTGCGACGTTGTCTGCAGCGCCAGAGCACCGGCGTCGTCTCACCGACACGAACGAAACGATGATCAGATGCTGGTATTGTATATAACGTATGCGTGGTGGTGGACATTGAACGTGAACATGGCGGGGGGCGGTCAAAGGATACAATACTCGAACGGTAAAAAGAAGAGAAAATATTGAAACACGAGAACGAGAACGGGATCGTCAAGGGACCTAAGCTTCGAAAAGTCCGTACGACTAAAAATGTCGACGAAAGCCACGGCTGTCAATAAGGGACCTCCGACGAGGGCATGATCGTCAAAAAAGATAAGGCTGCTCGAAGTGGAGGTATGAGGAAACAGGCTCCGGAAAATCATGCGGTGCAAGAGTCCAGGTGCTCGAGAAAAAGGCATAATGAGGTCGAAATGTGGTCCATCTATCGACCCAACGAAGCCACAGTCAAGAGTCATGATCACAGTCAGTCAACTTGTTAGACAGCTGCAGGCAATTGCCGCACAGGTATCGCAGCGCTCGTAGTCGGACATCAAACAAGCAAGAGCTCAGGGGCATCAAGCAAATAGAGGGGAATTAAAGTCTTTGTCCGCGGTCATAAAGCAAGGGAAAACAGGAACAAACGAAAACGAGAGAAGGCGACGAATTAAAAAAGAGAGAGACTAGTCCGCTATGCTATACCGTACCTCATTCAATGCGCACCGACAGATAGATCACCGCTCAGTATCCACCAGAATACCCACTCTGTCCCGGGTTCGGTGGTGCTGCACCTGGAGGAAGCCCATATTGCGACGTCCTCGAGTACCTATTCTGCTGTCCCTGCGCTCCAGTCGGTGTCTGCGACGAAGGTCTCCTTGGTCTCGGCACCCTCCTTACCCCTTCCGTTGCTGACGGTACAGGTCCGTTATCCGCCAAGCTCACGCCTCTCGAGTTCGTCCTCGAACGGGTGGCACTCCTACTCTGCCTCTGCCCCCCAGCACCCTGGCCTGCGAAATTAACCGGCTGAGGACTCGAGGCATTGGAGCCACCGGGAGACATCGCAGCCTCATCGGATTCGGGAGCATAACCCATATGATCAGGATACGTGTGTTGCCCTTGGTACGGGTTGTGAGTCTCGCCCGGATATTGATTTGAGATCGTGTTATGTCTCAACACGGCACCGCCAGCCGCGGCTCTCGAGAACTGAGCATCGAAGCTTGGCTGCTGCTGCTGTTGCTGCTGTTGCTGCTGGTATGTCTGAGCTTGGTTGCCGAATGGGTTCCGAGTGGTCGTGATGGGAGAATCATAGACCGTGTCTTCGCCATAATCAGGACTGGGGACAAGACGGTGATTAGATGATGAGACGTCTGAGTTGTACGGTGCATCTTCGCTCGTACGCGAGACAGATGATGATGGGGCGGGTGTCGCAGCAGGTCGGTTGCCGAGTGCTAAGGGTGCTGGGAGCGTGAGGAGCTGATTGCTGTCCATTCGTTGACGAGAGTGCGTGCCGGAAGATTCGCCCGCGGTACTCGAATCATAACCTTGTAATGCTCCTGTCACGGTATCGGAGGTCAAAGAATGCCTATACGAAAGTAGACAAAAGTTGCGTGAGCTTATAAAACACGAACGAGGAGCGGAAGAGACTTACCGCTTAGGTGAGTTGGCCTTCCCATCATAGAACATCGAGTCTCTCGAGACCGTCCCACTCTTCCACCTCCTCTCCCTCTCAAACTCAGCCCATCTCTTCATCACGATGTGTGACGAATCAAACTCTCCCTCTTTATCACCATGATTCGCCGCTGCCGACTCTCCCGCGACCATCCGTGTCTGACCCCACGAGAAGTCGTCGAAGTGCCAATACGAGTACGCGGGGAGGATACCGTTCCATATAGGTAGCGAAAACAGGTACACGATCATCCATCCGACGTAGGAGACCTTCCTCGTGGTGATAACGATCAGCAAACCGGGTAGACCGAGGACGATAGCGAGAAGAACGAGAGGGATGGTCGTGTTAGAGCCACCGGGAATGATGGAAATGATGATGAGGTAGAGCGTGAACGAGATGGCGGCCGGAAGGACGAGTGTACCCGCGAGTTCCATACCGACGACGAACTGCATCGAGAAGCAGAAAGTACCGCAAAGGTCACGGACGAGAACGAGTTCCGCAAGGTTATGCACTGTGGAGTTGATCCACCGACGACGTTGGGAGAGGAGCACGCCGAAGGTATCCGGTACGACGGTCTTGCAAACGGCGGAAGGACAGAAAACATTCTTCCTCTTCGGGAACGTCTTGAGCATTAGCGTCGTTAGGTATCGATCTTCACCGAGTAGCAGAAGATTCTTCTTGTGCAGGGTATCGACGACGTTCTCCGAGTAGTGCTCGACGATGTCAGGGTTGGCGAGGATGGGGACCCAATATCCGGACGCGCCCTTGGGAGCCTTGATGCGGTACATGGAGAAACAACCAGGCAAACAGGTGACACCTCCAAACATGGACTCGAAGGCCTTGGTCATGTGATGAGAGATGTAGTACTCGAAGACTAACAACAAGTTGATTTAGCATATTCCGCAAGAGTGGAGGCGAAAAGCACGAACCTTGAATCATGGTGACCCAAGTCTCCCCCTTGTTAGCGATCTTCGTCTCGCCACAAAGACCCATGATCTCCTCGTCCTCTATCATGCACGACGCCATCCTCGTCAACGAATCCGGGAACACCTTCGTATCGGCATCCACACAAAGTACCAGTTCATAATGATCCGGACTGATACCCGTGCATCTCCAAATCGAATTGAAGAACTCATACTCGAACGTCGTCATCCTCTCGTCGAACATGACCTTCTGCATGAATCCCATCAGCACGATCTGCGAGTCTCGCTTTCCACGGTTACCAGGCTTCGCTTCGTGCGCCTCGAGCGGATTACCGCATTTCGCGACAAGCACCATGGGGACCCTCTGCTGCTTCGACATCTCGACCGTCGCGTCGTCGTAGTCGTAGAACCCGGCGTAGACCTTCGCCATATTGTGCCGTTTGTGACCGTCCGCGATGGCGACGTACGAATGGGCCTCGACGTCCTCCGGGTCGATCACGAATTCCTTCATCATCTCTATACAGATCTGCGGTGTCGTCTTGTCGTTCCCAGCACCCTTCACCATCCCGTCCGCGATGACCAAAATGAGCTTGTGACTGTTCGGATAATCCGTCGTGGCGAGCGAGTCCAAAGTCGTTCTCAGACCCTCCACGCTCTCCGAATAGGCCGTGACGAGACAGATCGTGTGTGCGAGTCGGAAGCCGAAAGGTTCCGCGTTATCCGGCGTAGGCTGTTGGACGACATTATGGAGAGGGAAAGGACAAGGATTGTCATTGAAGCCGTTCCTCGAGTCTCCGAGCGAAGTCGAGCTCCTGGAAAAGCGGTACGGGGAATCCGGCGGTGTAAGTTTCGCACCCTTGACCGAGGCCGTGGTCGATGATGGGCCACCGTATACACTCGTGGCGTTGCGTTTGTACGGGAGAGGCTCGAGCATCCCATATGAGGTCGCCGGTCTCCCTCCAACTCCTTTCAGGATATTCTCGGTGGGCGTGAAGCGCGATTGCGTGGGTATGAAACCTGCCTTCTTCGGCTTGTAGTTCGTAGTGACGCCTTTCTTCGTGACGTTGGGACGGAGTTCGGCCGGAGCAGGACGATAGATGTCACTCGTCCAGTTCTCGATCTGCGCCATCCGTTGCATCCTTTGTTCGTACGTCTCGTGCTTGAAGGCGCCGAGGCGAGGACCGAAGAACCACGAAAACATGACAGCCATGACGAATCGAATCCCGACGACACCGATGATGAAGATGAGGGAGACATAGAGGACGATGTCAGAGGCGACGCAGCCGATCGTGTTCGTGTCGATGAAGCCGACAGTGATGATGTCCTGGAAACAGTGACCGAGAGTGCGTTGGCCCGTGCGGAGCATGTAGGCGGTGATGTCCTTGCCATTAAACGTGCCATTGGCGTTCTTGAAGTCGTTGAAGCTATCCGGGTAGGAGACTTCGCCTGTGCTCAGCCAGTTGAGGAGGTTGAAGTCGAGAACATTGCTACGGAGAGGTAAAAGGTTAGGACAGCATGACGACGAGGGAATGTTCGCTTACGATTCATAGACGGCAAGGTTGCGATCAGAAGCCTGAAGGTCGTCCCAAGTGAAGTAAACTTGACCCTGCGGACTGATTGCGGCAAGATCATTGCGCGCAGTTGAACTGACGTGACAAGTCGTGTCGCTGTCGTAGTTCGTCAAGTTGACGCCACTCGTCCCGTTCTGGCTGAATACATTGCAGGGGAAATACCAGTCGAGACTGCCACTGGTGCTGGTAATGCTCGAGTTGCTCGCCTTGGTGATGATCCCGTCGCAATTCCCATTCACGTTCTGAAACATGAAGGAGATATCGTTACTGGCAACACCCCAATTGCCAACGAAAAGCGGGTTCGTGTCTCCGTTGAAATCGCCGACTTCAGGATGTTTGAACTGTGAGAAATCGTAGTCGTAGCCGTGGATGACGACGGAGCCAGTGTCGATGGAGCCTGCATGGTAGCGGTTCGCAGGAGTGCCGCAGACGACTTGAGTGAAACCGAAAGTGATAAAACCGACGAAGCCCATGAGGACGGCGATGATACTGAGGAGACCCATCTTCTCGCGCCATGCTCGCTGTTGCTCGGAAGTTCGAATACCTGGCTCGGAATTAGAACAAGGCTAAGGGATATTGAGAAGGAAAGAACAAGACATACCGAAGGTCCTGAGGATGAAATTGGGAATGCAGGCTGTGAGTATATAACAATAGGTGACCCAGCCGTCGTGGGGACCTGGTATATTCGCTAGGCAACCCGTTCGCTTCGCAGGGGCAGTTTCTGGCGTAGGCGCGGATTTCCTCCTCCTAAGAGTGGCACCTCGTTTGAAAAGAGCGAGACCCGACTCATGAACGTCTTCCTCTCTCGCAAGTAGTGAGTGACCACGACGCAGCCCAGGTGCGTTTCCCGTGGCTATGCAACATACTCAACGCAATGCAGACACGAGGTAGGTAGGAAATACGCACTGGAGGGAATCACACCGTCATCTTCCAGTTGAGCAGCATGGTTGCGGTAGTGCCACTGCCTATGACCCGGCTCTATCTTCTCCCTGTCCGGCCTGACCAGGCTCTTCTTCCTTCCTACCATAGCTGTATCCCCAAGCTGAAAGCCGTTCTCTGGATCGGGGCTGGTGATGTTGGTGTATGCTGATGGGGCGGTACGCTGGCGGCCTGGGTGTTCAAGAGGGTCGGTGCGCTCGCCTCGTTCGCTGTCTTGAAAGGAGACGTTGGGAACAGCTCCGGTGTTAGGTTGTAGAGGTGGCCTAGAGAAACCATTGTAGGAAATCGGAGGCTGTTCGGGGTAGGAAGGCGAAGAGGGTGATTGGGGATGCGAGTAGCCGGTCGAGGCGCCAGGGCGGGGCTGCCGTGGTGGACGTTGACCGTAATTGTCCATGGCAATTGAACTGCTGATAATATGCTATTATGAAGACAGTTGCATGCGGCGGGAAGCGAGGAGGAGCGAGGGTGGCCGAGGAGAACCGAGTGAGAGCGAGATGAGGGAGCGTGGGCAAGGCGCAGGGCGCTGAGCACGAAGGAGCCCAAAAATGGTTCTATATCCGTGCTGATCGCGGCTGCTGTCCACGCAAAGGGTGCTGACTGAGCTGGGGGTATAAGCGCTGTGCGTTGCCGCTGTCGTCGGCAGCGAGGCCGATGGCGAGTCGGACGGTGGTGGTGGCGGAGAGAGAGAGAGCTCGGAAAATGATGGCGGTGGCTGGACGTCGAACGGAGTGCCAAGCGGCAGTTGACAACGCTCTTCCTCAACCGGCTGCCTTCCCATTCCGTCATCGTCTCTTCTTCCAATAATTGTTCACCCAGCGCGTTGCGACTCCGCTCTGCCCCTGCTCCATGCCAACAACCCTCGCTTGCTCCACGTCCCCCGCTTTCCTCTCCAGCTTTTTCTCGACATTTTCCCTTTTTTTCGCCGTCGTCCACACCCGCCACATGGCACGCCACACACTGTCCAACATGAATCGATTGGGCTTGGCAATCGTTTTTCTCCGAGCCATCATGTTCAGTTGTAATTAACCAGCAGCAGACCGAAGGCAAGCTATCTGGGGAGTCCCCGTTTCCTCTGTTTCTAACCCTCTGCCGTGCTGCACAGTTGTCCTGGGAGCCGCATCGTACGAACGTGGGAGGTGTACGTCTGCTGCACCTCATAATCATTCTTCACCTCTCGGGGATGCTTGGGCACAGACAGCTAGGCGGCTCTGAGCGACTATCATTCATCATTCACTATGGCTTATGAAGGCTGGAAGGGTTGACGTCGTCGCCTCTAGACATCGTTCTTGAGAGCCGGTCCTCGTTTCTTGGAGCGCCTGGATGCGTCGATATCACAAGTGGGGCCCGAGTCGTGCTTTACAGCAGTCGACCTCACTCTTCGCGGTGTAACGCCTATGCTAGAATCGCAGGAAGAAACTGATAACAGTAATAGTACGTCTGGATTACACCGGGTTTATGACTTCTAGCCCATACCATCCAGTGTTCACGGTCGCCTCCCAGTTGTCTCTGCCGGATATCGGTTCAGGTGACTATCTTTGACGTGCCTTGCTGTGAAATCCAACGATCTACAAGAAGTACGCTTATGCTCGGATGAGGCTACGATATCGACCTGAGGCGCAAGGCGTGAGGCCCCATGGCCTTATACGCGAGGTGCGTTGTGGGCCGTGGCTCTCTACGTGCGTCATCGTTCCTTGTTTCTCCTGGTTCCAGCTCATGTGTGCCCTGACAATCGATAAGACGGACATATCACCGAGTGTCGTAGCCAATGAATAATATGGCCATCCTTATTACCATCTCTTCTCCACCTCGCTGCAGTCACCAAGAGATGTTTCTAATATAGGCTTTGCTTGATCCTTCTCAAGTTTGTTGACATGTGTTTGATTCCGAAGGCGCCGCCTTCCTTTCCGAGACAACACAAGATAACTGGGGGAGCGCAGACTTCGTCTGCAGCAACCTCGCTTGGAGGGGAGGGTGGCACGATTTCTATTTTTTACCAGGCAGTTCACAATACAAGTTTCGTTTGAGCGGTGCTCGGCCTTCTTGGTGCATGTGTGGCAACGCGCTATCTTGTCTCATTGAAGAGGCCCAAGCAAGCGAATGTGTTCCATCTCCTCAAATGCCAGAAACACACCAGGAAAAGAACATGCAGACTGTCATAATACAACAAATATATACAGCATTAATAGAAGGATCCACGAGGACTCTCCGCGGCTGCACAACTTGAAATTCCTAACAAAGGACAACCGGTCTGATTGACATCGAACGGAGGCAAACCATATCCTGAGCAACAACCAAAAACAACTCATGGACACACATCCCAAACCGACCTAAGCTACGTGTGCGGCCTTGAGAGGAGGGAATGGATCGTCGCCCTTCCTCAGGAGCCTCTTCCTTGGCGACTCCTCGAGGAGCGGGAGGGACGAGAACACCCATCATCCCTACCTTCCCGTACAAACAGACTCCCTTTATATGTCCAGTATCAATGTCATGGCGGTATGAAGAAGACCACGAGCGGTACATACCAAGAACGGAACATGCTGCCGATCGAGCCTCTGTCACGAACATTCGAGATACTTACACGGGTCAATCGTAAGATGCAGACGAGGAGGGTGGCGCACGAGGAGGGTGGTGCGGCGACAGTTTCCGAATCCCGATGACCGCTGCGTACGCTTTCACAGACTACCGAGCACACAGGCAAACCATTCTCTATGTCACAGTGGACATCCGAACTCCTCCGACTCGGAGATGCAGGCTATCGTTGTTCAATCTCTATGTCGCACTATCGAGGAGCACAGGAAGGGTCACAGTTCGTTTTCTGAGAGACTTCGACGACGACCTATTTCTGCAAGCACACGTAGCACCAGTTCTAGACGAAGATGATCGATTGGAGGAATTGAACAGAAACAGAAAGTAGTGGTGGGCAATGTGATGACCAGTGTTGTAGCAGCGACGGCGCGAGGCAAGGGAGTGCGAGCGATGATGTGGTACGAGTGAAGTATTTGGTGCCCTGCGAAACGCGGAGTGAGCATAGCGGCGTGAAGAGCGGCACGAGGTAGATTAACCAGCAACAGTGTCGCATACTGACAATCAGGAGAGGTCTTTGAAGAGAGTCGGACAGAAGAAGAACACGCGTTCGATGGTAGTTTCTGAGCAGGAGAGGCCAAACGGACAGGGCACGAGACAAAAAGTGTACGTAAGCTGTTTGTACTTGTTGAAACGGGAGCCCGACGTCATAATTACGGCGGTGCGAAGGACCTTGTAAGCAAGGTAAAGACCCGCCAAGAATACTTCCTTCCCTATTGCCGCCGCTTGCGCTAGAATCCATGCACATCAACGACATCGCAGAGGTTGTCCGTGATGCGCATCATCGTCTTCGAGCCATCAGTCAAGGAACGGCTGGTTGTACCACCGAGCTGACCACCTCGTCTACAGAGGCGTTCGCCAAGACCATTAAACTGAAATACTTAGTCAAGTAACGCACCGCCCAGTTGTCATTCACACAAGACTCGACTACTTCAGCGCTCAGCACTCAGCCTTGACTGCATATGACATCCATCCATCAAACCAACATCTACGCAATTCGGGCATTCTAGTGATTGCCGGCGGCTCTCCTAGCGTTTGCTGTGCTTCAGTTGTGCTCCCGCGGCCACAAAATATGAGCTCTGTATCCTGTCGCAATTGATATGTCTACAATCTCCTCAAAGAGGAGGCCCATCGCATGGTATTTGTCAGCAATGATGGCGCAGCATGTTGCATTCGCCTATCAGCGCGATCTGCACATATTTGCCATCACCAAGACAAACTTCAAGTTATTATGCAGGTACTGAGGGACCGAATCAAAGCAGGACTCGGAGGGAAATAGAGGCCGGCCCACGATGCATACACTGCATCTCACTGCATGTCTTCAACAGGACTCTACTATAATCAGCGTGTACCGGGGTGAGTCAAATCCTCCTGCCTCTCCCTCTCAAAGTCTCCCGTCTTACTGTCTCATTAGCCATCACTACTTCCCTCTGTACACATTATTCATCCAACAGAACCTACTGAAAAGTTGTTTATACGGCCTGGAGATAGCTGCCGAGTACGCGTCCACACCATCTATCCTCCACACGCGTTTGGCTCATATCCTTTTAGGAATCACTATGGCAGACTTCGACCATAACAATATGCACGAAGGTGCAAACCAAAAGTATCTCCGCACGGACTCTTCCACCTCCTTTGCATACTATCCTCCACAGTCTAGAAAGGCGACCCGCAATGCATCACTCAGATACCACCCTTTCAGCATGCTCGTCATGACGGTCTGGATCATCCTGACAGTCGCCCTAGTCGTGCTCCTCGAGAGGTCCGTCGCACTCGGCCCTACCACCCTCCACCTTCCTTGGTACTACAGCAGTACCGGTCTCCCCTCCGACCTCCTCACCGTCTTCGCCCAAGGTCACGTCCCCATATCCATCATGCACCTCTGCCGCCTCGCCGCCTCGGGAATCCAGTCGCCCCGGACCGCTCCACGAACATGGATCGAATTCTTCTGGACGGTAGACATGTGCTGGTCCGGGCCCGTAGGGATCTTGGCTACCCTCTGGAGCATGACGAAGCTGAGGGTGCTCGTCTCTCCGGTTTTGGTGGCATTTTCGGTCATCAGCATTGTGGCGCTGGTGACACCACTCGTCCTGGACCATGCATATCCCATTCGGACGATCGACGTGCAGCTCCAGCGGACGTTCAACCCTAACACGCTTTCGGCGTCGAAGATGGGCAACATCGACGCGTATGCTCAGCTCGCACAGGGAGGTGCGGGTTGGGCCACGAATTTGACGGTGATCAACCTGTTCAATGAGACTACTTTTACTCCTGTCGGCGGAGACCGTGGAACGAACTCGAGCGATTTCTTCTTCGCGGGTGATGTTGAGAGCTTGGACACTGCCCTTCCCGGAGTTCGCGTCCAGGGTGGATGTCAAGCGATAAACGACCAGACGAGCCTCGGAAATTTCACCGCATTCACGGCCTATTGCAAGAACCAACTCACGACCGTCGCCGACCACAAGGCCCTGGTCATCGGATCCGGGGCTATCGACCTAAACCTCAACGTCTCATATTGCACGAACATATCCTCTTTCTCCCCCCTCCAATCCCCTTCCTACACCTCGTCCTTCGTCTGGTTCGAGAACACCGCCGGCCGGATATCGGGAGACCTCGTGAAGGGTCTCGTACGCTGCGACGTCTGCGCCAGCACGGGAAATGCATCCGTCTACGGGCGCACTCTCACCTTCGACAACTTCGTCCCCAACAACACCATGTACCAGTCCACACAAGGCGGAGAACCCCTCCTCGACCCCATATCCGCCGTCATGTATCACCTAGCAGACGCTACCACGGCCGACAGCGACGAGGACAGCCAGGAGCCGCTCAACATGTTGGGATATTACGAGACTAGCGAGGACGGTGTTCCGCTATACGTATCCCCCTCTCTCGAAGGGTACGCAGCGGCGATGTGGCGCGGTGCATCGCATATGACAGCCGCGATTGCCCTTCTCTCCCGTTCTTCCGATACGACCTACCCCGCTACGTCGCACACCCCCGTCTCCGCACGGACGAAAGACTTCGCGTTCTTCGTCGTCGCTCTCGCGCTTCTAGGAGTCTGGTTTGTGGGGATGTTCGCGCTGACGGTGGGGATGTGGAGGAAGGCGTCCGGAGATTTGTTGGACAGTTATACGGCTGCGCGGATAGTGGCAGGGCGGCCAGATCTGGTGAATGTGGATTCGCCGGAGGACTTGGAGGATAACCCGAGGCTTTTGGAGAAGTTTGACGGGGGGAACGGGATCCGGGTTGATCTGGGCGGGGAAGAGATTGGATATGTGGCGGCTGGGGGGAGGGGGACTCTGAGCAGTCGACGACCTCATGAAGGAGAGAAGTATAACTTCTAATCACATTATTTATTCTGGATTTCGTTGGTGAGATAAAAGGGTTCTATGTATGAGTTGATCGGTGATACCTATTCATTTATTTTGGGTTATTCCGTGTCAGTGAGAGTCGTCTGACTGAAAGTAAAACGACCTGACCATCGAGCGTAGCTCTAATATGAGACATAAATGTAATCATGAGGCGAGACACATCACCACATAGAGTGATACAAAGCAGAGAAGATGCAATTGACCTGTTCGGTATGAACGCAAGGCAATTATGAACAGCGACGATATACCCATATCAGTGAAACGAGCCCAAACCAGATACTGAAGTAAGTACACCAACAACGAACTAAACAGTAAAACTTTAGGCATCGATTGACTCAAGACGCAACTTCCCTTCGCTCTGCAAAACCTCTAGCCTATCGTATGCCTCTGGATCACCCTCTCTCATCCTCTCCAGCAAGCTCCGCCACAGCCTGATCTTAAACGCCTGCGGCAGCTCCAAGGAGGAGCGAGAAACTGCCCTCGACTCAACCAACCGCGCCAGATAATTGGCGAAAGAAGATTCTCTCGGACGATCGGGGGCATCCCAATCAGATGCGAGGATGTAGCCTTGCAATTGGAGTTCTTTGAGCGCAGGCACAAAGCCTGGTCCAGATCCGAGGTGAGATTGTAGTTGTAGGCTCGACGTGGACTCGTTGGATGATGGTGATATCAAGTACTCGAAGACGCGAAGTGCCAATGTATGACTCGAAATGTTCAGGACCTCCAAGTTCTTCAGCTTCTCTAGCACCATCACCAACACTTCCATCTTGACATCGTCTGCCAATTCTAGTTCCTTTAACGCCTCCTCGCAATGTCCCACAAACTTCACGAACGCGGCAGGCACCTCTCCGGGTAGATACGTCCGCGAACTGATTGGTGAAAACCTGAAGTTAAAGTTCAAATGATCGCCGCTGGTTAAAATGAGATGTTCGAGACGAGGAGTCTCTAGTGTGTCGAAAAAGTAATGGAACATCCTGTCTTTCGAGTGGCCCAAGTTCGCCTCCAACCTTCGCAAAGACGGCAAAACGACCGATCTGCGACCGCGCGAGTGGCGCGGGGGACCTTTGACAGAGACGAAATCAATGCTGAGTTCCTCGAGACGCGCACACTTCTTCAGATTGCGCATGAGGACCTCTGCATCGAAATCGTCTCCCCAGGCTTGGGTGTGCATATGGAGTTTCCTGAGGTGTGTCCATGGTAATACCCATTGCGAGAGCAGCAGATGGTCGAGATAGACTCGACAAAGATGTGGCGCATTTTTGCGATTGAAGCGGGATATTATGACTTGGTTGTCGTTGCCTCGACGGCGTGGTTGCATCAAAGGAGCATACATGGCAAAACTTCGAAGTAGAGGGGTCGAGGATAGGTCTGGGAAAGGATGGATGTCCGGCAACACCCGCGTATAGCTGAGGTTCGTGCACACATCGAGCCAACGGCTAGAATGCTCTGCGAGGATGTGCATGTAACGTTCGATGTATGGCCTTGACTGTGCGAGGGATGTCTGTTTCGTCGACCCTAGGAAGTAGGCGCTAATATACACTCTGAAAGACAAAGGGAGCACCCCTGATCGCTTCAACCAAGTCTGAAGCTCTGTAAAAAAGAGCTCGATGGCCTCGGGTGTTCTCGGTAGCTGAGGAAGGCTGAGCGATGTCCAAGCTCGCGGAGACGTCAGTGTTATGGAGCGCCAGCGGGAGGAGACACGAGTGAGGGAGTGAGGCGCTTGGTTGAGGATGATGTCGTAGGATTCGAATGGATACCCCGGGTCGAAGCCAATGTCAACCGTGCAGTGCGAGAAGATATCAGAGAGGGTTTCGGCGGGTAAACACTGGATGAGATTCATGTTCAATTTGTGTCGAGATAGAGGTTTTGAAGAAGCAAGCTCGAGGACAAAGTGACTGCGCGGCAAGTTCCGTTGAGCCCACTGCAGCCCACTGCTCAACAGAGATGACTCGCGCCACGCCGCATCGTTGAGCGCGGATTCACGACATAATAACAGCAACGAGAATGGCCAAAATACAACACGTCCAGATCAAAGGCACAAAGCTACTAGTCATGTACAGTACGACTCGCATTGTCAAGAAAATACAATCTCACATCGACTCTAGACACAGCTTTCCTTCGCCCCGTAAAGCTTCCAGCCTCTCGTATACCTTCGCACAATCCTCTCTCATCCTCTCACGCAACCTTCCCCCAAGCCTGACTTTAAACGCCTCTAGGTCCAAGGCAGCGCGGGAAGCCGATCTGCACTCAACGAACTTCCCTAGATTGTTGAAGAATGGTGCTCCGCCCACAGGGTCGGACCCGAAGAGATCGAAAGGGACGCCTTGACATCGCAGTTCGCCTAGCGAGGGCAAAAGAGCGAATTCTCCTACGCCTGATCGAAGGATAGGCACCGGGGTTGGGCTGCCCACGCCCGTAGGCTCGTTGGGTGTGCGTGATGTTAGAGCTTCGAGTATCGAAGGAGCCAGTGCCTGGCTGTGAACATCGAGTACCTCGAGGTTCTCCAATTTCCTGAGTACGTCGACAAGGACCCGAATCGTCTCGACTGGATCCACCATCTCCAACTCCTTCAGCGATTCCCCACATTGACCCATAAACTTCTTGAACGCGTCATGCAACTGTTCTATCCGATATGTCCGGAATGGACCACCGACCTCAGGATATGCCATGTCCAAGTAATATCCCGTGGTGAGAGCCAAAGATTCGAGACGAGGGGTTTGAAGCGTGTCGAAAAAGAAATGGAACATCGTGTTTGAGGTCGTGCTCAGGTCTACATCCAATCGTCGGAGGGATGGGAGGACGATTGTATCACGTTGATCAGAGTTCATTGGAATACCTCTGGCAGTCCCAAAGGAGATGTGCAGTTCCTCGAGATTCGTGCACGCCTTCAAGTTCCGCATAAAACCCTGCGCATCAGGGTAGTTTCCTTTGGCCATATGCAGCTTTGTGAGCTGTATCCATGGTAGGACACACCGCGCAAGGGACGGATGGTCAAGAATGATTTGACGGAGGTGTGGCGCGTTCTCGGGACGAAAATACGACACTATGGGTTGGTCCGGAATGACTACGGGATTCGGATTGCCTAGGGAGAGCGTGTGCAACGTAGGAGCACATAGCGCAAAACTTCGCAGTAATGGAGTTGTGGATAGACCTGGGAATGGGTGTACGTCTGACGATGCCCGCGCGTATTTGAGGTTGGAGCACACGTCGAGCCAGCGATGGGAGTGCTGCGACAGGATCTGCATATAACGTATGATATATGGCCTCACCTGCTGGAGTGAGGTTTGTTCCTGGGAACCTAAGACGTCGTAGGCGCTAAAATGCACTCTGAAAGACAGAGGGAGCATTTCCGACCGTGCCAGCCATAGCTGAAGCTCAGCAAGGAAGAGCTCGATGGATTCGGGTGTTCTCGGTAGAAGAGGAAGGCTGAGCGATGTCCAGAGTCGTGGGGACGTTAGCGTTATGGATCGCCAGCGGGAGGAGACGCGAGTGAGGGAGTGAGGCGCTTGGTTGAGGATGATGTCGTGAGGTTCGAATGGATAGTCCGTGTCGAGGCCAGTATCAACCGTGCAGTGTGAGAAAATCTCGGCGAGAATCTCGGTGGGGAAACTCTGAGAGTGCATGCTTGATCTCCGTTAGAGGCAATGAACGCTGAGACTCAGAGTAGGATGCAAACGTTCGGCGCAAGCGCTTTCAATTCTTCGGCACCTTGCGGCCATCCACCAAATCCTTTTTCGGACTGCGCCACACGATGAGGACGCCATTTCGTCCCAGGTTCCCATATTCTCCGTCGAAAAAAACGATCAATAGTCATTATCCGGGTTCATAACAGCCAAGTAGGGTAACGGCACAAACGAGCGAACGACAAATTCAAGCGTACACAACTGAACCTAAATTCGCGACGTGCTGCGGGGGTGGTGGGATATCCAGGGAGGTTGGTAGGTGGTATAAAGAGGTGACTGTGCTAGGTGAGGAGTGAGGAGTCGAAATAACGGTTTTTATCGTGAAGTGAGCGGGAGTGCCCATACGGACATGAGGGAAGTATGCGACGTGCGACGTGAAGTATGATTGGTACAGCGGACAGAGGTGAGGGGGGAAGTCCATATGCGGATGCAAAGTCCGATGAGACACAAGAACGACGAGATAACGTTAACTAGAGTAAAAGCGAAGAGTTCAAACCAGACCAAGTGGAGAATAAAAACGAAGAACCGCGACAAATTATCCACATCGAACCAATTGACACAGAAGTCCATGGAGAAGTCCCTTTCGAAGAAGCGAGGGTCTTCCAAGGAATGTACAGACGCATCCAACATAGCTAACGCTTGGACGATCTTACATCTTCGCCAAGATGCCCACCATGCCCAACACAGCCCCGAGGGCACCCACGAAAACAGCAGGCCAAACACCTTTGGGCAAGGTAGGGAGTGCACCGCTACCGTTGAAGGGAGTGTAGTCGGTGCTGCTAGCCTGCGAGCTCGAGTTATACTCAGTGCCAGTGCCTCCGCCTGTCAGGTTGGCTCCGTTGGGCTACGGGCAGATATTGGTGTCAGCAAGTTACGGGAAGAGATACTGAATGACGGTACACGTACGCCGATGGGCCTGGAGTTGTCCACGAAAGCGCAACTGCTCGAGGTGCAAAGACATTCGCCCTTGATAGGGTCCCAGAAGGCAGTCGAGCAGTTGGCTGGAACTGGTACATCCAAAAAAATGAGCACAAGTAGAACGAAGATAAGAAAGAGTGTCTTACGTCGGAAACGGGCTTGGCTGGTCGACGTGTCCTGAGGAGGGTTCGGGTTGGAGGGGGCAGGCTGGTCAGTCGGGCAACCGTACTACAGAACAGAGCAGGGTCTTCAGCTTGGTTGCTTGCAGCATTTGGTAGGACGACGTACGCAAGTGTACCAAGGGAAGTCAGAGAATGCACAATGACTGAGAAGACCCTCTTCATTCGTGGGCATCCCATTGCAGATCTTGTCGCTAACTTGGGGAGTAGAGCACTTGAGGACGTCGAGGTTGTTCAAATCCGAGATCTTCGTCGGGTTCTGAACCCACGAGAGAAGTTGCTCGGAAGAGACAATCCAGACTTAAACCACACAAGGACGATGAGTACATCACACCGGACTGCACGAAGTAAGGGCTGCATACCGTTGTCCTGCAATTGGGCCCAGTCGAGGAACGAGTTGATCATGTTGATGGTACTCGTCGGCGCACTGACACCAGGGTAGTTTGTCTACAGGAACATTACAAGGATGAGAAGGTTAATCATTCTTGGGTGTGAGAAAAAAAAGCTTACGGCAAGATGAATTGGATGAGTGTAAAGACCGATAGGCTGGCGATTCCCGTTGTAATGAGCGGTGAAGGTGCTCTTCATATACTCTAATGTGGCCGAATCGTTGACGGTGCTCGCCCCGTTAGCGGCATCCCTAACGACCCAGAGAGCTGGTCAGGTTTGTTTGGTGAAGACTTCGAAACAAATACTCACAGCCAAGGGTCCATCAAATGCACACCCGCATCTCCCCTATCATCGAAGAAAGCGTACATCGGAATCTCCCAGAACCCAGGCAATTTCGGCTCTCCCTTGCACATATTGTCAACAGCCAGACAGTCGTTCGCCATCCCGTTATCCAGGGTGTACGGCCAGTAGGCGTCCGTGCCATCTTCCGTGACAGGTAGAGACGCGCTAGCGGAAGAATCGTACGTGAAACTCGTGTTCGCCAACATCTTCAGCGTATCAACTGTGTAGTTCAGGTAAGGCGCCCGGAAACCCTTGATGGCCGAGAGCGGGATGCCAGCGAATGCATTGAGAGCGATGAGGTTCCCGTCAAGTTCGTCTTGTGGAGGCGTACCGACATGGGTCATCCTGCAGAAAATATCAAACAGACACAGTAAGTTTTAGTGTGCAAGGCCGACACCACATGTCCGCATCACGGTGGTGATGGGAAGCATGTGGGGAAGGCGCAAGCGGGAGAAGGAGTGGAGTACGCACGTATGGTCCGCGATCTCGTTACCAGCGACATACCAGTCCGTCACGAGGGTGAAGTTGGTGTAGTTGATGGAGGTGTAGTAAGTCATCTTGGGCTGACAACCGTTGGGGTTCTGGCGATGGGCGAGGAATTGATTGACAGCATCCAGAGTATAGGATTGGATGGCATCGTCGGCGGTGAAGACGACGAACTGGGGGACGTCCGACTATACATGCGATATCGTAGTCAGCACATATTTCCAGGCCGGCCAGATTGACATGCAACATTACACCAACCCGCCAAATCCTGGAAGTAATATACGATACTCACCGGCGATAGTCCGCCCGGGGGGCTTGTGCTAGCACAGTTACAGTTAGGCAACTGGCACTGCGACGAGTCACAAGAATACCCAGCAGCCTCCGACGAGCTCTGCGGGCCTGAAATACTACCATCTTGAGCAAGAACAAGAGCGGGCAAGAGAGCGGCGAGGATGACGAAGGGCAACATCCTGCTGCAGCGTTTTCAAGCTGTTTTGAGTGCTCTGAGGGGAAGAACAGAGACAGAGACCCAAAGGCGAGAGCGGGGGTGAAGAGAAAGGGGGAGGGTAGACTGCCGCAGGGGTAGGTCAGGTACTTTATAGGTCTGACGAGGCTCCGTAAGCGCCATGTTGAGCCGATAGAAGTGAAACGGATTTTGTTCAAGGCGGATTGCCAGCTCCATCAGGGCAATATGATCGTGATAACCAGGCAGACCAAACGCCGACTGCTACCACAGGTCAATTCAGGATCATCGTCCCGTCTTCTTGCTTTGTGTCGCCTCTTTGCAGTAAGAAGTCTGTCCAGCAGGCCCTATGCAAACGCAATAACGCTGTGTCAAGACAGCCTGTTCACGGTCTGGTGTAGGAGCTCCGATGACGAGCGGGCTAATTTGACCGCTCGAAGGCAGCAAGCATGAGGTGGATCGGGGCAGGGCGCTCGAAGCCGATGGACTCGACTAAATCGAGAAACTAGCTCGAACCACAAAAAGAATACCGGGTGTCTACTTCTACAAAGTGCATTGCAGTGCAGTTTCTGCCTGGGATGATGGCAGCTTGTGTCGAACGAGATTGAATGAACACGGAGAGAGTTCTGTGAGAGGGAGGAACCAGGGGAAGACGGAATTTCAAAGCCCGGAAGTCCGGATGGCCAGCAGGGCGGTGGTCCGGGAAAGGCTTGGCATTCATTGCCAAGCCGCGTAGATCGCACTGACACCGCAGTGGCGCGCCACACCAGTCTTCGACAGAGCGGCTAGGAGAACTCGTCTGAAAGCGCGACAAAACAAGATAAATTGTGTTACAGAGCCCAGGTATAAGCAGGCTGAAAGCTACAGATGTGCCGTAGGATAGAGATGTCTACAAGATAATGGAGAATGACTCGTCAGTAAACTCTCCTTCACTTCTCATCTCTTCTGCCTCTTGTAGACTCCTTCGTTACCTCGACTGCCTTCACCTCTACTATAATTTGAAGTACTCCTCCCTCCTGAAAATGCTGGAGGTGCGCTCCTTCCACCGCTCCAAAAGCCGCCATTGTAGTTCGAACCTCCCCCTCCTGTACGCTGAGCATTATTGTATTGCGAATGCCCACTTCGGTTCCGGGAATCGTTGTAGCTCCAACTTGATGAAGGAGCCTGTGCCTCAGCAAATGGTCGAATCCTACCTTGTTCAACGAGAGTTCTGATATTCTCGCGAAAGTCAAGTGTCTGCGGCATCAACGATAGAAATTGAGCTTCAAGGATGTGAAAGGTAATGCAACAAGGGAAAAGGTACATACCTCCTGCGTCACTCCGATGATCGTTCCAAGAATATTGTGCCCAGTACCATCCAACGTAGCACGCTCCAACCTCGCTTTCGCCTCTCTAAAAAGCTGCCTCACAGCTTTAATCTTCCCTGCGGATCGTGCTATGTCATTGTCTACGGCCCAGAAGCTCTATCAGCATAGTGGAATTTGAGCGAGGAAACGAACTGACCTCGATTGACGAGACACTCAATACATAACCGCCCATTCTCCCATACATTTTCTCTCAGCCAGCCTTTCTTCTTTTTCGATAATAGAGTGCCCTCGCGGACGGAGATGTAATGCGTCATGTACGGGAATCCATTCGATGGGTCGAACGTTTCTTCCTTCACATCATCTTCAAGGGCCTCGGACTCGGTATTGTGTTCGTCCTTTGGAACTTCCCCTTCCTCTGCGGCTTCGGGTTCGTTGACAGGGACAGGTGTATCGTTGCCCTTGGAGACCCGCGAAGGTTCGCTTGGAGGAGGGGTCGGGGTAGAAGTAAGGTCAATTATGTCTTGCGAGACAGGCGGCAATTCGCGCGGAGGTCGCTCGGGTACTCGTGGTTCGACGCCGTAGTACTCCAAGAAGTCAAGAAGTAACCAGCCAAAAGATTCAGATGCCACTGGGTCATCAACCCATTTCTGTGGCCTCTTCTTTGGATTTATCTTTACAACCAAATTCGATTGTCAGTAAACGTTGTCTGCTAATGGGAGGGGTGGGACGAGCCTGCAGGAATGAGATGACCATGCAGATCACACAATAGGACGACAGTCCGCTCGACTGCGCCGAATGCAGCCCATGTTGTTCTAGCAAGGATTTAATGAGAAGCACAAGCGGACGTAAAGCAGGCATAGTCTTCAAATACTCTTTCACGGGTGCGATGGTAGGCACACCGTCTGCGCCGTTGACGGTGATATCTACGTTGAAGCGTCCTACATCAACAATCATGGAAAATAAGCCTGGTGAACAGAGAACGAAGGCGGTCATTGGTTAGATGCGAACCGGTTTGCGGGTGAGATACCATGTTGAGGACGGGGACTCGCGCATGGGCTACAACGAATAGTTCTTCTGCTAGGTATTGTTGTTCGAAGAGATACCGCTTCGCTTCGAACAGCACACTCTTACAGGCTTCTTGTGTGTCCGCGATTTGATGGATCTCAAATACGAGATCCATGTCTCTGTTCGCAATCATGTCAACTCTCAGTTAGTACACTGGATAATAAGCATTAAAGAACTGAGACCCTTATAGCGTACACGCGAGAGCGGTGAAAAAACGTGAACGGGATGAAAGCTGCTTACGATCTAGGTAAGCACAGGTCCGTGCTTATGCTCCCATACAGATGAAGTTTCGCGTTTCTCCATTTACCCCGCACAAGAACGGATGCTATTTGGTCGTATAGAGCCTGACGAGCCAGACGTTCGGCAGGTGTGGGGAGGATGTACGATGCGTGCGCGACGATCTCGTCGTGTAGCCTGTTCACGCAAGCCAGGAGAAAGCCTCTTTAACTGGGGTCATGGTAATGTGAGTGAATGAGGCTATTGAAACTGTACCTCTGTTCCTTAGATTCGTACTCCATAGCAGGAAGAGTGTCGATCCAAGGAGTGTGAATAGGTCGTTTTTCTGGAGGGATGGGAAGCACGGGTTTTGGCTCGCCACGTTTGCGCTTCCTAGTGTTGGGCCTTGCGGTTTCTGGTTTTACTGGTAATGTAGCAGAGGAAAGTAAGCCTCAACTATTGAGTCGTATTGCGATGAGTTTTGAGGAACTTACCCATGATTATTCACTGGGGCGAATGAGTGTGGCGACGATGACACAGGTTGGCTGGACGAAGATAATATATGAATAAGCTATGGCCCAATGTCGAATGAGCGTACCGTAGTTGAATAAAGCCTATGTCGTCGTAAAATAGCTTTGCAGCTCACCTGAATGTTCCCAGAAGGTCGGAATCCTGCAGACGGCTTTGAAGTCGCGGTCAATTTGATGTTCAGCCGGCTCGGCTAACCTAAGCAGACACAATAAAGACACCACTCGCAGAGAGATTCCCAGTTAAAATCCGTCCGAGAGCAAATAGGGCTGTGCTGAGAACGGTTCAAGACGGTTGACGTTGTTGTCTGAAGATGCGGCCCAGCGACCTCGAGACAAGTCTGGAGCGAAGAACTCGAACACGGAAATTCCGGAACAAGAAGGGTGTCACTGTGGCGCCACGGAACTCGCCGGCACGACGTCACGCGCTCCGCTCGCGTGGCTCTTCCCCGCAATCTTGGCATATATAATCCGAGGTGCGCCCCGAGCTCTCCCTCTTCACCAGCGTCATCCCCAACAACCCACTCACAACCAACTCTCTCACAAACAAACAAATCTTTTTGGCAGACTCGTAGCTGCTCCTAATTCACATACAATCATGTCTGTCAACACACAACACCCAGCTGCCAGTGAGCCTAATTTATAAGCCTTTCCACAGCAGGAGACTAAAGCCCCTATTCGCTTTACAGTGCGCGTTGGAGGTCGTCGTCTCTCTCTACCCTCATCACATATAAGGCCACATGTACCTACGTAAGTGCGAACCCTTTCACAATGTTCAATAGTCTAAGGCATCGTATCTTTACAGAAGCCCTGTAGACGAAGCTCCTCGCCGTGCCGCCTCCCCAGACGATTACCCTCGTCCCTCTGCACCCTCGTCTTTCAACCAAGAGCATATGGACCTAGAGAGCGAAGTCGAAGAAGACGAGGCCGAAGCTCCTCCACAACACCATGTACCTCACCACGATGAGGAACCGCCAAGGAGGGAGAAGAAGCGCGAGGCGCACGGGATGCATGACAGCGAGAGGAAGCTACGGGAGAATGCGCAAAGGAAAATGGAGGAGAACAGGCCGAGCAAGGAGGCATGGAACGCGAGCGGACATGGAGCCGGACAGAGGATCGCCCAGCCAGCTGGGAAGGGTTTCCTCGCTTGAGCTTGTTCATGAGACGGCGCTCCATACACGAGGCTACGAAGAGTAGCGGAGCGATGGTGTAAGAATAGCATGAAGGCTGTGGACCTCTGTGGACATCAAATATGTATATTCATCTCTGTGGGGTGTACGATACTTACATGTACCTGTATGTTGGCGGTTTCCCGATATTCTTTATATTCTGTATCAATAGCAAGTTCATAACTGATAGCAGGTCATTGTGACGAACACTGCGCCTGTGGACTCAGAGCCTTCGCTCAGCACTCTTGTTCGAACCAGATTGCGCCAAACGAGCATGGTCATATTCATGTGCATACGTCGAAAACAAAGCGGGGGACATAACGCTCGACGCAAAAGAAAAAAAATGCGAAGTCGAGAAAGCTCAGAAATACAACATCACTGGGACCCTGCTACGCTCATGCGTCCTCCTCAACAGCGACGGCCTTGGCCTTCTTGCCACGGACCTTCTTGGGAGGCGAAGCCTTGGGCTCCTTTTGTGTAGCAGCGAGGGCAGAGACGCGGGCAAGGGTGGCCTAAGGGTAAGAGCACAAGCGGTCAGCAATACCATCCGAAGAAAAGATGAGAGCCGAAACGACATAAGACGTAGAAAAACGACACCATTCACGTAGAAAGAGTATGGTACGGATAACAAGGACATTAAGTAGGAAGTGTCATCGCCAAATCGTCGGACTATCGCGTCGAGCGGTCTGACGAAATCCGATAGCGTATTGGCGAGCTATCCAGGGGAGTTTGATCGGCTCCATATTCTGGACGGGGTTCGATATTGCAAACATGTCCACGCCCATCCTTCATTTGCACCAGAGGCACAGTCCAGTGGGTTCTAACGAGAGTGCGTCTTTCCGTATTACCTTCTTAAACCCCGGTACCAGAAACAAGAACCAATATGGATGAAGATTATGTATTGTAGATAGAAGAGTGTTGCGAGGGAAATGTGACAAAAGAGAGCAGGGAATAGAGGAAAGAGTACGAAACGACATGAGATGAAAATGAGAAGAGACTCACAGCACGGAGATCAGCGCGGTAGCCGCGCTTGGCGAAGCTAGAGGCAATGCCAGCAGCCCTCCGTGGGCCAGTCCTGGAGCTGATGGTGGTGGTTGCTAGTGCGCCACGGACAGCGTTGGGGGAAGCATCCTTCTTCTTGGTGATGATCTGGATGCCGGAGGGGGACTCGCGGACAAGAACAGCCTAGATAACCCGAACAAATAGTGAGCTTTGGGAACATATTTCACGTGTGTGTTGGAGTTGAAATGCTGACCTTCGAGTTAGCGACACCGGAGTACTTGTGCGAGTGGAGGCTAAGGAGGTTGCCCTGAGTCGTTCAACGCATAGAAAGCCAGCAAGGAAAAAACATAGGAACGTCCATACAATGAGATTTCATGCAAGGGTATGCAAACGAACGGAACAAACGCACAGGCTCCTTAGAGAAGATGGGCCCTTCCGGGAGGCGCTTCACAAGGAAGCTGTTCTGCTTCTGTTGGGCATAAAAATCACGAAAAGTCAGTACATCATCTTCGCTACCATAGCAGTAGTACACACACGGATAAGGAGCCACTCGAGATCGTTAGACATGGTGTTGGATTTTGGGGCGTACAGTGAGCAAGGTAGCGTTCCTGTTCTGGGATGTGGCCATGGCACTTTCCGGGTGGCTGAGAACAACTGTACAGTCTGATTATGTAAACAGATATTGTGTGGCGTCCATCAGGCTTGCCACACGACAAAGTCTTGTAAATAAAAATCAGCTTGTCAGAACATTGCGAGCATCTCTTAGCATCGCCCATGTTACTCTACGAACATGTAGAATGATGTCTCTGCAGAGGCACGTAGACCACGTTAGTTACAGAATGTGGCGAGCTTTTGGAAATGCAAGGAATTGCTCCTTTGACCTATTAGTATGAAAGACAATTCTTGTTCTCGAAATATTGAGGATGTATCATGTTTGCGTTTTGGATTCGTTGTAAGCACCGCCTGGCCGATTATGAGGGTCAACAGAAAAGAGAGTTCGAAATGTACATATCACTTGCTTACACGAATCTCGACGCTGAGGTTACACACAACACGATGGTTTGCCAGCATCGCAGCGGCGGGGATGAACGAGGGTTGAAAACGCGAAGCGTTATTGACGCATGCTTCGCCAAACGACGCTTTGCCAGACGAAGACGCTACTAGACCCATGGATTTTTGCATACAGCATATGCACATAATGATGATATGTAGGAAAACAGAGTCGACATGTGGAGAGGGAGAGCCAGAATACAGACGTCGATCACTCGTCCTCCTCCTCATCATCACCGCCCTCCTCCTTCTTGGCAGCAGCCGCGGCACGCTTGCGCTTGACACGACCGGGGCGGCCTCCACCATAGGGCGAAGTGAGAGCGAAGTCGATGTGCTTTTGCGAGTCGAGACGGACGACGAAGGAAGGGACGTTGACGATCTGCTTGCCAACACTGCACAAAGAAGGTGATGCTCAGTAACGGCACAAAATGCCGATACTCACAGAACTCGGAGTATCGAACAAAGAGAAGGGAATGGGCGTACCGAATGTGTCGCTGCCTGATGAGGACACGGGCATGATGAATGCTCTTTGCCAATCCACTCTTGAAGACCTGGGTCTGGAGCCTCCTCTCCATGAAGTCCTCGAGCTTCAAGGCCAACACGTAATCGAGACGCATGCGACTCTCATCCAACACACCGATACGCACGAGACGGCGGATGAGGGCGTTACCCTCGAAGAGACGCTTCGGGTCCTTGTCGTCAAGCTTCAAAAGCTCACGGGCGGCACGACGAATTTTGGAAAGGACAAGGGAGATACGCCAGATCTCGCGCTTGTTGCGGAGGCCATACTCGCCGGCGAGCTGAAGCGCGTACATATGAGTAATAAGGTCTGGAGCTAGATTGTATGTTCAGGGACTGACCTTAAGCTCGGCGTCGAGACGGGCGGATTCAAAAGGTCGACGAGGGACCTTGTAGCTGTTTAATGAATAAACATGGGGCACGGCTTGTATCAGCAGCGTGAACACCCTCCACACAGAGGTGGATCTTGAAGAGACATCTAAAGAAGAATCAAAAGCTCACGTCTTCGAGTGGTTTCTCGGTGCCCTGTAACGTCTATCAGCACAACCAAGTACACAGACCGTATAAACGAGACGAATACCTGGGCATTTTGTCTTGATGGTGTGGACGTCGGGACGGACGGTCTTGCTCGCGCCTTCTGGATCACTATGACCAAACGGTGGCAAACAATTCCCCGTCGCGCTTCAGCCACAACTGTAAAGCTCAATCGGAGTTTGCCGGTCACGCAAACTTTGCAGTTAGTGTCTACACGCCGCCAGCACCGATCCCGACACCGACGCCCACCGTGAGCTCGCCGTCTTTTCCAGCAATTTATACTGCAGAAGTGCTGACCTTACGATGTAGTCCTCAAGATGCCTCACTCATTTGGTTACCGCGCGCGTACGCGCCACATGTTCAAGAGGGGCTTCAAGGGTGCGTTAGCCCCATCTTCAGTTGTAATGCCGCGAGCTGAACGTTCGATGTACAGAGCATGGACCCATCAAACTCTCGACTTACCTGATTCCTTACCGGATTGGTGATATTGTCGACATTAAGGCCAATGCCGCCCAGCAAAAGGGTATGCCCCACAAGTACTACCACGGGTGCGTTTATCGACTTCCTAGCTTTTGTGTCTAGGCTGACACAGATATATCAATAGGCGGACTGGCATCATCTACAACGTCACTCCTCACGCCGTCGGGATCATCATCCACAAGGTAGTCGGCAACCGTTACATGGAGAAGCGCGTAAACATCCGTGTTGAGCATATCAGGCACTCGAAGTGCAGGCAGGAGTTCTTGGACCGTGTCCAGTCGAACCACGAGGGTCATCAGGCTGCCAAGGCCAAGGGTGGTGCGTAATATATCTACTCATACCTTCCTCGAACTCGTCTTGATTTGCTTTGGATTTCGCCACAGAGCGCGTCACCTTGAAGCGCTTCCCCATCCTCCCCCGGGAAGCCCACACCGTCAAGGCCTCCGCCGACAACACCCCTCAGACCATCGTCCCTGTCCGTTACGAGACCACCATCTAAAATGCATCCTTGTCGTTGTTTTTGGTGCTATCCGTCCATTCTGGCTTGCGAGTGGTCTCGTGTGTTTTTTTATGTTTCTCCTCATGTTTTACTTGCCTTCCGCGTATGATCCATGCAATCACTAAGCCCGAGCATGAACCAGAAATCCATCTGATTGTCGAGAGCCCTGGTGTCGCCTTCCTTCCTGCATACCGCTTGCACCGAGTGCGACAATTGATTGCGCTGTTCTTTCAAGTCCATATACGGAGGGTGGCTTGTTTATTCCTGCAACTCACTGTGAGACATGGTCGTGGGCTTGCTTTTCATGTCCTGCTCTACGGTCAGCGCCGTAAATCGCAGAAGGTCGCACGTATGTGTGTACAGTGCTCGCACCATTCGTCATTCTGTGAATATGCTGAGAGAAGATCCTGACGAGGCTGTGGCAATGGGATGACAATGTCATTTGCTCTTTTCAGTTGTTATTTTCTCGACATTCAGCGGGAAGACCGGCGCGCTTGTCAAACGGAGATTTGTGTATTTCTAATAATAGCCCTCCCAGGAGACTTGAGCTCGCGGTCGTTGTCTTTATTTACGCATCGCGCATCGATGTTGGTTCATCCTCGGGTTTCTTATCTGGCAGGTAAGGTGGCCGTTTGCCTCTCTTGTCCATTTGCGATCGAGCCGTCAGCGGCTCTGAGATAGATTCCAAAACTCGCGGTGAGGTCGGCGAGCTCAGAATATCCTTCCGTTTATAGCAACTGATATGTATGAGCCTTGTGAGCTGCGTGCCGGTGACCGGTCATGTCGTCAATGTCCAACTGGCATATAGTCATGGGTGTGGGCAGGCGATACGTCAACTATTCCACCAATTGTACTCTATTCGTCCTCCATATTGCCGGCTCTGGACCTTGAGATGCCGTATGCTGCTTTTGTGGCCCCCCTCAGCGCTTCGTCCTCGGCTTCTTTGCTGGCGATTTTTGGTCCTCGTCCACGGTTCGCGGAGGAGCATCATGATTATGATACCCAAATCGAAACGTTGATACCACTACTCCCGCGCATAAGCCCCGTTTCACTGGCTTGTCCCGTCCCCCGACAGCATGGCTTCCGCCAAGCTACAAAACCCTTCTGAGTCTTCATCGTGAAACAAGCACACGACTAACGCGTATCCACGCGAGATCTCAACGAGGAAACCCCTTCCGTTCACTTGGGACGCTTCGGCGATTGAATCGAGCGCATATTTCGGTATACATTGTACTTCTGTCTATAATTGATCTTTCCCCGGAACTCGCTGACCGTCGTCCGACCTGGACCTGACGCCTGACGCTCGAAAATGGCATCAGTGATACAAACAGGTAGATGAAGGGGCATAACTCGTGACTAGGGGTGGATTGTATATGAGAGGAGCAGGCGTCTGCGATTCTGGGAGCAAGCACTCATTCGAAGACCCGAACTTGAGCCTCGCAGAACCCGACTGATATCCGACCTCGACGCCTTCCAGCTCCGAGTTCGACTTCTGCATTGCAATTGAGTACTGTCACAACATTCTGGCCATGGTTAGTGATCGTTCCTTCCCGGACTGGCCCTCTGCATGTTCTTGATGCTAACTGTCCATGTTTTACGTTCTACCTAGTCTCCATCTAAGCATACTAACAACGTCAACGGCCAACCCCCAAAGTCCGGCGCATTCCGAGCACTCGTCTCGTCGTTGAGAAGCGTCAGTCACACTCCGCTCTATTTGTCTGCTACAAAACCTCACATTTTATCCACAGCGACCGCAGAATGGTCCAAGCAGCGCCTTACCAACGCCCGACTCTGAATGCAGCACCATTGTACGTACCTTCGTTGCCACTGCCAGGCATGCCCTCTGTAATGATAATCCCACTTGCCTTTAGTTTGACTTCACCCCCTACGACGAGCTTTCCCCTCCACCGTACTCCGAATCGGCGTCGAGCAGTAGCAGTAGTGAAGAGGTGACTAACTATATCGAAGAGGTCAGTCCATCTCTCTCTTCTTTATACCAATTCTACGACTCTGTTCTGATCAATCTCGCGAAAACATCCTTGCTTCTTCTCCATTCATTCCTACTATGGGTGGTTCCTATGATGCAGGATGACGACTACCGTTTGGACGAAGATAACAGCGGATGGTCTAGGAACACCGCCAGGTCGAAGTCGCGCACTCGTACCCCTCATCTGACGCAGCTCGATGGACAGGCTTCTTCCCAGGATCCTCCGCCCGTACGTCAACTTCTTTGCAACATCCTCCTTGCAAACTATCTTTCCTTCGCCTTCGGTCCTCAGACGTCTCGCGCATGTGATTCTGATGCCCGTATTACCCTTCCAATAGCCTTCAAAGAACTGTGGGCCTCATTCATGGGGATATCGTGCGAGGAGAGCACCCTCTGAACAATCAAGAAGGAGAGATCGCTTCACCGTTGACCGCAGTACCCCCAGGCCAGTCAAGGACGTCGTAAGTCCGCCCCACTAGCTTTCGCCACAAATGTGGCACAACTTGCGCCCACCATGCTCATCCTTATGTTCTCACGTTCATCATTCAACAGGCACAGATGCTCGACTCTGAGGATCGTGCGTGGATGTGAGCCTCAGAGGAGAATGCGGGACCGATTCTTGGTGGAGCTTCTTATACATTTTTTATTCTTGTCCGAGTCGACCATCGTGACTGAAGGGGGATGCTCGATTGTATCTTGCGAGTGGACCGTTGGTGGGATGCGGGCCGTCTCTGTAGTTCCAGCATGACTAGCATACCACATTCAGATTAATGTTGTACCATTCATATATATATGAAGCGGGTTCAAGTCACCAAAATACCAAAATTCGTCAGAAGTTGTCATGAAAGCAAGTCGAGGCGGAAAATCTTGGTCTCAATCCCATGTCTGGTCACTGAATGTTATTGGATCTACCGGGACTCCTATATACGATCGCCTTTTTAACGACGAACAAGAATGGGTGGGTGTTTTATTGCCTGAATAAGGATGATTGGTAGGTGGGCGTAGATCCGTCTGTAGAATACGGAGTCACACCGCAAGATCTGCAAGGGAAAGGGACCTTCTTCACAAACCGTGGCGTTATGATTTACTTATACAGTACGTCTCGCTCGATGAAGGCTCCGAATGTTAACAAAGTCGGGTAACAGAGTACGACCTTAAGAGATAGGGAGAGATACTGAGGAGAGACCATAAGACTGACAAGACGGAGCATTGCGCTTCATGCTCGGAATAGCGTCTGGAGGGTCCAGATGGCAAATGTGGGAGTGGCGTATCGAAAAAGGCCGATACTGCAAGGCACGTAGATCGTATCGCAAGAGTTGAACTTGAGATATAAATGTATAGCAGAGACCACAAGACATACGAGATATAATATGGCGATTCCTGAGCTTCGACTAGCGCCTGGAGCAGTCTGGACGACCGACGTGAGAGTAGTTCGAGAAAACCGGGCACTTCGGGGGAGGTAGAGCTTATGTGGAGGACGGTGAAGCAGAGAACATATAAAAAGCTCGAAGAGGTGTTGAAGACCACAGGGAATGTGAGATAGAGCGGCGTGATTCAATGATAAGAGAACATCTGGAAGGGTCCAGATGACAAGCGTGGAAGTGGCATTTAGTAAGGTCGAGCAGCGTCGTTGTCGATACACACAGATAATTTGCGGAGTACGCCCAGGGTGGTGTATAAGTTGAACTTGCGAGCGGCGACTGCCGATTTCCTAGCGGAGCAGTTTAGACTCGAGGGCGTGTTGAGCGGCGATTCCGGTACAGCGGGTCATGACTGACTAGAGTCCGGAGTCACACCGCCACACATCTGAACCATTGGCTTGGGCAGGCATAGGTATGATCGCCTGGAGGAACTCGAGAGCCTAAACCTTCTAGAGTGAGCACAAGAGAAATAGTCGCGATGGATGAGGGGCCAAAAGAGTGGGACGGGCGTACTGAGTTTCTGCTCCTGGCCCGCTGAGGGACACATGGATCGACAAGACTTTTCAGGGACGTAAAATTGTACAGCAGAAAACAAGAAAACACGATTACAACAGAAGAACCAATGACAGAACTATCATGCTAGACCAGGAAAGAACGTAGAAAAGAGACCAAGGAAAAATAGAATGAGTGACGATATTATGTATTGGCCTTGAAACGAAGCCTCCACCCATTACAAGCCCTGCTGCAGCGACCGCACAGGTACCCAACCAATCTTGAACAGCTTATATCCACCTTCATCAGCCCTGCCAACACCTCCTTCCAGCCTTCCCACTGACTCCTCTTCTAGGACAGCCAACTCGTACTTCACTCTTCCGTTGAACTGACCAACCCTCGGATCCCTCCCATGGTCTTCGTCCAAGGGCAAGCTGCTGACTGGCGGGAATGCCTGTGTGACGGTATCCGCATCTCCCTCGTGTCTGCCTGTCGCACGTAGAGCCACGATGAGCCAAAAAACACCTCCTTGGACTTGAATCGTATTGCCCGAGGGGTATGATAGGGTATCGGATGGCGATGGAGTTTGGATGGGAGGAAGAAGAAGGCGCTCGACGCAGTTTCTAATCCACTGGGCATGAGAAGGATGGTAGACCACATCTGCACCAAAGATGATATCGAATGGCTCGTTCAACGGGGCACAGTCAAGCTCGGGTGTTTCCCAGTCCAATTTGCTGACGAAAATCGGAGATAGATCGGCGGTATCGGGTGAGGATGGAGAGGATGAAGAGGCGAAGTTGGTGTTGACATTCCGATGAAGGTTGTCGAGAACGTCAGGATGGTAGTCGGTCGCTACGATGGTTGGTTTGGGAACGTATGATGATGAACGGGACAGGATCTTAGCGGTGACAATGCTCAGTAGTCCTGTCCCCGCGCCGATCTCTAGAACTCTCAGACGCTGACTGCCTTTGAGGGATGTTGGCTTCGGAAGGAATATCGATGGTCGGGCGGACATTCGTTCGGCGAGAACAATGCAGCTAGCCCAGCTCTGGAGACCCACTGAAGTATGATCCGAGTTCAAGAGTGGTGCATCGTTGAGCTCGACATCGATTGTAGGAGGGGCGGATGATTTCGACAGGGAAGATGATGGTTCGAAGGGGAAGGAGAATGAGCGCGTTATTGGGGGTTCTGGTTCATCTTCTTCCGATGAGGTTAACGGATGCATGAACGACGAGAGAAGAGATGCCGCATCGTCAATTAAGGCCGCGCGGGTATCGTCGGTGTCTTGAGAATCGCAAGGCGATGAGGGTGAGGATGCTGACGGGGCGGAAGAAAGGAAGACGTCTGCACGAGCTGCGAAGCCTGTTAGCCACTTGATAGCAAAATTGCGTTCAAGAGCGTCGCAGCGGAGCATGTCAAGCTCTGATACATCTTTCTCGTCATCAGTGCAACGACTTTGGCCATCACCGGGAGCTACTGTCTCCTCATCCTCCTCATCCTCCTCTTCTACTGCAGATGCATAACCGGAGTCGGGCACTTCGTCGACGTGCGTTAGCTTTCGCTTCCGAGCAGATCGCTTATGAAGGGTAAGCGGGCTATCGACGACGAGCGATGATGATGGCGGTTGGGGTGTAGATGGTGGGAAATACAGGGCACGAAGATTATACAGCGCTGCCTGAACTTGGGCACAAGTCGTTGTGGACAAACGGTTCAGAGGCGGTAGGTTCGATGTCGGGGCCGTCGGGCGCGAGTACGAATTAGTTGTGAGTGTGGCCATTATATTCCAGAAGCGACAACTTATAATGTTGATGTCTAGATTATTTGGTGGATGTGCCAGAAAACACTGAGCAAGGACTGCTGTGGATATCAAGTCGTTCCAGATGATATCGTCTAAAATCGTCTAGGAAGAAAACAGGTCTGTCTAGAGGTCTAGAAAAAAAGCCAAAGAAATCACGAGAAGCGGCTATGAGCTGGCAGCGACCATCGTGAACGACGTGGAGAGAGAGAGAGAGAGAGCAGCGCTAGCGGAGACAGATTGCAGTGAGGGCAAGAGTCAGACTGCAGGACGGACCAATCAGAACGCGGAAAGACCAAAAAATATGCACGTGCGCGGCATTCGGACCGGGTTCTTGAGTTGCGTGGCACCTGGAGTTTGTGGCGCAGGTGATCAGGTTTCTCTTCAACTACCATGTCGTGGTCACTCACCATCACATACGCCCTCCATCCTCCAGCTGGAAGCTCTATAGACACCTCACTCCATCCAAATGCTACCCATGATTTTCCTCTTTCCATTCCAGCTCCTGATGGGCCGGACACAACAGGTTACAGAGCTCATTATGACGCTCTGAAGGCTGCTATCGCCGAAGCCAGGGCGAAGACTGGCGACGAGTTGACAAGATGGAAAGATGCAGTTGGTACTGCAGAACAGACGAAGGAGAGTAAGTCAAGTGGGAAGAAAGAGGATATTGAGGATGACAATGCCGAAGAAGATGATGAAGAAGAAGCGACATAGTGAATACATTGGCCTGTCTGTATACCTTCTCTACGTATGGAATGATGGTATGCTCACTTTTCGGTTTCTGACTACTTATCAGGGGAAACGTATCAGGTTGCGGTCGCTACCCTGGATATATGAAAATGTCCCCGCTTTGTATGCTGAAGTAAAGGTGACTATACTCGACAGCCTGAGTGATTCGCTTTCCTCTGCTATCAAGCACTATCTGACCAATGTATGATGCGACGCTTGTCGCAGGTAGGATAGGAAGAGTCGCGAAACGTTTGCTCCCTGTGTATCGTATATATGCATCACGCAGTGCAAACTGTAAACTACGCTTGAGTCGACCACACAGATCAGGCGGACCTCTCGTGGTCACCAGCTGACTATTGACTTTCCTACGGCTCCCCACACGAGAAAGTTTGTTCATCCAAAACGATCATCCTTGACTACTCTATCCGCCAATGTGCGCTCCTCATACCCTTCGGCATGACCGTGAGCGCTTCGCAAACGACTGTTCATTCTCATGTGCTCCTGTCAGCGCTTCCTTAAGTACGAGGAGTGACGTCTTAAACGTCTCGCACGCCTCTTGCTTTTAGCCATGTACATCCTCACAGAACTCATCCCTCTGCTCATAGCGTGTTTTGGTGCCTATGTTCTCTACGAAATTGGGGATTGGACGACAAGTCGCAAGAGAAAGCGAATGCCCCCCGGTCCAATGGGACTTCCTTGGATCGGGAACAGGAGTCAGGTTCCGGCCATCAAGCCGTGGCGTAAGTTCAAGGAGTGGAATGAGCAGTATGGTGTGTGCATTTCTCAACACCTAGCTAATTGAGCCGCTCACTCATACCACGGTCCGTCTTGTACAGGTCCTGTTGTGTCGCTCTTCCTTGGCCGTACACCCGTCATTGGTCAGTTTAATTCCCTCCAGACTCTTCAAGCAGTCATCTTGATTTTCCGGACGTTTAGTTCTTGGGACTGCTCAAGCAGCTTGGGATTTGATGGAGAAGCGCTCAGATATCTATTCGAGCAGGCCGCGGTTCATTATGGCGTACATCAACTCTTATCCTATGCTTTTGCTGTGGCCAATTGACGATTCGCATGATCTTATAGTGGCGAGATCTTGTCTGACGATAATCGAGGGCTGATGATGCCAGCGGGGAAGAACTGGCAACAGTTCCGAAAGGTATGTAGCCCTGTCATCCCGTCCATTCAAAATACCGTACGGACCTTCGTGGCCAGGTTTTGCATAGCGGTTTGCACAGTCGTAAAGCGGATACCTACAAGGACATACAGTCCCTTGAGTCGAAGATTCTCATTCACCAGCTTTTGCGCGATCCCAAGGGTTACGAGAATCACATTCGGCGGTGCGTTTGCTGCCTGTCCTTTTTTTGTAGAATCTGTCGAGCCGATGATATGTCTGCAGCTATGCGGCGAGTGTTGTGGTGTCTCTGACCTATGGCAAGAGGGTGGAGAGTGTTGACGAATGGATCGTTAAGGAAATGTCTGACTCTATGGACTGTAAGTTGCTTGAGCTGTTGCCTTTGATGATCTTCCTCAAGACTTCCTTGTTTACCTACCTGCTTTCCGACACAACAGACTTAACCAGGTAGCGTACTCTCAGGTTATCACCCATTCATCATTTTTGATCTCGACGTGCTCTGGCCGCCCTTAAGCGTGAAGTAAGTCTACACGTGCCCATCTTGTCAGTTTCATAAGCTAAAACTGGTTCAGTATACCTGGCAAGTACGTCGTAGAATCGTGGCCCTGGCTCTTGAAGCTGCCGGTGAGTGTAACATGGTCTCTCAGGCTTCTCACATCGGTGCTTGCTGAAACCTCAATCTGACGCGCCAATCCGTCCTCAGAAACCGTTGCAATGGTTTCGACGTGAAGCCCTCATCCAACGCGAGCGCGATATCCGTCTTCTCACATCGCTTGTTGCCGACGTCAAGAAACGCACTGAAGAAGGCACTTGTCCGCCCTGTTTGGCGCAGCAAGTCCTCGGCGAAAAGGGGAAGCTTGGGATAACTGACATCAGAGCGGCCTATACAGTTTCCAGCCCCTTTGGCGCCGGCATTGAGACGGTCAGTGACCTGTAATACTCATCCGTGCGGTGACAGTGCGAAATATCATGAGTATGACGCCGATTCGACTCTCCTACTATCCCCATAGACTTCTGGAACTCTCTTTACTTTCATGTGTATGTTCATTTTGTCGTTCGGCGCTTTCCACGGCCTAAGCTCACCACATTTCCAGTGGCTATGTTGCATTATCCTAACGTTATGCGGACTGCCCAGGCAGAGCTCGATGCCGTTGTAGGGCCAGATCGAATCCCTGATTGGACTGATAGGCCAAACCTACAATATGTGCGTGCATTGATCCACGAGACCCTAAGATGGAGGCCTGTCGCAGCCTTAGGAGGGATGGCCCATGCGAGCACGAAGGAAGACGTCTACGAGGGGATGTACGTGATGTTTCTTCTATCTTGACATAGCTTTCGACTAGCTCACCACCTTCAAGGTACATTCCGGAAGGGAGCACGGTCTTTGCCAACTTGAGGTATGTGTATTTTATCTAGTCTTCCTGTCCGAGTTGAGCGCCACCCTGATCACGTATAAACAGCGGCATAATGCACGACCCGAGCAACTTCCCCTCTCCCAACACCTTCGAACCTTCTCGCTTCCTGCCCAACCATCCCCTTAACACCGGCCATCCACGCTTGCAAAACGATACGTTCGACCTCCCCTTCGGCTTTGGCCGTCGTGCTTGCCCGGGAATGCATCTCGCCTCAAACTCTCTCTTTATGAATGTGGCGAGGATTTTGTGGGGCTTTGATATCAGTCCTATCAAGCGAAAGCTTCTTGATGGGGGGCAAGAGAAGTGGGAGGACGTGCTGCCGGATGAATGGGCGTATACGAACGGTTTCAATTCGTGGCCCGAGAGCTTTGAGTGCGAAATCATGGTTAGAGGCGGAAGAGAGACTGTCGTGGAAAGGGAGTGGGATGCAGCGAGAGAGGCGCTGGGAAAATGGGCATGAGGCAAACGGCTTGGCGCAGGGATCATGTAACGAATCAAGAGTGTATGAGAACTGTCGACAAGGAATTATATTAGTATCATTGACAGAGGGAAGACAACCTCGTTGGGTGGAGTATTCAAGGTTCGTATATCAAGTGAGAACGAGCTAGATCTAATAGTTAACAATAAGTTCGTGCCCCACTCAAAAGGAATCGGATACTTGGCCACGATATTGGCCATACAAGGACAATTATGTAGGTATTTAAATACTTACTGATAGGACGTGTCTTGGGAGCAAGGTGATACTATCGGAATCATATGAAGAGTTTGCCATGAGACAGTGGCCGAGGGAACTGGGAATAAATAAGGCGGGACCGGAACGTCGACGCAGATCAACAGATGAGTCTAAAAATACAGTCTTTAGCGAGAAGTTGCTCATACAGATAGGACTGATTCCGAAGCATATCATAATAGTCTGTCATCGTGAGTGTCAGTGTCTCCACAGGCATTGCACTTGGTCGAGTGTCCGACAACATTACAGAACCTCAGATTTGGATGGTGGAATATACTTCAGTATCCACCGTCGTCCGTACTCCGATCGAGCTTTCGTTATAGTAGACATTGCGAGCCTTCCAGTTGATTAGGGCCAGTGGAACCCCATCCCGGGTGTGTTCATCGACATTGGGTTCCCCGTAAACTACCAGGCGTAAGTTGAGAGTAATGCGATTGATCATAATCATCTCTATCCTGACGTTCAGAGCAGAGGGAACTCATCAGCTATATGACGTGGAATCTTGAAACAGAAAATGGATATACATAGATGCGGGCCTACAGAGTACAGGAGCGGATGGATAGTCAGCGTTACGGGGCAGAAGAGGGCAGTGAACGTAGCTTACATGGCGGTGATCGAACGAAGCTCTACGGTTCCGTGCATCTCCATGAGCACCCAGACCAAGTTGATCGCGAAGATACATCTGCGGTGTGGCGTAAAGCAGTTAGCATGAGTTCTGATGTTTGGAACGGTGCAGAAGACTGGAAATGTACCCAAAGTACAGCATGCCGTCACGAACGAGACATTGCATGAGAATGGAGAGATTGGACCACTTCATTGGTGTTCCTTGTGTCTGGGCATGTATGTATATCGTTCGGCCCATTGTTAGGACGAAAATTGAGGTATCGTAGGCTAATGACATGAATACGTAGATTATGTTCACGTCGATGCCGCTGCAGAGCTCGTGAGTAAGTCTTGATATTCATACTGTCCAAGACTCACTGTCTAACGGGAGCTAAAATCAAGCAAACTGTTTCACGATCGTGTATTGTAAGCATCGAAAATAGATGGAAAACGCCGTGGCGACTTACAATGGTACTGATAATTGTTAAGAATGGTGTTACCGGGGCCCTCTAGAGAACTCATTCAGACTAGGTTCACAGCAGGGCAAGATCATCTTTACTCACGGCTGACACCATTTTGACCGTATACCCATATCCCTACCGCTAATTGAGCGACTAGGTACGCTAACAAAGGAATGATAATGACTTTCTTCTGTTCCCACAGACCGTAGACCCTTGATCAATGGTTAGTCTAACGGGGGAACAAGCGCTTTCGACATGGAAGTCATACCGGATGGCCATGAGGATACCAGGGAAAAGAGTAAGAGGGAGGTTGACACCAAGGGACACCATGTACATGAAGTGGCCACATCTAGAAAACACGAGGATTAGCATACAGGAGGTATGGAAATCTGAGAGACCTACACATCTCCCTTAACCCCTGTGAAGAAGAATTCTGGGACATTGTGTCAACAAGATTGTCGGTTGGAAGATAGTCGTATACCTCACCCCATGCGACAACAGCAATTGCCAGCGGTGCGTAATATCGACTCTGAATAATATCACGAGGGGGTTGCCATGTTTAGCAATCCTCAGAAGAGAGTATATATATACTCACAAGTAAGAAAATCCATGAGACTGACAGCTAAGTAAGACCGGTGTACGTATGACCGAGGAGGATGCGAAATATCTATACGGACATGGTGTCTTCCTCTTCTTCTTCCATACGACCTCTATCTAGCACATTCTATCCGTAAGCATACAACCATCTAAGTGAGGATATTATGAAAGTTACCTCTGCAGAGAGTGTGCATATGTGATCCCAGTACATAGCGGCAGCGGTAGCCAGAAAAAAGTACTTCCCCACCTCACTATAGGACCAGTAGGTATAAGATGTTGTGGGAAAGGCCGGGTGGTGTAATATAACATACTCACATGTCCCGGAGGATTCCTACCTCATGTGGAGTAAGGATATGGGTCGAATTGTTGTTAGGCATGATGGTTCCAGGCTATAATAGAGCAACACCGAGGAAGACCGTCATTTGATTCGTGCGGATATTACTTATACTCGTGGTTGGGCTGAAAAAAGCCATCATTAGACTAGTGTGGATGATGACAGACAGACTTGTGAAAGACGCCGCTCATGGCTATGACCCGCTGATTGAACAATGTCCACACCGGACATGAGCCGGCCTGAAGCGGTCAAGCCTGACGGCGACTTCACGTCGAACGGGGAACAGAGTCGACCGTACGACCGGTCTCGTTCGATGAACGACCAGTTGACAGAGCGCAGGACGGAGGTTGCGTTATCTGCATAGAGTAGATCTCCGTCTTCTGGCTCTGGACTTGATAGCTGTGGACAGTTAATGGTATGCTCGTCACTTTCGAGCACGTCGACCATGGCTCCGTCATTCGACATACCTTTCAAATAAGTATTCATGTCGTTTGCGAATCCTCCAAGAAGAACGTTTGACTGGTGTGTTCACGAAAACCCTTACTTCGGCAGGTATCAGGTCAGAGATGGCGGCGTCGCTCATAATATTTCCTTCCACGGTGGTGGACACCGTCTTGGCCCTCAGCCTCCCTGTGCCTGTGTATAGTAGTGGAAGGGTCGTTTCTGAGAGAACGCCTCACCAGTAACAGCGTTACGGCCGGCAGGAGTGAGATGCCTTTTTCTGCATAGCTCTGGGAATGTAGATTTGAACGGCATGGAGATATACATCGGCGACGGCCCTCTTAAGAGCGATGAGACGCCTACCGAGCATCACGGGGGGGCGTCCTCGTGCTGTATTGCGGATATTTGGAGTATTCAGCGCCCTATTTTCAGGGATTCTACTTGTTTAAGTCACCTTCGAAGTGCACTATCAAGTGCTGAAAGGGTTTCGGAGGGCTCACTTCGCTGATGTCTTGAGCGGTCCTTTCGAGCTCAAGATTCCATTCTTGTGGCCTGTTGTGCGTATCAAAGCGTACTGGCACATTGTCAGGTCAGCAAACTTGTGTCAATGCTCCCGCGTGGAAGATCCCTAATCTTGCGTCCTGATGTAGGTAAAGCTATTGCTCAACAACCATTGGGAGGCGACTACGCCGACGCTGAAACTGTTTAGCGGGCATTACCCCATCGTCCTGCTTATTTCCAATGGCATCGCTCTTTGACCTGCGATGATCGAGAATCCCCCTCTTATTGCCCGCATCTACTTGCCCCTCCGAGGATGTCGACGATCGTTTCTACGGAGGTTCGATAGCATAGCTCCGCAGTATCAAGAATGGGTGGACAAGATCCGTCCCAAGGAGCTCTTGAACTCCTGCAATTGGCGGGGTACGCGAGGCGGTGGCTCTGTGTAATGGGACTATTCGGGACTTCGCACAGATCGTGATGAGAACCCTCGCCATCGAAGTCTCGGTCTGCGTACTACATGCCAGGAGGAGATTGGAAGCTCGAGCAGTTGTGGAGCACGAACCACGTCCTGATGATGGTCGTTTGTTAGTGGAAATAGAACGACGCACCGGTCTGCCAGCTGTAATCAACAACAGGCACATGCTTTCGAGCCTACCAGTATCAGGTGCGAGGAATATATGAGATTGAGGAGAGGGAATCTCAAGACGATGCAGTATCCATCCATATCACACTACTCGGTGAGAAGTCGTTGTATATTAGACGCCAGGCAGCAGGGAACTTGTCCACGATATTTGTTTCGTTTAAAAGAACCCTGGTTAAAAAGAGGACGGAGAGTGGAAATGCAGCAGTAAGAGAACATAAAAACTATTCCGCCTTGGTGTATTGGGCCATGCTCTCTACTTCTTTCCTCGCTTGGGTGGCGAGACGCTGCAGGAACAGGTGAATCGGGGATACCAGCATACTGGCTATGAAGATGAGAGGCACAATGAAAGCGAGCACAGGAGCAACGGATGCCGGCAGCACACCAAGATACAATGGCTCAAGAGTCACCACGAATGGCACCGCTGCTGGGACTGACGTTGTGGCGGGATGTGAAGGGTGTAAGGACGGTGTCCGCACACCGGTCTCGACGAGACGTATACGGGCATACTGACGCCGCGTTGTCGTGGAATTGTCGATATCGTGCGATGCTTCAACTGACGCGGTTTTGTCAAGATGGGATGTTGTGGCCCTTGGAGTGAGTGTTTGGATTGAGAAATCGGCTGGAGACTTGAGTCAATACGTCAGTCTCGTAACAATCACAAGCCTGGCGGCATAGGACTATACTATGGACGCACAGAAGCTGGCCAAGAGATCCTGAGCGTGAATTTATCGTAGGATGACCAAGCATCGGCGTCCAAGTCAAGAGCGAGCCATAGTTCGTGGCGGCAAGTCTGGCCAACCTCCTCGTCAGGTAAGCCGCAGATAGACTCCAGTGGTGTGTTTAGCGGCGCAGGAACCACTTGGAATTGCTGCTCGTTGTGCTCTGGATCGAATATAGGCCTGTGCGGATAAGAAATCAGACGAAAACTCCTTGAGACGGCGAGGAAGATGAACCATTGCGCGACCAATGGATTGATGGGTGCCTTCCACTCTTTTGAAGCAGAGAAGTTGATGATCTCCGTATTTGCATTCACATATAAGCCAGATGCGAAGAGAACCGCCAGCAACCAGAACATGGACGCGATGCAGATGGGTGCTTGCTGGAGAAGGTCAAGAACGCTCGGCAGACTCCGAAATGCCTTGTCTCGCAACTTGAGCGTGAACTTGCTGCACTCCATCCTCCCGTACTTGTTTGTTCTTCTGCTTTGATTTTATCCACGACGATGGCACAACCTGCAATGGCACCAGAGGCACTTGGCGCGCCTGGTATCCCAATATCAATGACCGGCCCTCCCCAACCAGGATCTGCGCCCGCACCTGCCTTAGCACCAGAGCAAACTCCAGCAGGCCCTGCAGAGACGGTATCGGAGACGCTTTACATCCAAAACTTGAACGAGAAAATTAGGATAGAGGGTGCGTACTATAACCTTACTACTTTGGTCATATACTGACACCATTCAAATCCGACGCGTACCTATTGTCCCTGGTGGTCTTGTCATTCGTGGCGACAGTGCTGAAGAACTCGCTGCGGGGTCTATTCAAGTCCTATGGAGAAGTTCTTGACGTTGTCGCACATAACAACCTGAGGATGCGGGGGCAAGCGTTCGTGTCCTTCGAGAGCCCAGAGATCGCGGCGAAGGCGCTAAAGGAGGTGAAAGGATTCCCTCTCTACTCGAAACCAATGGTGCGTTTCCTTTTCCATTCTGTATATGACATCCACTGACCTGTTCTTTCATATCCACTCATATCCCGACAGCAAATCTCATTTGCACGGACTCGGTCAGACGCGGTGGTGAAGAAGTTGGACGCGACCAACTTTGACCAGCACAAGGAGCACCGGTTGCAACACAAGAGTGCGTGGCATTCCTAGCTTCACGCAAAACCCTTCTGATCATTCTATCGTTCTTCCCTTCGATCGAACTGAGTAGAGGAAACCCGTTACACCAATCCTATCAAGCGGAAATTCCGTGAGAAGCGTGTGGCGTCGGAGAGTATGTCGTCTTGATCTCTTCCCTTCGATGTGTTGCCTGACTTTCACCGGCTTTTTCAAGTGGATGGCGCGACCTCTGCACCTGCACCAAAACGGCCCAACGTCCAGATGCCAGACGAGTACCTCCCACCGAACAAGATTCTCTTCCTGCAAAACCTGCCAGAAAGCGTCACGAAGCCCCAACTCGAGGCGCTCTTCACACAGTGCGTATCACTTCTTCTACGTGACTCCCAGCTTTTGGTCACCTCACTGACTCCCTCTCTGTGGCGACGGTGGCGGCACCAGATACCCAAATCTGCACGAAGTCCGTCTTATCCCGACAAAGAAGGACATTGCGTTCGTGGAATACGTCGACGAGGGGAGCGCGACCGTTGCAAAAGACGCGTTGCACAACTACAAGCTCGACGGGGAGAACAAAATCAAGGTGTGCCTCCTTATCTCCGCTTCGTCGACTCTGCACTCACCCCATGCTACTCTTCTTTCACAGATTACTTTCGCGAGGAAATGATTCTTTGCTTGTCTTTGTCTTTGGTCGTATCGTTCTGTCTATGATTTTTCTTGTGCTGTGACCGAATGCCCACGGGAGGGCCCCTTCAACATGTCGTCTTGTGTCCTACTCGAGTCTAATCGATGCTGTATGATAAATGTGGTAGGTTTTGGCATGGTAGCGTTTTTGTGATCTACTTCGAGGAAACCCGATGGTTCATTTTCGGTCTACGCGCCGGCTGGTCAGCGCCTTGTCCGCCTTGCAAACCTTTTCCGTCATCCCAATCTCTCCAGGTTCACAAACACAGGCCCTCACGTGTAGCCAAATGAAGAAGAAAGAGATGTTTGATTGATTGGGAGTAAACTGGATATGATACAACTAGTACTCGAGCTTCATATGCTGCTATGTAGTATCGACGACGTCCCCGACTCTGCAAGTTCTCCAACCGAAGCAAGCCCAGAATCCACGACCCGAATCGCGATAGGTAATTGTATCCTGCGTACACATGCGTCGCACAGTCCCGGCGACGCTCAGGAATGAAACCCTACGAAAAACTACGTGGTACTGTAAAAGTAGTGGGTAGAACGGAGGGGTACATTGGACGGAAAAACGACGGTCGATGTAAGACGCGTGTGATGTAAAATCCGTCGACAGGTCTCGGATGGGAGCCTATGTGACGCTATGTGTACGACAGGGCCTGGTGCGGAGTTCGAGTGGTGGGTGGTGTACGGATGATTGCACGGGCCTGTGTGAGTGGGACAGGGCCTGGTGCGGAGCTCGAGTGGTGGGTGGTGTACGGATGGTTGCACGGGCCTGCGGTGAGTGGGAGTAGAAGGAGACCGGAGTAACGACTAAGCAAGAAAAAAAAGGAGAACATGATGGAAGGTGGGTGGCGCGACGATGTTGGAACAGCAGAGTAAGACTGATGTACAAAGGAAAACAAGACAGAGCGCTTTGCGATTGGGACACCAAGACATATGCGACGGGTGCAAGTTGCGATGTGAGAGCAGCGAGACAGCACAAATACGGAATAACAAGAGAAATAGGAAAATATTGAGAACACGGAACCGACCTCAAGAAGCGGGAGTGGCAGCGTCGGCCTTCTCAGCCTTCTCAGCCTTCTCGGCCTTGGTCTTATCGTCAGAGAGTCGATATCCGTTAGAATTATGATATGCATTGGGATTGTGAGGCTTCTTCGGCGGTGTATACTCTTTCTGCGGGGCGGATTGAGGTTTCTTCGAGTTGGAGTCTAAGATCATGGAGGTCAACGTCAGCGCACTACTCAATCTGCTGAGGTGGTAAAAGAAACATACTGTTAGTTTGACGTCCGCCAGCATACCGAGACTGTCCAGGACGAGTATCGCTACGCTCGAAAACCGCAATCGGGGATGTAGCCGGGACGTTTGGCTGCGTCACCTTGTCGTACTCGGCCACGTAAGCGACCCACATTTGATAGAGTGCGTCTGCGGTACCGTGGAATTCGTCTTTACAAGTATCGTTGACCTTGCATTCATAGCCGGCGATGATTCGCGGGCACCTTTGCATGGGGGGGTGCTCCTTCATCGAAGGGGGAGGGTGGATTTGCCTGCATTTGCCCGTTGAGATGTACCGACAAGTCTTGCCATACCGGCAGAAGTGGATGTGACGGAAGTTCCGGTAACATTCCTTGTCATGACTGCACGCTTTCAAGTCACAAATGCCGCGGCAGATCGGCTTACTGGTCGAGGGAGGCGAGTGGGACGGTGGTGAAGAACGCGAAGAGTTTTTCGAGGCTGGCTTCGGGGTCGTCGTGGGTGCGGTGCGTGCCGAGTGCGAAGAAGTCGAAGTGCTGGAATCCGTGGTAGGGCTAGGAGGTTTACCGTCCTTAGGGGCCCACATCGACGAGGAGAGACCAACGTTGCCCGAAATCGGTGGAGTACGACCCACAATGGGACGACGGGTTTTGTCGGCTGCCTTGCCTTGGGGCTGAGCCCACATTGATGCAGAGAGGCCGCTGCCCTTCGACGTGACAGCGCTGATAAGCGCGTCGATGTCCTGCGTATTGGGAACGGAGGACGATGAGTCGGAAGAGGATGGGGCCTTGGGTGCGGACGCAGGAGCGGGCTTAAGTGTCGTCTTGGCAGAACGCGCATCAGTCGAGACAGTCGCGGAAGCCTGCAGTTTGGAGGTCGACGAAGGTGGAGAACCGGAGGTGCTAGCGGAGGAAGACGTGGTATTGGCTTTGATGGCCGCGACGTTCTGCGGCGCCCACATGGAGGCTCCCAAGCCACGGCCCTTGGAGGTCGCATTGGAGACGACTGCAGCCTTGGCATTCGAGGTTGCAACCTTTGCCGTGGATGGTTCCGATGATTTGACCTACGTCACGAACGAGAATTATATGTTAGTATGGAAGGACTCAGTGAATGACTGATCGTGAGAAAACGCACCTTGACTGGGATCGAGGAGGCGACAGGTTCGGTGCGAGCGGATTCACGAGCTGCGACGTTCTCCGGCGCCCATATAGAGGCCCGCAGGCTTCTGTCCACGGGGACCGGGGTAGCATCATCTTTCGCGGGGCCCGGGGCAGCATCGTCTTCTTCCTTAGGCTCCGGGTAAACGAAAGGTTCATCGTCAGATTCGTCGTCATCTTCCTTAGACTCTGGGTAAACGAAAGGTTCATCGTCAGATGGTTCGTAGTCGTCTTCGGCCATCTGTGGTTCGATCTCAGTAGCAGTCACGTTGTCGTCCGCCGAGGAAGAATTAGACGCGTCAACAGTAGAAACCGACGCGGAGCGGCTGTCAGAGTGAAGGGTCTCCCTGCCACAGTCGGAGGCAGAATCAACGGCCGACACCTTGTCGTCGTCCTGAACGGTGGTGCGGGTTTCGGCAGCGGAGTCATTCGGGGCAGTGGCGACGGTGGCGGCGACGGGAGCAGCGACGGGAGCAACGACGAGGTCAGCGACGGGGACAGCGACGGGGGCAGCGACGGGGGCAACGACGAGATCAGCGGCGGGGACAGCGACGGGGGCAGCGACGGGGGCAGCGACGGGGGCAGCGACGGGGGCAGCGACGG